CATCGTTACGGCTTTTGCTTGGCTTGCACTCCAGCAAAGAAGGATATAGGGTCAACTGGATTAGTTACCGGTAGGTTGTACATAACCTTGATGCAGTAAGTACTGAATGCTACTGTTCTGTAACAATCGCCGGTGGTGCAACAGTGTATCTTGTCAAGCTAGTAGCATGAGGGAGCCTGAAATCATTCGTCCTTTAGTTTACACCAAAACTGCCCGTTGGCTCTCGAGTGAGCTGCCGAAAGCGCGTCCGTAGAAACCCCAACGACACGAAAGACAGGGGCAATCCATATAAAAAGGTCTGTACTCTTGTTGACCTCCGTAAACGTACCGCTACCGGTATGCTTGTTTCCAGCAATCCACTGTTCATCGAGACAACCTGTGTATTGATTCCGTGGCACATTGGAATTGAAAGAACGGCTTATTGTTCCGTTCTTGTGTCGTAAGCCCTGAAATGGCCTGTAGCAGCCGGAATGTCCCGATACCTGAGACACACAATGCACCTAGTAGAGCCATCGATGTCACGATCTTTTGGCTGTGTATTGGTTTGTCATTGACTCACTCACAGGCAAACTCATCATTGCTCTCATCATTCTCCATGTCTGTCCGAACGTGATTGCCTTTTTCGTGATCCTGGTCGACGGTTGTTTTGTTGGCGTCTTCGCGCTGCAGCGTAGAGACCTCAGGCACATCCGTGCAGGTCGCCTGTGTTCGGCCAAATACTGAAGTCATTGAATCCATGGGGGCCCTACAGCACAGGCAAAAAAATGCACTTCTCAGGACGCGCCCCTCTGGTGTTTTCATTCGCCTCATCCTTGAAAAAACAAGAAAGTTGAATGTCCCTGCCGACGGCAAGACTACACAATATGCAAAATACTCAGCGCCAATCCTGACTAGTCCACCCACATTATACTTCACTGCAATGATTAGATCAGGGAGGTATGTCAAAAGAAATGCAAATGTGTAGAATGCTGCCTGCTTTGCAACTTTTGGGAAACAAAAGTGAGCCAAGCACAGCACTGAAAGCCCCTGCTCTTTCGTGGAGAAATAAAACCTTACCTGCATTGGACTTTTTCCGATTTACAGAGCTGCTCCTGAGTGCTGAATCACTTACAGCCGATACTCTGCCATCGGAGGCCGATGCAGAGGTGGCGGAAGCCGAAACGCTACCAGCATACCGTCTGGTTGTGTTTTCTACCTGGCGTACCTTGCACAGTATAAACCCCAAGTTGAGCAAGCTCAGCAGAAGACACACAAATGGCAATACCAGGCCGATCACTTGGTGGACCCAGGGATCTGGGCCTCTCATGCAGTCATCACCGGAGCAACTTGGTGGGACGGATTCTATCCAACAGACTTCACCAGCGCTGTTGTATAGTTGCAAAGGGAGCGGGTAGATTGCTAGCCCAAGTGCAATGAGCCATATTACGCCATGAATAGGAAACTCCCATGCTTCCAAATCACTGTCCCTCCAATTTCGTCCAACCAAAAGTAAATAGAAGAAGGATAGGCTGGTGCTTGACAAGACGGATAGCATCAACCCCAGCTGGACAAGGAATCCTTGAAAGGTACAGGATCCCACAGTACCATGCCCTTCCAGCCCATAGGCTGCTTCTGGAGGTGCAGCCCAAACCCCAATAAAATAGGCCAAGCTGAAGATAATGTCTCCAATGGCCATGGCCATGAGCATTCGATTCAGGGGTGTACCACCCACTCTTCCTCTGATTTTCTTCTCACACAAAATCTCCCGGATTATAACATAAGAGCACACTAAAGAGAGCAGGGAGAATGGCTTTGGTAGATAGGCCATGATATTCGCCTGCCGTGGTGTGAAATCGAGGTCATAATAATCATCATCTCCATAGTAATCATCTCCATATTCCTCGGAGAGTTGATAATCATCCTCAGCGAGGCTCGAATTATTGCTTGTCATTTCGTGTGCCTCCTCGCCTGAAGCAGCGACGAGGAGAATCAGCCAGCAAGACGAGAGCAATCCCTGGTGCATGGTCCTGCTGTTGTGAGGGTTTTGTTGAATGAGTTGCTTGCATGTATGTCTGCTCTCTTCCTCATCGTCGCTGCTCAGCCACCGTGCCGCCAAGCCCCCTTTCATGTGCATCCATGTTCGCCGTTTGCCTGGACAGTGAGTGTCCTTTGAGTTTGACTGTGGAGTACATGTATGCATACTGTAGTGGAAGGGAAGTGACACTTACTTCGTAACTGTAACTAGCCTAGCTAGCTACTCTAGCTAGCTAGAGTACTGAGTAGTAGATAGAAAGACGAGTAGCAAGTGCACCCGGACCGATGCAAGATGTTAAATCCACTTCTAGCCACCCAAGGTCTTAATGCTTTGACTACCCTGACCACTGTAATATGCCCCAACCGCAACAGCTGACTTAGAGACTAGCAGTTTTGGGACCGTGTCGTCGGAAAGTGGAAGCTGCCGTGGAAGGTGGAACCACTGCAGAGCTGGGAGCTGCAGGACCTCTGTGGAAACTTCATTCGTGGCAAAATACTTAGGAGACGATACACCGAGGAATAGGAGACGATCGAAATGATTTAAGAGACGAAAGCAATCGTCTCCTATATTTAAGCGACGATTCAGTAGGAGACATTACAATTAGGAGACGAAAATTTCGAAATAGGAGACGATCCGAAAGATTTAGGAGACGATACCATACAGTTTACATGGTACACTTAAGAGACGATCCGTTGAGAATAGGAGACGATCCGTTGAAAATAAGAGACGTTTTAAGAGGAGACAAAAGATTTAAGAGACGATCCGTTTCGTCTCCTATTTTTAGGAGACGAAATTCTTTAAATAGGAGACGATCAAAAGGATTTAGGAGACGAAAAGTAGCTCGACTTGAGTTTCCACAGAGGTCCAGAGAAAGAGGGCGCTGAAGTCTCAGGCAACATGTATGTATCAGCTACGTGTCACAGACTATCCATGCTTCTCGGACGCAAGGGGTTTAGGCAAAATCTCATCTGCAGGATTCTGCCAAACAGCAATGACTTGATGATGAGCATCGTACCTACTCCAAATTGCCCTCTGGGCTGGGTACCTGTACCGCACCTCTATTATGTATCTAGCTATAAGGTTCACCTCAACTGTGGCGGGGTAGCTGTTCTGAATACAATCTCAGTCTGTATCAGACATACAGAAGCTCATAAAGATCAGTACCGGTACCGGTAGTAGCATACAGCGGTTCTATTACTTGTAGCAATGATGTAACTATACTATCGCAGGTGCATCCCCCCATCGACTGGAAGTGCCACTCCCGTAATGTAACGGCCCTGCGGACTGCACAGAAAGGAGACAACGTCTCCAATCCCCCGCACTTCCAGAGGTCGTTTCATGGGCACTCTGCTGGAAACGGCTCGATCAATGATTTCTTCTGCCGACTTGGCTCCGTATTGGCGGGCAGAATAGTTCTAAGAATCGGTAAGGGTAACTCCGGGTATAATGACGTTGCAATTGATATTCATGGCGGCGCCCTTGAGGGCCAATATTCGATTGGAGTACTCCATGATGCACTTGCCCGAACCGGGCAACGAGTATGTGGGATCGGGTCGGTACATGGAATTGACGGATGGACTGGAAATACCAATCAAAGAGCCTCCATTAGCACTATTCATGCGAGCAATGCCTCGTTCGCAGAGATCAATCCAAGCATCTCCGTAGAGCCGTTGATAGAATTTCATGGCTTGTAGATTGGGTATGCCGTTCTCATCCAGAATGGAATTGTCGCCAAAACTTGTGGATTGTGCATCGAGACCGGCTTCGTTGGTGGATGTCACGCCCAAATACTGACCGGCATTGTGGACTACAACTTGTAGATGATGACTGTTTCCATCAAACTTGGTATCGAAACAATCAAAAATGGCATGCCGTGTTTCCTCCTTGGACAAATCCCCACCGACCAATTCACAGTGAATCGAAGGATGCTTGTCTTGCAGTGTCTTGACAAAGTCTTGCGCAGCTTGTACGTTGCTATTGTATGTGAGCAACAAGTCAAATCCATCATCCGCCAAAGCAGAGGCAATGCCCGAACCAATTCCACGAGTTCCACCTGTGATTATGGCGACAGGACGACCATCGTCCAGAGAGGAGAATGCCGTACTTGTGGTTATGATGAGAAGCCACAACGAAACGAGCGCAATGCCAGTGGGATTCCAATGCGCCAACATCTTCTGGAAATTGTCACTACGACCACGGCAGAGAATCACATCACTGCCAGTGCTGTACCAGTACTACCGTTGGCGAACTACTTGCTACTAGCTCTACTAGCCGGACGAAAAGATGATATAACCGCCATGGTCGAAAGAAAAAGGGGGCCAGAACGAAGTCAGTGGCAAGGAATTGTTGGATTTCGGGTTCTCTACTTTTAGGGTTAGAGGAATCCGCGAGAACAAAATCGAACCTTCTCGAAGGACGCAAACCTGCTCTAGAATCTCCGCCCCCAAGCAACGCAAGGCCTGGACACCCACCAAACACAACCTCTTCCCAACACAGTTGCAAAACGAAGGACTACAGTACACGTATCCATCGGAGATAAGATAGCACACAACAATCCTTCCATAGTAGATAGATTATGTTTCGCAAACCGAAAAAAGCCAAGAATAATCGTCGTCGCAAAGAAGCCGACGTTGAGGAAGATGACAGCCACAAGAAGCGCAAAGCCGACGACGAAGAAGAAGATACGTCGGCGTTGCTGTCCGAAGCCCGCAAACGAACAAAGACTGTGGGCGCTGGTGCCAATAAACCGTCTACCAAATCGGACGAAAATCAAAAAGTGATGCATCAATATGGAACTGCCGGAGCGGACCATCAACAGAAAAAGGAAGAATTGGTGACATCTACCGTGCAACTCCATCCGGAAGAAATCATGAGGAATAATGCTGACGGTAGTACTACAACAACAACAACAAATAACGAAGCATCAAGAGGAGACGATGGCATTTTCCGGGACAAGACCCGCAGCCGATTGTTGGCCGGTCCCATCAAAGCGACGGGTCACATTCGTACCACGTGTCGATTTGACTATCAGCCCGATATTTGCAAAGATTACAAAGAAACGGGATTTTGTGGCTTTGGAGATACCTGCATTTATCTACACGATCGAGGCGACACATTGTCGGGATGGCAATTGGAAAAACAATGGGAAGAAGAACAAAAAAAGAAGAAAGAACAGCAAGACAAGGAAATTCAAGGTTTTGTCGATGCTAATACTAGTGGTGGTACTGGTACTAGCAAAACGAATGACGACGATGACAAGAAAACGGACAAGGATGGATTGCCCTTTGCCTGTCACATTTGCCGAAAACCCTTTACCAATCCTGTGGTGACGTCGTGTGGACACTACTTTTGTGAAGCTTGTATTATGGATTGGGTACGGACCAAGAGTGATGCCTGTCCGGTATGTAACAAAGACACGCATCGGGTCTTTAACCAAGCCACAAAGTTGAAAAGTCGAAGCCGGCGAAACAAAAACAAACTGCAATCAACAGGAGGCGAATTTCAGGAATTTTTGGAGGGATAAAAAGATTAGGAGTGACAGTCGTGCTGCTGCCATGCAGTACCGTGACAGTGATTGGGAACAAGGGGACAGCAAGAGTTTGACAAACCGAATAAGGGACGCGACGGGATCGATGGTTCAAGTAATCTTGCACTGACGGATGCGCCAATGGAACGCATGCGATCCGATGTCAAAGCGGGTGGCTGCCGCGGCCATCAAAGTTTGTCCTGCCTGGACTTGCGAGATTCTCTCGTGATAGGTTACGCTGCGTTTGTTTGGCAGACCATGTCAATCCACGATACCATGACTATAGATGCTCAAATGGACGGTCGTGACATGGTCCAGATTTTACCAGTGGAACGGCAAGTTTTGGACCATATTTGGCTGGAAAATGTATCCGTAGAGCTATATGTAGTCACCATGCATGTTTCTACTTCGATGTCAAACTGCACAATGCGCCTGCCGCAAGATTCTATTCCCCGATCCCCTCTTGCCAGGCTGGCAATGGACCCCATACCACAAAATCGAGCCTGCAGCAAGCCGATAGGCTGTTTGCCCTTTGCACTTTTTGTGACACCCTCACACGAAATTGACCACCTACGGTACTGTTGTTAGCTCGTACCGTACGCGTGCTGATGGATGCATGCTAAAAACAAATCACTTCTACGGTAGGTTGCGGAAATGGAGACTCACCCCAAAACTTCCTGTTGCACCCAAAGGAGCAAGATATGCTGCCGCATGTGCCCCCATCGTATCGGTTCACACAGAGCGAGGAAGAGCGCCCAATTTTGGGCTGTAAATGCGGTTACACACTAGTCCCTCAGCTTTTCCAAGTTCAAAAAGTCGACAAAAGAAAGAAGTGCATCAAGCTCCATCTGTGTGAGGGAATCCACTAACTGGGCAAAGTGTGCATTCTCCTCGCCAAGGATAATTCGAAGGTCGGTAGAATGAAGTGGAGAGAAGACGGAGATGGGTTCAATGGGAGGCATGGGAGTCTGAGCATCCATCGCATAGAATTCCAATGCTTTGACAAAACGAGGTTCCTGGCGGTATATAGGCGATTCTTTGTTTTCCAACATTTGAAACACAGATGTCAACAGATCCAATCCTCCGTCTTCACAGCACAAAGGACATCTCGTTCCAACACTGCCTTGATCTGAAACATGACTGGGGGCTCCATTGTCTTGACAATCTGGTTCCATTTTTTGTTGACTCTGAAATGCATCCATAGTCCCTTGTATTTCCCAAGGAAAAACCAAGAATATTCCAGAGAATCAATCCCTCCATGGCAAACGCGGTCCCCGTTTGAGCTTTCTGGCACTGTCGTCCAGTGGGATCCCCGTCCATGCAATCTGCTGGGGAATGGAGATTTTTTCCAGGCGCATCGTTTCATCCCCACACCCCTCCTGGACGCCTCCCTTGGATATGGAACGAAACATCTTCTACCTACTGTCAGAGTGACAGTCGTCACTTCGCGCTGCGTCCAACTTTCTAGCTAGATCTAGACTAGAAAGACGGGCCCGAAAACTGATGTACAGAGGGAAAAGAGGTAATATTTGACCCCAACCACAGAGCATTCGGAATCACAGCGAACTTTCGACTTGCTTCCCACACAGACAAACCACCGTCAAACTTTTGCGCAGTAGTCACATCCTGTGCTGATGATTGTGTAGTTGGTGCCATCGAAAAATGCTTGTTTAAAACGGAGGGTTGTGCATGGTCTAGTTTCAAAGGTCGACGGCAAACACCGTTTTTGTATTGAAATTCCTTCGCCACCACGCTTCTATCAAAAGCTAGCTATAGTTCCATGCCAAGCTGTCCCACTAACCTGCCTCAAGATCCCCGATCCCCTGGCAATGGGCCCTACGGCCACAATCTTGATCTGCACAAGCCAATAGGCTCTTCGCCCATTCTTTGCACTTTTCGTGACACCCGACCACCTGCGGTACTGTTGCTAGCTCTTGCCGCATGCTGCTACTGGATGCACGGTCAAACAAATCACTTCTAGGTTTTGGGTTGGTCAATGCTTGTGTTCTTCTTCTTTATCTATTTAGCTACTAGTCGACGTCTCCGAAATCAAGAACATGGGTTCATGAAGTCTACCTTCCAAACGCTTGCGCAAAACCTTTTCCCGGCGTTTCATAGAGTGCTTTGTCAGAATGGCCGAGCCCGCACCAACTCCAACAGCACCAATTGGTCCCCCAAGCAAAGCAAAGCCCAACAGACCTCCCCAGAGCCCACTGTTGACTGTTTCTTTCTTACGCCGTGTCTTCATCCGTCCCAAGAGCTCTTCTCCGGTCTGAAGTGCAACAGGCCTGCCCAGGGCAGCAGGCAAGTCCACGTCGAGTGCATCTTGGACGGGTGGGATTTCAGCTGTTGTCTCTCTGGAGGGATCGGATGCAACAGCTGCTGGGATTTGACAAGCTTCTGCCTCCACGGTGGTAGAACCAAAGCTCTCACAGGCCAACATAGCTGGGGCAACTGCATTTCAGGCTCGTTGTTCTGGGCAGAAGGTTGCTGGTTGGAGTTTCTGCTGAAGTTCATTTGCTTTTTTGCTTGCTTGTTTCTGTCGTTCGAATATATTGTGTTTTATGTCCTACTGCGTATCAAGCACACAACCAGGACAGCTCCACCTCTTGGCAAGAAGCTCCCGCCCTCATCCATCGTCCCAAGCTCTTGCTTCAAATTGGGATGGCTTGCGGGGTCGGGGATCTTTCGGCGCACATTGGATGATCTACATGTACTAGTATGAGTCGCTCGCTTGACTCGACTCGACTCGACTCGACTCGACTCAACATCTGCGATCCATTCGACGATACTGTACTGTCAGGGAGAAGAGGTAATGTTTGCCCCAAGTACCAGGTACCAACTATTACATGTATGTAGTAAGAGCTTGTTCGAACCGTACAGTAACGAACTTTCCACTTGCTTCCTCCCATGCAGCACCTGTCGCCGCAACATCCCAATTTAAAAGTCTCAACCTTTCCACAAGACCTACCGTACCACAACACATCCATAATCCCAGCCGAAAAGAACCAAAACGAACCTCACCATGTCTTCCTCTCCCAGCAACGACTTTTTGGCCAAGGCTCAGGCAGCCACACAACGTGTCGCAGCGTCGGCGGCAGTCCAACAAAATGCAACACCCGAACAGGCAAAGATCGTGGAGGAACTGGCGCAAGATCGACCAACCATTCACGCTGCTGTCACATCCTTCTTGTCGTTGGTGGCGGCACGATCCCTCGTGACTCCTGATGTACAAACAGCAGCAGCAGCAGCAACAACAGTCGGAAGAGGTTCCTTTGGTTCTGACCAACGCACAAGCCCTGCAATGCAGCCGGATCCTGTTAAAGGCTATCAATTCCACCACACTCTGTGCGACACCAACCAAGTCAACCACCACGACAAATAACAATGAAGAAGAATATCAATTGGTGGCACAACTCTGGAATGGGCTGACTGCATCGGAACAGAAACCAGCTCGATTTTTGGGTCGTCGTGCTTTGCGTCATGCTTGGGCGGATATCCAACCCGCCGTGGCCACTACCAATGACGATGAGAAGCTCCTGCGCTTTGTCGAAGAATTTGGACATCTCTTGTTCTTGGACAACAAAGTGATGATGATGATGATTCTGCGCTGATATGGGACGTGGATGGCGGGAAAAAGGAACTGGAAAAGCGACGGGAGCGACGCCAACAACGTGCTGCCACAGCAGAGCAGCAAGAACAACAGCCGAACGAGGAAGAAAAAAAGCTACCATTTATTGAAGAACTGAAGGAGGAAGAAGAATAAATATCCTAGCAATCTATTCCCGTTTGGAAAGATTATCTTAGCTTTCTAGGGTGCTGCCTTCTTAGCCTGTCATGTTGCAGGCTCTGCTCTGCGGCTCAAAAATTTTCATGAAAAGCTTCAAAACATACAACCTGAAATACCAGGAGTGGAAAGAGTTGTCCAATGTACGATACCCACAAATTAGTTTGGTTCAGTCGCTCCCAACTCCCAACAAGCAAGCCATTATCATTCTTAAAGGTGGCAAGCTTGCAGAGTGATGAGTGAGCCCTTGATTTGGTCCTCAATTTGTCCCCCCTAATCCCACAGAACCTAGTCCCCACTTCCACCTCTTCGTTGGCTATGCCTGGCCCCTCCCGGCTTCCGTAGCTGACTTCCCTGTGTAGAGCTGTACTACAACCCCCTCACACAAGACGTCAAGATAGCATACAAAGCAGCTAAGCGGCTTAAGTGTCTTTAAGACATTCAGTCATGCGTTTGGTCGGCACCACCCATCACTTTTCGCTCTGTCACTTTCATCACCAGAGAATGATAATCAGCTGCACGAGCTCCACCTCCCATTGATACAGTCGTAGCTATATAGCTTCTGCTATCAGCCATTTGCGCCACGGGACGTTTGCAATCCGTGGTGAGAGCTGTGAAATGCCTTAGATAAGAGAAGGCAAGACTGGAAGAGTTCAATCTGGTGGAGCTTTGAAACCACCCTCATCATTGAGACGTGTCTTCTAAATTCAAACGCCAACCGACTCTTGGAGCATGAACAAAAACGTCCTCCTCTTCCTTCTGTTGTGCTTCTATCGCAACTCTCCTTCTTCATTCTGCCAAGCAAACAGTGTGTCTGGACTGGCCGTTGTTCTCCTCTGCTCGCTCTCAGTTTGCAACCTCCCTTTTTCTTCGTCTTTTGGTTTCACCACCTCTACTAAGCACAAGCTGTTGTCAAGAAGAGACAACATCTCACAAAGAAAAATGACAACAACAACCGCCCTTGAAACTTTGGCTCAAGGAGATTCCAGCAGCAATCTCTCGGCTCCACTTTACATCACCATTGGCCCTCCCAACAGTGGTAAAACCACTTGGCTGCGACGGCAACGGTCTGGTTCGGACTTGGTGGATGTGGCATTGGACGATCAACCGAATGTGTACATGGCAATTCCCTTGGAGCTCTTTGTCGCTTCCCAATCATCATTGCAGAATGGGACGGACTTGACACCGGAACATCAACAGCTTTTGCAGCAATCGTTCTTCCAGAAGACAGTACAAGAACGTCTCTTGGCACCGGAACAGCAAGAGCTTCGATGGGTCCTGCAACGGCTCTCGGGAGCCGCGGAATTGGAAGAGTCGATGCGCTCAAAATTGATCAACAAAGAGGAGAATGAAACCAACGCTAGAAACATGTCCAATGCCGATGACAATGCCTCGGAACAAGTCCTCCAATCGCTGTTGCGGAGCACCGAAAACCTGTTGCGCGACGATACTGCCATTTCCAAGGTCCCCATATTGGTAGATCTATTCATGGTGGAGGCGCTGTTTCAGAAAGACCCTAGCCGAAACATTACTCAAACCGGCATCGAACGCGCCACCAAAACACTCCGACAAACGCCCAAGGATGTTCCCGTTGCATGGGGAAACACAAATACTAAACCTCGTGACTACTCGTCGGCTTTGGAAATTGCACAACAGCAAGGCCGACCAGTCAATTTTTGTGTCTTTGAGACTGCCAACAACCTCAGCAGCATCACGCCATCAGCAGCAGCGACCGAGTCTTTGTTTGACCTACCCAGTCTGGAGTTTCAGGAACTGATGGATCGGAACATCCGTCGTCTGGTGGAAACTGGTCGATACGTGCCATCCCAAGTGATTTGGGACATGTGTGGTCGCGTCACAGAGTTCCTCGACGGTGCTCTCCGGCAATTGTCAGAGCACGGCCTTGAGAACGGACCCACCAAGTTTGATTTTCACCGACAGTTGGCTCGGCTAGCCCACTTTGATCTGCAGGACAATCGCACCGTGACGAAACGCGAGCAACCAAAGCGAGAGTTTGGTGGACGGGGTCGATGGCAGCAGCAGCGAGGACGATACCAGAACAGTCGCAGCAATAACCGGACCCAACCTTACACCCACGGTCCCCGCTTCCAGCAACAGAACGGTGGCCGAGGGCGCGTTCGAGGTTGGGAAGAGAGCCGAAGCGGTGGAAGAGGACCCCCCACCCGCGGGAATCACAACCAACCCTATAATCAGAATGGACGATGGACCAGTGATGGTCGCGGGCGGTCCTCTGGTGGTCCTGATCGGCAAGGCTATGGACCGTTGGGTGGTGGGCGTGGACGGATTCACCCGAGCTATGGGAGCCAGAGCTACACTGGCCCCTCACAAGACGGAGCATGGAGCGGCCAAAAGCGACAGAAGAGTGAACACAGCCACAATGGCACCAACAACCAACCGTCCTCCCAAGGCCAAGGGTCGGAACTCTAGAGGAGGGAACATGCAGAAACGATTGTGGTTGCTGAGTTTGAATTCCCCCAGGTCTATGGGCCATTTTTGATAACAAAGATCTAATAACTGGCGGTTTCTTTCGGTCCCAACAGCAAGGCTAAACTACTAAACGCTAATCAACATCTAAACCATACATCCCGCTAGACCAAATGCACTCTTTTTAGATCCTACAAGGAGTGCATACAGTAGTCGATTTGCGGGGGACGTGCAGACCCACACTTGGCTCTGGTCATCGACTAAAGAGCAATACTGGAGCAGAGGGATAAAACGCCGACTACAGCGCACAGGTTGATCGCATCGCCCACTCAGAAATCATGGAATGCATTTTCAAATTTTTCCTGCTACTACGAATACTACGTTTGTCCAGGAACAACATTTGATCCTTTGTTGAGAAAGTTTGTTCTCAATTTCCGTCTTGTCCTAATAATTGTTGTTCTGGATTGATTGTCCCCAAGTTCCTGAAGACTCGTATTCCTTCCTCTGGCATTCAGATGTTGTCTCTGCACAAAATCAATTAAATGGTTGTGGATGTGGCATCCGGAGCGTCCTTGCCTTTGGAGCTGGAGTCTGTGGCTGCCTCCTTCTCTTTGTTTGTCGTGTCATCATCATCTTTCTCTTTGGTGGAGGTTTCGTGTTGCTGTTTGGATAATAACTTGACCCTTCTACTTCGGGGCTTTCTCGCTTCTTTGGGTCTAGGTTTGAATTGCTTTTCAAAATCCTGTATCCATCGAACCAGAGTGGCCCCACCCGTGGCAGGCGACGTCCAATCCGGTCTGTTTTCTCGCACCACCCCGTGCAATTGTTTGCGTTGCAGTTCCTCTGCCACTCCAATGAGAGCGCTCGATCGTTGTGCAGTAGGGGCAAGCTCGTAAGGATCGCTCTTGTAATGTAGAAATTTGACCACCAAGGTATCAATGAGAGAGAATGCTTCCAGAGCCTGGGCGCTGCTGGCGAAACCTCCAAAGATGGCCCTTTGTCGAACATGCACCGTCCAGAAACAATCGACCAAGTCCAAAGCTTGGCGCACTTTGGAGAGAAAGTTTTTGTTTCCACGGAATTGTCGATCATTCACCGTCTTGGCGAGATATCGGAGTTCTGACGCGTGTCCAATACGAAGCGGCAGAAACAATGAATTCAGATAGAGATCCATCAACACATACTTGACCTTGCGACATTCTCTGGTTTTCGGAATGACAGGATTGGTGTTGTTCATGAATTGGGGTTGTTGCATTAATCCCATCATCATGGCAGAATACGGAGGAATTTGTGCACCAGGATTGGCCATGTTTGTAATTGCATTATTAGCAGGAGCAGCCGGTGCACCAGTCGTTGCCGCTGGTGTGTTTTGCCGATCGTCTTCTTTTTGCTCCTTTTTCTTTCCCTCGTCATACCAACTTTGGACTCTTGCTCTCAATCCCAGCTGTGGAAACAAATCCTTGATACCACCATCAATCTCTCCAACGAGACGGAGATCCCCCACGCTACAAACGAATTGGTCGTGGCAACCGCGAATCGCCGCCTCAATTTGGTTCTTCGACTGCATCCCGATGCTCTTGAAGAAGGCTTCGTCGATTTCTTGCTCATCGTCGCTCTCGCGGCTGCGCTTTTTGCTACTGCTAGTGTCTTCGTCGCCTGCCATGGTTGTCTTATTACTTGTCCTCTTCTTTCAAATAATAAAGGCACCACCAAGAATCGATTTGCACCAAGCTAGCAAGCAGCTTTGGAGGAGAATGGTGAGCGCGACAAAAAGGAGGGCAACGAGGAGTGTTGAAGCAATGAGCGTCCAAAGTACCGTTACATAACACACACACCCTGAAGCGTGCCTCAGGAACGTTGTGGAAAATGCGAGTCCTGCTTGGAAACTCTCTTAAATCCAAACTCTCCAATTTCGAAACGGTCCTCTCTTAAATCTCTGCATCCTCTCAAGTGAAAGAAACCACAGAAGATATTTCCACAACGGTCCAGGGGTTGCGATGGGGAACCCGGGATTTAGGGTAGGATTCGCTGCAGGGCAGAGTGGCAGAGTTTGAAACTCTGCCCTTTAGAATTATGGGGTAGAGCATGCCCTAATTTAGAGTAGAGTTTGAAACCCTACCCTAATTTAGGGCAGAGTTTGAAACTTAGGCCGGCCTCTACCGGAGGGACTAAGGGACCGACTAAAGGATTCCTTTAGGTGGTTGTTTAGTTCAAGATTTAGTCACTATCCTTTAGTAATGGTGGTGTCTACCAGCAGATGACTAAATCTCGGACTAAACAATTTAGTCAGTTCTTTAGTCATTTGGACCTGTCTACCAGCCGACTAAACAAATTGACTAAACAATTCATGGGAAAGTACTGGACTTAAAGGAACTCAAAAAAGATTTAACAAAAGTGATCACTTGGTGGGCTACCAATATTCTATCAGCATGGTGGATTTAAAGGACTCAAACAAAAGACTTAATAGAATTGATGATACTTTTGAGTTAACAAGACTCAAGTTAACAAGACTCAAAACTCCGAGTTCCCACTCGTTCCATCGTTTGCACCTCTACTATCGGCCGATACTCCTCTTCGATCGTTCCACTATCGTTTGCACCTCTACTCTATCAGCTCTGTCGCGATGCTCTGATAGTGAGGCTGTGCAATGAGGCTGATTCATTCTTAAAGAGTTCTTCTACTCTATTGGCCGATCGATCGTTCGACTACGGTATCGTTTGCACCTCTACTCTATCAGCTCTGTCGCGATGCTCTGATAGTGAGGCTGTGCAATGAGGCTGATTCTTTTAAAAGAGTTCTTAAACAAGCTGTAGTCCTTACGCTCGCTCACCGACTAACCAGCCTCCGGTTAGTCGGTGAACGAGCGTAAGGACTAAAGCCTTTAGTCCATACGACGTTTAGTCGCTTGGGTAGACACCACCTCCAGAGACTAAACTATCGACTAAACTATGAAATATGGCTTAGTCGCTACTTTAGTCGCTCCGGTAGAGAGCGGCCTTAGGGCAGAGTTTGAAACTTTGCCCTAATTAGAGTTTGAAACTTAGGGCAGAGTTTGAAGCTTTGCCTTAATAATTAGGCCAAAGTTTCAAACTCTGCCCTTCTCCATCCCAGCCATCGCCGACTCAAGGGAACCTTGGGCAGGAAGGTACTTTATAGAGAGGTGGATTGCACATTATTTGAGAGCATGAGAACTGAGTTTTGCTGGCATTGACAGAAGCAAGGCATTGCAAGAGAGTTTTGGCTTTTTGGGGGCAGCCCAAGCATGTCATCCACAGAAACAACAAAGGGATGGAAGGAGGTGTGATTAGATTTGCACGGGGCTTTATATTTGGAAAGAAATACACATCCAACCATTAGCTTCATGCATAAACGTGGTGCAAAAAATTGGAGAGACGCTCCTGCTGGAGAGTCCTGATAGTAGCTGCAAGTAGTTCATTTTCGAACCTAGTGAAGCGTATACATTTACTGTAGTAATAGGTAATTGGGCGAGCACCCTAGTAGCAAAGAAGTGGTGGTCCCTTCACATTGGAGGTGCCACACAAGGAGAGGACGGGAAATGCCTGCAAGGTCTAGAATTGGTCAACCAACATGTGGTGATCTCAATTCCATAATTTTCGGATTTTCAGTATTATGGAAATGCAACTTCTGTAAATTATCAAAATTTCCGACCACCTTGACAAGATTTTCGGCAACATGCATTATAGCAACAGCAGTTTTGACATTCCAGTGCAAAGTTAACGTCAGCAAAAGATAATTGCTCCAACGAACAAACGCTTTCAGGAACTTCTCCTTTCAACTGATTCATTTTCAGTTCCATGCTGTCAAGAGCTATCAACTGTCCAAGCTCTGTATGTATGCTCCTATCAATAGTTACATGCACAAACATTTTTGAGGCATAGAAGGGGTAGAGTCATCCTAACTTGCAGATTCATTCTGGTACCACTTACCCAGCCACTGAATGTATTAGATTCGAATAAAATGCTTCGCAAAGCAGTCAGCACTCCCCAACTCCGTTGGAAGAGTTCCAGTGAGCAGCGAGTAACGTAGATCCAAGCTTTGGTGTCCAACATTGGAGACAAATGGAAAGTGCAGTTAGTCCCTGGGAAGCTGTCCGCCATGCTGATATCTTCCTTGTAAGTTTGTCTATGAGGTTTTGGGAGGTTTCCCTTCCAAGGATTGCTCAAAGAGAAGCTCCCTGATAGTTGGCAGTAAGGGAGCCTTAACTGGTCTAGAGAAGGCTGTCAGCCAAGGACTTGGCCAGCGCCAGGTTGAGAGATCTCTGGTTGGTGAAGATCTCCCTTCACTGGGCTGTCAAGACCAGCTGCTGGAATGGTTGAGGAGCTGCTACTACTGAATACCCTAGCACATGCCACACAGGATTCTATATCTACTGCAAGGTCATGGCATGCTACTACTATGGATTTCTCAGGTCAAACAACACTCTTTCTTATTCTCTTATCTTTCTCAAACTATTCTCAACTATAATAGGAGGATGAGCTGGGAAATCCCTTTCTCCAATCAATAAGCCAAGCAAGCTGCTTTACTACGAATCTAGAGTCCTTGCCCTAAAGTTCATAGTTTGTCAACAATCCCAATTCTGTGGGAATGGTTCCATCATCTAAGAAGCGCAATTGTAGGTAATTCTGAAAACGAGACCTCAGGTCTCGTTTGGGAAGCACATCCCAACCTCTCCTTCCGAACCAAGTCCAAGGTTCCAATTAGGCAACCGGTGCTCCAGGTTGGGAAGTGACGTACTTTACAATCTACTACTGGCAGGGGAAACAACTTCAGTATGTGGTATGTTACCCTTTGTGCCCATTGGCCGTAATCCAACCGGTGGCAAGGCCATCTTGTCCAACCTAAAAGGACGATGTAATTCACAACTGGCCATCCGTAAACAACTTTTCGACGATATAGGAGAGTCAGAACAATACTCCAAGAACAGTTCGCTAATACATGGGCGCCTGTTTTCTCAAATCAACAGAATTTTATGACAAGCAGCGGGATGCAGGATGAACTAATGAAAGAGATTCGCTATCTCTCACCACTGAACCATGCACCCAAAAAAAAAGCGACTCTAGGGGCAGGATATGGTCATCTCGCCAAACCTAGACAAAGCTTTTGCCGTACCGTGGTATGAGGTGGCTGTGGATCCTCATTGGGTTCCATGGGAAGTCCGTGATGAACACACGGCAAGAAACATAGCCTTCTCAGCTCTCACTATGATCGACAACAAGTTACCCAACTGGCCGGAAAATACTGTCTTGAAATAGACAACAAAGAATTGAGCGTCGCATGTGGGACACAGTTGAGACTGGTTGCGCGATACGTTCCCAGAACCTCAATCTTTAGTGGTAATGACAGGCCAGCAGGCAATTAGACTCCTCAACGGTTGGACACCGAACGCACCATGCTTAATTGTATTACCACTAGGAGCATAATGCAGTTAGTTTGCCAATAGACTGGGCACAGAGCCTTTCAGGAGATGTTGTTGAAACACGAAGTCTCCACTCACCCGATTTCAGTACGAAATCCACAAGGCAACTCCATAGTTGAAAGATTACATCAATCTATAGCCAACTCACTTAGGGCTTTGGCTTATGCTCATCCTCCGAACAATGAATTAGGAGCACGCACGATGGTGGACACGGCTTTGCAAACAGCAGCCTATGCCGCTCGTGCGACAATGCATCACACGATGAAACTGTCTCCAGGAGCCATGGTGTATGGACGAGACATGATACTCAACATCCCTGTTGAGGCCGACTTTCAGTTGTTGAGACAACGAGTGAGGCTGATCAACTACAACCTCATGAACGAACATGACAAACGTCGCATTCATTTCGACTACCAAGTCAATGATCAAGTCCTGCGACTAGTTCCTCAGCCCAACAAGTTGGACAACAGAGCAGAGGGACCGTACACTATCACTAGAGTACATACCAATGGTTCCATAACCATCAGACTTAGTCCTCATATAGAGGAACGCGTCAACATACGCGGAGTCAAGCCTTACAGGCAATGATGAGGTTTTCCTTCCTTCGCAGTTTCCTCATGTAACAATCCGTCGTCGGATTCAATATAATGCTAACTATGCAGGCTTATCATGCCAAGTAGCAAGCCAGCATACCTTGCACGACAGCATGCTGGCTCTCGCAACTGTGACTAACTGTGACTAAGCATGACCGCACCAATGCGACAGCTTATAGGGGCAGGGTGCAGCGACAAGCCTGCACAGCTGGAATACACAGGCGTTTCTAGGCCTGGCTGGCTTGTGATCCTGCCTCCACAAAATAGTTGATATTCAACACTGTTGGCCATTGAACAGACCAAAGATATGTAGGGAGCCAAATATAGATAGCTCCCTACCCAAGACTAGTATTTTAGACTTGTAAACAGCAATAGCCATAATTTTACTTTAGAGGGCTACTGCAGTGGTTGTGAATGGTCAATTGTCAAGGTGTTTCCTGCTATAGCTTCAAAGGGCAGGGGAGGCTGCCCTTCTTAAGTCTTCATGTTCCAACTAACCAGATAAGTTAAGTAGATGGTTTAAGGAGTGGGGGGGGGGGGCTAAGCTAGCTAGGCAGAGCAACAGTTGTTAATTTGCCAGCCAGAAACCAAACAGAGTTCGAGAAGCTGTTCGAGAGAGAAAGAGAGAGTTCGAGAGAGAGAGTTCGAGAGATAATGAGGCACGGGAGTCCGGAGTCCGGCATTGAAAACACCCTTCTAGCTAGCCTGGCGGTGACGTCGACCCCGAGGTTGGGCACTGTACAGCCCGAGTGGCGCTGGCCTGCTGATTGAATGATTCGATTCAATCATTCGGTTGAATCTATCATTGTAGCTTGCTTGCTGCTTACCGGTAAGCAGCTGAGTTCAGATAGATGTCGACGACCAAAGCAAAGGACTGGCCTTTACTTAGTACTTTTTGACCCACACTTTGCGCGCCATGGTTAAGTTTTCACTAAGTCTTGAACGTTAACGGTGGACTGGGCTCATGGTCAGCAACTGAGATGCACCCGAGGATACCATAGGGAACGGACTGCTCCTGTCTTGGCTGTACCGTTGCCAAAATTGCCGGTATTGGTTCTACAGCTCAACCACGGCATTTTTGTTTGTGTTTACCAGTAAAAAAGCTTCAAGAGGATTTAAAGATGCAAGTGCCCTTTTCAGCGCAGTTCCGAGGATAAAGAGCCACTGTGTCCATTCTGTCCACTAAAACTACATACAGTCAACGCTCGCTTATATTTATAATCTTGTATTTATTCGCTCTATAATATTTAAGAATACTCCAGTTCCCACATTTTTAACTCTAACCCTATTTTAATACTAGAGCACGTACAATTCTACGGGAATAGTTAGGGTTAGGGATAAAATCAATATTTATTCTCGCTATTATATTTACTGAATTCCTGAATCCCCCCCAGTATAAATATCTGAATGTTGACTGTACAGCAAATCGGGTTCTCAGCTTTGATGTCGCGTGGTCATAATTCGGCACCACTTTGCCACCGGCACATTACATGTACGCTGTCTTGCTGGGCGGTTGTTGGGTTGTCCTTTCCTCTTGCTCACAATATAGACTTTTGAAAAGCATAAAAGCAAGCTCCATTATATTTATCACCATGAACATCCACAGTCATCAAGTAGTTGTGAGTCCAGCCATGATCCAGCAAATGCAGGATCAGTCATCTTCAGTGGAAGGAATCTGTGTAAACCGCAAAGCACATGTAAGAACACTACCAGGAAGCCATGTGAATATCCAACAGGACCATCTTGGTCGAGTGGAACTCTTTCGGTTGGAACTGGAGCAAGGACGATTTCATGGCACTCGAGATTTTTTTGCTCATTTGCGGTTTGACAATGAAATCCGAAGTGTCTGTATGGACCGATTGGCAAGAGGATACCGCAAAGGTGCAGCAAATGCAGCAAATGATTCTGTGACACTCAAGACCCTGCAAGCGTGGACTCTGGCTGAACCGGACAATAAGGATGCTCACTTGCTCTATGGACTGTTGCTCATCACCAGTGCTTGGGGTGCTCTGCGTCAGTCCACACAAGGCACTGAGGAAGAACGGTTTGCCCAGTTTGACAAACTTGCCAACAAAGCAGAAAATGCACTCGATAAGGCCATTGAGATTGATCCCACGGATCCCCTGCCTTATGCCAACAAGATTACCGCATCCAGAGAACTCCAAATGATCAAGACCACTTTCCAACAGTTTCAACAGAACTGCCGGGACAAGCACAACCAAATGGTCCATGAAGCCATGCTGTATCGACTCACTCCCCACTGGGGTGGATCCAACCAAGAAATGCTCAAGTTTGCCAGGAATGCTACCATCAAGGCACAGTCCCCTCCACCAGCAGGTCATCCTCTGTGGTCACTCCTGGCCAAGGCTCACATGTTGGCATGGCAAGAGCACAAAACTGCCACCATGGCAGATGATTCTTCCCGTTCCAGTAATGCGGCCACTTCCTACTGGAAAGACCGCACTGTTGGAAAGGAAATTGTCAAGGCATACCGAAAGTTTCGTGCCAAGACTTTGAGGAATGCTCCTGCCATGATGGACGACACGGCATGCAGCAATCTCTTTGCCTTTTGCCTCTACAAATGCAAGGCATACAAGGATGCATTGCCCGAATTCCAAAAGATTGGACCCATGGCCACCGTAGAAGAGCCCTGGAGGAAAGAAAGCCATAGTCATTGGAAAAAGGTCTATGAGCGGGCTCGTGGAAAGGTCATGGCCAGGGCCGTCAAGGATGGTAGGATCAAGGCAGAAGCCGCAGGGGTACCGGTAGAAGCAAACAATATGAACCCATCCAGCGAATTGTTCCTCTACGATTTGAGCAGTAGCAGCCACCACCAGCAACACCATTGCTAAGGAGGGTGTTCTGTTTGGTTGGATTCTAAATTGTTTATAGAAGCATAGATAGACGCATACAAGAATAACATAAAGAGAATAAATACATGTATGAATTATCTATGTGTGGTCTAGCTAGCTATTGCCGACGAGATGCCGAAATAGCTTGAACATTTGCTTACGAGGACGATATCGTCGGGGTCAAAGCTCCACAGGCGGCAGCAATTTTTTCCTTATCATCATTGACTGGTACCCTGGAAATCTCCGACCTGATCCTTCTCGACACTGCCGAATTGCTTGCGCGGCCCAGCAAAACAAAGCGACGTGCGTGGTTGGCGAGAACGACTTGCTCGTAGACGGAGGACACTACCGATACCCTACACTATTTGTGAACAGAATTCGAGCGCTAATAAGTATGTTAAAATTATGTATCCGTAAAATCATGAAAACGAACAGTCTGGGTGTTATGTCGCATCTATCGACGTCGTCCGCGATGACCGCTGCCACTCAAACTGCCGTCCTTGTGGTGGTGACTGCTGTGATTGCTCAAACTCAAACTGCTGCCACTGCCACCGAAACCGAGGGAGTGATTACTGCTACCACCAATCGTCAAACTGGAAAAGCTGTCGCCCATACTGCTGTAGTCCGTGGCTGTTGTTGAATTATAGCTGCCGTTGCCGTCGAATGGCCGTCGGGTCGGATCCTGTTGTTGCTTGTCATTCTCGCGGGTACTAATTTTGCTCCGTGCTCGTTCGTAGACTTGTTTCCAATGCAGTTTGCTTTCCTTGTTCCATGGTTCTTCGGTGGGTCCTCCTCGAATGGCAATGTTGGTGAATTCGGGATTGGCATCCTTGTAGGCTTTGCATTTGAAGAGACAAAAGGCAAAGAGGTTGCTGCACGCAATTTCGGATTCTTCTGATGACGACGATGAGGCCCCCTTGAACTTGCTAGCTCGATACTTGCGATATGTCTTGACAATTTCTCTCCCAATGCTCCGATCTTTCCAGTACGACGACAATTCCGTGGAGGCTTGTGCTTCCTCCAATCGCTGTGGAGATGTTCTTGAAGTTGCATCCGCAGCGGTCTTTAGTTCTTCCCATGCCAATAGATGTGCCTTGGCCAGGAGAGACCAGAGAGGATGACCCTTGGGAGGTGGTGACTTGGAGGCCACTGTAGCGGATCTAGCAAAGTCGAGCATTTCTGGGAGGGACCCTCCCCAATGAGGAGTGAGCCTCAAGAGCATGACTTGGTGGACGTTCAGGTTGTGTGGGTCCTTGCAGTTTTGCTGGAACTTTTGGAATGTGGTTCGAAGCTTGCCCAGTTCTCTGGTAGCTGTGAGCATGGTAGCATAGGGCAATGGGTCAGATGGATCAATGTCCATGGCAGACTGCAAAGCTTGTTCGGCCTTGCTGGCCCGACGGGAAAAGGCTCGAAACTGTTCCTGTTCCGAGAGGTCGCGGGAGTTGGTGGGACTGAGGGACCTCCAAGCACTCGTGATTAGAATGAGCCCAAAGAGCAGCTGTGCGTCTTTATTGTCGGGCTCGCACTTGGCCCATTGCTGAAGCGTGGCAAGAGTGGCCATGGCACCTTCATGGTGGTTGGTGTTGCTTGTAGAAGTAGAACCGCTGCGATAACCCTGCGCTAGTCGATCCATACAAGCACTTCTAGCATCATTGTCAAATCGCAATTTAGCAAAAAAGTCCCGAGTGCCCTGATATCCGCCTTGTTCCAGTTCCAAGCGGTAAAGTTCCACTTGAGCGGTAGTTTCTTGCTTTACTTGAGGCAGAGTACGGTTCACCACAATTCCTTCTACTCCACTGCTGCTTCTAGCATTGATGATTTCATGGTTGTGGTCATTGCCAAGCAACGCCATGAGCGATGATGTATCGTTGCTGCTCACATTCATGGTGCTCTGATCAGTAGCTAAAACAAACAAGTTTCCAAAAGAAAAAATGAGCCGACGATTGAGTAAAGATGTGAGATGCTAGCTATTAATAGCAGTGATGCTCCTGTTTCTTCACGCGATCTTTTGTAGTCCAGAAACCGGTTGCGAGTTCAAACGGACTTATCGACTTGCAAAGGCTTAAGCATTCGTTAGTAAAATGGAAAACAGGTAATCCTTCGAGCAATTAATCCCGATGCTTCCGATGTTGGTTGCCACTGGAACTCGTAAATAATTGAATGAGATGCTGGGCTTATCTACTTACTTTAGTTACATCTACATGCAGGATTTACGAGTATCGCATTCATCAGGCAAAAAACGTGTGCTGTAAACGCCACTACAAAAAATCAATGGAAAAGACATTTGACAAATGAACCAGTTTCATCTGTTCGTGACTAAGACGTCTGAAAGCTTCATTGAGGTCTTGTGATGTTTGTTGTATGAAAGTTTAAGTAGCTGTGATTTGTCTTTTGTACCCAGTCAATGTGCCAGTGAGGTGTTACTATTGCCTCCAAATAATGTACATGTAGAATTCGTACAGTACTCGAGTAGAGTGAAGAGATTGCGTTCCGCCGGAATCTTCATAACGCCTGTAGCATCGCCTTTTGGTTCCTTAGATGTACTCTAAATTGTATAGTGAAAGTCAATCGGGATCTGGCTTTCCCGCACCATTCCCTCTTCTATTCACTAGTCCTTCTAGAACTTTCCACAACATTGAACATAGACAAGTCCACGCATGCAAGTACATCGCACATAATATTTCTAGCTACCGGTAGCTAATACCAGTACAGCGTACTGATGAGTACCCGGTACCCGGCAAAGTCTACGAGTACAACACTTTGAATTACTCGGCGAAGTCATCCGAGCAGCGAATTGAAAAATTACGAGATTTTTACTTAACGTATTTGAGGCTTTTTGAACACAAGTTCTCCCGGAGGAGTACAGGTGTGCGGCAAAGTCATCCGGCAAAGTTACCACTGAGATTTTACTTAACGAGCCAGTTGTTTTGTGCACACAAACCCACTGATCAAAGGCATCCAAGACAAGATATTTAACGGACGACAATGTCATCCGTCAAACGTATCCGGGGTCAAAGTGAAAAGGGAAAAACGAGAACAGCGATCTGTTCGATCCAGGAAAAAACCATCGAACTCCAAGCTCCGTTCTTCTTGATCATAATAATTTCAGCCACAAACTTGACGAAGACATCAGTTTAAACGAAGCAACAACCATGGTATTCTTTTCCACCATCCTCAAGGCCCTCAGCCACCATGCCACGGAAACCCCCAACAAGCTTGTCCTCACATGGGTGAACATCAAGTGTGAGGAACAAAAGAAGATGACAGTCAAACAAGTCGAAGATGAATCCAATGCTGTGGCCGCCCGTCTGCTCAAGCTGGGATGCAAGAAAGGAGATCGTGTCATGATTGCATATCCCTTTGGCCTCGAGTTCTTGGCTGGCATGTTTGGAGCAATGAAGATTGGAGTAATCCCCTGTTCCATCTATCCACCCAATCCCAATCAGCTGAAGACGGAAATGCCCAAGTTCCGCAGATTTGCAGAGGATGCCGGAGCCAAGTACGCCCTAAGCACCAGTTCTTTTGCTACTGCCATGACTGCTGCTAGTGTCCTCTACAAGACTGGAGTCAAATGGATCGGAACTGACAAACTCCCAATCAAGAAACGAAACCCCAACAAGCCCAAAGATTATGAGACCTTTGTGGGAGAACCAGGAGCCATCTGCTTCGTCCAGTACACCTCTGGTAGCACTGGACATCCTAAAGGAGTCATGATCAGCCACAACAACCTAGTTGAGACATGCAAGGCTGGAGTTACTCTGACTGATTGTTTGGAATCTAATGATTTGGAAGTCTTGTGGGTCCCCCAATATCATGGTAAGCTAGTTCCATGCAGTCACAGACCATTTTGTTGGCATGTTTTATTCTGTTCCTCATCCCCCCCCCCTTCTGTTTGGACAGACATGGGCCTTGTAACCGGTTTTATGGGTGCTATCTATTCTGCTGGTCCCCTCGTTATGGCATCTCCCTTGGATTTCATTGTCAATCCATTACTGTGGACTGATATGGTCGAGAAATACCAAGCCACCATCACTTCTGCTCCTAACTTTGCTTATGCATTGCTCCTTAAGCGCTTGGAGCAGGCCAACAGAAAAGCGGACTGGAGTTGTGTGAAGCGTGCCATGTTTGGTGGGGAACCCGCCCAGAAGCATGTTGTGGAAGCGGTGGCAAAGACTCTTTCGGTCAAGCCTGAACATATATACAACGTCTATGGTATGGCTGAAATGGTGGTGCTTATTACTGGTGGGCCAGCCAAGGCAGACTCCGAAGGCCTGGTCTGCTGTGGAGAAGTAGATTCAGCTACCCTCAAACTTCGAATCGTCGAGGAGGGAAAAGAGATTGAAGAAGGACAGGTTGGAAGTATCTGGGCCCAGTCACCCCGAGTTGCGGCCGGATACTATGGCCAGTCTGAGCTAACCACCACTACCTTTGCCAATGCATTGCACGGTTATGATGGTACCTGGCTAGACACTGGTGATTTGGGAAAGATTGTGGATGGGCAGCTGTACATCACAGGCAGACTCAAAGATGTCATCATTATCAATGGAAAGAACTACTATCCAAGTGATGTGGAGCTCTCTATTGACGATGCTTTTGGTGATGTTATCCGTCCAGGAAGGACCACTGCATTCCAGCAAGGGGAGGACAGTATTGGAATCACAGTCGAAGGACGCAAAGGTTTTGACAAGTCTGGAAATGAAGACTTGGCCGTCAAGATAGCCAACCATGTTTCCCAATTCCATGGGCTTTATGCCTCGGAGGTTGTTGTCCTCAAGCTTGGTGTGACACCCAAGACCACCTCTGGCAAGCTGAAGAGGAGTGAGATCAGGCAGATTACTACTGCTGGTGACTGGAAGGGAGCTTCTATACTCCTTCACTTGCAACGGAAGGAAGTTGTTGCTCCTCTTCCCAAGGGAAAAAGGTCTTCTTTCTTGGAGAGAAGTTTTTCAATGAAGGGTGTTGCCAGCAGTGAGTTCTACCTCAACGAAGACACCTCTTCTTTCTTGGAGAGAAGCTTTTCAAAGAATGGTGTTGCCAGCAGTGAAGACACATATACTGGGCATGAGATGATGAAAGAAACCATGAGTGTTGCTGTTGTGGGTGGTGGGGCTGCTGGTCTTATCACAGCTCTCAGATTGGCTCAAAGAAATATCAAAGTTACTGTGTTTGAGCAAAATGAGCAGATTGGTGGCCATGCCAGGCACACAACAGTCTTTGGGCATGAGCGCAACCCAGCCTTTGGAATGTTCCTTGGCAGTGCTTGGCCAAACCTCATGGCTCTGGCAAAAGAACTTGGAGTTGATCCAGTTCCTATGGCCGCAGTTCAGGAGGTTAGAGATGTTGTGGGGATGGGGACAGGCATGATCCCAGAGGCCAACCCAGCTGAAATTGTTCGGTTTCTTACGGAAATGAATTTTGTTTACAAGTCTGGAACAGGGCAGAGTGAAACTATTGGGCAATACATGGCCAGAAATGGATTTGACCACCACTTTGTTGTTTCTTACTTCCTTGGAAGAATGATCAGTTTTTTTGCTGGTAATTCAATTCAACAGTATCTGGACTATCCACTGGATCTGATTGCTTGGTATGTTGCAGCCATTGTCACTTCATCTGCTGATGAAAGGGTCTTGCGTATGCGCAACAAGGAATACATGGCTGCATTCGAGCAGAAACTTTTGAGCCTAGGTGTGGAGTTCAAAATGGGCTGTTCCCCAAGCATCATTGGCCGCGATAAAGGTGTCTCAATCTCGACCAGCACTGGAGATGATGACATTATGCAGTTTGATAAACTTGTGCTGGCAGTTCCTCCCAATGCTGCACTGCAGGTTCTGGGTGAACATTGCTCTGATTATGAGGGAGCCCTGGCAGACTTTGAGTGTCCGTTAGAGACAGTTGTGTACCACACAGATCCAAAGTGGGCACTTCCCAGCAAGATCAATGGAGTATTTGCCAACATCCCAGACTGTGGATTATTTTTGCCTTCTCTTGACGACACAATCCCAATCACGTCATCATTACCAAGTGGTAAGTATACATTATTTCTCCATTAGGTTGCTGGAAACACCTGCATGCACTCAAATCTCTCTTATGCTTTAACAGACACTGACAACAAGACCCCTATCTATGCAACACATGCCTACTCCACCTTCAATGAGTTGGACTTTGCTTCCCCTATAGAAACTATGACATTCACCCACACAAAAGTCACATGTAAAGCAATACTCCTTCGAAAGTCTTTGCTTCGGCATCAAGGGAGGCGTTCTACCTATTTTGCTGGTGGTTGGACACGTGGTCTCATGTTACATGAGGACGCTCTTGCAAGTGGAATTAAAGTGGCAAATTCCATCTTACGTCAATTGGGGGAAGAGTCCCACCCTATTCTCAAAAGGACCTTAGCCATGAAACAAACAATGAAGTCGGTTGACTGCAAATTGATGAAAAACAATATTGATAGCACTATTGAAGAAATTGCTCCCTCTGAGGAACAGGAAACTGAGAACACAGATGACCATTTCTCATCTAAGTTTGATAGTTTTATCTCTTCCATCTTTGGGTCAGATGTACCAGTAGACTCATTGAAGACATGGACTGAAAATGGACTCTCATCTCTGAAGAGTGCAGAGCTCAGGAACAAGGTGGAGGAAGAATTCCATGTTACACTGCCAGCCAACTTTGAACAGCTCTACCCAACGCCCAATGCACTCTCAGTCTTCTTGGAGGCATCAAAAGGCCAGAGCTTTCCCAAACATGATGTTGGTCAGCGTGAGTTCGAGTGGAATACTTCAAGGTCAAAGTGCAGCAAGCCAGTGCTCGGCATGCTCCAGGGCCTTGCATCAATTGTGATTTTTTTGCTGCTGTTGGTTTCACTTGTCCCACCCTATTTCCTTGTCAGTTGGGCTATGGACCATTGTGACTCTACCACAGGTTCAGAGTGTCATGGCCCCGCCTTTTGGATTCTTTTGCCCATGGCCTTTCCTATGTTGATCCTATCCTTCTCCTTGGTTGTGGTGTTTTGCAAGTATGCGGTTATTGGGACTTATCAACCTCGACAGTTTGAGACTTTGTCATGGGCCTACCTTCACTGGTGGTTTATGGACAGGCTGATGGCAGTTTGGGAGTCACTGGTGGGTCCATTTTATGTGGAAACCAAGTACATTTGGATCTTCTACTGGCTTCTTGGAGCAGACTTGGCCTGGTCAGCCAAAATTGAGTCATACATCCGCGAATTTGATCTGGTCAAAGTGGGAGAAAATGCCACTATTGGGCACCCTCTAAAGTGCAGGACGTTCTCTCAATCCAATGAAGAATGTCCCAAAATGACCTTGCGCCCAATAGTTCTTGGAAACAACAGCAAAATCTCTGGAATGGTTAGTCCCGGTGCGATCATTGGTGGTGGCAGCAAGGTGGAGAAGTTGACTGTTGTAGGAGAAGGTGCAGAACTGCCAAATGATGTCCTTGCCAAGGGAATTCCTGCCTATAGTTCTGGGGTCCACCATTATTCAGAACCAATCCAAGAGCAGGAAGCAATGTTGGGTGTCTTCAAGACTGTTTGGCCCCTTATAGAAGCTTACCACTTCTTCACACTTTCCTTCCTGGTCCATACATTGCTCAATCAAATCTTGCCTTCATGGCGCTATGCCACTATTCTGCACTGGATCTTGCTTTTTCCGGCCTCCTCTCTCCTTGCCCTGCTCACAAGCATGGCTCTCAAGTGGCTTCTGATTGGGAAACGAGATCCCTCAGATGACTATGATGGCTCCCTATATCGCCGAGCAACCAATTGGGCATGTGACTTCCACTTCCGTGTAGCTTGCTGGACTCTTACTCCCTTCTTTGGCCAGTCCAGACTTTGGAACATTGTCCTCATCCTCCATGGCCTTGATGTTGATCTGGAATCGGGCCTCAACAACCCTTACTTCATCTTCTATCCTTCCAATGTTGACTTTGTTAAGATCCGGAAATCATTTGTTGCTACAATCTCGCTTGATTTCACCAATCGAGGTGACTCTAAGATTGAGATTATCAACAGCAGTGTTGGCTACAATGTCATTCTACATGCTGGTGTCAAGATTGTGCGATCTGTAATTCCCCCAAGATCAGATGTGTCTGACAGTGTTTATGATTTGAACCCTGGAGAGCCATGGAAGCTTGGTTTGATGATGGACTGGATCCTTCCAGAAGTGGTTCAAATGCTCTTAAATTTGGTGATTTTTGCTTCCCTTATTCCTGCCTATGAGATTGGCCTTGCTGCCACAAAGAGTTCTTCCATTTCCATTACTATAAGTGGGATTGCCGCAGCCTTTGTTCTCCAATTATTCCTATGGTTACTTTTATCCCGAGTAGTTGAAAAGGCATTGTGGATTCTACCAGCACATGCTCAAAGGAGTTTCTTTGGAGTCTACATCAACCAAGTCTGGCTTTTTCGAGAGGGAAACTGGCTTGTTTTCCTTCTCTATGGGACTCCAATGTTTGCCTACTATGCTCGCATGATGGGTGCAACGGTTGAAGGGGAGCTATGGTACTTTGGCAATGCTCTCTATGAGTATGACTTTTTACATTTCAAAGGAAGCACAATTGTTGACAGTGCTCATGTGAGCGGACACTACATTGATAGCAATGGGCTTACTATTGCTGACACATGTGTGTCTGGATTGTTGCATCCAGGTTGCTATGCTTCTGCTGGATCCGTGGTATCTGCTGCCGAACATGGTCCATGGAAGGTGTTCTTAAGAAGTGATATGGGAGCCCAGGATTCAAGGAAACTGTCGGCTGATTCAACCTCCAGCATTGTTAATGCATCGGACTTAGTTTAATTACTGTTCAAGATTCGTTTCCAGTTACATGTTCCTCTATGAACTGGCCTCTTTTTTTATTAGCACTGTCCATGCTAGCTATAGCTACCAGGTAGTGTCCTCAGTACTAGTAGCAGATCTGGAAAACAGTGTCTGGCCAGCAGCGCGGTCCTTGTACCTGCTTGGTATACCTTGCCATGGCACCTAGATTATTGTTGTAGCCACTGGCTTAGCTAGCAACCGTACCAGCAAACAAAACCTCCAGTACCTAGCCGGCTACCGGTAGCTATAGCAGCCCTAGCTAGTTGCTGGCTTAGCCAGCTATGTAGCAAGTTTTGCAAGAAGTGTGCGGATTATCAGTCCTCGGACATGACAACGGATACATTGGCGGGGGGAATCGGGATCCCTGGCTTTCCCGTCACCATTAGATCCCTCTTGGCCCTTGACTGAAAGATCTTTCCCGACCATCATCAAAATCCAAAATCTATCTAGCTAGTGCCAAGCATTAAGATCAGTTAGCAACGGCTTTGCGTTGCACTGACCATCCCAGGATGAAAATGCTTTTGGCTCTGCTCTTTGCCCTTGTTCAGTCTCAGAGCAGCCCACCACTGCCTTAGGCTATAAACTACTGGAAGGACCATGCCACTGTATCCTAGCTAGATATTGCCAAGTAGAATTCAGCAAATCAATGAGCAGCGCAACACACAGTGATACAATAACAGATCAATTATAGTTTCATAGCAGTATCATACACATATCAGCTTCAATTTGCGTTGCCGATCCATAACTCAGTAGCGGTCTGGTCGCATTGAAAACGAGCAAACAAGCAGTGTCAGAACGAATCCTAATTTTCGGACCTGCGAGGAGCATTGCCAACCAGCTATTGCAACAACACACTTACATCGTATTCGTTCCCACATGTCGCACGTACAGTCTCGTTCCACCAAACGGCCCTCGGGAGGCCACTTGAGATCTAGCATTTCCGGGAAAAAGTCATCATCCCACGACGCATTGCTCGAAGACGACGACGACGATGATGACCGAGCGGGCTCACCTTGCAAGCCAGTGCCCACAACTCCCATCGCCTGGGCTATCTCTTGTACTTGGCGAATGGCGCGCTTCGACATTTTGGTAGTACTGCCGTCCTTTTGTTGCCGGCGACGACGGTTGTTGGATTCTGCGTTGCCAAACAAGAAGGTGAAAACCGCATCCATTTCGTTCAACTCGGATGCGGTGGTCATTCGTCGCAACTCGGTCCGGTACCAGTCCTCCTCAATGACTTCCATCCCGAGAGCTTTGAGGGCCCGTTTGCGGTAGATTCGTTCGGCACGGTCTTTGGACCATTGGAACCCACTCGTCGATGAGTCCTCGTCCTCCTCGTCTTCCTCGAGTTCGTCGTCCATGTATTCAAAATCTTGTGGTTGCCACGGTATTTCCGAGTTCTCCGCATCATCTGTAGTCTGGGTTGGCAGATAGCGCCAGGGTAGCCAGTTTGCCTTGCTGCCGTCGTAGTTGGGTTCGCCGAACTTGGCAAACGCTACCCATCGCTCGGCCATATCAGCCGCAATCTCCTCATCCGCATCTTCCACGAAGTAGTCACCAAACATGTTTTTCAACACGCGTTGAAAGGCCTTGGACTCGGGCATGTTGTTGTTTCGCTGAGCTCTGGTAGACGAGGAATAGTTGGTCAGCAGCGACGAAAGCCCCGCGGGCGATGTTGATGAGCTGTCGGATGACTGATCTCCTCCTCGACCAAACTCGTTTGCTTTCCAAGCGCTGCTTCCTTTCCACATCAAGTCCTCCACTTCGTCGTCGTCATCATCATCATCATACTCATCCGGCATGTCAAATAGATCTTCGTCCTCCTCCATTTCTTCCAGAGCCCCTTGATACGCAGTCAAAATATCGGTGAAGGGGTACTCGGGAGCCACGGGGGCTTCCGCTTGCGCAAAGGGGCCCAACGTCGAGTAATGTGATCGAATGATTGACATCGCCTCGAAAACATACGGAAGCTCCGCTGTGTGGCATGATTTCCCCCAACATTCCTTATAGCCTGGAATGTGAGTAGGCTGGCTGAAACGGTAGACATAGACATTGTTGTTGTTTCGACTTCGTTTGTACTTGTGCTTGGCGTCTCTTTTGCCAGCCCTTGACCGACTGTCGTCCATGGTGTCACCGCCCCCTTGTTGCTGATTGAACGCATTGTCACTGTTCTGGACCCGATTGCGACTGAGAACATGAGCATAGTGCCAGCTGGGGCAGCGGAACAGGTAGTCAGTGATGATTCGGCTCATGACAGGACGGTAATCAACGACAACCTTGGCAGCTTCCTTGAGCACCTTTTGTTTTGCCCTGGCCTTGCGCCTGAGCTCTCGTTCTGCTGCCTTTTCGGCTTCGATTCTTGGGTCCTTCTCTTGTAAGAAGGGAACTCGCTTCTTGGCCATACTCATAATATTCCGTATCCGACGCATTGATGGGATTCTCCTTGGACGAAAACGGCCCAGATTTGGCCAATTGCTTCTACCAGTTGTGACTTTTCTATCCGTGGCGACTAAGGAGTCTTCTTTCGAGCCATCCTTGGGAGACGTTGGTTGTGACTGACCCATCCATGCCTGAAAGATATTGCTGTACCACCCTTTGGTTGAAGTGCCATTCATAGAATCTTCAGAGTTACCAGGAGGATCGTCCTGAGCACCGCCCGTACTCCAGGAGTTCATGAGTGCCTGAAAGCCTGCATCCCGTTCTTGAACGACGCGACGGGAAGCGTTCATAGCCAGGAGCATTTCGTATTCTTCTTCCAGTTGTTTCTGATGCTCTAGATAGTATAGTTTGTTCTCCTCCTCATCGACTTGTTTTCGTGCGAGTTCATTGGCTTCAGCCTCAATCTGATCCACATAGCCCCGATAGTGCTTGAGGACACGGGAGGCGCTATCTCGAAACAAGGCGCCCACGAACATCCAATAGACCGGTTTGGACATGGTGATGGGGAATGCCGAGTGGACGAACATTTCTCCCTCGTGTTGATTGCTTCCAATGATAATGGGAATATGATCAGGGATGAGATGAAGACCTTTCAGTGGTTGGGTGACGTTGACAGAGTAGGCATCTCGGGCTCGTTTCCCCTTGTTGCGGCGGCGACGTTGGTGCTGAATATCTTCATAATCTACCAGCAATCCGTCTTGAAACATGTTCAATCGCCCGCCCGACGAGGCAGCCCCCGAAGACGAGGAGGAAGATGCCCCGGCTCCACCAACATTTAAGTTTCGTTCCTGCGTGAGAGTCGGTCCCCACGTAAAGACATCACTGACCGATCGCGGCACTCCCATGAGGCTTTTTTGTGCCAGCATGATTTCCTCCACTCGTTCCGCCCGTAAACATTCCAAATCGCGACAATCGACACTCCTCTTGAGAGCTTCTCCGATAAAATCAGCAATGACGACCGAGCGAAAGTGGTAGCCCAGCGGATTGCTTTGCATAATGGCGGCTTGGAACAACGTCCCGGCTCCTTCCATCATCAAGTGTTGTCCCGTCATGGCGGCGCCTGCGGATTCTCCAAACAAGGTGACTCGACTAGGATCGCCTCCAAAATGAATGATATTATCGTGTACAAAATGAAGAGCCGCCCGCTGATCCATCAATCCAAAATTGCCCGTAATCCCGTCCGTGCTGGAAACCAGAAATCCGAGAGCGCCAAGACGATAATTGATGGTAACGACAATCACGTCTCGTTCTGCCAATCGATGTCCATTGTATTCCGGACGTCGAGCCCCACCCTGCTGAAAGGCTCCACCGTGCAACCATACCAACACGGGGAGTAATTTTTCCTGGAGCTTGGCATTGCTCGTGGAAGGGCCACTTCCACCAAACAATCCTCCTCCGCCACTTCCCACTCGCCTGGCATGTCCTGCCGGTGTAAAAATATTGAGACTCAAACAATCTTCACTCATGAATTCCTTTTTGGCACCGGGATTCATGACACTGTCTTCGAGCTGCCAACAATCGGGTCCGTAGTGAGTTCCATCCAAAACGACCGGAGCCCACGGTGGTGGTGGTTCGGGCGGCGCAAATCGCAACTGTCCCACCGCCGGTGCCGCATAGGGTATTCCGCCATAAAAGTCAATACCAGCATCCCGTTTTCCCTGCAATTTTCCCAGGGAAGGAATATTGATAATGAGAGACTTTGTGTTTGGATTGTTTTCGCCACTGTGAGTACTATGATCCATGAGGCTGTAATCCCCCGTGACGGTTTCGGCTAATCCATAACTGTATGCTTGTTCTGTGGTGGTATCCTGCTGTGCCTGAGAAGAGGATGATGAGGATGATGATGTTGATTGTTGCTGCTGTTGTTGTTGGGGTCCATATTGCTGCTGTTGTTGTGATTCCGTTCCAGACGATGACGATGAAGATGCTGACGATGAAGATGCTGACGATGACGATGATGGAGGCGGAAACCGGGGATCAGATGATTGGGATTGTATCAGGGATGTGAAGGCAAAAAGCAGCAGCAATCGGAGGCAAAGCGGATGCCGTTTCCCACCAGAGCTGGCTTGTCTTGTACATGATGTGTTTTGTGCTCCAATAAAATGACCTGAACTCTTTGGCCTTGGTGGTGGTGGTGATGTACTTGCCATCTTTGCTATTAATACTATAGATGCATGTAGTAGATCTAGGAGATTGAACAGGATCTTCAAGATCTTCAAGATTGTGGTTGCGGCTGTGGCTGTGGCTCTTATTCTTGTGGGGCATTTGCTGGTTGTCATTGCTGTTTCCAGAGGATTTTGAACCTCCAATAAGCTTGTCATCACTTTCAAAAGTAGCTTGGTGCAACTAATTGATTTGACAAGAGACCTTCTACTAGTAGCTAGCTTTCTCTAGGTCAACCAGTCAAGGTAGTCAAGGTAGTCTTCAGCAGTCAGTTCAAGAAGGTTTTCAAACTCCAAACCTGTGGTGTGGAAACAGCAAGAACAGGTTGGTGAGACGAGGAAGTACCGTACGAATTTTGCAAAACCAAGCTACCATCTGCCCTGAGCATACAAGCTATACCCACACAGTCATGCAAGAAAGCAAAAACTAGACTCAGGCAATCAAGACTAGCCTGCTCAATCAAGACAAGACAAGACAAGACAAGACAAGACAATTCACCAGGCAGATCCAGTTTTGCCAACCAAACTTCCATACTGTGGAGAAAGTTAACCAGGGGTATCTCTTTTTATCTCTTTTCAACTCTTACCTATATTTCTTGTTGCTCACCAATTTTCAAGCGCTCTTCCAATCTAGCAATATATAGCAAAGCTACCGTATTGGACAGTTGCTTTTGTATGGATATCCTCCTTCTCGCTTCTATAGTCTAGTTAGCTTCTTAGTAAAGGCTTCCTTACAGCACCAAGTTTGGATCCTATAGAGAAGATCTTTATTGTTGCTGCATGGTTGTTCTGCATTGGCAATAGTTTGTGGTCGTTCTGCTGGAAACAGCCGTTGCTTTATGCTTTTGTTCCAGGTGTCCACGGTGTCACCCAGAAGATTTTGATGTCGCTGACGTCAGTCTGGGAAACACATCAAAGCTGCTTGAACACTAAAAATAGAGAGAATTGAGTACTAGCTATAGCTAGCTCGTAGCGCCTTCCGGTTCATTATTTTCCATACTACTGGCTACTCTTACGAAGACCACCGGAATTTCTCTGGTGGCACAACCTGCAGAGCTGCTTACAATATACCGTATGTACCTGTGAAATCCAGCCAGCTAGTCACCCAACTACATGCATTACCAGTGCACCAATCAAGTAACAAACACGACAAGGTGCTATGATAGTTATTGCTAATATCTAAGATCCATAATACTTGAGAGCTTGTTCCCAGCCAGGGTTGCTAGAAACGTTCTGGCTGGGAGCCAAACATAAGCCATAGACAGATTCCATCATATAGTTGATTGCTCTGCGCTGGCATTCAAAAGCTCTCAAGTCCTTGTTAATTGTTTTCATATTTCTTCTGTCCTCACTAGTAACATCGAAAAGCTTAACCAATCTCCTTGTTTGTTGCTCAAGAATTGAATCGTAGTTGGGATCGTCAGTGGGCACGGCAGGAAGTGGAGCCCCTAAAGCCATATACTGCTGCAGATTCTCAAAATAGCCTTGCCTTCCAATGGGTCTCTCAGCCTCAGGAACCTTGATGGAAGGATAGCGAGTGTAGAAGCTAGAGTCTCTGTCTTGCTTCCGTTTGAGCTCAGCTGCCTTGGCATGTTCTATCCACCTGTCTCCATCGGGTCTAAGTGCCGTCATTCCAGCTCGCCTCCACTTCTGCTTGTTCTTATCCCAAACAGTGTAAGCACCATCCCTGTGAATAGAAGATCGAACTTCTAGAACATAGGTGCCATCCTCCTGTTGAATAGACTCACCAACCAGAGTAAAGTTGGAGGGATTAGAGAGAATATTGTCAGTTTCATCAAGACATTCCAAGTCTGTGTGAACATGACCTGCCATAGTTAGAATAGCAGCCATGTAACCATGCCTGCGAGCCTGAAACTCCCAGCACCAGCATCTCTCTTTCTCCTCTGGCACCCGAATACTATCAACATGAGAATCCAACCTCATAGACAGAAGTTTCTGCAATGAGTCAGCTCTATCAAGGAGAGCTTGGTTAATTGTTGTCGGTGCAGTCAAACCAAAGATGTTGCAAACCTCTTCTCGGAATTCAGAGAGGTTGAGGAAATGGGATCCAGTCAAGAAGTCACAGGAAGCAAATCTTGTCCTCCTTGATCTGATAGCTGTAGCTTGCAAGTATCTTTCCAATGCAGGATTGCCCGGGTCCAAGAAGAGCACTTCATTCTTTGGCTCTTCAATGATGATTGGCTTAGATCTCAAATCAAATGCCATTTCAATCAATAGCTTGTTGCCTGTTGAGCCATTTGGTAGAACATCAGAGATATCTCCTTTGCGAGGCCACTTCCAACGTTTTGGTGTCTTAATCGTAGGGAACATCCGAACATGAATAAAAGACTGCAATTCTCCGGCAAGAGCTTTTTTGAAGCATATCAGGGGAACTGAGGAGATAGTACCACCAGCAATATCAGACTCTTTTAACAGTTTCTCCGTACAAAGCTGGCTGGATTTCAGCAATGTCGTATAGTCGTTCACAGTTTTGTCAAACTTTTCTTTCTGTTTGGCTCTGGCCTCTACAAGTCTTGCCGCCCGTAACTCCACTTGGTGTTCATGAGTGAGACATTTGGCTCGCTGCATTTGTTCTTGGGAAATGCTCTGCTGTTTGAGTACATCCTCGTCCTCATAGTTTTTGTCGACTTGGAATTCCAGCTCGTCAAACACAGCTTCTTCGACATGACCTTTGTCATACACTTCCTGGACCAAACGGGGTAAGCTGTTTTTGAAGAGATCGATCAGATCTTGGGGGTAATGATTCATTCCAAGAGTATGGATCATTCCATGCAATGATGGAAAAGCATACTCAGTACGCCTGCTCTTTCCCAGCATACCAACATCTGCAAAACCAGCAGAAACACTCTCAGTATTCACTGCTTTAGTAGCGTTCTTCGGATAGCAAGCAATAAAGTCGACACAGGCAGCAAGCCTGTGAGAAGCCAAATTGAGTCCTGCTGTTTCTTTCGCAACTCCGAAGATACCAACAACAGAGTCCTTGTAGTCGCAAGCACCTTTTTCGACATCAATCATGGTACACTCTTTCGAAAGAAGATGCATATGCTTAAAGATCGGAGATGCATCACACGGCTGCTCTACCGCTGACCTTGCTGCCGACTGCTTGTTGACAATGATTTTGGAATGGTTTAGTTTTCCAATCATTCCTGGATCAACTGTAGTGGCAAGCTGTGCCATCTCTCCATCTAACCATGTAACAAAAGTCATGCTGTCCGGGACTGGGGTGCCTGGTTGCCATCCTCGTTTTTGGCGAAGACGAGACACAAAAGGAAATAAGCACCTATCCAGAAAAGCTTCGACTTTGACTTTTTCAGTCAGTTTGTCATCGTCATTTCTGACGAACATCACAAAACCATTTTGTTCTCCAAAGGCAGTCACTCCACCGCCACCAATATGAAGACCTTCAATTTCCAAAACTAAAACACCGGATGGGCATTTGCTTCTGGGCAACTCTCGCTCTGTCAATCCAGTAGCAGAAATCCACACTGGTCCATTAGTGCCTGCAGCCGTCATGATATGAGTGACTTTGAGTCTCATGCCAGTTGCCACGGCAGATGCTTTTGATTTCTTAAATAGAGATCGGACACTAAGTTTCAAATTGAAAGAAGTCAAAGCAGTGAAAACGGGTTTGTTTCCCACTTCCCTGTTCTTCCCCGGGACAGCCCATTCAGTTGTATCATCAATGGAAGCCAGATATCGAGTCTTGACAGGACACAAGTACCTGTTCTCATTCAATCGGCTAGCAATTTCATAGACGAATCTTTGATTCCATAATGAATGCTGCTCATTGGTGATCTCTGATAGATATTGCTCCACCTTGTCAACTGGCTCTGACACAACTCTGTAGTGGGTAGCAACAACGGTCGCCATGAATGCGGCAGCTGACCGAACAGAACGCTCCGCCGTAAAGCGAGTTGGTGTTTTGGGAATGGCTTTCTTGATTACACTTCCACAAGCTAAATCTGTGATTGTCAAAGAGTAGTTGTCAATTGTATCTTTGCATGGAGTTGTCATAGAGTCACACAATATGATTTTATCATCAGCGGCAAGTCGGTCCTTCCTCTTCTGCATCATCATAGCTTTCAGCTCGTCATGGTCGATTGTTCTACCTGGTTGTTGTTTCAACCATTCAGCAATCTCCTTGACTTCATTATCCAAAAGGAATGGCTCTCTTCCTTTTGGAATATGCCAGCGATCATTAGGAAATGTATCCAGAGAGCCACCATCCTCCCTATGTTGTTGAAACTTCCGAAACAACTCATAGATCGATGACTGCTTAAGTGGAACATATTTCTTCTCTAGCATTTCTTTGATGACCTTGCCTTTCTTTCCACTCTGCTGAACATCGATCAAAACTTGAAGACATTCACGTCTGTCATACTCGAAGCCATTAGCGGGAGGAGGAGCCAAGCAATCATCGGACATTGCTGAGTCTACCATAGTAGCTTTAACTGCTTGTTTTTCCCCGGAGAGCTTTGTAGTACTTTTTCGAGGTGGAGTAGTAAAAGCACTGGCCCGGGTAGCAAGCCTTTCTTGAGCACTGGTAGGCGGCAAGTTGCCGAGTGCATTTCGTCGTATTGCAGCAGCTCGAGCCAATCCTTGAGTTAATCCTGGAACTGGAGCCAACGTTTTCGTGTAGCTCTTTAGCTGTTTGGTTACCCGTTGTGCATCTCTATCAAGGTTACTCAATGTAGAGAGAACCTTTCTCTTCTGGGCTTTGGTGATCGGTTTGTCTGGCTCAATGGTCGCTTTTACATCGTTCAGCACAGCTCGCCAATCAACAACCTCACCAGCTGTTTCGTTAAGACTGCGACAGGCTTGAATGCTACTGTCAATTCTGGTTGTTCTTCTTTTAGCAGGAGTAATAGTATTAGCTGGGCCAGGCTTTCTGGGTACCATTGGTGGGGACATGGCTGTGTTTGACGTGAAAACAATGAAAAAATGGCAGCCTAACTTTGCTAGCCATCCGTCGCTCCCACAGCCGCCAAATGAATAAATAGCTATCACCACTGCGACAGGCACGTCCAAATTATGTATCCCCTATGTCAAAGTATTACTAAGGTGGCTCTATTAGCTGAAACTATGAGGGTATAACTGTCAGCTCAGGTGGTGCCTCTGAAAATGAGTTTCTTCAAAAGTGGGAGTTTTGGATCTGCACTTGATGCTTGACGCCAATGGCTGGATGCCAGCTCCGAGCGGCTGGATGCCAGCTCCGAGCGGAACCTGAGTTTACGAATTTACCCCATTCTCAAGGGGTTAATCGTGGTTTTCTGGTGGTTTTCGTTTTTCTGGTGGTTTTCGGAGGAGTAGCTGGCTAGTATACTAGTACTCGGATCCATCGCCGTGGAGCACCTTTCTATTTGATGGTCAGCTGTTTACGTTGAACTGCTGCTTGTCGTCGCTAACCCTCGAGTTTCATTTTGGGGGGGATTAGAGTAGGGAAATTATCTACGGAAGCCAGCCGGGGCCAGGCTTAAGCAAAGAACAGTCGAAATTCAGGACTAGGTTCTGGGGTTTCATTCGATGTTGTCTCCATCATTTGCCTCGCGTTTCCTCTAAAAGATAAGTTGCCCTCTTTCTCATTTTCATTTATCCCTGCTATCATTCATCGTACTACATGTAGCTATAGTCTAGTAGTTACTTCCGCAGTCCTATTTGTTGATCCTTTGAATCCAACAGTCAACCATGTTAGTGAATTTCAACAATCTTGCACAATGGTGCCGTGGCCCTACCGGTACAAGTTTCTCAAGGGCTATCCTGCTGTGTCTTCATGCTGCTTTTCTCTTTCTATCAGTGGATTGTACTGCTACCACTGAACCTCAAAAGTATGCGTTGCACATGATTGACCTGAATGAGGAGCATCGCCGGTTGGTTCCCATCAGCGGATATGTCCAATATGGAGGAAACCTTATAGGAGATACCGCTTTTGGCCGACTTGGATGGACTGTGGCCATCGATGAGACAGGGACAACAATAGTGGTCCGTGAACCAGTAACTGGCATTGTTCGTGTCTACCAGAACGCTGCCAATGGATGGACACAGAAAGGACAAGACATGACAGGTCTTTCTGATATTTTCATCGGTAGTGGTCGCTCAGTTGCAATATCAGAAGATGGCAGCATTGTTGCTTTTGGTTCAACCCGCAATCGCGCTGTTGTGGTGTTCCAATATGACAGCAGCACAGAGATGTGGTTGCAAAGAGGCTTCACAATTCAAGGTGTTGAGAGAGATGGAACATCGCCAATTGCATCATTTGGTTTTTCCATTTCTATGTCAGCAGATGGAAACAAAATTGCAGTTGGGGCTCCCGAATATGACAGCCCAACTCTACTTGACATTGGCTTTGCAACAAACTACTTCTGGAATGGCACTGACTGGCAGCGTGACCTGTATAGTGATGGCAGCCTTTTCGTTGCTGGACTGTTTGGAGAAATTGAATTTGCTCAATTGGGGTCGTCTGTATCACTCTCTGGAGATGGCAACTGGTTTGCTGTTGGAATGACCGGATCTGGAATCTCTGACATTGAATCCACAAGGTCCGGTGAATGCCGTGTTTACAAAAGGGATGGGTTGATCACCCAACCTAATGTTGATTGTGGAGCTATGTTTGGGTCCACTATCAATGACGAATTTGGCTATTCGGTGGCTCTAAACTATGATGGAAGCATTGTTGCAGTGAGTTCTCCTGGGTATGATGTGCTTGGTGGGGCTGGAGAAGTTGGCAGGGTGCAAGTCTTTCAAAGAACTAACGAAATTTGGGGCCAATTGGGCAGGTAAGCATTAGGGACTGTGAAAAGTAAAGGTGCATGCCCACATGATTTTCTTAAAATTACTGACTCTGCCCCCCGTGGCTTGTGATGCATTCATTATAGTGATCTTTCTGGGGACGAAGAACTTGATAGATTTGGGTACTCCGTTGATTTATCCGATGATGGCAAAACCCTTGTGGCTGGAGCTCCATTTAGTGTTTTCTTCGACCCAATAGACCCTCGACGTGGTTACGCTCGCATCTACAAGTTTGATGGCACTGATTGGGTCCTTCAAGAGATCAGCAGGGCCCAAGGTTTTGATATTGATGGACTTAGGGAAGGTGATAGGTTGGGATGGAGTGCTGCTGTTTCTGGTGATGGGACTAAAGTCCTTGTTGGGGCACCCTTGTATGATGGCATTCCTCCTGAAGGTAATGGACTTGTCCAAATGTGGGGACAAACTGACTTTCCCACGTTTTCACCTATTGTGAATCCATTGCCTGAAGTTGGCAACCTGGGCACTGGTGGAAGCCCTGCACAGGCCAGTTTGGTTAGTAGAGCTTACACTTGGTGGCAGGGTGCAATTGCCTATTTGGAAGGTTTCTTTGTTTAATTGATGTGGTTTTGAATCATAGTCTATGTGTTTCCATTTCTGTTGTCTTTGTTGGTGAAATCTATTTATTTTTATTTTTAATAAGTTTACATTCTTTCAACATGTATGTTGTGGCCATTGCAAAAGCCAACGTGTTGACTTTGGGCATGAGGAACCTAGGTGTTGTGATTGCTGGTATTATTTGCCATTGCGTTCACGAATTGTTGTCGTTCCAATGATACTGGTATCTCTGGCTCCGCTTTGCACAGGTCTCACGGCCGTTCGCTGCAGTGGTTCTTGTGTATTTGTGTACTGTAATCGAGACGTTGCTATGGGTTAGAGGGAACTATGGGGAGGACGGGTTGCTTAGGAAGAGGGCAGGATGCATTAACGCAAGCCGAACAATCGATTGAGTGGTTCTTGTGTGTTGCATTAACGGATGTGTCTTCTGTCTGCGGTACTAGTATCGTCAAGGACTGCTTTGAACACGGAAACGGGTGGAGATTGGGCTGGTTCCGACCCACATCTTACGATGTTCGCATCTACACTATGTCATGAGCTCGGGCACAGCCAAGGGGCAGGACCTGAGATCCAGGGAACTCGATCACTCGGTCGTCGTCAGTGCTGCAAAATCAGCCCTCCTATCCATTGATATTGTTCTAGTATTACATGTACTATTCACGATAATACAGTGCTGCACCAGACGAGTCCCCAACAACTAATCCAACAAGACTACTGGGAGTATGCACAATCGTTGGTGCATGTAGTGGACGAATCCCACATGACGGCCTTCTCGTGCCGCTTGTTAGCCTTGTGCTGGAGTACCTTGTCATGTGCATGTTGGTAAAATTGTTTCCAGTTGTGGTTGGACTCTAGATTCCACGGTTCCTGTGTGGGTTTTTGTTCCTGTTGTGTTTCAATCTTGATGAATTCGTTGTAGGCTTCGGAGAACGCCTTGCACTTGTAGAGACAATAGGCAAACAAGTTGGTGTGTGATCGTGCCAGTGTTTCTTTGTTGTCGTCGTCGTCGTCTTCCTCCTCCTTGGCCAGACCGCTATGATTGTTGTTCGTGGTGGGGAGTACGATCAAGCCACTGCCTTTAGTCGAGGATGCTGCCTGATGCTTTCGATATGCCTTGACAATTTCCTTTCTAACCACCGCATCTTTCCAGTAGGCACTACCGACGTTCTTCTGCTTGGCACTCTTGTCGTTGCGTAGCTTTTCCTGGTAGGCAAGCACGTGCGCCTTGGCCATCAAGGACCACAGAGGATGCCCCACTGGTGGAGGGGACTCTGCCTGGATGGTGGCTGTTCTGGCAAACTGTAGCAGCTCTGCGTTGGATCCTCCCCAAGTGGGAGAAAGTCGGTACAACATGGCTTCATGGACGGCCAGATCGTGTCTGTCGTCTTTTTTACAATTGTTTTGAAACTGTTGGAACGTGGTCTTGATCGTTTGAAGTTCTCTGGATGCCGTAATCTTGTTGGCATAAGGCAGAGGATCCGTGGGATCAATCTCAATTGCCTTATCGAGAGCCGTTTCTGCGTTTTGAAGCTGATTCTGGAATGTGACAAACTGGGCTTCCTGATCCGACTTTTGCAAAGCACTCCACGCCGCCGTGACTAGAAAGATGCCGTGCAACAAGTGCGCATCTCGATTGTCGGGTTCGGCCAAAGTCCAAGCTGCCAGTGTTTCCAATGACAACTCGGCCGAACAGTTCGCGGAGTTCGAGTTGCGATAAGCCTGTGCGAGCTGGTCCATATTGGTTCTCCTGGCTTGACTGTGGAATCTTAGCTGCGCAAAGAAATTACGAGTGCTCTTCCAATCTCCTTCCTCTAAGTCTTCGAGTAGAATCTCCACGCACACCAAGGAAACGGCAGGAATGAGAGGTTTGCTCCTCGTGGATCGTCTTCTTGGTTTTCCACTACATGTATTGATGGTACTACTATTAATAGCAGTAGAGGAGGAAGGAGCCGAATAGCTACTTCTTCTGGCGCTGACTTTGCCGTTGTTTACTGTCTTTTGACCCAGAAAGCCTCTACTGCTTCGAGTACCGCTTCCTCTGCGAAAGCATCCTGAGGATAGGCGATTGCCACTAGTAGTAGCAGTAGTGGTAGTAGTACATGTGGTGGAAGGAGCGCTCTTGGTCGATTGGAACTCCATGGTCGCATTCATAGTCAACGATACTAGTACCGGTAGCTTGGGTTGCTTTGGTGTGTGGTTGGAGGCAAGTGAGGAAAAAGTTGATTGTGGATGAAAAAGTGATCGTTAGTTACTAGCTAGTACTGGTACTATAATATAAAATAGTAGTTGCCAGTCACAGTAAGTCTTGCTTCATTTACAAGTACCAGTGAACACTTATTTATCTATCAGCGACCGTAACGGCAACCGATAAATCGAACTTAATCCCGAAAGTGAAGTCTGGGACGTCTGGGATTGGTTTAAGAGAGACACGTCTCAGTACGGTATGCTTCTCAGAGTACCAGCTGGTCTTGCAGGACCAGAACGGACTTGGCATCTAAATCCTTGAATTCGGATGCCAGGATATAAAGGGCCGGTCATTGCTAGTTGGAAGCTGGCGACGCGACCGCTCGTGTTGTGCTACAGTTAACAGCCTAGTTAACTGGTCAATGTTCAAGAAAGCTGTTCCTAGCTAATAGTGCAGACTGCAGTGAACTGGTGCACGCAGTCACTTACTTCCGAGAACACGTGTAGCAAAGCACGCGACAACTGGGACTTGTATAATGTGAGAATGTGACTGAGGACTGGACTGGACTGGACTCGACTCGACTCGACTCCACTCCACTTACTTATTACTCGATAGGTTTTGGGTTTTGGGTTGGGAGTTGGGAGAGAAGAGGATTAATGGCTTCAGCTATGCATAGGATCAGGTTTAGCTAGCTAGCTAGGCAAAGGGATCCACAATCTCCCGATCCTTGTGGTCACTACCGGTACCGGAGCTACTAGATGGTGATGTAATATCCGACAGGGTAAATTCACCACTGGAAAGGACCGTGGGAGAAAATAGCAAGGTAACGCTCTTTCGTTCCAGTTGACACCTACCGGTACCACGTGCGGTCGTTGGAATGGCGGGCACGGACTTGCGTCGGTGCTTATTCTGGTTATTGGTGCCAGTGGATGCTTCATGCTCCGCAACCTTTTTCTTGGCATGATCATAGTAACCCTTCCAATGCAGCGGGCTCTCCAGATTCCAAGGCTCTGCCAAGGGATCATTGCCAATCATGTACTGCATTTCATCGTGCACTTCGGAGTACGCCTTGATCTTGTACAGACAAAAGGCAAATAGGTTGCTGCTAGATCGTTCCTCTTTGCTGCCCTGTTTGGTATTACCGGTATTAATAGCATTCTTGGAGCCACTCGCCTTGCAGGCAGTACCGTGACTGCTGTGGCTCTTGCCACGAAACTTGCGGTACGCGTGCACCAGCTCCTTTTTGGATTTGGATTTCAAATGCTTCCAATAGGAATCATGACCATGGCCTTGACCTTTGCTATTATTAGTGCCATCTTCTTCTCGCTGTTTCTTGGCTTCCTCCCAGGCATCCAAATGCGCCTTGCAAAGTAGGGACCACAAGGGATGACCCGTGGGTGGAGGAACATCGGACTGGAGGGTTACTGACCTGGCAAACTCCAACATTTCTGCCACTGTTCCTCCCCAATGAGGGGACAAGCGATGCAACACAACTTGATGGACCATCAGATGGTGTGGATCCTGGCAGTGTTGTTGAAACTTCTGGAAGGTTGCTTGGATGGTTGGGAGTCCTCTGGCAGCAGTCAGCATGTTGGCATAGGGCAATGGATCGGTGGGATCAATCTCCATGGCTTTTGCCAGAGCCCTTTCTGCTTTGTGTGCTAGCTTGTCAAACTGGGCAAAATGTTCTTCCTCAGTCATGGCTGTTTGTTGTGTGGATGATTGATGATTCCGCAATGCACTCCAGGCACTGGTAATGAGAAACAAGCCAAGCAGCAAATGAGCATCCTTGTTGTCAGGTTCGTTCCACGTCCATTTTTCCAGCGTTGAAAGTGGTGGCGAGGGCGGTGGACTAATAGTAGGTGCTGCTTCAGAGCCAGCCTGAGGCTCCTGCGTGTGGTGACGGTACCGGTAGCACTGGGCTAAACGATCCATGCAAACACTTCGTGTCTCGTCATTGCTAGGGTTCAGACGCAGCTTGGCGAAGAAATCACGGGTGAGATTATACTGGCCTCCTTCCAGCTCAGACCTAAACGTCTCTACCGGTACGCCCTCTACCATGACGGATTGGGGCGCTGTGGATGCTGCTATTGGACTTGGCTTGTTCATTCTCGTTGTTGTGCCGTCGAGACGGGCTACCGGTAGCATGGCAGGAGACTGTGAGATGTGGGGCGCTGTTTTGTTCATCTTTGAAAATAGTGGGACGGCTAGCTATCCTTCTATTGCAGGTTGGAAGACTGTTGTTATGGCTGCTTCTTTTGTTAAAACGTTGTTGTCAGGTTTTGTTGGAGCTTCTATACAGCAACCATGCACGACGTTTCGCATGAGTTCGTCCTTCGAAGCGAAGCCCGATGCTCCAATTTTTGACAAGCTCAGCACAGAAAGCCCATTCGTCTTCTGCTGGCCAAGCAAGATGAGAGAATATCGATCATTCAGTGAACTCTTTTGGCGTAATAGACCTAAAGCTAGCTAGATAGCAGGCCATTCAACAGTGCGAGGGGAAGTCAGGAACATGGCCACGCACACGGAGCGTGGACCCTGGCGAGCTAGTTAGCAAACAAAAAAAACTGAACGTCTAATAACGGATGGATTCAGACGAGATGTGCTTGAGGACGACCCACCAGCTAAGGCCCGGGTATTTCCCACAGTCAAGTCTGCTCAGCTAGTTAGTTAGCAGGTCTTGGCTCGCAATGCCGCGGCGACTTGAAGCTAAGATGAAGGTAATATCATTGGTGGTTGCCTAGTTATTCTTCGTTCGAAAGTATAGAGTGTTGCTGGCCGCATAAAATTCGAATAGAAGGAAAGCAAACTTGTTGACAGCTTGTGAATGCAAGATAAGCAACGGGGCCCAAGACTGCCTGTTAGCACAATGAGACACATCGATTGTTGGGTGCCACACGCAAAGTCTGCCAAATTTCTGCTCAGGGCGACTCCATTGTGCAAATCACCGTGTCGATCCAATTGTCCAGCTCACTCTGCAACGAACGAATGCGCCCATCCAGCAGCGACAAGTCGACCTCGGCGGAGCTAGCATCCATGAATGGAGAAATCAACAACTCGGATGCCTCCACCACTCTACCAGCCACAGCAATCAGATCCCCCTGCTTGTGTTTCATGGATGTGAGTTCTTCGCTCATTGCTTTTGTCACTTCTTGCAGTTGAGTCTGCAACGAGCCAATCTGTTCATTGGCCCGCAGCAACTCGTTCATGGCAGACGCTTCTCCCTGATGGTTGCTTCGTTGCTTCTGCAAACTTTCAATTCTTTCCGCTGCTGCCATGAGCTGGCCCTTCTCTTCCTCCAGTTGTTGCACCTGATTCTTCAGACTAGCAATTTCCTCGTCTTTCGATGCAATGGCGTTCTTCTGTTGACGCAACAACTGAATTTCTTCCTTGAGCAACACAATGGTGGCTTGGGCGCTAGCCAATTCAATGGCAGTCGCATCAGTTGCCTCCTCGCCGCTGGAGTTGTCCTTTGGCTCGCCTTGGTCGCGGCGCTGACGCCTCTGCAGGAAGCGAGAGACCTTGATAGAGAACATCTCCACGTTCACAACAACTAGATAGAGAATCACAAACATCCCAAAAGTAATAAAGACGCCCGCCACATGTTGGCAACCTTGAACGAGGTTCACTTTCGGTAGAGCGTCCATGGTCGTTTCTTCTCGGCGTGAACGAAAACTTCAGATGTTCGATTCAGGGCGCTTTTTTTATGCGTGCCTTCTGGCGGAAAATGAACCTTTAGTTCTGTTATCGATAACGCGTATCGCTTGCAGTGGTTATCCCTGTCCAAAGGACTTGACAGTTGAAAGACGCTCACCGAAGAGATGATCGTGGGTGGATGGTGCCATCGAAAAGATCGAAACGGGCCTGGGCTGCGGGAGTCAATTTCCACGCAAGCCTTGCGCGCAGGATTAAAAGGGGACCTCAAAAGCGACACCGAGCCACAGTTGGATAACGCGAGTGTAATAGATGATGGCTTTTAATTTTAATACATGATATACATTGCTCAAAGGTGCGAGCTGAAAGCAGCGCTCTTTCTTGTGTGCAGTTATCTCAGTGCCTCGATCGATCGCTCAGCTTGATTGGTCTTCCAAACGGAGGTTCTTGTGTTCAGGAAACTTGGTATAATACTTCTCCTTGAACTCTGCCACTACCTGCTCTCCTTCTCGTTCCCATTCGTCTCTGTTCAGCTGCGCGTAGTTCAGGTATTCATCACTAGACACACCAAACACTCCGCATCGGTCTAGCTTCTTGGCAAGCGGAATAATGTAGAAATCAAAGAACCCTGTGTAACACACGTGGCGATACGAGAGATAGTCCAGAGTACATGAGGGCTTTGTCAACGAACGACAGCAGAAAATCAAAACATTCAAAGGACTTACCAATCTCTCCTTTATACCAACCTTTGGAAGGGTCGTTGGCCGCCCTTCCCGTCTTGTAGGCACCATAGAGCTCAAAGAAGAAACGTTCGTTCCAGTGAAGGTAGATTTGCCTGGTCGAATGCAACAATCAAAAGCATGAGTTTTCTTTAATCGAAACGGCGAAAACAAGCAAAGCCACAACGTCCAGTGCTTACCAATGTTGCATTGTGTGGGACACTGGACGAGCAAAGGGTGGGGGGGACCAGCAAAGTGACGAGGTGAGATACAAGCACAGGGAACAACATTCATTGCTCGTCGCTGAAACTTACCATCCGAGGCCTGGATCAAGTGCTCAATCTAAGAGTAGGGTACAGCAGAAATTCAAAAGGAACGTCAGAGGCAAAGGTTTCCAGTCAACTAGTCTTCGCGTCTTGATACCTACCACAATAGTTGCTTTACGATCAACGTCCATCTCGAGAGTGGAGTCGACGGGTTCGTCAGAGAATGCGGTGGCCCACCTGGCCTTTCTGAGTGCACCCAGTTCCTTGTCGCAAATATCTGTGGCAAGGACGACTAAAGAACATGATCCGAATGTGTCAACGGTGAGGATCCGGAGCCATTGTAGCCGCCCAGCCAAAACCAAGGCGATGGGTACTTACCGTTGATTAAAAGCTGCCTGAATCTTCGCATCTCGTCCTCGTTGGAGTAGATTGTCTGCCTGAGATCCTTGTATTCATCCGTCATCAACAGATCCCATGCTTTGTGGATCGAGTTTTGTTCTGCAACACTCTTCTTGTACTTCTCGGCTTCTGGTGTCTTTTCTTCCACCAGCGTTGTGTTGGGGACTCCAGGGTGCTCTACAATAACCGTTGAGTGGAGCTATTGTCAGTGACATCCCGGCAAGGAATACTGTATCTTCTTCAGGCCAAAGGAAAGGTAACGTACCGGCATCATGAATGAGCGCAGAGAAAATGACAGCGAACTGAGTCAGCGGATCACTGGGACGAGATGCAGCAGGAAAAGCAGTATGTGAGTGGCATGAGCATTTTTGGGGTGTAGTGCCACACGATTTCCTAGGCTTGCCTGGTAATGCCAAAAGAATGGCCTGCGAGGTCCACCAATCCAACATCCTCCTTTGGATCTGTATCGTCGTCCGAACCGATTGGGCCGCTATCGCTGACAATACGTGTCAACATCTTTCGGACACTAGCCGAGACATGGCAGGCATGTTCGAAGTTGTGGAAGGGGTTGCGCAAGTACATTTCGGACACCTTTGTGATGTAACACCGGAGCTGCGACACGACGTGCAGAGGAAGGAAAATCTCATTGGCGTCCCGACGATATTTCATGTCACTCGGGCCAATCTTGGGCAGGCTGACAATCTCCTTGAATTCATCGAGGGCGATGTTGTTCTTGCCCATATTCTTTTCCAGATCACTAAGATCGATCGGAGGCTTGCCTTCGGGACGAGATGCCACAATCTGCTGAAGTAGCTTGCTGAGCACCTCGGTACTCCATTCGATCAGCCGTTGCTCCTTGTTCAGTTGGTTCTTCATCTCAGGAAGTTCATTGTCGTAGTCGGCAGGGCATTCACTATCGTCCGAGGCATCGCCGTCATCATCGCCTGCGTGGACACCTTCGAGTCTTTCGTTAACTGCTTCCTCGCTGCCGGCTAATTCGTCTTCAGGGTCCGGCTTGACAGCTTTCTTCAACCTCAGCCAGCTGGTCTGCATCATGCCCTTGCCTGGGGGTTACACAGAGTTGATGAGGAAAACTGCAACAGCACACTTGACCCAGCGGATAAAATCATCAGCCAACTTTACTACTTACCCTTCACGCTGACCTTCTCAGAACGTCGTGTGATCCACTTTGACTTGCCTTCCTTTTTCAACAATTCCGCAGTAGTACTGAGGTTTCAAGGATACAAGACGTGAGTACATGCTTGCCTTCTATCCTCAACACGTTCGCGCGCGATGATTGAATCCATTGCATGGATGGACTTACTTGGAGATTTGTATGCGACTGAGGAGACTCGTTGTTTCCATCCGACTGGCTGTGTTTACGGTATCGCCGAAGAGCTGGAAGCGACTGCGTTCTCCTCGCAGCACACCGGCGGTGACTTGACCCTAGATAGTGGTAAAGGGCGAGAAGCACGGGACAAGATTAGTGTCGTTCTGACACGGAGAGTAGGTTGGCTGCTGACGGATGAACTTACGGAATGCAGACCACATCTCATTTGCAAATCTCCGGTATCCGGGCCCTTTGTAGTGGAAGGGATTTCAACGTGCTCGGTTAGGGCACAACGTTATTGTGTCACTGTAGCCCAGACGAGCAGTTGGCTTGATCGGGACGTACCAGGGTGATCTCGAGTTTTTGGGTCATCTCAGTGAACTTGACCATACAATCTCTAGCGAATCTTGCCATAGCAGTCGCGTGCCTCTTTCTTGGCTCGGGAAGGCCACAAACAGCTGCAGACACAGAATGAGAATCGAATCATAAGCATCAGAAAGCGAGCGCACAAGAGTTCAACAGATCAGCGCAAGATCTAGCTAGCAAGACGAGCACTTACCAACGTAGCAGTCTCCCGTTGTTTCCACCTTGAAGATGCCGTGCTTGTATGCGATCTACGAAAAGGAGTGGAGCGGGAATGTTAGACATTTGAAAGGAGAACAACGTTGACTTTTGGGCGTGTCGTTGCTGGCGTACCTTGTCAAATGCGCCATACAAACTCTCCAAAAGCATAAACACTGGTAGATAGAATGACAGGAATGAGTCCAACGAGCTCCCACGTATGTATTTGGGATCCATACACAATCCATTCTGGCGTACCTTGTGGAGGTTCCCGTTGACTACTCCAAGCCTATTTGTTTGGCCAGCAGAAGAAGGAGAGCATGAGCCAAAAGCATCACTCCTGTTTGTCTTTTTGCACTGTCTGTACAAGTGTGCTGACTGAGAACTCACCGTAAAGCCCGCAATGTCAGCAAAGAAGACGGTAGCACTGGGGAACAAGTCAGCAATAGGAGGCTGCTCAAGAGAAAATCACAGTATGCACGAACACAGCAATGCGTGAGAGGAGTACAAAAAAGAAAACGTATGCGTTCCAAAGTCGGACTTGGGGTTTATGTCAGTCACGTTACCTGATCGAACATTTCCGGATTGTCAAAGTCGTTGGGATCGAGAACGTCAGGGAAACCATTTTGAACAGTCTTGGCCTTCTTTTCTTCATTCTCCTCCTCGTCTTCGTCTTCGTCCTCTGCGCCGTACAGCCTGTCACGGATCTGCTGAGGGAATAGGTTTGAGACGATCTTGTCCTGTCGGATGACTCGTTCCATGACCTTGGCCTGTTGCCTTCGAACGGTAAAGTCGAAGATGCCAAAGATGGTACTGGTGAACATAAAGATCGCAATGACTCCGGCAGTGTAGTAATAGGCATTGTACGTTTCATAGTTCTTTCGGAGAGAATCTGTGGGATACAAATGAACCGACAAGGAGGGCACTTTGAGATGATTTGGCAACTTGATGGATTCGTCAATCTCAAGCTTGGCAAACTCAGATGAGACCTCCAAGTGGTTGTACTTGTGGTCGTGTAGGTCTCCTTCACCGAGGAACTTGGCTTTGAGTCCATTGATCTGGTAGGTAGCAGCATCATTGTCGGTGCTCTTGACCACGGCAATCATCTCTGCATCCTTGTCCGCCACAATGTTGTTAAAGTAGGCCAACCAATCAATCAGACACCACAGGATTCTGCGATAGTCATTAGTTGTGAGAAAGTAAGTAACAAGGCAAAAGTCAGTCAATGCCTGCCCGAGCCAGATTTGGACTGTCTTTATACATGCGATAATAATAACATTATGGAACTCACCCAACAATCTTTTTCTCTTTCTTTCCGTTTTCCATGACAGTGTCAAAGATGGGCTGAACCAAGATGGAGTCTGCAGTGCCCGTAATGACAAAGAAGTTTAACGATGGCCCTTTAGTGATGGTGGTTGTAGCAAATGCCTTTTTGACTCGCATCTCATCATTGAGATTGTAGTTGATCATTCCCGATAGCTCTGGACGCCACCGAGAGAGTTGCCACATTGGTAGATAGGGGCCCTCTCCCTCTTCTCGATTGAATTGGAAGGTCTTGAGGTTTCCCTGATACATATAAGGCCACAAGTAGAGCGCGTTGACATCTGAAACGTTCATCTTTTGGTAATCAATGCTTTCTTGAAAGGTCTTGCGAGCATTCTTGGCAACGTGCTTTTCCCACTTGGGTTTGTCGTTCTTGGTGACGACGGGGGCAAATGCGAGCAAGCGGACGCCACTCAGGCTTTCTGCAGCACTGGCTCTTGCATCAAAATGGGGCAGCGTGACAAGCGGCCATTTCATTCCGGTGGACTCGGTATAGGACGTAATGGACACCGAGAGACCGGCAATGCTCCGAAAGGTATTGGCAGCATTCTCTTCTGACACGGCAACGATCTGCGACGCGTAGTTCCTGAACTGTTGTAAGTGAAAAGGTGAAAAATTGAAGCAATGAGGCACAGAAAAGTGTCAGATAAATTTGATTTGTACACTTGCAACCTAGCATTCTGAAAAGTACCAAAACAAATGGACTTTGCAACCTTTTCAAGTGTACTTTGCAACCTTTTCAAGGGATTGCTTTGTTTTTCAAGGGTAGCTTACCTGCACCACAAAATCCTGGTATTCGCCTTTCTTGATGACCATGAGGGTGCCCGTGGCCATGGCGGCCATTGCGGTGAGCAAGACGGCAGCCACGGCCAGTTTGGCCCACATGACCCAGCGCTGCTCCTTCACGGCCACCTTGGGATCGACGTACTCCTTACGCTTAATGCTGGTGTGGCCTTCCGAGTAAGTCGTCGTCATGGTCGAGTTGGTCGTGTAGGAAAACACAGACGCAGTGTCATCAATATCCGAAACATCATCTGGAAAGTTGTCCTTGCCATTGATGGAATGACTGAAGCTCTGGTCGTTGCTGCTGCTGTAACCGGGCTTGAAGCCTTCCAGGGGGAAGCTGCCGGACGTGGACATGGTGGATGGATGGCTGCAGCTCTCAGCTTTGCTAGCTAGCTGAACGAAGGAAGGATTAAAACTTTGCCTTCTTGAGAAAGTAAAAGTAGGTGTTTGCAATCACAAAGAAAGGCAGAAAATGAGGTCCAGATCTAGAGGGAGAGTGGTAAGGTTTGAAATAAATTGTGATCGAAGGATCTTTGGAGAATGACCTCTGTCGCTTGGACAATGACTGCAATCGGAACTCTTTGAATGGTAAAAGAATCCCTGACGACGCTGATGTTTACGCAGTGGGATTCTTTCATGACCCCAAAGCCCCAAAGCGCAGGTAGAGAACAGAGGAGCCAATCACAACGAATCCTGTCGTTTAACTGGAGATGTTGAAGAACAATGAGGTTTACCTTTCTGGACATGAGAACATTAGAACCTCTCGCAATCTCGCAATGTTTTATTGGAGGGTTCACTGGAGACTTTTCTGGGTTTCGCAAGTGTTCTTTTTGCTTCAGAGATTTAATGACAATGACCATGGAGCTACAGGGAACAGCAGATACAAAGATATAAATAAGAATTGCCTTACGGTTGTTTCTGTATCGTAAAAGACTCCTCCCCATCAGATTCTATTCTCCACAAGCAATCTAGCTACCTGGTAGCAGCTCATCTAGCTAGTAGCTGCCTAGTAGGCTAGCTACGCTGTATCTTACCAGCTTAATAGAGAGACTGTGGCTGAAGCTTCAGCGTTGCTGCAGCTGCAGTGCCGAAAACACAATGAAGCCGAGATCTGGCTATCATGGCATCCATAGCTTGAAGTGCCACAGCCAGAGCTGTTCCAAAGCAGTATCTCGACCCTTCTTCGTGGGCAATATCCAGCTCGTTGTCAATGTCAGTTAGTTGTAGCGGAGCAGACCAAACGCTTTTAAGTCAGCCACCCAGTCTATCAAAAAAGAGGGCTTCCTCGCAATGCAAAAGCATCGCCATGGTTCCTCATGGGCTATTGGAGTATAGTGCAGGGGCCTTCCTTGCAGAAAGCGACTCTTCTCCAGAGCTGAGTAGCTAGGTTTACGTTGTTGGTGGGAGGAGAATCTAGCTGGCAAGAAGAGATCAGATGACTTTCTTTGTGGCGTGAAGCGAGGCTCCGATCCAGCCTATCTCAACCAATCAGATGACTGGTTGTCCTGGTTGCTGCCGGTGCTGTACTAGCAAAGATAGATGATGGCCAGCTAGCTAGCTAGCTAGCTAGAGCAGTGGCAAAGGGCCGCCATGGCTGATTGGGCAGAGTATAGCTACCCTTATGATGGAGGGGACTGCCAGAGAAGTTCGCTGCCAAGGGGGGCGGCGGCTTAAGGTGCGCCCTAATGCAGCCAAGGGATGAAGAAGATTGCATCAGAAGACGCAGAGCTTCAGCATGATGAAAGGAAGCAAGAGCTGTACTCCCTGGGCCCTTGAAAAGGAAGCGGAAGGAATCAGTAATCAGGCAATTGGAATCAGGGCAGCAAGCAGTCTGGAGTATGGAGTTTGGCAAGAATAGCCTAAGTTAATAGGAGTTTTGCAGGTATAGCTCTGGTGGCACCGAGTGAGCTAACTATCAAGAGAAGAGGAGACAGATAGCTAATTTCTTCTGTCTATGCAACTGTGTTTCTTTACTCTGTTCTGGACTAAAGTATACTCTTCTCACTCCCACGCCCAAAGCAACAAAAGCCAGTTGCTTGCTTGGATCCCTCGTCGCTTCACACCCCCACGGCCTAGCTAGGTGCCAGCTAGATCGCAAAACGGGCGTCCTCCTCTTTCTCAACGAGTTCAGCTTCCAGTTGATCCAGCAGTTCCAAAAAGTTTGTTTCGAAGATCTCCTTCAGCTCCAAAGCCATGCCATGAACTGGTGTTCCTTCTGGGTTGTAGGCCATGGCATTCTCAAACGTCAGAGAGACATCAGCATGGAAGTCGAGAAGAGTTGGGTAGCCAGAACTCAACAGTTTCTTCAAAATAGCGCCCAGATCCATTGGGTTCTTGACCACGTTTTTGTAATCTGGGAACTCGCCCATGTCAACTGGCTTGCTCTGTACAAATAGATATGCAAGGGTGATGACAAAATGACGATCGAGGCACAACGCAGAGTGAGTCGCCAGAAGCAGTTTTGCCCTCTTATAAAGAGTCTATCCAATCCACTTACAAAAATGAAGCCGTTTGGATGGCCCATAAGCTCCGAAATTAGCTGCTCTAGCCGTTTTCGGTCCAGGCTGGAACTAGGTTTCTGCGAATCGTTGTGTTTCCTGGGACTGTTCATTGAAAGACTCAGGCTAGACAATGAAACATCTGATCCCACTGCATCTGGAGCCTCCGAGTCGTATGACTCTAGGCTTTGGAGACTCTTCGGTCGTTCCATGACGTCTGTCAGGTTTGCATGAATGTCTCCATTCGGGAGACTTGGGAAGGTATCCTCTTCTTCTTCAGCACCGGGCTTGCGGGCCGGTGCACCAAAGATGCTCATCACAAAGTTCGAAATCGGCTGAGAACTCATTTGAATCGGCAGTGTGGCTTTGACCTCTTTGGCTTCTTCACTCTCGTCGACTACGACATCCTCGTTGTTTGGCTTGTCTCTCGGTTTCACTCGGGGAGGACTCGCTTGCTTTTCATTGAACTCGGCGCCAAAAGACCAGGTTTCCATGTTGCTTTCGCTGTAGCCAAGCGAAATGTCTTCCATAGAAGTTTGGTCGTCAGGAGTGAACAAGCTTGATGCGCGGGACTCTTGGAGAGACTTTCCGCCCGTCGTTGAGACACCCTCAGACTTCTCGCCACCGCTCAAAGAGCCACCTGCGGTTGGTGCGTCACTCTTCGACCTGTTGGATCTATAGGATCTGCCGGACCTGCTCGACCTACCGGACCTGTTGGATCTGTTGGACCGGTTGGACCTGTTGGACCGATCGTCCTGCATGTTTGTGGGAAGCATCGGGGACTCATCCGAGACATCAGTCGCCCTTGAATGGTTGTCAACGTTCCTCTTCGGCAAAGAAGTCACCGGAGGTTCGTCCATCACGACATCTTCGTCGTTGTCTGCTTCTTCGTCATCAGTTACCGCAGCTTCCTCATGTTCCTCCAGGTCGACAGGAGTCTGACTTTCCAGATGAATGATGTCTTCTGAAGGTGCCGTGTCTTCGTTTCGGTCCTCTGACCTTGACACATTGCCAGAGTACACTGACATGTTTTCTTGTGCTTCCAGAGTGCCAAGACTTCTTCCATTGATCTCGTCATCAGAATAATCATCATTGGGTTGCAACGATGGGAGGGCAGCGTCGGGGTCGTCTTGGGTTGCGGCTTGACTCAACATTGCAAATGCGTCTTCAGTGGCCAGCACGATCCCCTTGAAAGTTTCCTCTGTTGGAATGACGGGTTCGTTCACTTCGTCAGTGTTGCTTTGATGGGTTACGTCTGCCTCCAGGGGTTGCTCAGACGAAGGATTTGCGGCTGGACTAGCGTTGTGGCCTTCATCAGCGACCGCACGTCTGCTTTTCTTTTTAGATTTGCGGCCTCTTCGCTTGGATTTTGACGAGTGAGAGTCACCAGACTTCTTCGTCTTTTTGCTCTTTGTCTTTCGCGTAGATGACGGAGATGCAAGTTGGTTCCTCGAAGTGGCCCTGATGTTCGTCAAGGAGTCGTGGAGCACCCCACACTGGTCGTCGAGGACAATGACATTGCGTTTGTCTCCTTCCGGGGAATTGGTACAATCAATTGGCGCTAGCGGTACTTCTTCTCCATACCCACTGTCTCCAAAGTACTGAGGCTTCACAGAGTTGGAGTCCTGGTTGCGAGCATCGGCAGACTGCTGCCTGTGCACGGCAACGCCACAGGAATGGTACACCAGATTGATAGTGGAATTGATTGGGAGCGCCGACGTCGCGCTCCTGTCAGTGTCTGTATCAGCGGGGTTCGTATCTTGTCGGCTAGCCAGCGATGCCGACAAGAATGAGGCATCATTGTACAAGCTATCCGGGACGTTGCAGAACGGACTGCCTTGTTCTCCCCATATCACCGGTTTGCAGTTCTTCTGGACTGAAGAATCATCCACGCACTCGATTGCCGGAGAGAAGCAGGACATTGGCGAATTCAAGGTACTGGTGTCAGTTGTGTAAGTGTAAGAATCCGAGCTCTTATGCCCTTTTCGCTTCAGGTCCTGCTGCACTTCAGCATTTTGTGCTTGACTTGTCTGCCAAACGTCACAGCAACCTCCCGTGACGGTTGGGCAATGCATACAAGCACGTAGGAAGAGAGGAAGCTTCACATCGTTTCCATAGAGCCACTGAAAGTCATGCTTGCCGTTCTCTGGGGACTCATGCGGTCTCGTCGTGTAGACAGACGGTTCCACAAATATTGAAGTCTTGCGCTCAACAAGACTCTTGGACGATGAATGGTGGGAATATGGAGTGGACTTGCGGTGGATTGCTTGCCGACTCATGTCCGTGGATGGATTTGTTCCATAGGACCGGTCGCTTTGGAAGTCCTCGTGTTGGTCCTGGTAGCTGTAATAGCTCTGGTCGTCAGATTGATCCGACCCAGAGCCATAGTTTGAAACAACTGCAGGGATTTCGCTTTCAGCAGCAGTGCTGTAGAATGAGTTGCTGACGTGTGATTGGTCACGACTCACGTGCGAACCCATGGACTTGTTGTCTTTCTCTGTCGTGTAAAAATTTCCTGGACCTTCCTCAACAATGTCATCTGTTGCGTATTCGCTTTCAGCTGTCGCGTACTCACTCTCGATAAGATGCTCTGTTTCGGCAACATGCTCTGTTTCATCAGGACGGAGTGAGTATGCGACAGCATGCTCGCTTTCAGCGACATGCTTGCGTTCAGCCACATGCTCCGTTTCATCAGGACGCTCATCATCAGTGGGGTCAACGTTTTGAGGCACCGGCAGCGGTATTTCGCCCTCCAGAAACGCCTTTCGAGTGGGCTGCTCACCCCTCGATGCTGCTGCGATCGCTATGGCTGCTTTTGCTGCGGCGGCTGTCTGCTGCTGAACCTCCATTTCAATCTCAGCTAGTTTGGCCATTTCGTGCTCACCACCCTGAATTGTTCTATTGAGAACACTATCTGCGTTCGTCAACTCTGTGATGGTCTCGTGGTGCCTCATTCGGCGCCTTGATTCATGTTCAGAGTTGGTGTCGGCGTCTCCGTCATAATACTTCGCATGATACTCATTCATTGAATCAATCTCTGCTTGCCGGGGAGCCTTTGGAGGCTTTTTGTTTTTCTTGGACGACTTGGTCGATGTGGAGCGGGCAATCCTTAGTAGACTCTCAGCCCTTGACAACGAATGAGGAGACTTGCGTCCAGATGGAGACTTGCGTCCAGCTGGAGACTTGCGTCCTGCAGGAGACTTACGTCCCACAGGAGACTTGTGATCGTTCTTCTCGGCTTTCGCATTGGATGCACGAGCAATTCTACCCACACTCTCGGCTGCTGCACGTTCAATGGATCGACGAACTTCTTCGCGCATAGCCTTCTTGCTATCTCGGTCTGTATCATCCTCCTCGGAAGACGAAGGCGTGAACAAGGCCACGTCGCGCTTCTTCCATGGCAGGGATGCCCTGACTCGCTTCCACGTGAAGACAGAGCCAGCATCCCTTTTAGCCTTCTCCTTCTTCTTGGCTTTCTTCTTCTTGTCTTTGCTCTTGGATTTGCTCGATTTGCCTCCCTTGTCTTTCTTGGCGGACTTGCCCTTCGTCTTGCCCTTGACCTTGTCTTTGGTCTTGTCCTTGCTTTTTGTCTTGGATTTTGCCTTTTCAGAATCCTTGGGTTCTGTCGGGCTTTCGACACCCTTGGCGGTATCACTTCCCTTACTCTTGGCATTGCTGTCGTCCAAGCTGCCAGTGGCACCGCTTTTGCTGCTTTTGCCCTTGGACTTGGACTTGCCCGCCGACGCTTGACTCTCATCTTTCTTCTTTTCGTCCTTCTTCTTTTTGTCTTTTTTCTTTTTCTTCTCCTTGTCTCCTTTGTCTTTTTCCTTATCCTTTGACTTCTTGGACTTGATCTTGGCTTTTTCGACGATCGAAACTTCAATGCTTGGTCCACAGTCGGGTGAGTCGTCGTCTTCTCCTGGTGCCATTGGTGCCCTTGCAGCTGCAGGTCGCCTGCCTCCCGCATCCAGAATTGAAGACAATACCTGCTGTCGTCTCTTTCGCTGCATTCGCAGGTTTTCAATGCGCTCTCGTTTGATCAAAGACGCCTGGCTTGGTTCCATGTTGAGGTCATTGCTTGTGCCACTACCATCACCTTCTTCGTTCTCGGCTTCTGTGCCTTCTTTTGCGTCCAAAGTTACCTCACTATTTGCCATTTCAAAGACCCTTGACAACTCTTCTTGAAGAGTCTTGTGATTGCTATCGTCCGCGTCTGAGGGTGACACTTCCGCTTCGCTCTCTTCCTTAGTTTCTCGCTCTTGTTGCTGCTTAGCCTCTGTTTGACACCCCACTGACGGCGCACTGTCCCACAACAGACTACTGAAAAAGGAGGTAGCTGCATTGACGGTTGGAGATGGGGGCTCCTTCATTGGGGCTGATAGCGTTTCTGGTGTCGGGGGTTGCGGCGTTGCGGATCTTTTCTTGGAAAGGGTAGGACTCGGCGTAAGGGTGTCTTCTCGGCCAGTTGGACCAACCGGAGATTTCGTTCGGGACAGTCTGGGTGGAGAAGAAATCCTGTTTACATTTTCTATCGTATCATTTCCATCGGTGCTTCCACTCGAAGCAAATGGAAGGGTCATTTCCTCGCCATCTCGCTGCTCGTCGTCTTCGTCCGAAATAGCTTGAATGTCTATCAATTGTTCGTCATCCACATCTAGGGTGATTGAGTTTTCCTCATCTTCGTAGTTCGCCTCTTGATACTCGTGCTCCTGGATGTCGGAGTTGCTTTGGAGATCCTCGACGGATTTTTTGACTCCTTCAGGTTCCTTTCGATGTTTGCTGTGCTTGGTCTCGGCTGACGCTTCGTGATGAAGACCTAATCCAGCGCCAACCTCTTGGTCGAGCCATCGAACACTGCGCTGACGGCTCGAAGTTGTAGATCCGGCAGACCCTGCCTTTGTAACTCCTGATTGAGTCATCCAGTCAAAGGATCCAGAAGGGTAGGAAGAACCATTGGACGATCGTGCGCTGTGATTGGATGCCTGTGAGTTCTGTGAGTTTGCGGACTCGTAGCTCAGGACATTGTTTGGTAAGGATGGAAAAGGATCTCTGTACTCTTCTTCAGTCTCCTGATTCCAGTCATCTCGGTAATCATCTTCCTGAACATGAGTCAAGTCCAGAATGATGCTTCCGTTCTCCGTTAGTTGTTCTTCTTCCGCAACGTCGGAAGTGAGGCCTGTCAGGTCCACAATGGGAGCATCCGGGAAGGTATTAAAGGTCAAATCCACAATATCCTTTTCGTTTGCAAAGGGTGTTGGCTCATCGTCAGCTGTCCCAGTTGGCGCCGTGGTGTGTGTGACATGCTTGACATGCGATACGGCGCTAAAAACGGTATCAAATGCACCTTCCTCTTCTTCCGAAAGCACGGTAAGATCGTAGTAGTCGGAGGGATGGTTCCCAAATTCGTCCAACTCATCTCGATTTGACAGATAGCGACTGGCAGCATTGTTGAAAGCGCCGCTACTAGTAGTAGTATCATAGGCAGCGGGTTCTCGACCTTGTTTGTTGGCATTGGCGACGGCCGCGGAGGGAACTTTCCCAGATGTAGTCGTGGCGGTCGTGTTTCCCATGGTGACGTCTTCACTGCTGAGCGCCGTTAGATCGTAGTACTCGCAGTCTGGGTCTTCTCGCATATCTTCCTTATAGCGATCCCATCTACTGCCAGCAGACGTCGTGCTGAGGTTGGCAGTCGTCTGATCGTCGTGCTGCGGATGATGGTGAAACGGTTCCCAAGCGTCTTGCCCACGACCAAACGGACCGGACGGTTCCTTGTAGAACGGGACTTCGGCAGGATCTACCATGGCTCCGTCGGTGCTGCTGCTGCCTGCTTCTAAGAGATCTTCGTCAAACGAAGTCAAGTCCAAGAGCTTAAAATTCATCAGAGGACTTGACGCACGGAACTGCGGAGGCGGCGGCTGTTTCGCGACGACCGGTACAACGGCTTTTGTTCGAGGTCTCGAAAACTGAATCTCTTCTTCATACTCGGGTTCGTCGTCTAGCAGATAAGACCGTCGCTTCTTGGATGAAGCTGAGCGACTTGTCATCCACTCGAATTCATGAGCCGAGTGCAACGCGCTCATGGTGTTGTTGTTGTTGCGCTCAAACACGAACTAGACAAGATACTCAACAGTAATAACAAGACAGAATTGAGCAGGTTGGAATTGGGTGTTTTGTTGCAGGCAAGGACTTCTGGTGCATGTCGCTCTACTCGAGTTCCGCTGTCAACGCTGCTCGTTGGCATGTATGTTATACTTGACCTCAGGCCGTGCAAAGGCCACCGATTGAATTGCGAGCAACGATCAACGGAAACGAACAAAAACCTGAGCGGTGCTGAATTTCCATGCTGGTGGGAGTAATGCCCGTTGTGCGCGCAGGAGTGGTGCGCAGCACCAAACCCAAAACCGTTGCAACCTCATCAACTAGAATGTTGATCTCCGTCAATAGGTCCCTCAACTGACCAACGCTCTTGGAGCTAGCTAAGTACTGCAACCAACCTTACACAGGTTTTAGAGTAGTTCCAGAGCACCTGCGAGGGGATGCTACGCTTGACACAAACTGATTCGATCTATCCAGGAAGCACCATTCATGCGAGAGAAGTGAATGGTGATGGAAGTACAGGTATCAAGCTCTGGCTCCTGGAGATTGCATGTTGGATGCATGCTGGATGTAAGACGACGTTGTATGTGTTGCAATCGCCAGATCCAAAGTTTCAGAGGGAAGTTAGAGCTCTTAGCTAATAGAGACGAGTCAAGAATCTGTTCAGAAGGGACGATATGTTTTTAATAATAGAACATAATTTTAATAAATGGAATCCTAGTAGCAGCTAGGATCAAGTTTCTTTTTGAAAGTGCAACGGGTTTTGCAGTGCAATGGACTTTTGTTTTACTATTCTACCTATGTACGATTCTCACACACTTTGGAACCCCTCTTAACTAAGAACCTGTAAGCTCATGTTCAAGGTCGTCTAGCAGTTTCAGCAGGTCTACGCCGAAATAAGGGGCAGAGTTGGAGTGAGAAGGTGCTCTGGGAGGACAGCCGAAGGATCACTACAGGAGATTGCAAGGTTCTCTTACCTTTCTCGAACTTCTTTTTTAACGTCTTGGCCATCTTGTAGACTTTGCATCCTTTCTGACTGTGCTTCATTCGGAAATTGAATGTCATGTTCACATCAGCTTGGAAGTCGAGAATGGTGGCGTAGTCTCCGTTGATCAAATTCCTTGATTGAGGCAATGGAATGGAACAGAACAAGATGTGAGACTTGGCTTGCATCCACCGTTCCGTACTTATTCACTATACAAACAAACCCTTACCTCAATATTGAACCTAGATCCAATGGCTTGTACTTGGACTCGTTTTCCTTGTAATCGGGGTACTTCCTCAAGTCCACGGGTGTGCTGAATTCAAATCCGTACTCGTGTGTCATTAATGAAGTCACAAGCACCTGAAGACACTCCATGTCCAATGTGGCTGCAGGAGATTCATTGGGCTCCTGCAGCGCAGACACAGAAGATCCTCTGCTTTCGTTGTCGAACGACATGTCTATGATATCGTCCACCAGCCCGGCTTCTTGGGCAGCCTCGCCTTCGCCACCTGCCTCCTCTTCTTCCTCTCCTGAATGTTGAACTGCTATCTGACTCTGGTGATCTGATTCTTCTTCAGGCATTTCAATGGAATATTGCAGAGTTCCTGTCTCTGTTTCCTCAGGTTCGTCAGAGTGAGACCAATCAGTATCCAGGTTTTCTTGGTCAGCAGCATCCGTGCAAGCTGGGCTCTCCATGTTCTTTACAGCGCTGTCAACTGTAACGTCATCTGCAGGATGGTCTTGTTCCCAACCCCGGAGGATTTCGCTCGGGAGTGGCTCGTCATCGTGGGTGATGGACTGTATTTGAGTAACAGGAGTGCTGCCACAAAATTGGTCCTCACTTCCAAGTTCCGACATCTCTTGCATCGTTGATTCTTCGTCGGCAACGTGAGCTGGTGCTCCCGCTAGGATACCTTCAGTCAATTTTGGGTCTTCTTGGGCCAAGGACGAACATCCCATGGGCAACCTAGCCATCCCGCCGCCACTATCGAAAAAGGAAATGTCTTCTTCTGGAGAAACTCGGCAGCCACTTGGCAGCTTTGAGACTCCACTGCCGCCGTCGCAGAAAGAGAGTGGTAGTTCCTCTTTTGCTTTGACGGGCTGGTCTTGAACCTTCATTTCATGGGAAACGGGTTCATCTGGACTGGTGCTAGAGAAGCTCAATAACGCAGCCGTTGTTAAATCTGAGGCAAAGTCTGAATCCACAGGCTTGGAACTCTGTTCCAACGAATTGGGCGTGTCGTGCAACACACTGGGCATATCCTGCGCCGAAAAGGGGATTGGTCCTTCATCTTCTGTTGCTTCCGAGGCACAGGCTTGCACTGGCAAGCCGCGATCACTGGTTACGTCGTCAGTCTTGTCTGCTGGGAGGCTTGACAAAGCGGATGATTTCAGGTCTGAGACCAACGAAGAAACGCTTGATTCTGCCGTTTTGGCTACGGCAGTTGATGTACTCTTCAGGAAGGCCCCCAATCTCGACATCTGAGAGAAGACGTTGTCTTGGTCTTTCATGACTTGCTCCGGTATCTCCTCGAAATGGCTTTGTCGGGGCAGCTCTCTTTCAGAGTCTTTGGAGTCTTCCGAGTACCCATCGTCGCTAGCCTTGTCGTGAGTGGCCTCGTCAGTGGCATTCTCATCTGCAGCAAGGCTTGCCTCGTCGGTTGGAGCATCGTAGGCTAAGCAATTGCCCTCTTCGACTGCTGTCAACTCCACAACAGATTCATCTTCTTCGTAATCTCCATGTGCCTCTGTTACAGTGGGAACCACAGATGGAGTTTCATCTTCGGATATTGGGTCGTCAATCTGCTCCCCAACATTCTTCTCGTTCTCCAAGTCCAGATGCTCTCCTAGTTCTGAAGAATCGTCGGCAATCTCTGCCATTTTGGTATTCCAAACGTCTGCAAAGGCATCAAAAACGCCTCCAGTTGACTGCTTTTTGCTGTAGTTCGTTGGAAGATCAGGAACCTTCGCTTCTGGTGCATTTTCAGATGCATCTTCTGCTACCCCGTCGTCGTCAATTTCGGGAGTGTGATCATTTGTGGACTCGTTTTCATCGTCACTTTCGGCTGCGATGGGCCCTGATGAAGCCGTGTCATGCTCGGGTATATCTTGCAGCTCGCTCTGGGGAAGATGTGTGACTTCAATGTCCCCGATATGATCATCGTCGTCCGCGTCAGAGACTTCTGCCGTCTTGCCGTTCCATTCGTCAGCAAAGCCGATTACTCTGTCTTCAATGGCGCTCTCTGGATGGTCCTCGTTGTCGTCTTCGTCTCCTGGGTACATTTCCGGAGTTTCCAGCAACTCAACTTCATCTGCTTCGTTGGAGGGTTCAGTGGCATCTGCTATTTCGGCCATCTTTGAATTCCAAACGTCTGCAAAGGCATTCGCGGTGTGCTCTGCTGGGCTTGGTTCCCGAAAGGGATGGATGATTGCAACCTCCTCGATATCTTCCTTGAAGGATACCTTCTTGTCGTTGGGGAGTCTTCGGATCGGGTCCGCAAAAGCTGCAGTGTCCGTGTCCGTTTCATCGTCCACTGGGATGATCGAAGGTTGCTCCAAGTCTTGCCACTCGGCGATATCTTCTGCTTTCTTCATCTCCGAGTCGTCTTCTTCCTCCGGCTCTACTTCTACATGAGTTGTGTCATCTTCAGCGTGGTCCGCATTGTCATCCATGTCCTCCTGGGCCGAATTTCCAACTAACGGAATCTCATCTTCTTCCCGCGGCAAGTCCAACTCGGCACTTGGAAGTTTGGTTTCCTCTCCCCACGAAACAACACCTGTTTTGTCTGAAGCAGCCTTTTCAGTAAACCGTGCCTCCCAGAGGTTGACAAGCGAATCAAGCTTTTTGCTCTCCGAAGGAACGTCGACTGTGTGAAGCTCTGGCGCATTAGCTGCTTCATGGTCGACTTCGTCAACAGAAAGACAGAAAGCAGTGTAAGCGGCCTCTGCATCTAGTCCGGAATCGGTCGCTGTCGCTGTAACATCTGTCGGTCGTCCCGTCAGGTCGTCGTCATCGACTCGCTCGGTATAATCATCCTCCGTGTCGTTGTTGATAGACTCTTGCAGTTCATCAATGTCATCGTTTTGATGGCTGTCCTCAGCATTGGTAGTATTAACCTGCTGGTCGCAATAGACTTGCCCTGATGACAGCGTATCCTGTCGATTGAGCTCAAAAGATGCCTGCTTTGATGTGAAAATGTCAGACTTGGAGGAAGCATCGGGTATCACACCGACACTGCTAGAGCTACTAGTGCTTGCGTCATCTTCTTCGGCTTCTTCTTCGTCCTTTTCGTCCGTCAAGTCGATGGGCGTCGGTGTCTCAACTAGCCGAGTAAGCAGCACTTGGGGCCGTGACGCAGTTGGCGCATCAGCCACCAGCGCCGTTTTCACTTTTCTATCGCTGGGAACGTCCACTCCTCGTTTGTTTTCTCTCCTTTTAATATCATTCGAATCTTTCACAAGGCGATACGATGGAATGGATTGAAGTTGTAATGAGTCATCCAATAAACGAGACAACAAGCTTTCTGCAGCGCTTTCTTCCGCAGACGCGCCATCATCGTCGTCCTTCTCCCTTGACGTAGTTGTTGGCATCATTCCCCGCACCACACTATGAAGGTTGGCTTGACTGGGCATCCATGCACGAAGGTTGCCCGTTCTTGGCGAGGACGTCGCTGTCACAGAAGCATACTGCCGCTCCTTGGTTAAATTGCTAGCCTTTTCGGTTGGGTCATCTCGAGACTCTCTTCCGTGAACTGATGATGACGAAGACGAATGCGACGCCATCAGGCGTGAATCCACCACAATGATCTCATGACGAACCGAAGATTGGGTAGCTTCGCTCCTTGAAATGTAATAGCTATCAGGCTCGGATATGAATGTCTGATCCCCGAGAACTGTTTCCACAGCTTCTTCCTGCACATATTCTCCCTCGTTGGGATCCATGGCCACTGGCAGATCTTTCGAAAACGACAGAGACTCCGCCGCCTCAATCAGAGTTGTGTACCTAATAGTGGTTTCCAGAGCTGGAGAGGCCGGGGGAGCGGGGCTGCTCAGCTGCCGCAACAATAAAGCTGGGCAATCTTTCTGCTTGCTCTCAGTTGCCGTCGCCGGGGCATCGTTCTTGCCCCGTCTATTATACCCACCGGAGCGTGGGGGCCTCATTATGGGTGCCGAAAACCGTACTGCCGCATCCGGCTTGACTCGTGGTTGATGTCCCGGCGGATCTTTGACTGGAGGAGCGTTGATAGCAGCGCCCAGCAGCGACGGTTTGTGCTCCAAGACGCCTGGAGGATCAGCAGATGTTTCGGTCCGAGAACTACGTGCAGTGATTACAGATGTGAGGTCACTTTCCGAAGATGCTGTCATGCTCGGAATATCCAAGTCTCTGCTTGTGCTGGTCTTGTTCGAATCACCCATGGACACTTGTTCTGAGTGTCTTGCCACTTCAAACTTGAGCTGCTCTGTGATGGTCCGTGTCAGATCGGTGACACTCGGATGACTCCCTGGAGACTGTGGGGCTGGAGTTGTTGCTATTGACTTTGTCTGGGGCTCGTTGTTGGCGCTTTTGTTCGCTTCAGACGTCTCGGTTGGACTCTCTGCTGGTTGATCCACTTTCTCAGGGGCAGCAGGAGCCAGAGGAGCCGACTTGTTGTTTCTGACTACTTGCGTATCGTCTTCATCCAAGCTGGGCACAACCAGGTCAATAGCGGTGTTCTGGGTAAACCCGTAAGGTGAAGTTGGCTTTTTTACTTCCGGCGGTAGTACCGCTGGAAGCTCCGAATAGTCTCTAGGCATGTAGGGCAAGCTCATTGGTGTATGTGGAACATCATCACCATCAAATCCAGTCTTGGTATTGGTTTTGGCTGCAGCAGAAGTATTGCCTGCGGCGTACGGTGAAAACTGCTGTGGTGAGGAGACTGCTGGCGCCGGCAAAGACTGAACCTCCCACTTGTCATCCCGGTGATCCTCTACAAGGTTTGGTGAGGATGTTTTTGCTTTCGTGGTATCAGTGGTTGATGTCATTCTTTGTCGTCGGTTTTGCATGAGATCCCACTCCCTGTCTGCCGAATTGACCGATTCCTGGCTCTCATTGTCATCCAGAATAGACGGGACTTCAGTCAAGTCAATGTAGCTTCCGCTGGACGATACTCGATCGGTAACCACGCAGTTGCTCAGGTCGACCAGATCTGTTTCCCTTCGGATGCGAGAGATGCGATCTTCCGTGTCCTCGGATCTAGAGTCGTCGCCGGTAGTCGAAGTCCGATCGCCTGGTTGCTGTCTGCTGTGATTTTTGTGTGGATGCCGCTGATACTGCGATTGATCCATGCCATTGTAATTCACGGCATAGAAGTCATAGTTGAGGAGATTGTGATGGGCATTGCTAATGTTGGGGTAGTTTTCTGGATTGCGGTAGTAATGGTGGTTGCTGACGAGGTTGTTGCGGTACTGGTAGTCATAGTTGGCGCCGTTGCTGCTGCTGCCGTATCCGTGGTCCTGATCTCGATCTCGTCCGTAAGAGTCTTCTTGGCTCTTCTTTTCTTCCACAAATCCGTCGTCAACTTCTTCTTCGTCTTCGGCTGATGCATAGCATTCGTCGACGGGACTTTGGTAGTCCGTCAGATCCACAAACTGAGCCTGGGTCGACGCAACAGTCCCGCTCAGCGACGCCGTTTCTAGCTGATCATACGACGCTGGATAGTAAGGCGCCGGCGAAGAAGACCTGCTGCCAAAGGACGAATACTGATGCTGGGAAAACGAAGGAGACTTGTGGTGATGCTGATGGTAGAAGCTTTGGCCCGCCGAGTCAGGCTCGTGGTTTCGATTCATAAGACTTCGAGTTGGATTGTAGTAGCTGCTGCTGCTGGAAATCGTCGTCATGTAGGTGAAGTCATCGTCGTCCACTGCACTCGGCCGGTAGCTTCTGGGACTGGCGTAGCGATGGCCTGTTGCCATCTTGGTGGCACAGACGTCTCGCAAAGACTAGCTAGACACACCTGAGGTCTGCGAATACCGTTGCTGCAAAATGATGGTGACAACGGCGCCGCAGCCCACAGCCACTGCTCAGTCTTTCCCTTTGTTTCGTCCACTTTCTTTTTGTTGGGTGTCCTCTCACAGGCTTATTCGAATACAAGACCAAACGACTGTTGGTTCTTTGCCCGGCAACAACAAGGAACCAAAAGTTGCGCCTTCAGGCAGTTGAGGTGCGGAAAAAGCAACACACAAACAAGTCAACGCACGCCAACGGCATTTTTTTGACGCCGCTCACCCCAGACACACTTGGCTATAGTCGTAAGAGTAAAGGCCACGCCAGCTACGTGCACCCTCGGCGTTTCAGGTTCCAAGCGGGTCGAAGATGTACGCTCTGGTAACGAGCCACATCTTTCGCATTCATTTCTTTCGCGGCGTTTACAAGACCATGGGCTGGATGAAACGCGAGCAATTAAATAGCTGCAAACAAAGGCGCCCTTGACTAAAGGTGATGCCATACCGTATAGCTAGCAGAAGGTGCTGAACAGGGTTAATACAATCGGTAAGTCTAGTAGCTGTCTTTGCCTGAACCAGAGCGCAGTCACGGACAAAGATCTTGAAGTTTGGTATAGACGATAGGTCAGCGATAATTGCCTCAGTGTACCGGTACATTGTGCACTGAAACGTGCTACTAGCAGACTTTTTAGTACAAAAAGAAGCACATTATATAGTTGTCTGTTCCGTATATACCGGTATAGCCGCAAGCAACGACTTTAGCCTACTAGTAGCGATTGAATGAATCACATTCCTGCTCCGCACCAAGTCCTTTCCCGTTGGGCTTTCCTGCGGGCAGCCAAGTTGCGTCGTGGTTTCTTCTGCTGTTGCTTTTGCCTCGAAATCTGGTCACAAAAATGATCCAATAGCTGCATTTTGAAGTCAGTCTCCAGCTGTTTCATCAACTCATCGCCCGCCAGTAGCCTCAACTCCTTGTGGCGTTGCTGAGTGTGGACGCTTCCATCGTCCTTGTGTTTGCTGTACCACTTGCGAGCCTCATGTTCCAGGAAAGTCTCATACTTGTCAATGGAATCTTCCAGGCAAAGCTCAATGTCCTCCAGAAAGTCATCCAAACGATTGTCATACACGCCCGCGTCAATGTTTTCCACCACCTCTGCCAAGTCAAGATTATTCAGGACATAATGACAATAGTCCTTAATGGCCATGTAGTCTCCCAGGAGGGAACCTTTCTTTTTCTTCTTGCTGTCCGAGTCTTCTTGCGGTTTCCTGGCTCGGTCGGTTGGAATGTGATGTCGCTCCGCAATGCTGCTCGCATAGAAAATGGCCTTGCTTTCATCTTGATCAAACAGGTCATTGATAAAGTTCCCCATCCACTCACGACAATCGAGTACGTCGTACTCCGAGCAGTCTTCCGTGGTGGACGTACCCTCCGAGTCGGCTGATGACGATGACACGGACTTGCGATCATCAAGAATGCCAGCCTCGGTATGACTTTGGTTGGAATCATGCCGGAACGGAGCTTCGTCATCGTCACTCGTAGTGCTGTTCTGCCGGATCTTGAGGGGGGCACTATCTGGTATCACCGTTGGCAACTCGTGAAAGGATTTGCTTCGATTTGCGTTCCGCTGTTGCTGCTTTTGTAGTTGCAGCTTTTTTTCAACAGCAGCCGCCTTCTTTCTCGATTGCTCAGTTTGATGACTCGACGACTTTCGATTACTTTTGGATCGCCGGTCGTTGTCGTTGGGTGGTGGTAATGTGCCACAGCTGCGAATTTCTTGCCGGTCCCTGCGGGTAATATTGGGATCCACCTTCTTCTTCCATTTTTGCTTCTCCTTCTTCTTTACCGCCACGGTGCTGGTATCTGCCGGTTGATGGCCTCGACAAAGCTGATCAAACATTTGATCATCACAGGTATCAATGGGTAACTGCTTTTGACAGTCAATTGCAAATAGATCATTGGTCATAGTTGAGCCAACGCCGCCGCGGCTGACAATGCTGTTGTTGCAGGAGGAAAACGGATAGTAATCCTCAGATTGGCCGGGCCATCCACTACTTCTAGAAAAATCAGTCAAGTGAATGGTGGAATTCTCCTCTGATGCTTCCTGAGAGACAGGAAGGACCACCACTTCTGATTCCCGCACCTCCTCGATGGCCGTTTCCGTCTCGCCATGAATCTCTGGATAATAATCGGAGCAGTATTCAGCAGCAATCACTTCCTGATAGTCTTGACTAGGTGATGCCAAACTGTATAACACTCGAGTTTGCGGTTTTGCTTTGTAAAAGGATACGGGCGTTCCAAAGTTCCGGGCTTGCTGTGCTACTCGTTGTGGTCCCGCAGGAGGAGTCACGATGGACCCGCGCGACGCTGCATCGTCGACAAAGCAGGTCAAATCAAAGACTTGAAACTCGGGGATTGGCGTCGGTGGAGTTGGTGTCAGAATTGGACGATACTGACTGTTGGAATGATAGAATCCCTCGTAGAATTGGGGTGGGCTGGTCGGGGTTGTTTCGCTCGGTTCATCCAGGTACGTTCCCAGACGCGTCAAGTCCATGTAGAAGTGGCTACTGGAGCTAGCACTGGAATCAGATGCCGGCAAGACATCCCCATAAGACATAAGACCTTCGTACAGGCTTTGCGGTTCATCGTAGACACTGGCGGCGTCCGTCAGGTCAAAGGCACCGATTATGGTGACCATCTCATCGTCTTCGACGCTGTTTGCACCACTGCGGGAGCGCCATGGATCATACATTGCTTCACGCTCTTTTTCCTTTCTTCAAGATGTCGAACAAAGAAGCGCATTGATATCCACTAAGCTCAGCGAACTTGGTGATCGATGGCAGTTGAAATGCAAAAATGTTTCATCGCGACTTGGAATGAATGTGGATGCTGCAATAGATCTTTCGGCCGAAAAATGCTGCAACGGCCAGCCAAAAAAATGACGAGGGCGGGCGAACGCAACTCCCGCGGGAAATTTTGGTCACGCTTCCAAACTAAACCGGCTGGGCGGCAATTTCAGATCGACGGACCTAGCTAGAGCTATAGTTAGCTATGCATACATGTACGAGTTGCCAGATTTGCTACCACACTGGAGTGCCCCAGCACGAGATAGGGAAGTTTTCCCTACAGAAGCCACGACAGCAGGGAGCCAGCCTTAGGCAAAGAAGAAGAGGCAGAATTTGGGACGAGGCCTAGCCAGGTTCGGGGGTCAGGGGTGACAACAAATTGAGTTAAAATACAACTTTTATGCCTAGTTGGAACATGAAGACTTAATTAAGAAGGGCAGCTTCCCCTGCCCTTTGAAGCTATAGCAGGAAACACCTTGACAACCATTCAAAACCACATCAATTAAACAAAGAAACCTTCCAAATAGGCAACTGCATCCTGCCACCACGTGAACGCCCTACTAACCAAACTGGTCTGTTCGGGACTTCCACCAGTGCCCAGGTTTCCAACTTGAGGCAATGGATTCAGGATGGGAGAAAATGTGGGAAAGTCAGTTTGTCCCCACATTTGGACAAGTCCATTCTGTATGTCAGGACCATTGTAGAAAGGTGCTCCAACAAGGACTTTTGTCCCATCACCGGAAACAGCAACACTCCATCCCAAACCATCACGTTCCCTAAATCCATCAATATCAAAACCTTGGGCCCTGCTGATCTCTTGAAGGACCCAATCAGTGCCATCAAACTTGTAGATGCGACAGTAACCAGGAATAGTAACTGACGAGAAGAAACTGCGTGCAGACCCAGCCACAAGGGTTTTGCCATCATTGGATAAATCAACGGAGGACCCAAATTGATCATCTTGTTCATCCCCAATGAGATCGCTATGTATGTATCACAAGCCACAGGGGCAGGGGCAGTAGAGTCAGATTTTCAAAAAGATCATGCAGCATGCACATTTCACAGTCCTCAATGAATGCTTACCTTCCCAATTGGAGCCATAATTCATTGATTCTTTCAAAGACTTGCACCTTACCTATATCTCCACTGACATCTCCATCATGCCCAGGAGACCCAACTGCAATGATGCTTCCATCATAGCTTAGAGCCACCGACTCGCCAAAAAGGTCACGGACAGTGGACCCAAACACAGCTCCACCAGTAACAAAAACTTGATCGATTATTAAGCCATCAATGTTGTAAACACGGCATTCACCAGTTTTTGTGCCCTCATTGTCAGAGATTCCAGATCCCGGAATTCCAACAGCAAACCAGCTGCCATCTCCAGAGAGTGATACAGACCTCCCTAAATCTCCAAAAAAAATGTCTCCATAGAGTCCAGAAACAATGGCTAAGTTGACGTCGTTATCACGATATGTCTGACGCTCCCAGTCAGTGCTGTTCCAGAAGTAGGTTGTTGCAAAGCCAAGGTTGTTGAATTCGTTTGGGCTACGATAATACGGAGCCCCAATTGCAATTTTGTTTCCATCTGCTGACAGAGAAATGGAAAAACCAAAGGAATAAATTGGCGATCCATCCAACTCAGTACCTTGAATTGTACTGCCTCTTTGAGACCACATCTCTGTGCTTGTGTTGTAGTGGAGCACCTCAACAACTTCCGCGATACCGGTACGAGAGCTGACAGCAACAATGCTAGCATCACTCGATATTGCAACTGTACGACCAACATTGCCAGGACGAATAGGAAAACCTGTCAAGACTTGACCTTTTGGAGTCCATCCATTGGCAGCATTCTCGTAGACTCGAACAATGCCAGTACCTTCTTCATAGACCACTATTGTTGTCCCTGTCTCGTCCATGGCCACAGACAATCCAAACTTTCCATTCTCGGTATCCCCGACGAGATTTCCTCCATATGTGACATATCCACTGATGGGAACCAACCGGCGATGCTCCTCATTCATGTCAATCATGTGGAGTGCATACTTTTGGGGTTCACTGGTACCATCTGTACCATCAGTACCATCGGCTGATGTGACAAGCATTGCCAGAATGATACACAGCAGGATATTGAAAATCCACAACATGGTTGACATGGTTGACAAAATTTTCAAAAAATTAAAACAGATGGACAAGAATAGAAAACTATTCAGCGGAGAATGAGAAAACTTTCGACGGTAGCTCGTGCTATGTGTTTGCGAGTTTTTTAGCGTTGATTGAATCATTCATTTAGAACAGCGGGAACAAGCCAGTCAATTAGCGGTGCTCCATGCATGGGGTCAAGCTGCATGGTTGTTACCGTGCGAAGCGGCAGTTCAACGTCCATTGAATTCTTTTAGAGTTCTAAGGCAGCGATCGATCGAGCCATTGATCAGCGACACTCATCATTAGTGTAGGTCTACTATTAATAGTATGGTTCTACGACGTACGTGTCACTGATCTGGACTGTGCCTCTTACCGAAATAAAGATCCCATCAACGTGTTAACTCAACAAGAACGCGACAAAATTTCCAAATATAAAGAAGTGTGCGACTCCAATCGCGCTTCCTTCCACCCCTATGTTGTTTCAGTGGATGGCATGCTTGCCCCTCAAGCCAAGACTCTCTTACAACGCCTTGCTTCTGCTACTGCCTCCAAAACTCAATTTTCCTACTCTGAAATGATGTTCTTCATGCAGACCCGTATCTCAATTGCCCTTGTGAAAGCTACCCATTTATGTCTCCGTGGATCCCGCAAAGCCAAACCCTTTGCCCCCCGTAATGGTCCTCAATTTCTTGCCCCTGATCCCACAGAACCTAGTCCTGAATTTCGACTGTTCTTTGTTTACGCCTGGCCCCGGCTGGCTTCCGCAGATAATTTCCCTTCTCTAAAACCCCCTTAATACTTTTAGAAAGTGGTCGTGAATAAAAATAAATTCTGCACACCAAAAACTGAAAACGCTCCGAGAGCATAAAGTAGAGGCAAGTGTGCGTCTAAAGAAAGAAAAAGGAACGAGAGCCTCTCTCCTCTTGAAGAGGACTCATTCCTTCTTCCAACGCACCAGAGCAATGGTGGAAATGTAACCTACAGAATGGCTAATAGAGCCACAGTACAGTGCTGAGACTTTTTCCTTCTTCCAACAGCACCATGAAGAGCAATGGTGGAAATGTAACCTACAGAATGGCTAATAGAGCCACAGTACAGTGCTGAGACTTTTTCTATAGACCAACTAGACCGCTGCGGTCGCAGTGGTAATGCCCGTTTGGACCAGATCAGGTTTGAATAGTGGCTTTGTTGCAAAAGTAGTATAGTAGACACCCCTGTCCACTATCGTCATCTTCGTGAAGTCGCAAGCACAAAGTAGACCATGCACTCCATGAATGCTGGCTGAGAGAATGAAGTGAATACAATCATGCACAGACCAATCGTAGTATTTCTCGAATACGAGCAACCTCACCGAAAAAGAAGAAAAAAGGTGCTCTAACTGACTGTACATGTGTACTACTACTACCGACGCAAGCATGTACTACTACTACCACCCATGCATTACCATGAATCATGATTCCAAGGCTGATCTACCCACCACTCCACAGTGATATCAAGAGGTATCTGTTGCTCTAGGGAGAGCAAGAGCACCGCATGCTAAAACCTTTAGTGACCAACAGTTGATCCTGGGTGGACTGGACTGTCCGACGGTTTTTGCTCAGGTTTAAAAACTGCTCAAATGGTGGTTCTGGTTAAGGGAATGTTAAGGGAATGTTGAAGCTTTAAGGGAATGTTAAGGGAATGTTGAGGATTTAAGGGAATGTTTTAAGGGAATGTTTATTTAAGAGAATGTTCTTTTTTTTAAGGGAATGTTCTATGGGGTTTACATGAAGGCTTAGAGGAATGTTTCGAAGCGTTAACGGAATGTTGTTAAGGGAATGTTGATTTAAGGGAATGTTAAGGGAATGTTAAGGATTTAAGGGAATGTTTTAAGGGAATGTTTAAGGGAATGTTTCAACTGCAAAATTTTGAGTTTTTTTAAAACCTGAGCGAAAACCGTCGGACGGTCCTGTACTCCAAGAGACTCCCTTTTCCGGGGAGGGACAGAACGACTGTGACTATCTGTGGAGTGCAACGGCCTTGAGAAAATGCATAAAGGCCCCACAACAGATTTACGCGGAAGCTATGCCAAAATTTTTGCAGCGAACTTCTACTACTGCAAACCAGCCAGTGCCGTGGTTACAGCCAGCATCACCTGTTCCACCCCCAGCCCAGTCCCAACAGTTTCACCACTTCGAACCATTCGCAGTGGCTCCCACAAGCTCTATCAAGTTTCCCACATCTCCCAGCCAGTTTTCCATCTGAGGAACCAGCTGTCAAAGAAGGCTTCTTTCCAGATGCCCCAGCTGTCACAGAACACATCAGGTTCCATACCATCTTGCAAGTCTTGGTATCCCCAGCTGTCACAGAACACCACATGTTCCATCCCACCTTGCAGGTCTGAATGTCCCATCAGTTCTTATGTACTTGCTCCTGGTTTGATCTTGCTTGCCAAATCCACCCAAAAGCAGTCATTGTCAGGCTAACCCAGCAAGACCAACTTCAACCAAGACCTCCCAAAGGAAACTTGAGCTTGGACTAGGCAGAAACAACTTTCATTCCTCTCCCAGTTGTGCTCAGAAATTTGTTTTCCCTCAGTTGAAAAACAAGTTTCTGCCTCAGTCCATCAGAACTGAGTAGAAAGTTCACCTGCCAACCTTTGCTGCTCCAAGCACTTTCATCATCTACCAACCTTGCCACCAAGCACAGCTTCTTTCCCCTACCCTTTTTGTTCACCATCATAACACAGTCTCAGATGATGTTGCGCAGTGGATCCACTGCCTCCAAAGGTACCCAGTCCAGCAAGTCCTCTATGAGGGTCAGCTCCCACAAGACCATGATGGAGAAGTTCAAAAAGGCCAGTGGTCTCGATAAAACCAGCACCATGTCCAAGGAGCCTGAGCAGCGATACATGATGAAACATATCCAAGTCTACCAGCCTAAGCCACCAACCGAGATTGCTGAACTTCTTCAGTTGTTCTACTCGGTTGCTATGGAGGATCCTGCCAATTTGGCAGATACTATCCACAAACTCCATGAGGAATACAAGCAAAACCCCAAGAAGTCAGAGCAGTTCTGCATCCTACATGCTTTTGGCGAAAAGTATCACCTCACTCACTCCTTCACCTTTGCCCCTGATAACTGGAAGGATAGTGACAACGCTCAGATCAAAGAGCATCATGGCAAACCCATTTTGTTTACTGGATTTGAGAGCGAGGTTGGACGGGACTTGCTCACGCTTACAGCTGACCCTGCTGATCTCTTTGGTTTGAAAACCAAACAGCTTGCTTCTTGGGATGCTTGCTGCAAGCTCACAGAAGGTTTCGCTGCCACGGATGATGAAACTGCCAAGACCGTTGGTGCATTCCCTTTTCTCCCCATCATTGGTCGAGATTGGTGTGCAAAAGTTGCCAATGGTCTGTATCCTATGGATATCAGCAAAAGCTGGACACCTTCCCAGTTGATTGCTTGTCTCAAGGAGTATGCCGTGGCCTGTGACAGCAGTCGTCTGGTGAAAACCAACATCCAAAACACCATTCGGTGCTTGGCTAGCAAAGACTCCAATGAACCACTGCAGTGTCAGGCCGCCATTATTGCAGCAGAAATCAAAGTCAAGCTAGAGGAACCCTTCATTGCTGCCCATCTCAAAGCAATGCAAGCAACCTTTCAGCCCACCGTGAGTCTTCTCAATGATGACCCAGCCAGCAATAAGGAGCAACCCTCCTCCAACAAACAGTCCCAGGAGCAGTCACACTCCACCAGAAGGGAATCAACTTTGGGTCAGGAGCAGCATCACTCCTCAGAAGAACCCCGCCAGGCCCAGGAGCAGCACTCCATCCAAGGGCACAGTCGTGCACCACCGGCACAACAGCAGCAGCAGCAGCAGTCCTCTGCCATCACCACAACTGGTGCAGATTCGAGGCGCAATCTCTTTGATCATCCACCGACTGATAGGGGTGACTCAAATATGGTGGAGGATTTGCCAGAGCCATTTACCAAAGTTCCTGCAACTGTTACTTTGGCCAAACTGACATGTCTCCGTGGCTGGACTCGCAGTCCCACATGGAATCACATTGACGGTTTCTGGGTGAATTTATTGGCCCTTTGCAAACATGATCGTGCTCTATGGTTTACCAACCTGGTACGAAACTTACGCGAGGCCCACCCAAAAACCTTTTATCCAAATTTGCATACAGTGCTACATTTCAACAGCATATGTATGACGCAATTTTGACGTCTCCCCAAAATGATGTAACCTGGTGGTGTGGCCTCGTGGGAGGCCAACTTGCTCTATCTGAGGAAGCCATCGCGGAAGCTCATCACTTGGACAGCAACTTCATTGCATTTGGCAGCCAAATGAATTTGTCAAACAATCAAGCAACTGCCAAGCGGACTGGGAGGTGCCTCCAGTACCCAAAACCATTGCAGGACTATTGGCGTTCATTGAACGAGTTGCTTTCTTCACAGCTGAATTTGCATCCAGATCAATGTTACATGCCTATGCTCGACAGCTGGCACAGGCACTCGAAGAGTGGCAACCTGGGCTAGCAGCCAACCCTCAGTGGATCAACCAGAAAGCCGGCGAAGTCATCTACACATTGGTCTTAATTGAACGAGAGGAGTTCTCCAGAACCTATCAACTTGATGATTTTGTTGACGATGATGGACAAGAAACAGAACCATGCTATCCAATGCTTCCATCCCAAGTGCCACAGCAGGCATTCACTCTCTTGCAGAGTAATCCCTGTTACCCCCCTGATGCTCTTCCAAAGGCATTGAAACCCACCCCAACACAGGAGCACTCAGCTTCCACTGCAACTGGGGTCGGCAGTTCCCGGGGTTTTACATCCCAAAACGATGCTGAGATTCGTCGCCTTCGACGAGAGCTTGATCGAGAAAGAGCTCGAGGTCAGAACAACAATAGCAAGAAACGCAAAGAACCAACTGGCGCAGGACCAAACCCACGTCAAGCAAGTGGTTTTCAAGAATTCTTTGCCCAGCTACCCGAGGAAAAGTCTAAGAAAGGGCTAAGTGTGTTGCTTCAAAATGGAGGATCAACTCCACCCCAAACCTTGAAGACCTTGGATCTCCCTATGAACACATGTCTCAGGTGGATTATTGCTGGCCGGTGTGTTTTTCCTCACTGCTCTAGGCAACACCCGGATACTGTCCCTGACCCAGAGAAAGTCAAAAAGGTGGTGGCAACTCTGACACAAGGGGCCAACAAGTTGTGACTCTCTCAGTTAGACACTAGTACCACAACCACTCTTCGCACCATCAATCACCCCCCTTTCATTAGCACAAAGCACACTACAAAAGCCCTCTCTGTCAGTCAACACACAGTATGTTCACCAATGATCTCTATCACCACTACCACACATTCTTCTCATACAACCAGTCAGTTTCTACCCACACAAAAATCCAATGCTCAGAAGTCCAAAGCATCCAAATTTGGACCACAGTCCCAAACTCAAAAACCTCCAACAACAGTCCGAGTCCACACGGCCCATCAGGCAAGGCCACCAGGACTTCCCCCTCTCAAATCTGCTCCACTTCCCAAGCCACTGCAGACATGGAACCCACCCAAACTAACTCCATCTGTGGCCAAGCCAAACCTCCACGCCAACAGCAGCCACACAAAAGCACCAGTCAACCCACCCAAAGCCAAGACCAGTCAGTTGCTTCGTGCTGCCCTTGAAGAAAAGAAGAACAAGCAACGGCTTCACAATAATCAGATTCCGAAGTCAATTAGTTCACCAGTTGGAGGCATCCCACTTTCAGACAAACAAATCCTACAGCACCTAACAGATCAACAGAGTAAGTCCCAACATCAGGTTCCAAAAAGAGGTCTCATGTGTCCTGGCCAGATCGCACAGTCACACCCTGCTGGCCCTCTCCTGAAACAGTATGCAATGGAAGGTTGTCCAGTTGCCCTTGAGGAAAACTGGTCATTGGAACAGTTAGATGAAGCAGTTCAGTATGGTGCACACCCATCTGCCAGAGCCCCGGAAGCCGCAGCTGCAGTGAGAGCTGAAGCTTTGGAAAAGGTTGAACAGGGTTTTGCCAAGCTCGTCCCCTGGAAAATCCTTCGCCAACAGATCCAAGATGGTTTGAAAGCTCATACCAAAATCAGTCCCCTGCCTGGCTGCCATCCCCCACAAGTCCCGTCTCTACCGGCTTATTCTTGACCTATCCCAGAAAGGCCAAGGGCGCCGAGGACAAACATATCGGGACTCTGTCAACACTCTCACAGACCCATCTGTTGCTCCCCTCAAAGCAATGACTCAGCTGGGAGCAACTCTGCCACGGATCATCTACCATGTCGCCTCGGCTCCAGAAGAAGATGGTCCACTGCTCTTTTGCAAGCTAGATATCAAGGATGGGTTTTGGAGGATGTGTGTGCCAGAGGCACATGAAGAGACCTTCTGCTATACATTACCACCAGCTGATCCATCGGATGAAATCATGATTGTTGTTCCAGCTGCATTGCAAATGGGCTGGATCTCAAGCCCTCCATTCTTCTGCGCCGCTACAGAGACAGGCAGGGATGTTGCAGAACGGCTTCGAGTTATCCCATCCCTCCCAGCTCATCCTTTGGAAGATAAGATGGTCGACACAAGCATTCTCCACCGTCTTGGTTCACCCCAACACTGGTCAAAAGAAACCTTTGACCGACGTCTACACAAACTCTTCTACCTTTTTGAAGTGTATGTGGACGACTACTGTGCCCTCCTACAAAGCACTGATGAGGCTATGGTGCGACATCACTCCCGAGCCCTATTGCATGCCGTCCATGAGCTCTTTCCAACCCCTGATATCACTGGACATGCTGGGGAGAACCCTGTCTCACAAAAGAAGCTCATTGTTGATCGCGAAGGTGTGTGGGATGTGCTGAAGGAAATCCTTGGATGGATTTTTGATGGAGTGAAACGTACCATGCAACTTCCTACTCCAAAGATTGAGAAAATGCTCCGTACGATCCGAAATCTCATCCGCCACAAGTCATGTGCCACTACAGAGTTTCAGTCCATTGTTGGAAAACTACAGCATGCTACCCTTGGCTTTCCAACCAAACAAGCATTCATCACTCCATTGTACCACTGCCTGAAAAGTGCAAACCCAGGTGGCAAAGTGCACATCCATCCACAGTCCCCCCAACATCAGGCTCTCCTGGACTGCCAACAAGCCCTCAGAGCCATGGTGGACGAGCCCATTGACTGCCGCCAATTGGTCCCAAATTTCCCTGCCTACATAGGCTTTTGTGACGCCTGTAAATATGGCGCTGGAGGGATTTGGCTATCAGGCCACCAGCAAATCCCCCCTTTGGTTTGGCGAGTGCAGTGGCCTGAAGAAGTCGTGGATGCATTTCATGATGAACCAAATGGCTATCTTACAATCAATGATCTGGAGATGGCAGGGGTTCTCCTGGCATACCTTCTATTGGAGCAACTTGTCCCCATGGCACACACCCATACAGCTCTATGGTGTGATAATACTTCAGCGGTTTCCTGGACAAGCAAAATGAGCAGCAAAAAATCTGTGGTAGGCCAGCAACTTGCCCCGGCTCTGGCACTGCGACTGTTTCAAAACAAGGCATCTCCTCTGATTCCATTATCAATCAGAGGCGAAGACAACCCCCAGGCAGATCTAGCCAGCAGGTCTTTTCGGGACACTGGTGTCAAGGGCAATTTCAATCTTGATGATCTCACCTTTATTGCCCATTTCAATGATTCGTTCCCACTTACACAGGGAGCCTCTTGGCTCAACTTCCGCCTCCACAACAAGCTCCAACAGCGCGTCTTTTCCATTCTGCTGCGCAAGCCGCAGCCAACGCGTCGTGGATGCGACTGCCAAGCCCCAGCGTCGATTTGGAATCAGGAATGCTGGTGCCAAGAACGTGATTGGACCCATTTCTCCAAGCAACAGTTCAAGGACCAATGCACGACCATGACCAGTCCAATGGCTCCATGCCTATGCTGAAGCAATTCGACATGGCGGGGCAGGTCGTGGCCATCGAGTCAGAGTTGGCTCTGTCAAAGACGCTTGCGGCCATTGCAACGCCTTCCAACTGGCTGGCCTAACCCGCCCACACACATCGATGGCTCCAGAAAACACTACAAAAAGCTCTTAGAGCGTCAACTGCGTGGGTACACCAAAGAAGACCCACCCACTGAGCCTCACTATGCTGTTCCAGTTTCCATTACTGAAACAATTTTGGATGAAGCCACAAACTATCGACGTGTTACCCCCTCCCCACGCCGAAAGCAGACTGCCAGGAGTAGAGCCAAAGCTCTTGCCATTGCGGACCTGGTCTGCATAGCTTTCTATTTCCTCCTTCGAGTGGGCGAGTACACAAAACCACCCAAAAGCCAAGGAACGAAGCAAACCATCCCTTTCCGTGTCGGTGATGTCATCCTCAAAGATAGCAACCATCATCGTATACCCCATACGGCGTCAATCCCACTCCTTCTCCAAGCTACCGAAGCTACCATCTCGATCCCCAACCAAAAGAACGGTGTCAAAGGAGCTCTCATCCGTCAAGAATGCACTGGAACCAGATACAGCCCAGTCAAAGCACTAGCACGACGGATTTATCACATTATGAGCAATGGTGGTGGTCTTGACACACCAATCTACACATACTATATCAGTCGAAATCTGTCCCATTAGTATGTTTCTCCAACCGAGATCAACACAACCCTCAAGGAAGCTGCTGCCCTGCTGCAATTGTATACTCCAGAAATAGGGTACACGAAGCGAGATATTAGCAGCCATTCGCTCCGAGCTGGAGGAGCAATGGCCATGCATTTGAATGGTGTGGATCCACTCACCATCCAATTCAAGGTCGTTGGCGCTCCAACACATTTCTTTGCTATATTCATGAGCAGATTAGTGCCTTCTCCACAGGCCTATCTCTCAAGATGTCACAGCATATTCCTTTTCGGGCAATCACTGGCCCCACACTACTCCAAACTTGTGCCCCATTGGCATAGGGTAGTTTAAGCTGTATTTAGCAATCCAACAGATTTCCTACTACTGAATTCTCTGCTATCGCTCTGTCTGTCTACAGCAATCAGAGCTTGTAGCAGTTCATTACTCCAGAGTAGCTTTTTACTCTGCCTGAGTCTACTCTGTCTACCCGGCTTGAGAGTTGCACGTGGAACCTTCCATGGCACGGATCGTTCCAATCCAACTCTCTCTCCGAGCATGGAGCACCATGGAGTTCTCACAGCTGCGTCATTGGGGCCTATGGCACCACTTGCACACAGCTGAGGGTTAGGACCAAAGCAATAGTAGCACTAAAAGCTCTATAGCCTTGAGCCCAAACCACTTAGTACTCCAGCTCGTAGCTCTAGCCATAGTGTAGACAGGGGTAGACAATAGCCATGTAGGTTCCTACAATGTCATTGCTAGCTTGCCCACCTAGCTTTATGAGTCTGGCTATAATCTGTCGTTGCTTTGCCGCCAGCATTATAGTCCAAGAGCACAAAGTAGAGGCAAGTGTGCGTCTAAGAGGAACGGTTCGCTTGAGCTCTCTCCGTGGAGCCTCAGCCCTCTTTTGAAGAAGAGGACTCATTCCTTCTTCCAACGCACCAGAGCAATGGTGAAAATGTAACCTACAGAATGGCTAATAGAGCCACAGTACAGTGCTGAGACTTTTTCTATCCCAACCCACCTCACCCTTTGTTTCCTGTAACTGAGTTCTCACAGCTGTGTCATTGGGGCCAATGGTACCACTTGCACACAGCTGAGGGTTAGGACCATGTTCCAATCTGTGCCATAGAAGGTTCCACGTGCATCTCTCAGGCCGGGTAGACAGAGTAGACTCATACAGTTGTGAGGGCTGCTCTGGAGTGGTGAAGTGCTACCAAAATGGCAGTACTAGAGTGGGAGCGGTGAAGAACAGACGGGACTGACTCAACCAGGAATAGAAGTTGCTTCTGGTAACTGGGGGCGGATGCCAGTGGTTCCAATAGCTCCAGTGCTGAGCTCTTGTGAGAAAAACCCCAATGCCAATTCATCAGAACTTGGGATCTTGGTTGATAAGGGTATTGTGCCCAGGGTGCTTGGTATCAAAGCTGTTGGTGCTCTGTGCACTTGCCAGGAGTTTGACATGATGTGTACCCTGTCATTGATGCTCGTGCTGATCATTTAGGTGGACCAGCTTGCACAGGCTTTTGGGAGAGTAGATGGTGCTAGTGTAGAGAGACCAGCAAAATTTTGTGGATCCAAGGGAGCCCCAGAGGTTGGTCAGGGGATCCACTCTTGCATTGGCGCTAGTGCTGATCAATCAAGACATATTTTGAAGGTTGAGATCTGATGGGGTCTGGTGATTAGTACAGAGTTGGTGGCAGATCAGGGACCACCAAATTGGTGCTGGAATTTACTGCGCTTGGGCTGGCGGTGGATGGACTGCTAGGGCCGGGGCTCCTAGCAGTACTTGAGGACATGGTTTGTCTGTACGGGGAACAGCTTTGTTGGGGCCAACCGTGCTAGCCAACAAGGAGCTCGGGCCCGTAGTGCTGGAGCTGCCTGTACTGTGGGGGCCCAAAATAGTTGGATCAGAGGTCGCACCTGGGGAGCCTTAGGGGTTGGCCAAAGGGTCTACCCTGTCATTGATGCTAGTTCTGATCATCGAGGTGGATCAGCTCTTGGGCTTTGAATAGATTTGGAACTGGTGGTTTCAAAGTGTGGATCAGTGAGACACCAGGGGAGGCTGGAGTGTAAAACCAAAATCCTGCCGGTGGAACCAGATGAAGACTCTGTAACTGCCAGAGTGGCTAATTTGCAGCAGGTCCACTCAGATTTGCACAGTCTCAGGCTGGTGCTGGGTTGTGGCAATTCAAGTGGTGTTCCCAGCAGCCTGGATGTCTCCAGTACAGAGCTGGTGGCAGATTTGGGATCACCAGCCAACTGAGATTGAGCTTATGGAAGACACTCGCAACACTGTCAGTGATTGGACTGACCATCGTGGGGATCACAGTGACAGGTTCCGCCATTGTGGGATTCCAAGCATGCTCGGGGCTTCAGCTGTTGGTGTGTTGGTACTGGGCGACAGTGTCAACTGGAATTCCTGTGCTCGGATTCTCAGTGGAGGGACTGCTGGCTGGTGCTGGGGGACCCGTAGTGCGAGGACTCTGACTTGTTGGGACAGGCGTCTGGGGGGGGGGCAGCATCGTGGGCATGACTCTGGATGCCCCACTGATCCAGTTGGAGCCAAGGCACTCTTAGGGTACTGTTCCATTTGTGGAGTTGGTTTGCTCTGGGCCTGATAGTGGTAGTGCCGCAGGCCATGTTTTGGATTTCTTTAGTGTGGAGTGTGTCTGCTTTTTGGAGATTTGCTGGAGTGGTCTGCTCCTTGGATCACTGCTGGGCCACTTTGGTGGAGTGACTGGGACATGTTCTGAATCTCTTCAGGGTGGTGTGGTCTGCTCCTTGGATCAATGCTGGCTGGGCCACTGCTACTGTGGATATGCTGGTTGGTCTTGCGGTTGGTGCCGGACTTGGTGCACTTGTGTGGGGGGGAGGGTTCTTCAAATTTCACACATTTAGGATCTGTTGCCTGCCGGGGTTGGCTGAGTGACCCTTTGGTGGAGGAGGTTTTCTGCTCCTGGAGGGTGTTTCGAGTTTGTGTTCGTCTGTGAGGCCCACCCCAAGATGGTTGAGTGACGATTCTGCATGGCTGAGCCACTCATTGGAGGGCTGCTCTGGGTATGAGTCTGATGCCCTTTCTGATTCGGACTGTTCGAGATCTATTCAGTGTACATCATAGAGTGGTCTGTACCACCACTTTGTTGGAGCAGGAGTGCTGCTCCTGGCATGATGCTGAGGCCCTCTCTTACTGGAAACTGTTCTGGATCTCCTCAATGTGGGCCTGATTCTAGGATATGTTCTGGATCTCTGCTGGGCCACTTTGGTGGAGTGCAGCTCTGGGCCTGGTTCAGATATCCGCTGATTGGGACATGTTTTGCAATTCTGCTTTGGTGGAGTGCTGCTCCAGGCCTGGTTCTGACATCGTCTGAATAGGACATGTTTGCATTTCTGCTGGGCCACTTTGGTGGATGCTGCTCCGGCCTGGTTTTGACTCCTCGAATAATGGAGGACATGTTCTGGATCTCTCTGGGCCACTCTGGTGAGTGCTGCTCCGGGCCTGGTTCTACATCCTCTGAATGGGACATGTTTGCATTTCTGCTGCTGGGCCACTCTGGTGGAGTGCTGCTCCGGCGGCTTGTTCTGACATCCTCTGAATGGGATGTTTGCATTTCTGCTGGGCCACTCTGGTGGAGTGCTGCTCCGGGCCTGGTTCTGACATCTCTGATTGGGAACATGTTTTGCATTTCTGCTGGGCCACTTTGGTGGAGTGCTGCTCCGGGCCTGGTTCTGACATCCTCTGATTGGGACATGTTTTGCATTTCTGCTGGCCCACTGGCCTGGTTCTGACATCCTCTGATGGGACATGTTTTGCATTTCTGCTGGGCCACTTTGGTGGAGTGCTGCTCCGGGCCTGGTTCTGACATCCTCTGATTGGGACATGTTTTGCATTTCTGCTGGGCCACTTTGGTGGAGTGCTGCTCCGGGCCTGGTTCTGACATCCTCTGATTGGGACATGTTTTGCATTTCTGCTGGTGCCACTTTGGTGGAGTGCTGCTCCGGGCCTGGTTCTGACATCCTCTGATTGGGACATGTTTTGCATTTCTGCTGGGCCACTTTGTTGGAGTGCTGCTCCGGGCCTGACTCTGTTCTGACGTCCTCTGAATGGGAGCTGTTTTGGATTTCTGCTAGGCTTTCCAGGCCTGATTCTGGAGTCCTCTGATTTGGGCATGTTCTGGATCTCTTCAGTGTGGAGTTCTTGGAGATTTGCTCAAGGCCATTGTGCTCCAGAGGGAGAAGTCACAAACATGATGTGGTTTCACGTGATCGATGTGAGTTTCGAACCAGCGCAGTGTCCCAAAATTTTGGGCATAGCTTCCGCGTAATTCTGTTGTAGGGCCTTTTTGCGTTTTCTCAAGGCCGTTGCGCTCCAAAGGAAGTCACACACATTCTGTCCCTCATGACATGAGTCTCTTGTATCACCGTTGACACTCAAACAGAACCAACCGAAACGCAGGTCGAAACAGCTTCCTTGTAATTTCTTGGGAGACGTAGGTCGAAAGGTCTTTTTGTGTGGCTCTTAAAAGAGCTCTTATTGCATGGCTGATTTGTGGCGTCATCAGTGCCTTACTAGTACCATAGAGAGGAAAGGATTTGTTCAGTACTGGCTGGTTGCGGCCAAGCCGCCATTTCTACCATAGCGTATTCGAGTTATTTGCTTTCACAGTTACAGTACTGTCGATGCTTCTTGGATGCTGCCTTTGTGGCACAGCCGATGGGATCTTGTAGTAGTGGACAGAGTGACGAGTGACGAGTCTACTACTCGTGACTACTATTTAAACGAGGCTGTTTGGCGACAGCCACGGCTGAACGGACAGCACCAGTGCGACCGCAGCGGTCTAATTGATCTACTCAAAAGCGAAAACATGAGCAATGCACTTGTGTAGCTCTAGTAACCATCTGTAGGTGGCCATTATCATTGCTCGTCATGGTGCTGTTGGAAGAGGAATGAAGAATGAGGAGGAGCGAGAGGACTGCAGAGGTGCGAGTCCGATCCGCGGTACATTCCTCTAGACGCACACTTGCTCCTACTTTATGCTCTCGGAGTCCTCTCGTTTGAATGAATACTGTACCAAGAGAATACCACCAAGCGAGACTACCGTATTGTACAATCAGCCACACAGATAGAACCGCCAGCCAACCCTTATTTCTCTGTTGCATCTCGTCTTTCACCCTCGCCCCATGAACTTGTCAAGCTACACCTTGGGCTTGGGCTGCCCGTCGTGACCATTGCTATCCGGCAAAGCTTTGATACGCTAGTGGATTGTTTCGGCTTCACGCTTTCCGAGCTCACATTCATCCCGTCTGATCCGAATCAGGCGGTACCAATGCAGGCATCATGCATTATACCGGTAGGTCTGCGCAGTTCTTGGGGCTGGCATCAACGAAACTGAGTCGAGTCGATCCTTGTGGTTGGTCTTCCCGTTGCCAAGTACCGAATGATCAATCATGTGCGGTAGTTATACTGGTACCGTACGACTGTACCGATAAGGTACGGTATGGTAGACTGCTTTCCTGTTCTAATACGCATGAACCCCGAAAGGGCTGTGTGTACTATAGTATGATGCCTTTCTGCAGTCTGGGCACTCGTATTATGACGCATACGGACCTTTAGCCCCTGGCACTCCTTACCGTACCGTAGCAAGAGAAGCGGTTTGTTGCCCCTGCTGTGCATCTTTGAATCCAGCATTCGCCCTTTTCCCGCTGGAGCCAGGGTACAAATCCAATCCTTTGGCAGAGTTATGAGAGACGTCTCGAACAGATTCTAGATCTAGCTAGCTAGCCAGTTCGTGATGAGTACTGTACAGCTATAAAGCTTCCTGATAAAAGTGGCGGCAACACCCATAAGAAAAAATGACAATCACATGACCCTCCAACTTTTTTTCGCGACCCCGCGCCACAAACGGCAATGCTCGCTGACACACAGAAAGAAACCCAAAGAGAAGAAGAGAAGAAGATCCTTTCGCATCAACTCGATCAACACCGAAGCAAGAGTCAGATTCGATTTATCATTCGTTCAACAATTCGGAAGGAGACAGTGCTGGCACCTTTGTTGATTGATTTACCTATTGATCGACTGATTGAATTCTTGATTACCCTCACAACTAATACTAACTGTTTATTGATTGCTTGAGCCCAAGCAAAACACTTCACCATGTCGATTTCGTACGAAGAAGCGTTGTCCACTTTGCAGGCCATGTTCGGTGATCCATGGACACGAGACTCCTTGGACACTGTGTTGCGTCACTATCAAGGGTAAGTTCCTTCAGTTGCTCTTGTTTTGTTTGGTTTGGTTTCCCTGTCATGTGTTGCGTTTGGCAGAAACGAACGAACGAGAAGAGACATCTTGTAATGTTCGTCGTGTGTCTCTGTGAAAAGAAGAAGAAGGCTGACGACAGTGGCTCTTTCTTTTTTGGAACTAAAAAAGACACATGGAAAACACAGTGGAATGCCTTCTTGGCCATGGAGGAGGGGATCCGCAGGCTCTACTCGACAAGCTCAAGAACGGAAGCAATAATGCCACGAATACGTCGTTGGATGAAGAATTGGCTCGTCAGCTGTCCACACAAGGAACGCGTGGTTTTGCGGATGCGTCTCAACCGGCAGCTCCAGCCGCCGATGCGGCAGCGGCTCCTCCAGCTGCTGCTGCTGCTGCTGCTAGCACCGCTACTACCAACAACAACAATAAACGAGGCACACCCACCACATTGCCAGATGATTTCCTGCGGGTGCAAACTAGTACGGATCAAGCCACTATGGATTCCGATGAAGCATTGGCGAGAATGCTGCAGGATCAATTGTTTTCCGAAGAGCTGAGACGAAATCCGGATTTTGCTCATTTGGCCGGGCGTCGTCCTGGAAATCAAGCAGCTGCAACAGCACAACAGCAAGCACAACAGCAAGCGGCAAATCGTGCTAGTTTTACGGCCCGAGGACATCAACCCATGCCAATGCCAAATATCATGGAAAAATTGTCAGGTACGTTTGCAGAAGACAAATATCACGAGCGAATCTCTATTTGTTTCTATTCTCAATTTTTCTCTCTTCCAATATTATCAATATGCAAAAAAGAAATGGGGACTTCGGCCAAATTCAAACTATCTCAAATGGCCGAACAATTCAAGGCCAACACCAATCGACTTGCTGCTGGAGTTGGAAATAACAATCAAGGTGCTGCATCAGAGGGCAACAACAACGCTGGAAATGAAATGAGAGGTCTTTTGGACAGGGATGATTCGTATGATGCCTATGAATTGGCATCACGAAAAGATCTATAGTCATATGGCTTGCTCCAGGAAGAGTGATTCGATTCGAATGAATGATAGAGTACTGTACTGTTTTTGCTGGAGATGCATCTTCCTTCCCGTGCAACACGACAATCTACATTCCGCTGGCCAGGATAGTCTAACCTTCAGTTTGAATAGAAATCAGAATGTTGATTGCGTGCTTTTAATTAAAAGAGCTGGTAGCACTACATACAGAATGGTCGAAAGTGCTTCATCAAAGTGCCTACCGGTACGAACGTAAGCTCACCAAGTCCAACTAAGTGATTCCACCCACACACAAAAAAACAACGAAATCGACCTGCCTTGCAGACTTTGCTCTTAGCCCCACGGATAGTCTTCCCACTTCACATCTAGTTTGTTTCGGGACAGCACTGGCACCAGCAATGATTTGTTGCCGCAACGTGGTGTCGTCATCATGATGGTGGATGCCATATCGGCACTGGGGCGCATATTGCGTGGTCTGGAAATATAGGTACCGTACCAGTGTTGCAGAAAGTACGAAGGCAAAATGCTCCGCAAAAAGGTTGACGTTGCCTTTTTGGAGCATTGCTCCCTGGCGACCACAATGACTGACCCTAACAAACCTACAAGTAAACCCACCCGACAACCAGGAGGCGACATTATTAGAAATCTTGTACTGTACCTTTGTACCTTACCCATTTCGCCATTCATACTGGCACCTGACGCACCCCTCCCGCATCGTAGCAAAATTTGTGAGGAATGGATGAAATTGTGAGAAACCTAAACAATTGGAATTGTGAGAAACCTGAAAAATAAGAATTGTGAGAAATCAGGAAAATTTGAATTGTGAGAAACCTGAGAAATCAAGAAAATTGGAATTGTGAGAACCTGAAAAATTTGAATTGTGAGAAATCGGGAAAATTTGAATTGTGAGAAACCTGAAAAATTTGAATTGTGAGAAACCTGAAAAATTTGAATTGTGAGAAACCTGAAAAATTTGAATTGTGAGAAATCAGGAAAATTTGAATTGTGAGAAACCTGAAAAATTTGAATTGTGTGAAATCAGGAAAATTTGAATTGTGAGAAATCGGGAAAATTTGAATTGTGAGAAACCTGAAACATTTGAATTGTGAGAAATTGGAAAATTTGAATTGGGAGAAAGCTGAAAAATTTGAATTGTGAGAAACCCAAACAATTTGGAATTGTGAGAAATGGGGAAATTGGAATTGTGAGAAATCAAGAAATTGAGAATTTGAAATTGTGAGAATCGAATCGGGGAAAATGAGAATTGTGGAGAAAACGCCAATCGAATCGATTGTATCATTCCATTCGAATAGATTCGATTCGAATCGAATCTGTGATTCCGGGTCATCGAAGTTACTGTTCTCATCTCACTTTCGATCCCAAAGAACCAAAGACCAAAGAACCTTGTCACAAGTTATCGAGGAGGCCATCACAATCGCACAGAGTAGAACAAATCGACACGATGGCAGAGGCAGAAGCTAAAGAAGAAGAGCCAAAGGTTGAGGAACCCAAGGAGGAAGGCGCCAAGGCAGGAGAAACTGAAACGCCAAAAGATGAAGCAGCGAAAGTCGGGCCAGAAGACCGAAGCAAAGGATCAATGCCTGATCCTTCCAGTCTGATGGGAGACGGTCCAAAGGAAGAGCTTGCAGAAGTAGAACAGTTGGGTACCATCAGTCTCGAAACTCTGAATTCTTATAACTGCAACAACCCTGATCGACGTTTAATGTGTTTGTTTGGTGTGGTATACGATGTTACTTCTGCCGTGAAGAAGTACGGACCGGATGGATCCTATTCTGAGTTTGCGGGCCATGATATCACCCTCACACTGGGCGCAGGCCAGATGGGTGATAAGTGGCTTGATAAATACATCAAATATGATCCGGCTTGGAAGGAAGGGGCGGAAAAGTGGGTGAGTCAAAATTGAATCGAATCGTCCAGAACAGCATTGCAAAGTTGACCAAAAACAACCTCATAATCAGCTCACATCTTTGGTTGCCGTCCTTAAAAAAATGTTTCGCTCTCCTTCCATTGAAAAGGTGGACTACTACGCTGCAAAGTATCCAAAGTGTGGTTTCCTTGACAAGTGGAATGAAGATCCAGATAGCTGGCCTGCACCCTCCGACGAAGAGCGGGAAGCCCTCAATTCGCAATGCCTAATTTTGTAGAGCTGATGGTTGTGATTGGATCTCTCGAATTCTGAATTGATATATTGGCAATTCTTGGTTCCTGAAACTGTGTCTATCCGTATCCGTGGTTAGCTTGAGCCTTGGAAGCAAGACCGTGGTTTTGCACAGTCAGTCAACAAAGCTAAAAGGTTTATTAACACGACAATCTGCATCATCATACTTGATCATGCCAAGACCTAGCTAGAAAGGCAATCACACCATTAAAGAAGCATAATCCACCCCTGCAATCTTTACGGTACATGATGCAGACGTCAGCCATTACCCAAGTCTTACAGCTCGTCTTGCTAGAAGACATGGAATCTCCTTTTCTGTTTCTGTAGTGAAGGCTGATTGTTGCCGTAGTATCGGGCGAGATCAATAGATGCCGAATGGAATCACCATGGATCGATCTGAGTGCATGCCGAAGCTAGTTAGCGGTCCGCACCGTATCTGCCTCCTCCTGCTCGTTGACCATCATGTATGTTGTACAGTGGCCGCTTCATCAGCGTGTGGACGTGTGCTGGGACCAACAATAGCGGTGCGACATCTTTGATGTTAAATCTTTTGGTTCTCGTTGAAATCACATTTCAACATGTTTTACCTCTCAAGGTTTTAGACCAGAAATAAGGAGCCAATCAATCTACCGGAAGCTGACTAGACCTATCGTAGCTCATGATGTATGTAGAGCTCACCAGCGAGCGCGAGGGCAATCTTGGGCGGATGGATCCTTTCCTATTCTTGAGGCTCAAGATTGCTAGATTAGACTAAATTAACCTGTGAGACTTGGGTTGGTGGTTCCAGGTCCCATGGATTTGTTTACGGGAGAGGAGAGATAATCCAAGAGATTGTTGTCGCTTGAAGACTTTGACAAGTCCTACACCTTGACGAGCTCCATTTTGAAAGAGTTCTTGCTTTACTGGTAGTCTAGTCTAGGAATCTGATCACTGTGTTCAGCGGATCTGTTGTGCTGGTATAGTTATGCTAACATTGTCCTTCGTTATTTCTATTTTCTATTAGCTACACCGGTACCGGTACACCTGGTGCCTGTACATCACGGATGTCTAAATTTAAGTTTAGTATAGTTTAACATGGAATATCGTATTGTGTTCTTACACCCATAACCACTCATTTGCTGTTGTACTGCCCCTTGTACGGTAAAATTGTACTGCTTTTGTGTGATAGGAAAAAGGGTCAGTGATGACCGCAGCTTGGAGGCATCGATAACCAACACCAACAGCAGAAGAAAAGGCTCTGGTTTCAGGCCAAGGTTGTTACCTCTTTTGTCGTCGACGGCGTTAACCTACTACTAGAGACAGATTCTGATCTCTCTAGCATAGGGGAGGTACATTAGTTGAAGAAGTGGCTGGTTATCCAGGATTGTTATCTTTCTCTAGCTAGGGCTGGCTGCTGGCATTCTTAGCACTCCTACCGACCAAAACAGCTACCACACCGAAGATACCTCTGTTATTGTTTGGCCCCCAATACTCGGGTCATCTCTACTAGCTGGATTCATTCCACTTCCTTGTTCGTCCAGTCCAATCACCCAACCAAATAACTCGTCAAGATGATGGCCGCGGCGCAAGCTGCGGCGGAGGCCGCGCTGAAGGAAGCTCTGGAGAGAGAAGAGCAGGAACAGGCCCAAATGTCCGAGCACTACGACGATAGCTCCCACTACGATGACCTGGGAGGCGACGATTCACAAATGGATGCGGCAGCTATGCATGCTGCAGCGATGCATGCGGCAGAGTTGGAGATGCAGGATCAACAGGATCAGCACATGATGGACCAGGAGGATCTTCGCCTCCTACAGGCGATTGAGATGCAACTGCAAGCCGGACAAATGGACATGGAGGTGCTGGAAGAGCTCCTGAGTGGACGAGCAGGAGTTTCGCCGGAGGTACAGCAAGCTCTCCTACATATGCTGGCACAACAGGAACAAGAGCAACAATTAGCAGCGGCGGCAGTCAGTAATAGACCCGATGAGCACTACCTGACAGTGGCTCAGAATGGTACGTGTCACTGCAGCTGAATTGAATTGAATCCATTGAATGAATCAGGTTCATTGTGGAAGTTGGGTGGAAGAGATTGGAATTGTTTGGTCTAGTTGGCACGGTTCTGTGTTCATCTCATCGCAGTGGTAGTAGGGAAAAATTTCGTGTAGTGCCGCAATATGTCGGGGAGGATTGTCGAGATTTTGTGTATCGGCTTTTGACAAGTGAATCTCCCATCAGTGGTGCTAGCGAAAGCATTTCCATGTAGTGCATGTCGTTTCTAACCCTGTGCCTTGTTTAATCTTTCAATACAGGAACGATTCTAGAAGCAACCAAGATGGCGACTGGTTTTCCGCCTGATTCACTGTTGATGTCATCCGCGTAAGTCCGGAACTTGTGCATTGTTGTCGGATTCGTATCTTCTTCCTCTTGAGAGTCATGCTGCTAACGACGGTTGCTGTGCTTCAGGTACGACGATGTTTATGACGAAGATCTACCGGGTCTGTTGTGTGTGAAATCCAACTTCTGGGACAAGGGAGTAGGCGATGTTCTGGCTTTTCTTCGTCGTAGAACTGCCGAAGGCGACTGGCTGTGGCTCGAATCCAAGGCGGTGTCGTACGTGTCCCAACCTGTCCCGGGCATAATATTGCACGAATCCAAGGTGGAAGATGAAGCCATGGCGTTTGAGCTGAACCGACTCACTCGGATAACGGCAATCGTCGTGCAAGCCGTGGAAGCCGCCAAGCTTGGTGCCACGCCTTCCGGGGAAGCCACTGTGGCGTGCATGGAAGAAAGTACCCGAGACCATCATGGAGATCGACGAAACAGGGAACTGGCGGAAGGTATCGACACCAAGGAACTTCTAGAACATTTCACGGGAAACGGGGGTGCCCCTCCAACAAAGCTGGAGCAAGAGATGATTGAGAAGATTGCTCAGCAACTTAATCCCGGCAGTGACAAACGAGGAGGAAAGTCTGATGGGAAGAAGGAATCATTTGACCCTTTCTCCATGATGGAAGCTGTAAGAGAAGGAGTGCGGTTGGATTTGGGACTCTCATATTTGACTAAGTCGGAAGTCAAGATGATTGCCCTTGTTTTGAGTGGCAAAGTGTCCGTAGACGACGTGTGTCCACTGGTTTTGTCAGCGGTACGAAAAGGTGAACCTATTGAAGAAGCTCTTGATCGATGTGCTGTCGATGTTCCTTCTCAGAGAAAGAGAGACAGCTCTAAAAAGCCGGTGAGTCGGCTTGATGCATTACTCAACGATGGTCAGATTCCGTCGAATTTTCCATCTCCGCCACCCATATCAGTGATCAATTTGTCGTACACGTACATTGGCAACAGAGGCATCGAGCTGCTTGCTGAAGTCCTCTATGCGGAACAATCAGCGCTGAAGACTATTGATGTGAGTTTCTGTGGCATCGATGAAAAGGGTTTCATATCCCTGGCCAAAGCAATACAGAAGAGGAAACGAAAGGGAGTACGGCCGCTGAAGGGGCTCCTGCTCTCAGGGAATTACATTTCAAGTAGGTCGGCCACCGAGATAGGCATGGCCCTCTCCCCAGTAACGAGCAGACCTCGAGTGCGGAGGCGAACCTACAGCAAGAATCAAAATAAGGGTGGAAACGAAACAGACGACGAATTAGATGATTCTGATTCTGACGAAGACGACGACTTTGATTCTCCGAGTGGATCCAAGAAGTCAAAGAGTGAAGACGGCGGTGAAGCTCCTGTCAGCAACGTCGGAAAAGGGCAGGGTCTAGAATTGTTGCATCTTAGCTCGACGTCCATAACCCCAGAAGCCATGAATCAACTCCTTCATCGCCTTGGTCCGCTCTGCCCGATCCGAGAACTAAACTTGTCGTCGAACAAGCTGGAAACGGACGGAACGAGCGTCCTGGTTGATTTCTTGCAGGGAGCCAAAGCGTCCGGCTCCAAGTCCAAGAGACCCGGTGTTTCGGCGCCCCAAGCTGTCATGCCTCATCTCGACAGACTCGATTTGTCAAACAACAACCTGGGAGACGACGGATGTAACAAGCTCACTCGCGCCATTGCAAAGAGGACGAAGTCAAACTTTGTGGAGTTGAAACTGTCACTGAATGAAATTACCGGGACCGGAATCGAGACAATGATGAACAAGCTTCTGCAGCACAACTTGGTCAGCCTTTCGTTAGATAAAAACTCGATTGGAGATCAGGGTTGTCAGCTTGTGGCCGCCTCCCTTCAGAGCATGAAGAGTCTTGCTCGATTGAACTTGGGGTTCAACCAGATCGGAAGTCGGGGCATCGGAAGTTTGATGAGGAGTCTCGTAGCCTGCGAATCAATAACCTACCTCGAGCTTTCCGGGAATGTGTTGAAGATATCAGGTGCCGTTGCTCTGGCGTTCACTCTAGCCCAGCACCCTCGATTAGAAGAACTGGATCTTGACGATTGCTGCCTTGGCCAAGCTGCTCAGTGTCACATTGTTGCTGGCGTCATCTCCAACAGATGGGTTCCGATGAAGCGTCTGAATGGATTCGCTGTCGGTCCTCCGATGGTTGAAATTGGTGCTCTGGAGGAGTACGCTCAAAGCCTGAGTAACGAAGAATGCTTTAGGATAAGGAAGGACGAGCAAATGAAAACAATCTTGCATTGGATGGAGAGCAACCGCGCTGCAAAGATGAAAGGTTCCACTCCTGCTGGTATGCCCAATGCCGATTCAAACGATTTCCTGTCACCGGATTATGTCTCGAGCATGAACGAAGCTCAGGGTGCACCTTCTCAAAACGCGTACCTGCGTCTTCTTGGTTGGCTGAGTCGGATTCCGTTCGACGAGGACGAGCTCTCATCGCTTCAAAAGTACTTCTACGATGTTGAGACTGGGGACGGCGATAAGGATGGTGTTAATCTGAAGCTTCGAGGAGATCTTCTGGCAGCCTTGGATAGCGATGTCGCCCATGAAATTCGCGACGAAATCCCTGTCTTCGAGGGTTGCATCATGGGTTCTGTTGGGTTGGATCTACATGAAGCGGGCTGTGTCAGGCCTGCCAGTTCATGGGGCATGCTCAAGGGAGATTTCTCTGAGAAAATGCCGGTCATTAGGACTGTAGACGATGAAGACGAAAATGATTTGGACGCATCAAAGGAATCAGCTGACTATGCTAGACGAGGAGGAGGATCGTCTCGAATGAAGTCTCGCGACAGCATGGGCTCGATGGGATCGATGAGTGCCTCGTCTATCATGTCCGACAGCAATCAAGATGGCACCAGCGGTTCTGAGCGAAGCTTTAATTCTCATGGTTCCATTCGAGGGCGGCGTCACAATGCGAAGAAACCAAGAATAACCATGTTCCCAATGTTCAAAGCCAAACTTGAAGAGCTGAAGGCAACAGCGGCAGAGATGATTGAGCTGGAGGAAGATCCTGATCAGCAGGAAGTCATTTTGACGCAGTATGCAGAAGCATCCCTGACGATTCTCAGACAACTTCGTTACCATTGCATGAATAGCGGTCTTGACGGATGGAGACACGGCGGCTTGAAGCGAAAGGTTTTGATTGTGGACGACAGCAATGTGACAAGGAAGCTTGTATCTCGGGCATTTGAAAAGGCAAACTTTATTGTTGACACTGCAGCCGATGGCGCCGAAGGAGTTGAGAAGCTGAAAAAGTCCATTTACGACATTGCTTTCATGGACATTGACATGCCAGTGATGAACGGATTTGAAGCGACAAAGAAACTTCGTCAATGGGAGGATAAATTCCGACCTGGTGCCAGACAACCGATCTGTGCCTTGACAGCCGCATATGTTGACGACTTTGAACGAAGCGAGCTACTGAAATTCAAGGACGCAGGTTTGGACGTTATGGAGAGCAAGCCATGCAATCTTCCTCGTCTGTTCAAGGTTGTTGACGATGTGTCGCCAATGTTCAGCGACTTGAGCATCAGCGTGATTCATGAAAATTCGGTGAGCGTACAATGATACTGCTGAGCTAGAAAAGCAAAGACTGTACTGGAGTACCCATTATTATTTCATTTTTGGAGAGTAGCAGCATCAACCAAATAGAGCAATCCCCGGTACGGTAGCAATAAAAAGTATAGCTAGAGTGTACTTAACTCAGCTACGTTGTGGATGTTGTTGCCTCTCTACCGTACAGTATCGTTCCCGCAGAAGCGCTTTCCATAGCTATCGCTAGCAAATTGGTGGTCTTTCAGCTGTGCAACGCAACGGTTTTGATGAAGAAGATTATTAGTTGTTTAGAAATCACAAAATCCTCATTTCGACTTCTTGGCTTTGATCCCATGCAAGTAGCCCAATGTGCCTCAAGTGTCTATTCATCCTCCTCGAATTCTTCTTCCTCGAATTCCCCTTCTACATCTTCTTCTTCATCCGATGATTCGGCGACACAAAAGAACTCGCCGCAGACAATAGTTCGCCTCGACACGACCGCACTGGTGCCATCTTCCAATTCCACAACTTCGCAGTTGGGGTTATCCTTGGACCGATGCAATTCACAATCGGGCATGTCCTTTTCGGAGAAGATGATGGTTCCTGCTTCAATCTCACTGCGAGCATAGAGCCCATCCAGGTTTGACATGGCCCCGCAGCCCTCCTCCTCACTACTAGCGGTAGCGTCCTTGGTGGTCATTCGAAAGTCTCTGGCATACGAGACAGATGGATTCTGTTGGGACGGAATGACAGTTCGATGAAACCACAACCTGGTATTGACCATGAGAATATCGCCCTCTTGACAGGGTACATGTAGTTTGGTGGACTCATCCCAACTGGGGGGAATTTTTGTGGATTGTTGCTGTTCCTCCTGCCAATGCCGAACTAAATCACAGGAAGGTGACAGGAACCAATCCTTCTGCCCCGAAAGCTGAAAATGCCATGTTCCGTCATGACTGACACTGTCCGTGTGAAGCCCTCTCCCCTCGAGTGGCTCTCCTGTTGGCGTGTTGTTGTTGCTAGTAGTGTTTATTGGATTGCGACCAAAAAATATCCATACACAGGGTTCATAGCTCCATGACTGGTCGTTGATTGGTGGTACTTTGGATGCAAAGTTTGCCACGGGTAATCTCTCTAGCAGCGCTTGATAGGAATCCTTGTCCTTTTGAACCAAAAAGCTGCAATAAGCACTAAAGCTGGGAACGATTCTTGGCGCCAAAAACGTACGAGGCTTTAACAAATCTTCGGTGTTGTTGTCTTGTAGTTGCTGATTCTCAATGCACCATGATTCTTTGTCTTGAGCATTCAAGCTTTGGTAGATTGATCCAATATCTTTCCATGACAACTGCTCTTCTTTCTTCTTGACGCTGCGATTATTCCATCCCTTGAAATGAACCGCCTGATAAACATGATAGGCTTCCAGAATCTTGTTGGCATCAGTTGTAGTACCATTATCGGCATCCGTGGTTTGGAGGTCGAATGTGGGTATATTGGCCTCCTTTCTTCCATCTTCTTTTGTCTGGCTTCCAGCTCCCAGACTTTCAGATCCATCAGTACGAAGTCGTTTTGGATGAGGTTGCTCCATTGTCGATTGTCTCGTAGCTGTCTATCGTCTGGGAGGAATTGTTGTTCTGGTGGACTGTGAAAGCACTTCACACGGTCGGGGACGAGAAAATGAATGGTAGCTTTTTCATGATTAGGGTTAGAGCTCATTTTGGATCTTTTCTCCCTCGCAAACTGTGAAACCGTCAAACCCAAACGCTTTTCACAATGATGAACAATGGCGGCGGCCGTGGACCCTTCCTTGATGAACAACAGCAACAGCCACACAAGAGCAACTTCTGATCGTCAACAACAGCAACAACTCAATTCTACTTCTACTATTGAATCCACTGCAGCTCACCACTATTTCGAAGAGACCGCTCTGGATTGGTTCGAACGATGCGAGTCGTTGCGGCGTCGTCGTTGTCAAGTCCCCGCCAAGCCACCGACCTGTAGCAGAAGTGCGGGCTGGGCATTTTTCCGTGGTGCTACGGGCAATCCCTTTGTCGATGAAGCTTTGACGGGTGCCTTGCCCATTATGGAACTGCGAGGCGACCGTGGCACCGGCAAGACCCACACACTCGTGTCATTGGCCGCCACTTTTGCCGTGGCCACGCGGCCGTCCCTGTTTTCTTCGACTCCTCACCAGGAGGAGCAACAACTTCTTCCTCGTGTCATTCTACTCGATTCCGGACTCGACATGACATCTGTGCGACTCGCCAGTGCCGTGGCGGCGCAATTGATGCTGCAACAAAAACCGGATGATGACGACAATAATAATATGGAGGAAGCATCCATTCACCATCCACTCTTGGCCATCGAACGGGACATGGAAGATTGTCTCGGGCGCATTCACGTGGCCCACGTCAACAATGATATGCGCGAATGGGTGCCCATTCTCGAAGCCTTGCGACATGAACTATTATCCAACCAAAACATTAAGAAAAACAACAACAATGCGGAGGAGGCGCTTGTCGAAATGGAGGAAGACCCACAAGGCTTACAAGAAGAAGAAAACAGCAGTGTTCCCATACTGCTCCTCTGGGATGACTTTCTCTCCGAACCAGGCAAAACCGAAGGACTCCAAAAAGAAATCACACGACAATTGACATTGCTTCTCAAAGAGTGCACTACCGTGGGATTCATTTGTTCCACTTCTCCTCGTTTGGACTATCACTTTCAAGTGAGAGATTTACTACTATTATCATCCGAGGAAACGAGTACGACTACTACAAGCGCTCCACGACAGCATTCACCACTAGTACACAGGGGACCTACTCGGGTGGCACGGACCATTCTATTGGAACAGGACGAACGACCGGATGCGTCCCATAAATTCATGGCATCCATTGTGCAAGGAAATCAAAGAATTCCATATTCCTTGTCATCGGCGGGGGTGTTGCCGTAGCCTAATAACTAACATAAATGGAAATCCGTAGATAGATTTGTCTACATTGCGCCTTCTTCCACAATGTTGGGCTTCAATCAGAATTCGAAATGATATCTCACGCATGCTTACAACATCGAAAATGAAAACTGCTGTATCAACCAATCGATTACACAGGATGTCTTCCGAGCAGTGCTTCCGGAAGCCCTCGAAGCAGACCTCCCGCCAAAAGTTCAGTGGAGTGTTGTCGAAAATAGCTCCAGTAGGAGAAACTCTGACTGCAGCTGGTCTGTTCCACTGCGAAATCGTTCAAGTTGTCAATGATTGATTGAAGAAAGATCTTGCTACTGTCGGCTCCCATGCAACCTTGTCCCATTATGGCAATCGTCGTGCTGCTGCTGGGCAGGTACACGATAAGTTGACCTTGTGCACCCGCTGCCATGGCGGCTCCGGCCAAGGAGCCACTGCCTCCATCAATCAAGTTGTAGAATTGATATCCATACCCATCAAAACCACTGTTGACACTGCTGCTGCTATCGCCACCGGCAAGTTGGTTGGTTTCCGAGGCTGCTACCCAGGAAGACGCCACCAGTTGATCTCCAGAAGCTGCCTCGCCATTTTGCAAATATAATTGACCCAATTTGGCTAGAATGCGAGGGTTGCTCTTGAGTCCGTAGGCGGACCCTTCGATGCCTCCAAAGGTATCCCACTCATAATCCGAATCGGATATGCCCAATTTGGTAAAGATCCCCGCAGTCTTGGCAAATTCTCTGGGTGATTGCCCGGATCGTCGCAAGATAATGCGGCTCAAAATGTGAGTCTGACCAATGTAGTTGAATCTCCCTCGCTGATTGCCATCATAGTCGACATGATTGAGCACTTGTTGAATGGTCTCTTGGCCATTGTTGTCCTGACAAGCTCCTGGGACCAGCCCACTCGTCATTGTCAAGAGTTCCTCGACAGTAATGGATTTCTTTTCATTCGATTCTCCTACACCTTCCCAGTCGGACGCATCGTTGAAAATGTCATTCAATGTTTCACTGATAGAGACCTTTCCTTGGTCCACCAACACGCCCACGAAAAAAGTGCTCCAGGACTTGGTGGCCGACCATGCATCATATTTGCCATTGCGGTCGTTTCCATCCGTGTAGCCTTCTGCCACCAATAGTCCATCCTGAATCACCACATATCCTCGAGCGGAACAAGGTGCCAGGGATGCTTGCAGGGTGCAGTATGCCTTGTTTCGGTTGTAGAGCGTTCCTTCCGCCCAAGAAGTTGAAAGATCTACAGTGGCAGCATTGGCTGGTATCAACTGTGCCACCAACCAAAACAGCAACGGCAACACCCTTTTCAACATGGTTTTATTCGACCACTGAGAAATTGACCGACGAGGTCTCATGATGGTTGTCATTGCAGGTTTCTTTGACCACACCAATCCCGCTGCACTTCTTTCTTCATCCCGTTGCTTGTCTGGTTCATTTCTTGATACTCGAACTGCAACCACGGAACCGTCACCCAGTATCCATCTTCGTCCAATCCCATCACGCAGTGTGTCATGCTTGTTATCGCCAAATCTGAAGTGCTTGCCAATTTCTTGTGCGCCAAGGTTTTTGTCATCATCATTGGTGCGATAGATTGCCATGGCCTGCAAAAGCCGTTGGATCCATTTTTTGACTCCCGTGAGGAACCCGTGACTTCTGTCCCGTGCTTCAACTTTTTGACCGTTGGAGCCCCGAATCTTGTGACGATTCAAAAGCCATTGGCGCTGGCACGCCCAGGAAGGTCAGCAATCGTTGGAACCGCATTACTACACGAGCAACAACAAAAATTGGTGATCGAACCCTGACTACTTTTGTTGGTGGTGTGCTCAAAGCCCTCATATTTGTCATTACGATCCTCTCGGCGAATCGAATCGGAACGACAGCATCTATTGTTGTTGGTGAGGCACGAACGAGTAATTCTGTTGAGCATTGTATTGGAAGCTCTGTGAAGAGACTACTACTAGTCGTTGCGAGATAAGGATATCTTTTTTTTTTTGACCAACAAACCCACTAAATTTTCGCAAGATCCAACATCATGTCGAATCCGTTTGATCAGTTCGCCGTGGATTTGCAGGCGGCTCTTCCACCAGGTGCAGCTCCTCCAGCCCCTGCTGCTGCTCCTGCTTATGATCCAAATGCCAGTTTGATGGCTCAGCCACCGGCAGCAGCAGCAGCCAGACAACCCGTCATGAACAGCCCTGTCATGAATTCTCCTAATGGCTATGGTGGTCCGCCTCAGCAGGGTGGATATGGACAGCAACCCCAATACGGAATGCCACCTCAGCAGCAGCCACCAATGCAGCAGAGCATGGGAGGAATGAATATGAGCATGAGTTCGGGCATGATGGCGCCACCTCCTGCTGGCCCTCCAGCTGCAGGAAGCTTTGGAGGATATGATCCCAACCAGTCTCAATCAACCATGGGAATGGCTGGTGGCTATGGAGCCCCGGCTCCTCCATCTGATCCTGGTTTTGGAGCTGGACCGCCCTCGGGTCATTTTTCGGCTCCTCCTGCCGGTGGACCCCCAGCTGACAATAGCAATCCGTTTGGGTCTCCAGGAATGGCGCCACCAGCTGGAGACTCGGCGAATCCTTTTGGAGCTCCACCAGGTGCCCCACCAGCCGCTGACCCATCGTATGGTTTCGGTGCTCCACCCGCCGCGCCCCCAGCTGCCGATAATAGCAATCCATTTGGAGCTCCTCCTGGTGGACAGCCCGGATATGGAGCCCCGCCTGGTGGGCAGCCTGGATTTGGAGCCCCACCCGCTCCTCCCCAAGATTACGGAATGCCCCCGCAACAGCAGTCGGGATACGGTGCTCCCCCTGGTGGGCCACCTGGTGGCGATCAATATGCCGATCCATGGGGTGCCCCTGGAGGTGGAGCTCCTGCCCCACCTGCCGATCCCAATATGGGCGCTCTAGCCCTCGTCCCAGCTCAGCAGCAATCCAACCCCTACGCGGCCTATGGAGCACCGCCACCCCCTCAGCAACCACCTGCTCCTGCCAATGATCCTTACGGCGCCCCTGTTGGCAATCCATACGGAGCGCCACAGGCACAGCAGCCACCCCCCAATGACCCATACGGCGCCCCTGGTGCCAATCCATATGGAGCGCCACCGCAACAGCCACCTGCCAATGATCCTTACGGCGCCCCTCCTGCTAATCCTTATGGAGCACCACCGGCCCACGATCCTTACGGTGCCCAAGCGAATCCATATGGGGCACCACCTCAACAGCAATCCCAGGCTCTTACGCCCTATGGAGGGCCTGCTGCTGCTGATCCATTCTCAGTCTTTGAGCAATCGAGCGCCCCACCACCAGCTCCCCCTGCGCCAGCCCCTGTGGCCCCTCAACAACAACAAGCATTGGTTCCGGCGAACCCAGCTGCTTCGGCGGACAGTCTCTGGGGAGATTTGGGATTCGATGCCCCACCAACGGCAGACCCACCTGCCCCAGCTGCTCCTGCACCAGCAATCGAGGCCAATCCCACTCCAGGACACACGGAAGAAAAGAAAACCAGCGATGGAAACTTGCCTCCCGGCGGAGAGTACTATGATGCTCGTATTTTTACCCCCACTTTGGGAGTTATGTTTTTCAAGCCACAAGAGCTTACCGACTCGTTGTTCTTGAATACCGACCAAGGTATTGTCGATGGTCTTGCCGAACGTCCCGTGGTTGCTTTCATTGTCGAGGGATCGTCTGCTCGCGCCGCCGGCGTCGAATTGGGACACGTTTTGCTAAAGGTCAACGGAGTCGATGTCAGAAACCCCAAGGAAGCCTCACGGTTGATCAAGGAAGGACCACGTCCTCTTCCTCTGCTCTTTTACGTCCCCAACACGGATGTTGTTGTGGCAGAAGGCGAACACATGGTCAAGTATGATACCCGCGAAACTACAGCTCCCAACAGTGCTAAGGACTGGAAGCCCAAGTATGTTGTCATTGGAGGAATTATTGCCCAGCCATGGATGATGAACATGTATCGTTCCAAGGTGAGTTCCAAACAATGTTTTGCCTTTTCTGGTTTATTTGAATAACGCTCTCACATTTTGTCTGTCCGTTCAGTCCGAGTATGATATTGCCGTCATTGAGACTCAAGCGCGACGACCAGTGTCTGTCAAGGTGAAACAGTTTTCGTTGCAAGGGGCTCGTATTCAAAACGACTGGCAAGGTCCACAGATGGTCAAGTACAAGAATAAGATCCACCCGTGGAAATACATCGTGATTCTCCCTGTGGCCCGTAACCCCATCAAGATTTCATCCCCCAACCTGGCGCAGCTGAAGCCAGTTCATGAGGGAATCCGTCGTGTGCTATTGGCCCAGAATCGGGACCGTAGCTACAATTCACAACAGGCTCCAGTTCGCCAACACCAACACCGTGACCAGTATGGGCACAACGGCCACGACGGATACCATGGAGGTCATCATCAACAACAACAGCAGCAGCAGATGACTCAGTATCAAGGTCACCAGCAGCAGCAGCAATACAATTACTGAGGACTAGGACCGAGGTCAGTTTGTACGTCCTATGGTGTAAGGCGGCTGGTTCCCGCTCGGCGGGGACGATGACTAATATTAACAGAACCACCAAAGAGAGCCCAACGACAAGAAAAATCGGGCATGCATATTGTGTGATAAAATTTATTAGGAAAACTTGAAATGAACTCTTTGCAACTGGCAGTCCAGAGTTAGTTGTAGGGACCAGTGCATGTAGATTCAATGGATTGATAACCCTCAGAAAGAAGTTGTGGTGAAACCTGAGTACCGGTACCACTACGGTATCAGTACAGCCTCATTTGTTTTGGATTCCGCACTTCTACCGGTACCTAGCTATGGTTGAAAAAAGATGCCCATACAGTATGTGTCATTGCTTCTACAGCCAGTAGCTTGCTTCTTGGTCCCTGGGTACAGGAAGGACCAGCTCATCGACGATAGTATCATCGTTACCAAGGTCAATGGATGAGAAATCTCCACTTTGAATACCCCCTGTGAGACCTACATAAGCGTACAGGATCGCCACAGCCACTGCAAGGAGCGCTTGAAAGCCAAGACCTTTCTCGGCTCTTCCCACCAGCTGAAATTCTCGTTCCATCATCTGCTCTCGTGGTGTCTTTCGAAAACTTCCAGCATTGCTGCCTCTGAAGGGTGGAGATTCTGGTTTGCCAGTGAACTTTTTCTTCTTAATGACAGGAGCTGGCTCCTCTTCACCAATGCTACCACCAGGACCGGAAATCCTACCTTCCAGTATCCCGCGTTCTCCAGTCTGCTGCTCACGTTGCTTGATTTGTTCATAGAATTGCTTGGCAAGAGCTGCCCCTTCATCACGTTGTTTTCCATCGCTGTTATCATCGTCTTCATCAGGTCCAAACAACTTGGACGAAGACAACGTCCATGACGAGGATTCTTCTGGTCGCAGCGAACCAGTGAGGGGCGCACTTGCAGCCTGCAGAAAGCCAAGAGCCGTCTCTTGTGTCAGTAGTACTATCAGAAAAAGAATTGGTAGTCTCATCATCATCATCTCATTCTATCCTACAGTATCTTCGTCCTTTGCCCTCACGACACAAGCCCGAGAGAAAAAGAGGGTTGTTGGCAAGAAGAGCAAAAAGAGGAGCGAAAAGTCAGGATGACGTGTTACGATAGCCTCCAACCTTGTGGTTAAGAAACATGCCGTATCTTTTGTACTAAGAAAACATACGATTTTAGCAAAAAGTGACTGAATTTCTAAGTAGTTTTACTCTTGGATCAGCACAAACTGCCGAATCGCCAAAACACAGGCTTTACTCTGTGGTAACTTTTCGGTTGTTTGACTTTTTTCATCCCCCATGGGAATCATCAGTGCTTGGGCTATTGTGGTACTTATGAAATCGTGGTTTATGTCGGCATGCTCCGTATATTTCATTGCAGGAGTTGATCAGCTTTTCTGGCGATTCTCTGGAACATTCCAGAATCTCGAGTCGCTACCTGTTGCATAGGCTGCAGTGTCGTGTCCCGAAGGTCTTGACAGTGCTGATGGGGTTGCCTTGCCATAGGATGCTAATTTCGATGCTGTTCCTTTGAATGGTGCCGTTGAGTCGGAATGGTGAAGGAGGTGCGAAGTTTTGGAATTCGTTGGCAAAGTGTCTTGCGTATGAATCTGACTTGCGTTTTCCGTAGAGAAGACGCATGACGTCGGTGAAGTGTTGGTATGTTCTTTCTTTGACGTTTTGTTGGGTTGCCCCAATGTATTCCTTGCCTGAGTTTATGCATTTGATGCAGTATATGGCCAGTTTGTTTCTACAGCGGTTGTCAAATCGGCATTGGCCGTCTTTCTTGTTTCCTGGCTTGCAGTTGCGGGTTTCATTTTGGAACTCGGTGGAGATGACGTCATTGGTGAGCTTCCTCGATAGGTCGCCCATGAACATCTCTCGCAGGTTGGTGAATCGATGGTAGGACAGACGTTCTAATCCATTCGAGGCCATGGCTCTTCTTGAGGTCGTTGATTACCTTGTGTATTGGGGTCGTCCAGGCGTTGGAGTGTCCTATACAGAAGAATAATGATCGGTTCCGGTTCCTCTTTCGTTGCTTGGCTTCTCTATCTGGTTCGTTTGCTTTGTCCTCTTGTCGCTGGGAGTATCGTTGTATTTCTTCTTGTAGTGTTGGTCTCTGGTCTGGAACCAGTCCAGCTTTCTTCAGCGCCTTGAAGTGTAGTGGGTAGATCTCATCGAGGGTTTGGTTGGCATTCTTGTTGGTAACTGTAGTGAGTTTAGCGAGTCTTTGGAACACCCCTAGTGGGATGTTTTTGAGGCATGCGTTTGTGTGGGTAGTTCCCCTGTTTAGATATTTCAGTTGTTGGTTCGGTTTAAGGTGGACTCGGAAGTGAAGTTCTTCCTGGTCCGACCAGAACAGTTCCATATCTAGATATGGGAATGCTTTTCCACTTTCTACAGTTACTTTGGGGTCGGATTGATCTTTTGGGAGTTGTCTTTTGGTTTGGTCTAGCCATATGCTACAGGTGAATACTAGGTAGTCTCCTTCGGCTAGGCTGTTGAATTTGGCCTGAAAATTGGCTCTCCATTCTACTATCATTTCATGTGTCCAAGTTCCTTTGAAGATCACAAAACCATCGTCTCTGTAGAGGCCATAGTATGATGTTTCTTCAAAATGGTCTTTGGTATTTTCTAGGATGTAGGCTCCTACTAGATCAGGCAGCCATGCCGATTCATATCCACCAATGGTTAGTCCTTTCTCTTCTGGGTCCATGTCTCCATCATATTCATAGTATTTGTCTTTGAATGTTAGTAGTGTAGAGTTCATCCCAAATTTGATCATATCTAGGCAGTCATCTAGTCGTCTTTGGCATTCTGCGTCAAGGTTCTTGGCAAAGTATCCAAAGAAACACCATCACCAATACAGTGCCTTCCAAATCGGTGGAGTTAAAAAGTAGGACAGGGACAGAGCGACGGAACGCAGAAATATTGTACTACACTAGCCAGGCTCCAGCCCAGAAAGCTTTCCGTGTTCTGTCTTGTGCGGAAACGATGGAAGGGGCTGCCGAGTCCTTTGCAACGCAACTTGAATAGCTGCCTGCCTGGCTGCATCCATACTGTACGTATTACAAATGAAAACCAATCATAAGAAGTCGCATCTACCTATTTCCTACTACACTACTATCTAGTTTACGCGCTTCACACGCTTTATTCTTCCTTTTCTTTGGCGGCAGCTGCAGCTTCGTCCTTCAAGCGTTTCATTTCAGCTTGCATTTCGTTGGCGGCCGCTCTCATTTCGGCTTTGGTCATGGGAGCGTCTTCCTCTTCTTCTGCCTTTGCCTTTTTCATTTCTTCGTTCATGGCGTCCAATGGATTGATCATCCACAAACTACTGCTAGTGGCAGCTGTAGCAGTGCTGGAAGAAGCAAGGCTGAACGCTTGACTGGGCGAGGCAGACAACAACAACGCCATCAGCAGAAGAGCCAAGGCTGCAAGGGTACGCGAAGAGGAAGGAGTAGACATGGTTGCTTTCAAATAAAAGTCGGCTAGTAAAGGGAGGTACTTTTAGAAAATTTGATAGATTATGAAGATGGGTGTACATGTAGTAGATACAATCGAACAAGCAACAGACACACTGCGGTAGCTCTATGGCATGTTTGTCTTTCCTTTTAACGATTTTGTCATGCTTTGTCAGCAGTATTGGTCGGAATGACGTCATTCGGACCAAAAGATCTGAAAAGTTTCGTTCCGGAGACACCTCCAACCTTGTGGTTAAGAAACAGATCCTTTGGTGACACTTTCCCACATTGAAAGTAACATCATCGCAACACCACCAATGCTTCTTCGGGTAACAGGATCGTCCCAGGTCCAACAATTCTTGATCCCACTAACTCAGTCTATCTATACCTTGATCGATGCCAACATGGTGCGAAAGATCCCAATCCCTTCGGCCCTGATTGTCCGGGGAATGAATCTGATCTATACGGGTGCTTACATCATTCTCAAGCCCCTCGGACTTGCTCCTGCTGCCAATGCCTTTCTTTCAGGTGGTCTCTTTGGATTGCTCTTGCTCCCCGTGACGGCGATTTACTCTATTGTCTACATTCTTCGCGAGTTCATCTTGCCGGCGGAAGGACTCTGGCATGATGCCGTTATCTATTCCGTGTGGGGATTTGTGGTGTGGTACCTTTTGTCCATTATCATGGATGATGCGCATTGCAGAGTGGACGACACTTGCTTTAGGACACCACAAAACCATTTTGATAGACAGGCTTATGAACTATTCAAGGAACTATTTGACTATTTCCCCATCACATGTGTACCCTACTCGGAAAAAGTAACACAACAATTAGCCACCATGGACAAGCAGTACGTGGCGGGAGTTCATCCTCATGGAATTCATTGCTTCCCATTGACGTTGTTGGCAAGTCCGGACACTCCCTTTGATCAACAATTTCCAGGGCTGGTTTCTGGATCTGCCAAAACACCCAAGCATCCCTTTACTGGATTGGCCGCCACCATCATGTTCAAAATTCCAGTAGTACGAGAATTCTTTTTGGTGTTTGGATACATTGACGCAAGTCGACACGTGGCAGATGCTGCTCTAGATGCTGGCAAGAGCATCTTTGTAGTGACGGGTGGCGAAGAGGAATCCATGTATGCCACATCTACAGGCTCGGGAGGCCAAGAAGATATTCTAGTCTTGAAGAATCGCAAAGGATTTGTGCGGCTTGCCCTGAAGCACGGGGCCAGCTTGCTACCCATCTTTGGAGTGGGCAACAATGATACCTTTGTACGATACAACTTTGCCATGGGCTTTCGACAATGGATCCAAAAGACGTTCAAGATTGCCTTGCCCATCTTTCATGGACGATTCTTCACTCCTCTTCCCTACCATACACCCATCAAGGTGATTGTGGGAGAACCCATTCATGTCCCCAAACCGACAGACACCAATGCCAAACCCGATGAAAAATTGGTGAATGAGTATCATCAAAAGTACATTGAAGCACTCAAAGAAATCCATGCCAAGTTTGCCGATCGGCCTCTTCGGATTGTATAGGTGCCGCATGATGATCAGCCGGGACCAGATACCTTACTCCTGCATGTGATGGCCAAGTGTGGACCATGGGGTGTTATCAACTGGATTGGTGCTTTTTGAACGTTAGTAGGATGTAGATCTACATAGAACCATAATTCTTTATAAGGACATTAAGTTTTGATCGCCTTGATCAGAAAATGTGGTGGTCATTCGTGGAGGCTGAGATGCCCTTTGGCTTGGATGTTTCAAGTGGTCGTTGCTTCCATCCGCTATCCTGGCTCTTTATGCAGCAAATCATGGCAAGTGACTGTATTGTCGTGCTTGCGTATCTTCATCCACAACTCTCTCACAACAATAGAAGCAATTCATGAACAGTTCACCTGCCACTCGGATCATGAGCGAGTAAAGCGATGTCATGAGATTGAAGAGTCCAAGGGTGGTAATGTCGCTAAATCTGCCAGTGATCATCATTGTGATGACCGCCTGGGGGATATCTTCAACTAAAATAATCAAAAGAGGAAGCCATGTCCAATTTTGCGTGGGTCGAACACAGGAGAGCTGAATCAGCTCCAACATCCAAGTGAGGGTACCCAAACAGCAAAAGATGCAGAGAAGCAAAGTTAACTGATCCTCAAAACCTCCTCGGTTCTCAAAGGTGGTTTTAAAAAACCACCAATCCGAGACCAGGTCCAAATCATCTGCGGTACTTGACAGCCAAATGCTCCACTCTCTTCGTCGTAGCTCTTGTCGCTTTTCTTTGTTTTTTGGCGTATAGAGGGGGTTCAAGGATACAAGGCGGTAGTTTGTGGTACAGCAGCAAAGATCGCCGCTCATCAGAGCCCGAAAGAGAGCAGCCACAACCATCTCGCCTTTTCTTCTTTTTATGTCTTACCAAATGCTCTTTCAAGTTTGTTGTGGTGCAACCGTGCACTCCAAGTCCAACAATTTTGTGAGCTCCCGTGGGATCATGGTTGTCCATTCCGATCGAGCTGCCATGCAAGCTCGTTGGAGCGTAACGGAACACACAATAGAGATCTTTCGACTCAAACGACTAAAAAATAGATTTCGGTTTGCTTGATCGGATTAATTCGATTCGATTCGATTCATTTCCTCGAACGGGTTATGATGACGTCAGCTTTCCGTTTGGGACAAAAGATCCAAGCCAGGGTTTGAAGCCGACGATGATCGACCAGGACTCTGGGGCCGTCATCAAGACGAAACCTGCCCCAAGCAACAGCATCTCCTTCGTCAAAACCTGTCTGTATCAGTTGTTTCATAGTTTCATTTGAACGATGGCTTCCAGTTTGCTTTCCCGTGCTTTTGTCCGGTCTTTCGGTGCTATAAACGTGCCGAATCACACGAAGACCTTTGCAACCAAGGTATCGGCACTTTCTCTGGCGTCCAAGAAGCGGAAGGGCCGCAAAATATCCATGGTTACAGCCTACGATTATCCATCTGCCGTACATTGTGCTCGGGCTGAGATTGATATCATTCTTGTGGGAGATTCTGTGGCAATGGTGGAACTCGGGTATGACACTACCCAACCTGTCACCGTAGACCAAATGATCCATCACTGCCAATCCGTCAAGAGAGGCGTGGAACAGTCCAATGCCAATACAACCCCACTTTTAGTGGGTGACATGCCCTTTGGTTCCTATGAATTTGAAGACACGGATGTGGCTTTGAGGAATGCCTACAAATTTGTCAAGGAAGCAGGAGTGGATGCGGTAAAAATGGAGGTAAGCACAAGACACGGTGAATGTTGGACCTAGCTAGCTAGAGGAGGTGTGAGATTCTGGCAAATCATACTAACATATTGCAATCATTTAAGGGTGGTAGTCCAGCTCGTGCGCGGACGGCCAAGATGGTGGTGGATGGAGGAGGTAAATTGCTGCTCATGGCACCTGGACTGACTAGTAGCTACATTGCACGAGGATTGTTTTTGGAAGATACTTGATCTTACTCAAGTTTCTCTCTGCTCTCCTTACAAATGAATAGTCGCCGTCATGGGGCATATCGGGTTGACTCCTCAAGCCATTAGCGTCATTGGAGGCTTTCGTGCACAGGGAAGGACCGCTTCCAGAGCTCGCGCATTGCTGGATGATGCCATGCGACTGCAGGACGCAGGAGCCTTTTCGGTGGTCCTAGAATGCGTGCCTGCCAATGTCGCAGAAGCCATTACGGAGACGCTCGAGATTCCTACTATTGGGATTGGCGCAGGAGGGTACACGTCGGGTCAAGTCTTGGTGTACCACGACATGCTCGGGATGTTGTCGCATCCACATCACGAACAGTTCATGCCAAAGTTTTGCAAGCAGTATGCAGAGGTGGGACATGCTATTCAAAGTGGGCTACAAGAATTCAAGGCCGATGTGGAATCAGGAACCTTCCCCAGCGACAAGTATTCTCCTTATGTCATGACAGAAAAGGAACGAATGGCATTCGATGCTCTCCTGAAGCAAGACGAAGACGAACGGAAACGAAAACACGACGAAGCTGCGGTCAAGATGACTGCGGCGGACGAGTACGAGCAACTGAGCTTGTACGGACAAGACAATTCGTCGAAGAAGTAAATCAAGTCGACATTCGTATCTCGCAACAACACTGCTAAACCCAGAACCTCAAAAGATTCACACCAAGACCCCTCACATCACACACATAGAACCCGCAACGACGACACGACAGCACTTGGACAATTAGGTTAAATTCTTAATAGAGAAAAAATAAAAGCAACGATCAGTAATCCATCCTCCATGCAAATCTCTCCCCAGTTATCGATAAAATAGAATCCATCCATTGCAGACCTCAGACAACAAAACAGACGACCCATGGACCTGCATTTGTCAATTAAATATATCCATCAGACCGTCATTTGTCCAACCTCCACATCCATCCCGTAGTAACCAATCACTTCCATATTCATTCCTCAGATAAAAAGAATCCACTTGCATGTTTGTCGGAAAAACCTGTGCTTCCTGTGCCGCTTGTATTGCGTGTGTGATGATTGCACAGTCTGCCAAGTTCGCCAACTGATATGATGGGATGTTCCTAGGATTTAAGAAGACTCCTTCTTGTAGGCAATAACCTGTTCAATACCAACAGCACCCTGGACCGTGACCATGACAGAGTTTTCACCACCATTCCAAGCATCACGGATTTCATCTGCAAGAGTGTCGGGGAAAGTGGGCAAGTTAAGATCGGTCTTCTGGTTACCACCTTCGTCCATAAGAGTGAGTGCACCGTCGTCGTCAATGTCGATAATCTCCCAGTCGGAACGGTTGACAATGGGGACAGTGGTTCCGTGGGTGGAGGGAATCATATCTTCGTACTTCTTGCCAGTGAAAATATCCGTGGCGAGAAAGTTACACTTGGCGTGACCGTGCTTTCCTGTCTTGGAGACGGAGATGGAAAGGACCTTGCAGGGCTTTCCCTTGATCATCATGTGTCTGTGGCGAGATGGATGAGAATGCACGTGCAAGACAAAAAGTTAGGGCCAATGAATCTTGACAAGGATAATGGCGTGGGTAGCATGGTATTAGCTCCCTGCAGATACCACCGAACAGGAGATAATGGCAAACAAAAGATGCTACCCATCATTCTTCCCATGGTGGGATCAGGTGGACGCGGGTCCTGGTAGGACTGCCGCGATAACAAGACAGAACCGAGGAACTCACCCTCCCTTCTTGATCTGACCAGCTTCCATAGGAATGGTAGCGGAGGCACCGGCATCGGTGGATTCAATTGCGTAATCATCGTCAGACATCTTGGGATAAGGTGTTGTTTTCTTGTAAAATAAGTTAGAAATAAGTCAATTCACAGGTTACCAAGGGTGCCTCCGACAACCATGCAAATTATGCGGTTGTGATGGAGCCGAGGCAATCCTGCCCTTCCATGGTGCCGAGACACTCACTCCGTGGAAGCGATTGATACACGGACACACCCTCTGCCTGCCAAGCCAAGGAACGAACCCTCTGAATTGATGGCTGGCCCTCCGTGCCTCAACGCACTATTTTCATCCACCCCCAAATTTACTCTGGATTAGAGTACTGTTCATGTTACAGTCTCCCCCAATGCCATATGGCCAAAGACATGCTTGCGTCACGACAGGTAAAGGTTATGAGCTTCTATCAAGTTGGCCGCTGCCACCGAAGCCCCTTCAATCGTGCCCCTCCTTCCAACCGGCTTCAAAGAGTTTTCTCAGTTTTTAGTCAGCTTGAAGACTCTCCCACAAACCACACGCCTCCCTCGAGAACGTCCCTTGCTTTCCTTCACCAACAAGGTGGTTGGAAGTCAGCAAACCAATTCAAAGGTGGACGGACTGAATGAACCATGTCAATCTACGAAGAAATCGAGATTGAGGACATGACGTTCGACCCAGATGAGCTCATTTATACCTATCCGTGTCCCTGTGGCGACAAGTTCCGGATTACTCTGGAAGAGCTGTGGGATGGAGAAGATATTGCCAAGTGTCCCTCTTGTACACTCCGGATAGCGGTCATTTTTGACGAAGAAGATTTGCCAGAATTACCACCGGATGAAGATGAAGAGGAGGAAGAAGAACCAGCTGAAGAGCTACAAACGAAAATGCAGACCCTCAAGGTTCATTGAATTGAATTGAAATGTGGCCTCATGCTTGCGATGGATTGGAAGACGACAATGCTGGCATGTTTGTCGAGTTAAGATTGGAATGAAACAAACATCAGGATTTCCAAGATACCCTAACCATGGTTTGGTTGGTATCTGAAGGAATCGAATCGAATCAAACAAGCAACAATCCAAGTGGCTGCTCTGTTTGTCCAGTTGGAGCTTTTGCAAACGATGCTTTTCCAGGTAAGAAAAAGTGTCGCTGCCTAATGATTCCAGCGCTTGGCCAGCTAGCCGGGGACTTTTTTATATACCCACATCCCTAGGCCCGTTCAATCCAAGCAAAAGCAAACAAATGCACCATGAAAAAGTGAATGCGAACGTGTCAACTCAGCTAAAATGGCTGGGTATCGAGACATATTTCGTTTGATTCATGGAGTACAACCTACGCAGAGAATATTGTTTTTTCCTTTTTACTTATCTCACCATTGCTTTTTCAATCTTTCGATCTGAAGCATCTTGTTGAGAGATGGACAACCAACTGCAGAGGTACACGACAATAAGAGATGAAGTTGGCAGGACATTGTGGTGGCATTGAACCATGTGATTAGAACATGCATGCACCGCCCTCCTTGACTCGGCAATCCATAGTAGGACGAAGAGCTTCTGCGTGCCCTCCTCCAATATATATAGGCAAGCCAGTTTGTTTATCCGCGCTGCAGCTAGTCTGAGAGCAATTAGACATCCCATGAGATGCTACTATTGCGTCCTTTTAAATTATCTAATTTTCAGCACAAATCACAATCATTATCTAATTTTCAGCACAAATCACAATCCACGGTACAACTACGGTCGCTTACATTCATTCAACAACATCCAACTAGCTAGATCTCACTGCTCTGACGTTTGGCGACTTCCTCCAGTAAATCGTATGATTCCTGCAGGAATATCTTGGATGCATCCTGTATTTCGGTAGTGGCCATTTCTTCCTTGGCTTCTGAATCTTCGTGCCATTCTCCCGCTTGCTTCCCTCGCCCCTTGGAATAATGGCCCGAGACTTCCAGAATGTTATCAATTTCCTGCTGAGAAGGAGTCACGCCCCACTTTGGCAGTACTTGTTCGTACATGATCTTTGGTAGACTCACATAGTTGACCGCCATGCCCAGTCCATTGCTGTTGGCAATTTGTTCTACGGCCGTTTCGGTCAATGTGGCCAAGTGTGCCGCGCAGAATTCTTCCGCCGACAGTTTTCTACCGCCCTGTGGCTGAGCCCCCTCTCCTTCGTCATCGTCATTTGCCGGTCGTCCACCGGCATTGTAGCCCTTGCGTTCGGCAATGCGTTGGAGGATGTGAGGAGGATTGTGAAGACTGCGCAGACAATTGGCCGATCGTTTGCCATGGGCAAAGTGCGACATCATGACTTGTACGGGGTCGCGATAGACAAAGATCCAGGGTGTTTCCGGCATGGCTCGTTGAAAGATTTCCAACATTCGAGTTCCTGCACTTTGAATTTTGAAAAAGAATCGTTCTTCCTTTGGATCTTGGGATCGCCCCATAAAGTACATGACATCCCGCAAGAGCATGGCCCCCTGTTCTACGGTACAGGGTCCTTCGTCGTCTCCCTCTAGAGCTCGACTGCACAAGCTCAATGCGGCCAGAGGTGGGGCACTTTCCGAGTAGACGCGGTGTTTGACCGGGTTCATGGCAATGAGTGAGTTGGCGACAAGTGTGGATCCACAACGAGATTCATGAAAGGCAACTCCTGCGAGTTTGAGATTGTGTGTTTCGGGGAACATTTCTCGTTCATCGGCTTTTCGTGACATTTCAGCCAATTGTTTCAAGTTGACTCGGACGCGACCTCTGGGGACATCTTCTTCTCCCTCTTCCAGAACGTCATCTTCGGCCTCGGAGTCGTAATCACTGTCGCATAAGGGTGACTTGCCCACTAAATCTCGAAACATGGGGACTATTTTGGTTTTGGTTTGTTGGTTGTTTTGTTGGTTGTTTTGGACAGATAAGGTTTCAGCAAGAGAGGTGCCAGACGGATTGTTGCGTAATATCATGGAACGAAAAAAGGCAGCATGTGTTTGATTTGATGACCGAGGAAGAAGCGAAATTGGAATGAAGTCAAAAGACAAGAATGAGAGACCATGCAGACCATCACTTCACCCTCCCATAAAACCTGCAATCAGCTGAAATAACTCTGTACAAGAGAATAGTTTTGGTACTCACCTCCTGATGGGTTGTTTTTATGCGCTGCAAAATTGAGTTTGCAAAAGACTCCAAAGACGCCCTCGTATGTATCTTCCTCGGATTGATCCAAGTCTCGGTGATTGATTTCCAAGTCTACGAGATTGAGTCTTCCCGAGACGATAAAGTCCAATACTTGTCGATGGGAAAAAGTGCTGCGATACCGATTGGATGCGGGAGAGCCACCCGATTTGGCGGCGGCAATGGGCACCCGTAATTTCTTGGCGTGTCGAATGACTCGATGTGCGTGCCCCGGAAAGCACAAATGGATTACCCCCAGGATACAAACAAGTCCCACGAGAATGGCACCCAGTAGTTTGAGCCGTCGTTGTGCCGCACCGCGTCCCTTGTTGCCCTTGGTTTCCGAATACTGAGTATCACAGGCAATGCCCATGAACCGAATCAAGGCATCCATGCTGCGATGCCGTCCGGCGGGGGACAGAGGGGAGGATAGTTTCTTGACCATGATGATGATGATAGATAGATAGATAGATATATAGTACTGATGCTAAAGTCTTTTTCCTTTCCAACAAGTTATACGGTACAGTAGTTGCGTGGAGGGAGTTCGGAAGTGATTTTTGGTTGGAACAAAAAGATCCAGAAGACTTGTTCTCTTGGTAGGAGGGAGCTGGAAGAAATACCCTCACTTTTCTTTCTTTCTCAAGTCAATGCAAATGGTTGGAGTGTCTCCCGTAAAAGATAATCGACCAAAGGAAAGATCCTCAATGAGATGATAATGGTCGACTCGACTTCTCGTCTCTGGCGAGACCACGGGTGCCGATAGGATGTAGGATCGATGTGAGGCTGTTGGAAGGAAAACAACGGCCAAAAATTCAACCCTCTTCTTTCAAAATCCAATGACAAAACCATTTCAACGCATTGGAGGATTCACTCTAACCCTAACATAACGCGCGCTTCGGGGGCGGATGCAGCTGGCCTGCGACTGCGCTCTCTCAATTTTGGTGTCATTTGTTTCTCATTTCTTTTCTTTGGTCCAACAGGCACATCATACAGGAGATAGACAGATCAATACCTTTGTAAACTATCAATAGTAATTACTCACCATGACAGCCGCATCAACCAGTGGATCCGCAGGAGCCCCAGCAGCCGCCGCTGCTAATCGACAAGAAGTCGCTGATGTGTTGGAAGAACGCTTGATCGATGCCGAATACAAGATTTGGAAGAAAAATACTCCCTTTCTCTACGACTTTGTCCTGACGCATGCCCTGGAATGGCCCAGTTTGACCTGCCAATTTCTACCCACTGTCCGCAAGGCAGGAGATACCGCCGAAGAACTCTCGCTGTTACTGGGCACACACACCACGGGAGAACAGAATTATCTCATGATGGCCAGTTGTGTCATTCCCACTCCCGAAGATGTCATTGAGTCCAATACGGCGGAAGGCACCACGGCCGCTTCGTATGACGAAGAAAAGCAGGAAATGGGAGGATTTGGCCGCAATCCCAATTCCATTGTCGGAAAAATTGAAGTCCGCATGAAGGTCAAACACGAAGGAGAAGTCAATCGAGCACGACACATGCCACAGAATCATTTCATTGTCGCCACCAGAGGACCCAATCCAGAAGTATACGTATGGGATATCTCCAAACATCCCAGTTTCCCTGCGGATAATGCACCCTTTGCACCACAGGGAGTCTGTGTGGGACATGCCAAGGAAGGATACGGACTCTGCTGGTCGCCACATCAAGCGGGGTATTTGTTGTCGGGCAGTGAAGATAACACGCTCTGTCTTTGGGATGTCCAAAATGTCATTGGAAAAGGTCCCGCCAGCAATGCACCGGGAACACAAATTCAACCAAAGACGATATTGCGTGGGCATACGGATGTCGTGGAAGATGTCGATTGGCATTACAAGGATCCCAACATGGTCGGAAGTGTATCCGATGACAAGACGGTGCGATTGTGGGATATTCGAAAAACCGAGCCCGTACATTTGGTCCAAAATGCACACGACAATGATATCAATTGCATTGCATTTAATCCCGAAAAGGAATTCTTGCTGGCGACGGGCAGTGCCGACAAGACGGTGGCTATTTGGGATATGCGAAACTTGAAATCGTGAGTTGTTTTTTATTATGATTGATTGTTTGGTTTGGTTAATTCATCATCTCATCTTGTTCTTCTTGCTTGCTCGATTCTATTATTCTCATTAGCAAACTCCACAATCTCCAAGGCCACACGGATCAAGTCTACAAGATTGAATGGGCACCTCACAATGAATCCATTTTAGCGTCCTGCTCGGCGGATCGAAGAGTCGGAATTTGGGATCTATCACGGATTGGACAAGAACAATCCGAAGAAGATGCCGAAGATGGACCTCCGGAATTGCTTTTCCTTCATGGAGGACACACATCCAAAGTCTCGGATTTCTCCTGGAGTGCCAAGTCTGAATGGACCGTCGCCAGTGTTTCGGAAGACAATATCCTACAGGTGTGGAACATGGCAGAAGAAATCTATGCTGCCGATGATGACGAGGAGGAAATGTCGTCGGGTGCAGGAGAAGACCGTGTCCTGGCGGATGATGATTTGGAGGAGTAAACTACAGAGCAACAATCCATCAGCAAGAGCAAGCAAGCAAGCAACACTGCTTTTTAGTCAACTTTTTGGGGCAGACATCATCTTTATATGTAGCTTGTACGGATACTTCTTTGGATCAAGAACTCTCTATAATTAGCTAGGTATCAGTTATTGTCAAAATCCTGGGCTGGGTGATGATCTGAGCTGCGCATTTCCTCTCCCAATCTAGGTAAGAGTATGCATCACGGTGTAGCTTTGTTCATTCCTTCGTCAATGAACTTGCTTTCCTTTCATGCTCTGCGGTCGGGGTTGATCAACTAGCCCATTCCCGAACCATCGGCTGTTGTGACTTAGTCCTCCTCCTCGTCTTCGTCGTCTTCTTCTTCTTCGTCGTCGTCGTCGTCGTCAACGTACTCCGCACCAGAAGCCTCGACGTCTATTGTCGTCGGGTCGTCTGCCAAGCTCAACAAACTCATATTGTCTTCCAACATCCTACGCAGCTTCTCCACGTCGGTTCCTTCAACGTCTATTGTGCCATCGTCCAACCTCACAATACCATCATCGAATTCAGGCACAGTGTCGGTGAATTCAAAGCCTAGCGATGAAGCCAACGATTCCAATTCGTCCGCCTCTTCACCTTCCTTTAGGACCGACACCACACGGCCACCTCCACCTTTGACGCTTCCCATTTGACCGATTCGTCCAACACGGCCAGCCAAGTGGACGTACTCCCGAGGATCATTTTTGGGTAGATACAACGTGTAGACGGATGAAACAGACGGGAAATCCAGGCCTCGCACCGAATTGGCAGTAGCCAGCATAACCGAAGTTTTCGCATCCCTGAACTGTTCCATTATGTTCAATGGGGTTTCGCCGGTCTTTGGCAGCAAAACACAGAGTTTATGCTCGCCCCACATGGCATCTCGCAGTGGTTCAATGGCTGCCTTCGCGGCAACTTCGTCCGGAAAGAACACCACCACTCGTGGTCGTTGCATGGGAGGATTGTTGCCAGCGGCGACGTGTACGTCGTACTCCCGCAGTTCCTTTCGCAAGAGTCGTGTGAGTACCAAGAGTTGGCTGGTATCCTGCGACCGTACAACAACACGTTCATGCCGCAGACCAGAATCCAAACACACGTCCAAGTCTTGCAGGGATGCTGTTTTCTGACGTTCCCCCACAATGTCGTCCTTAATGTCAGTGCTGTCGTCTTCCGAGTTGTCTGAAAGAGGTGCAAAGCTGGTAGCTGTGGCGATATAGCTCCGACTCTCGGGCAGTACATGCGAACTGACAGCCAGGTTCCCCAAGGACTTGGTCACACTGGCGCCGACCAAGAAGGTTAGGCGAGAGTTTTCACGTTCTTCATTATCATCAGCAAAGAGACGCTGCAAATCCTCAATGTCAGTTTGTTCCAAAGCCAAGTCAGCCTCATCGTATATGACCGCACGCAATTTGGAAGGGACAATATCTCCGTCAGCAATCAGTTTGCCAACGTATTCTGGAGTTGTAATGGCGATATCCGTTTGAAGCTTGAGTCCATAAATAGCTTCTTCGTCATCCAAGACACAGGCTATGCGGATACCCTTGGGGCCCTTATAACGGAAACTGTTGGCCTTGCCAGACAGTTCTGTTGCTTCCTTTTTGACATTGCCACCAATCAGCGAGTAGAGCAGCAAGGCAATTTGGACTCCCAGTTCCCGTGCGGGACAAACAATCAATGCCAGGGGAGATTTGATATCTTCCTTATTGCTCTTTCCCAGCGTCGATAGAGAAGCTCCCGTTGCAATAGCACCATTTTGTCGCATTTGCTTTCGGGCTCGTGAGCGAACCACGGGGGAAGTGACTACAGCAACTCGTTCCATGAGGTCTCCCATGGTGTCTCCAACTGTTTCTTCCCATCCTACTCGTAATCGTTGTCGTGTAAAGAGAGAGTCGCTGAGAGTGCTGAGAAGTGGCACCAAATAGGCCAATGTTTTGCCTTTTCACAATACGGTACCATACAGTCCAGAAAAGAGCAAGGTGAGCACAAGTGAATCAAAAGCTGATTGAATCATTCCATCCTCACCCATTCAACTCAGCATTCTCCTTGCTTACGTACCAGAACCAGTATTTCCACTAATGACAATGCCCATGTTACTGTCATCCATTCCCATTCGTTCTTCCAGCGATGTGGTCTCCACTATTTCATTGGTATTGTTGAGAATGGCATTGACCGATTCCATGGAACAGATTTGCACGGAAGTAGGGAAAGTGTAGTTCAAACTATCCAATCGATCCACCAGCCATGGAGCTGCTCCCAGTCCTCGCCAGGACATTTTTCGTCGTCGTAATCGTCTGGTTTCATCATCTACATTCGTCATGTCGCCATAGAGTCGAGAAGCCACGACGTCCGAGAGCCGTTGCGCTTCTAGAAAGTCCTGTCGTTGCGATGCCTGTCGAAGCAATGTCTGCAACTCATTCAATCCCATGCTGCTGGATTCCTTGGTATCTCCATTATTATTGAGCATGTAGATGGGCGATAGACGGCGTGCAGGCTGATGTTTTGCCCCAGCGAGGAATAATGAGATGGATGGCGAGCGATGATGAGGAGTGATCCACGCCCACGATGGCAAAGATAGCCATAAGAGCCACGCGAGAGCTGCCAAAGGATGCCCCATTGCTGGATTTCTTCTCGAGCGATTATTTGTCATCTTAGCCACAACTCTTTCTTATTATGAGATCGTAGAAGAGAGGCAACTGAACTGATGATCGAGATCAATCCCAAGATTGTTGTCGAAGAAGAAATGAGTGTGATCGATGAGGAGCTCGAACGAAATCGAAAAATCGAAAGGAAAGCCATCTCTTCCACGTGGCGGTATCAGATCCAAAGAAAGGAGCCATTAAGCGTCTTTTATCTCCACACCCACACTCAAAACGTCAAGAATGCAAGAAAGAATTGAGCAGCCAAACCTCAAACATCAAATCCAAAAGGAATGAAGAGATGAGCCAACAAGACGCTTCCGCTACTGGTAGCAACAATGGCGCGACGCCTCCCACCTTCGAGGGAGCTCTCCCTGCCCCACCAATATATGACATAATCATGGCGAATCGTTTGGCCGAGTCCAAGTACAACCACAAGAAGGCACTGCATCGAGATGTTCCGCTCAAAAGTCCCTCGTCCGAACTAGCCATTGACAACTTGACGCGGTTGGCATTGCCATGTGTCCTACCTTGGTCACTCTCCACTTCTCAGACTCCCCAACAAGTGCCACCCGATTTTTCCTGGATGACCAACAGTTGTGGAGGCAAGGCTGCCATTGGTCTTTTTGCCGGCGGAGCCATGGGGCTGCTCATGGGAGTCTTTTTGGGCGCCATGTCCGACGCTACACCTCCGGTCACGCTCATTGGTGGAAGAGATGTCCCCCAGCCACCACTACGAGAACAAATCAAAGTCACCATGAGAGCCACGGCCGAAAAGTCCAAATATTGGTGTCGACAATTCGCCTTTATTACCGGAGTCTTTGGAGGAACCGATTGTCTCGTCGAAAAGTTTCGTGGAAAACATGACGTATGGAATAGTGTGGCCAGTGGATGCATCACGGGAGCGGCATTGCAAGCCAAACAGGGACCTCACGCCGCGGCGGTGGGCTGTGGAGGCTTTGCGGCGTTTTCGCTGGTGATTGATACCGTCATGGGCACGCACTAACTAAAGTATTCCATCCGTCAAGTCAGCTCTGGCTGTCGTCGAACCAAGCAAGAGGCAGCTATTGAGTACGCATTAATCGTTTCATAGAAAGTTACTTGTATTGATTCTGAAGCAATTATCGGCGTATGCAATGTTTCATTCTCTGAACCGCGCCACTGGTATATAGACAAGACCCTGAAAGGGACGAAGCACACCAGCTGGACTGTTCAAGACCAACACGCAAACCTGTTTTAATCGTTGACTCACATGGTTGAAAACTGGACTGGACAATGGGCCGCCATGCTCATCCAACCAGCCCCCTGGGCAACCAACTGTTTTGCCCTCTTCCACATTTTCTCTTCACTTGTATGCATCCCTACTCCAGGGACATACGCTGGCATCTCCAACAAGTGTTCATGGGAAGCTGCCTCAATACATGTTTTCTGGTCACAGCCACAGCCGTTCTCATGGCATACTTCAGGTTTTCCAGATGACCATGTCCAACAGCCAACGAGCACACCTGATCGTCCCAGGGCATTCATGTTCATGGGCATACATCAGAATGTCCAGGTGGAATTCATGGGCAGCACAAGCCCATGCCCTTTCATCCCAGGGACAGCTACTATGCATACTTCAGAGCATACGTACTGGTAGAGACAATTATTTAGTTGGTAAAATGATAGTCTGTCCTTCGTGGGTTCGTTCTGTCAAAGGAAAATGCAGTGCATCCATCGAGTGAGTCAAAGTTGGATTTTGACTCAGAGTATCTGGTTTGACCTGACCAGATTCTACTTTCACTGTGCTAAAAAACAGTACCATTAGAATCTCGAGAGGCCAAACCAGATACTGCTATGCAGTTTTCAAACTGGAGTCACCTGACCTTCTTCCCGCAGTGCGCACCTCTTTTTGGGAAGTTCGCACCTCTGTTTCGCAACTGGTACTCAAAATGGGAACCGGTACTGGAACACGACTGACGTCAGGAGGACCAACTTCTCACTTTTCGAACTTCAATGTCGCGCACCTATCTTACGGCAACAGGCAACAGGCAACAAGAACCAAGAACCACCACAACAACGATCGACAGTAAACGATCGACAGTAAACAAAGAAGAAAACAATGGAGAAGACAACAATGGAGAAGCAAGAAAGCATTTCTAATAGTAGTTTAAATAAAGCTAGAAGCATGGGGGCTGCAATCTCTGTGCCACAGCCAATGACAGCTCAAAAGGTGACACAAAAAGGAGCTTGGAAGCCCACCAAATTGTAGAATGTAAAATAGCCGGATTTGACACTCGAAACTTTACTTTTTCGTGCGTCCTCTCGAAGCCTTCTTCTGTAGTAGCCCCTCTCTTTTTATGTAATCCACGAAGTTGGCTATGGAGCTCTTGCACTCTCCCTTGTAGTTGTAGTCAAGGACTTGACAGGCATCGAATACATCCATGTTGTGCTGTTCTGCATAGGCACGGATTCCAGCCACAGCCTGATTTCGTCTGGAGTATTGCTTCGCTCGAATGTGCTTTCTCCATTGCGTGCCGTACTGCTTGTTTCTCCCTTCCACACCACCAAGAGGATCCGGTGAGCTCCCTTCAAGTCTTCCAGTCCACTCATCCAAAAGCTCGGTGAGGCTCTTGATGCATACCTTCAGCTTGAATTGGTCGTTGGGCTTGGCTGTTGGTGTCGTTGGTGGTGTAAGAACAGCTGGTGGCGTAACAGCTGGTAGACCCATATCCATAACACCAACTTGAAGGAAATCGTCACCAGTTTCCAATCTTGCACCAGCCGGATCCTGCATAGGCGTATCCTCTAAATCTAGAGAGGCATCATCTAATTCCATCGTGTTTGCCAGTAGCTCTAGACCGGTTGGTTGTTGTTGTTCCTCGACGTGATCTTCTTCCGTGCCACCAATTGACTTTCCGATCTTCACTAGCAGTGCCCCTAATTGTTTGTCGCGTTTCAGTTGCCGGTGTTCAGCATGCTCTATGTACTCGCCCAGCTTTGTAATACCATTGACAACAACCTTGCTCACGCTGTCAACCTTGGCATCCAAAAGACATAAAGCTTGGTTGTTGGCTGTTTGCCATGATGTCAAAGTGGGTACAATCTTTTCGACAGTGGCTTCCTTGGGATTCTTCGCGGACTCCAATGCCAACTTCATCTTCTCTTTGAAGGCCTGTAGAGTGGATAAGCAGTAGTGAGACGCATGTGTGAAAGACATTGCATGATACGGAAGACTTACTGCAAAGAGATCCGTCTTGAACACATCATTGAGTTCAGTAAACAGTGGATGCTCCTCTCGCTCTGGAGAGAGTACTTGCATTGCCGCAGCATCCTGCAGAAAGATACGGTTTAGATCAATGAAGAACTTGAGGAAGGCGATGGCTGTGGGACAATTTCCCTTTTCAGCAGCTTCGCTTTCCGTGACAGCATCCCATGCCTTGTATACCCACTTTCCGATTGGTGTAAGCAGAAGCAGTTCTTTGGGAGGCATAACAACAGATCGCGGACAAAAGAGGCACCCTTGCTTGCCTCCATAACCAGCCATCCGCCTGACAGGAGTTAAAGGCATCTTCCCACTGTAGTGTTTGTCATAACAGCCCTCGGACCAGCCACCTAACTGTTGAATCTGGCTTCGCTCCTCCATGAGCAACTCAAGAGTTAGAGCTCCAAGCTTTCTGCCAAGATGAAGTACCTTGCTGCAGTCAAGGTCCAGTTGCTTGAGGATTTGACGAATGTGGTTGCCATAAGTGTCTTTTTCCATTTCCTTTGACCTGTTCGCCCCAGGTGAGGCATCCGCGAGGATCTTGATGTCAAACCAACTCTTGTTGTCAATCCACTGCTCGACAGTGAAATCAGCAAACTCGTCAGTGCAGTGAAGCCGGTACTGTACCATGAAAGCAAAAGCACCGATGGGACACACATTGACATCCTTGTGGCGAGTGGCTCTCCCATACTGTTTCCTGCCATAGGTGGCGGTCTTGCCCAATGCTATCTGGTTGACCATAATGTAGGTGTTGTGGACATCTCTCTCTTCGTCCTTGGGTACGGTCAGCCCAAGGAAGTCGCTAAACTCAGCACGGTGGAGCGACTCACACCTGAGAATGCCACAGGTCAAATGCAGGAAGCAGTATCTGTGGCGAAGCTGACAAGCAATAGACCTGTAGCCAACAGCCTCGTGACTGTGCTTCCATAAAATAGATTCAATGGGGGTGTAGTGCTCCACAATCATGTAGGGCGAAAACTCCCCATTAACTTTCTCCTTGTAGTTCTTCTTGTCTTGCATTGGCTTCCTCTGCTTCACATACTTGAATAGATCATCCAGTGGGAGCTTCCAGATAGCATCAAAGCTGGATTCTGTTGTCAATTTCTTCGCCAGTTGAACCTTCCAGATTTTTTTGAGGATCTGCTTGTATTGCTCAAAGGAGGGTGGACTCATTGGGTTCTTTGGATTAGGGCGGTTCAGCCTGGCTCTGGCAGAGTCCTTGTAGTCCACCATGAGCTTATCGAACTCCTCCTTGTTGAAGTGCTTCCTCTGTTCCACAGGCTTGGCGAGTTCTGCCTTGTTGGGGTGTTTTTTGGGCTCTCTGAATGCAGTGTAGAACATAAACTGATAGACCTTTTCAAAGTCCACAACTCTCCTGCTTGGATCATCGGGATAACAGTGGTCGCAGTACTGATAGAATTCGTAGACTTTGGGGTCCAGTGCCTTGTGTGATTGTGTTGGTCTCCCTTCTTCAGACAATTCAAGGAGAACATGTTGCAAGTTGCTGTTGAGCTGAGAATTATCCTCCACAGTTTCACAGATAGCCTCCCTCATGCCATCTTCTCCAATCCTGTGTGCCACCACCCTCACTTGCGCTGGCCTTTGGGGAGAGGGGAGCCCGTTGGCAATAGCACTGATGGTAGAGGTCATCTTGATATCACTGATGTTGCTTTTGTTTGTTTCGTTTCGTTGGTGATGGCATTGGTTTCCACGCTCGGAAGGGTACGAAGCACTAGAGTTGGAGATAGGCCTAAAGAGGGCGCGAACGGATGAAAGCTAGCCGGTCGCTTTCAATACCGGTACCTATGTCTTTGATTAATAACCCCTAAGTCCGTGCAATTTTGACTTGGACTCTTTATTCTAATTACAAAGGGGGTTGCGCGATCGTGCGCGCAGTCTTTATGGGCGAGTCAAAGATAGTCATTTTGACTCCATGTCAAAGTTGACACGAATGAACTTTGACCTATAAAGGTATATTAATAGTTGAATTCAGGTCCAACTCAACCACAGCAACCGAGCAAAGGTCACCCTCAACAAACAGGTTCTCAAACCATCGATACGTCCACTATCGTACCAAGATGATCTCGTTCAAGCCCGTCGCTATTCTACTGCTTGCCTCGTCGTCGACAACAGCCAGACCCGACCGCTGCAACATTCGGTTGGACAGCAGCGACAACAGCTGCATTTCCAACTGCATGAGTCAATCTGCGGCCGATAATAATAGTTTTGTCTGCGATGAAACGGTACCCTGGCTGCATCACCGCGGCGGTGATTCCCATTGGATGAATGCCACGCCTCCTCCTGGAACGGGCGTCCACGTCTATTCCGTCTTTCAAGGGAGTCCTCCCTGTGCACGAAATGGACACTGTGCCGCCTGCGGTCGTACTCCGGGTACCCGACTTTGCTCGGTACGAATCGATCCCCAAGACTGTTCCATTACTTGCAACGAGGAGGATTCGGTGTAAGAAGAAGAAGAGCAAGTCGAGAAATCACGCACACACACACACACACAAGTTAAGAGAGAAGCAGAGAGATCGAAGACTACTACAATATAAGCAATCCACTACCAGCAAGGATGACCATCAATTTAGTTGGAAGATTATTCAAGATTAGCCGAACCCTCCACCAACCAACCAGTCAACCATGACGAGGGAACTGTATCAGGTCAGGAAACACAGAAAAGCCAGTACTGCGACGACAGAAAGAAACTCCTTCCTTTGATTGAGGATCCATTTGCATGTCTTTAGATTCATCCCTGTATGCGTAAGAAATTAGCATCAAACAAACTTTCAAGATTCCAATACAAGTCTGCCTCGGAAGCCGGGGAAAAGCTTCTCTTTTTCGGATTCTGGTTTATGTTTGTTTCTTGACAACCTTTGTCCTTTTCCGTCTTCCAAATTGGAGCGCATCATTATGACAAAGAAGCGTGGTGAGAGGAATAAGCAAGGCCACTGCCAGGAGGAGAACGCTTTTCTGAACCTTCGTTTTGGCTGCAATGTCGTTGCAGTATGCCACGCCCTTGGCTTCGATCATCTTCATGGCTGCCATGATGGCCAGCGCAACAAAGACTGTCACCTGCGGAAAGAACTTGTTTCGATACCAGACATTTCTTGTTGTCGTCATCGTCTTCGATTCAATGGCACGAGTAGTACCGGTATACTGCACAGCACCAGGCAAATGAAAATGATCCTCGGACTGCTCATACCAATGCACCACAGCCTGACGATACTTTTCCCGGCTGATAAAGTCGATCCGTCCACGTTTTGGACACAGGAAAACCGGAGCTCTCACAGCGCGGAGACTGTCCCATTCTTCTCGTGTCACAAACAAGACAAAGTCGCCCTCTCGTGCTTCGGGGAGATGGACCGTACACCCGCTGGTGATCTTGCCGTTCAGGTTCATCGTCCTTGGCTTTTTTCTATGCAGTGGCTTCGTCCAGCTTTGGCCATCTATTTTCAGAAGCAAAAAGCGGGAAGTAAGCATATAGCTCTTTGGACTTTGCTTGTGGGCAGTCAACCGGTTAGGGGTACTGGTACATATGCATAGGTGAGGATCGTTTCCTTACTTTTAAAAAATGTAATATGAGGATTTGAGGTGAAGGTTTCAAACCATTCGCATTTCTGAGACTGTGTAGTACCAGTACGTTTACGGAACGCCATCATCACCGAATGTCGGATAAACGTTGTATCAATTGCGTGTCGGGTAGTACTGTAGCTTCAAAAGTCAGCATTCCTTCTTTGTTGGCTTCGGCACCTGACGAGGATCTCGACTCCCGATCCAAACCGCGAACACATCCGGAGCATGTATGCATACCCGTTCAGCGCTGTCTTGCCCTCATGCTGCGTAGTGTAGAACACCGATAAGCCCGATTGAAACTGAACCTGCAAAACAGCTCCTTGGAAGTGACATGTGGTGTAGTTTGGTTGAGCTCTCATCTGTGAGCAATGAATTGTCAGGTTTTTATGCAGTGCAGTGCTTCAGTATCATCCATGTTCTTTTCGTTGAAGGATGATGATCCTGGCACAAAATGCTCCCATTTGGAAAGCCCATCGGAGAGAGCTACAATATCTGTGGCCTCACAGTGCTGGACTCCTGTTTGTTGCACTGGTTCTGGTTTGTGCATGATAAATGTAATGGTTATCTGATATGGTTGCTTCTGGAGCATCATTATCTTGTTCGGGCTGCCATACTTGCAAATTGTATTCCCTTGGTATGTACACTTCTGCTTCCTCTGGAGTTGGATTGTTTTCTGTTATAGTTTCTTGAGGAGTTTCAATATCCTGTTCTGGCTGTGAGACTTGAGACTTGTATTCCTTTGGCGCGGCCAAGTCTGCTTCCTCCAGAGTTAGATTGATTTCTGTTACTAGTATGGTTTCTTGAGGAGTTTCAACAACCTGTTCATGTGGTGTCACTTGTTGAGGCTTCTCTTCCGCTTCAAGTGCTGTTGATTGGGTTGGATTGCTCTCATTCCCACCAACACTGGACAGAGTTTCTTCCTGTTGAGTTGGCGCAGGAATATTTCTTTGCCACCAGGGTAAATTGGCACTGTCATCATCCTCAGCGAACTCTTCCTCATCCGATGACGAACTGATTTCGTCCAAATTGTGGTTTCTGTCACTACGAAAATGGGATGAGAATGGCAGTGACAGTAGCTGGCTCACACGTCTAGCTCCAGGGATGGACCACATGGCTGCCGATGCTGAGTTCAACATTGAGGATGCCGTGTGTGTGGATGTTTGTAGATTGCTGTTGATGTTGTTGGGTGGATCCATTGGCTTGACCACAGCCCACCAGGTTGCAGTTATCCAGGACACTTGTGGATAACTTCTTTTCCAGCTCTTGACTCGATATTGAATGTAGATGACAAAGTTGCATGCTCCTTGGAGTGGATACAAAAAAAAACCTACAAATCCAAACAGAAAGATGGCTGGCTTGTGAGCTCTTTCTTCAATATCTGTATATTGAACCAGTACATTGTAGATTGCTGGCCACAAGAGTGTGTTAAGTAAGGCAATATAGTAGGCAATAGCTTGCCGTGCTACTCTGCGCACGCGGGCTTGTCGCTGATCTTCTTGTCGTTGTTGGCTGGATGAGGGGGGCGGAATGGCAAAGGATGCATCATGGGTTCGACTGGCTTGAGTGACAACATACACGTGGCGATAGACCATGTAAGTTGCCACACAGCCCCCTCCAGCAAAGATTGTCAAAATGGCATCGTATATCCAGATAAATGCATGCCCAAATGCTGAACAGAGACCTGTATTTTGAGTTGGCTGAATAGCCCCTAGTCCTGCAGCACAAGATACATAGGTTGCCACAATGACAAAGGCCAGAGCATATGCTGGCTTTTCCAGTTTCTGGCTAATTTCCCATTCTCTCCAACCATATCTGGTAGTCAGCAAGAAATAGACACTTAGGTAGTTGCACATGATGCAAGTGGAGAGGCCAGTGATTATGACGAAAATCCCCAAAATGTTACAAGTGGTTGTGTTGCCTTTTGCTAGGGGATCACCTGTAGAAGATGGTGACATCCATCGACCTGCTATGAGAACTAAGGATAGCATTATATCCGATGTGCTCAGTGAGGTCATCAATCGTTGGTAGACTGAATTGTGGGAAGACAACTTCCTTCGAGCCACTGTGATAATTCCTATGGACCCAATCAAGGAGAGACCTGTTGAGAAGCATATGGCAGAATAAAGCAGGATAACTTGGAAGTCTGAAAGAGTTGTCTCAGCCAAGTAACCATCATTGGTTGTCTCATGATTGCCTCCGTCCGCTGCCATGGTAAGCTTCTTTTCTTTGATTTTGACCAACAAAGTTTTGGTCTGCCAAGTGTTGAAAGAGCTGGTAAAATTTAATGGTGCAAGACAACCAAGAACCAAGATCCTGATGAGTCGAGTCCATGCAGAGGTTGCGCGTTGCAAGCCTGGAAGCAAGAAGCATGCATGCACCGGAATTCTGCAGAATGTCAGTGACGAGCGACGAGGGCATTGGCTGTGCCTCGTCAGTAGAATTACAATTCTTACTTATTGTGAAAATGCAAGAGGATTTAAAGTGTATACCAGGATACCAGGAACCATTGTTACATACGAGTACGCTTAATTTGCATCAGGCGGTACCTGGTACTTCTAAATACCATACTCGAGTACACGAGTACATCCTACTGCCCGCACAATGTCATGTAGAATGTAGAAGGTTCCGATAGACTACACTGAAAACTCGAATATAAGAAGCTATTCTACAAGAAAGGGAGCCCTGGGCTTCTTTTTAAAAACAAGGAAACTTCCACATTGAATTTCCCTGTGACTGTAAGAAAACTTCCCAGTGTTGAGACCTCAAGCACAAGAAATAGTACTAGTCTGACACCATGAAAATTCTTCAAAATTGTGCCTAAATCTGCAAAATTTACTGCCATGAGGGAGAGACAGTGATAACAATCTCTATTTGATCCAACCCAATTTACGAGTCCTGAGCAAGTTGGACCAATAGGCCCAGGTGCATTGGGTGTATCCAATCACTTCCCTGCTTGACCTAGAAGCATAGTAAGAAAGTCTTCTATGCTGAAATTGGCTTGTTTTGTTAGAAACAATCTGAGGGTCCAAAATGGTGCAGCACAGTAAGAAAACCCCAGGGCTGCAATGAATTTTTAATGTTCTTATAAGTAAGTTTGGAGTGTAGCTACCTTGGTAGCTTGGGTAACAGAGATTAAATCTCGATCAATCGATTGAACATTCGGAGTTCGGAGAACTGAGAACAGCTACCTGTACCGCTACCGCTACATAACCTGCTATTAATGGTACTCGTACTTGCCTTTCATTTATTAATTAAGTACGGTAGGCTCTAAAATGTTCCAGTAAGATCAGGGATGTGACGTCAGAGCATTTCCGTTTAGGGGGAGCAAATCTCATGGGGGGCACAACAAGTTTGACACGTGAGTCGAGATTCTTTGGGGTGGCGGATGTTTGGTGCGTGGTGCGTGGTGCGTAATTATTTATTTTATAGATTATGGTGACCTGTCTGCCGATTGCCCGATACGGTACGAATCAAACCCTGCTGTTGCCCTGCTCAAGAATGCGAAGCGTAAACTACGAGAGATGGAGCAGAATAGGGCTCAAACCGCAGTAGGAAACAGGCTAGAGTTGCAAGCCTCGCTGTCAGGGCAATACTGTAGAGGAGGGGTAATGCGGCGAGCCTGGCTGCTGAATACCGGTACCATGTGGATTGCGATTGCGAGTGCAGCTACAACAGAGCAATCACACCGGAACTGCTTTGAACAGTAGCGCAACAGGACCAACAAGTGTTGGAGCTCTACGAGCAACGTGTTGTGTCCATAGGTGAACAGCGGATCCAGAGTGAATTTGTGAGCGATCCAAGACAAACAGGACCTACCATCCACCGAGCACTATAGGACAGCCACCGCAAATCCGACAAATGACATCAAAATCAGCAGCCGCTAGCGCAACAGAAACAACGGTAATAGGAGCGTACTACTAGTAGCTAGCGTCAACAGCAACAAGCGAAGCCTCAACACGCTCTTGCGCACCAATGGTTGGGAGTCAAATCAACTCAAGCCACGGCAGTCTCTGGCTAAAAAATGGCACACGGTGGCGCCACCATCGATAGCTGCAACGAGCACCGTCGCACTTTTGTCATGATTCGTACCGATAGCAGTCGTTGTATCAAATCATACAATTCGAGCATCGGTTTCTCTAAGCGACTTCGAGCATCGGTTTCTCTAAGCCATCTTTCCTCCGCCGGCCAGAGCCAAACCTCTCTACCAGGTGCGCCTGTAGAGCTCGGCTTCCAATCCACACACCAGTATAACACCAAGCCGGGCATCCGTTCAGCGAATAAGGTCCCGTTTTGTCTCACACGACGCAGAAGCCGAGATCGATGATCCTGCTCCTTGGAGAGCCACCCGTGGTAAAGTTGGTTGAGCAATTCATCTGTGAGTAATGGATTGTCTGCCTACAATCATGTAGCGTGTTCAGTGTCATCAGTGTACTTTTCATTGAAGGATGATGATCCTGATGCAGAATGATCCCATTTAGAAAGCCAATGGGAGAGAGCTACAATATCTGCTTCCTCGCAGTGCTGGGTTCCTGTTGGTTGCACTGGTTCCAATTTCTGCATGATAATGTCATTTTGGGCCTCAGAAGTGTTCATGATGTGATCAGACTCCTTGGCTGCTACGCTGCCATCAACCAAGGAATCTTGGCTTTTCAATTGCGAAGAGATTTCCGCAAACGTTGACTGTACATTGAGCTCTTGAGGAGCTTCAATATCCTGTTCTGGCTGTGAAGTATTCGATCTGGGTTCCTTTGGCATGGCTAGTGTTGATTCCTCTACAGTTAGATTGATGTCTGCTATGGTTTCTTGTGGCGCTTCAGCATCCTTTCTTGTCAGTGAGAATTGTGGCTTGTATTCCTTGGGCATGGTCAGTTCTCCTTCCTTTAGGAGAGTTGAGTTTTTGTGTGTTATGGATTCTTTTGGAGCTTCAACCTTCTCTACTGGCTGCCAGGCTTGCAATTTGCATTCCTTTAGCATGGCCAGTTCCTCTGATATTGGGCTGTTGTCTGTTGTGGGTTCTATATCCTGTTCAGGTGATGTGGCTTGCCCATGAGAACAAGATTGCTTCTCTACTGTTTCAAGTGCTGCTGATTCTGTTGCATTGTTCTCGTTCCTATCAACACTGGACAGAGTTCCGTTTAGTTGACTAGAAGTAGGAACGTTTCTTTGCCACCAGGGTAAATCTGGATTGCCGTCATCCTCAGCGAACTCTTCCTCATCCGACGATGAACCCACATAATCATCTTCAACATAGTTGCCGTCCTGCTGCTGATGGGATGAGAATGGCAGCGCTAGTAGCTGGCTCACACGTCTAGCTCCAGGGATGGACCACATGGCTGCCGATGCCGAGTTCAACATGGAGGATGCCGTGGATGTTTGTATATTGCTGTTGATGTTGTTGGGTGGATCCATTGGCTTGACCACAGCCCACCAGGTTGCTGTTATCCAGGACACTTGTGGATGACTTCGTTTCCAGCTCTTGACTCGATATTGAATGTAGATGACAAAGTTGCATGCTCCTTGGAGTGGATACAAAAAAAAACCTACATATGCCATTAAATAGAATAATGGCTCATGAGCTCTTTCCGCAACACTGGAATATTGCACAAGGATATTGTAGAGTGTTGGCCAGAAGAGTGTGTTGAGTAAGGCAATATAGTAGGCAATGGCTTGTCGGGCCACCCTGCGGACCCGAGCTTGTCTCTGATCTTCTTGCTGATGTTGGCTGGAGGATGGAATGGCAAAGGATGCATCATGTGTTCGACTGGCTTGAGTGACAACATACACGTGGCGATAGACCATGTAAGTTGCCGCACATCCCCCTCCAGCAAAGATTGTCAAAATGGAAGTGTATATCCAGATAAAGGCATCATATTTGGGCCCTTCTCCAAAACCTGAACAGAGACCCACATTGGGAGGTGGATGAATTGTCTCGAGTCCTGCAGCGCAAGATACGTAGGTTGCCACAATAACAAAGCCCAGAGCATATGCTGGCTTTTCCAGTTTCTGGCTTATTTCCCATTCCCTCCAACCATATTTAGTAGTCAGCAAGAAATAGACACTCAGGTAGTTGCACATGATGCAAGTGGAGAGGCCTGTGATCAAAACAAATATTCCCAAAATGGTACAAGTGGTTGTGTTGCCTTTTGCTAGGGGATCACCTGTGGAAGAGGGCACCATCCAACGTCCAGCTATGAGAACTAAGGATAGCATTACATCAGATGTGCTCAGTGAGATCATCAATCGTTGGTAGACTGGATTGTGGGAAGTCAACTTTCGCCGAGCTACAGTGATAATCCCTGTGGACCCAATCAAAGAGAGACCAGCGGAAAAGCATAGTGTGCAATAAACTAGGATGACTTGGAAATTAGAGAGAGTTGTCTCATACTCGTCAGTGGTGGTTGTCTCATCAGTGCCTCCATCGGCTGCCATGGTGGCTCGACGGTCGACAGGGGAGCCTCCAAGCTGGAAATTTGGCAGTGGAGGCCTGTGGTGGCTGTGCAGAGAACTATTTGAAGACAACTGTCGAAGAAGGGCGGAGGGTGGCGGAATGGTTGCCGCACAAAACGTGACGACCCAGAGCTCACTAGGTCACGAATGTGTTGCTGGGTGTTTCTTTAGATTTAGAGCAATGAGGCACGGATGTCAAAAAAGAGAACCCTTCCGCAAGCAGCAAGATTCGAAGTTGATGATGTCAGCTCCTGTGGTGGGCATTGAAAGATGGGGGGTAAAATAGAGGGTCATGTTTTTTTGATTGGATAAAAGGGGGGTCTAAGGTCCGCCGAAGCCACCTTGCCCATGGTCTGGGACGACAATTCAATTCCCGCACCGGTTACTTTTGAAGGAGCAGCTATGAACTCCTCGCCTCATGGCTCAGTCCGTTGTCACTCGACTCGTTTGCCCACATCGATGGTTGTGAGATTTGGACGCCCTGTGACAGCCTCCTCGATCCAGAAGAATATGGATAACCTGAGAAAAGACCTCCGTGGAAGCAAGGGAATCCGTAGCGAAGGATGGCAAGTAGCCACTTAGATGGTTGGCTCACTGTTCCCCGCTACGAATCTGCGACTCGGCTGGTTGCTTTTGGGGTAGTCAATGACGATCAGCACCAACCACTGCGCTTTGAACATTGCACCGTGGGACGATACAAGGTCTTTGACGAAGCCAAAGGCTTGCGTGGGATTATGCTGGTGCCACATGTACATGAATGTTCAACCATGGCGGGGACAACGGCTGGGGACAGAAGCTGGTGATTGAGGCCATGAAAGCGTGTCAAAAGGACATCCCGCTGTACTATGCTGTGATGCATCCAGAATATGAAGGAGCCAAAAAAGTGCTACCACAATTTTGGATTCAAGGTGACAAAGGTCAAACGAGAGAAGACGGGGGCGCGTAAACTTTGGAGATACAAGCATTGAGGCAAGACCCAGCATGGTTGGCCAAACCCGAAAACCCGTTGATGCGTGTATTGCTTCTCGGGGATCGCGGGAGCACACAGAGAGCCCGTAGGCACTGCAGCCATGCTTTGAACCGTCGTCCACAATCCGCTGCTACTTGATGCTTTAGCTCACCAACACGACAAGCGTATCCCTACCGTGCGGAGAAAAATACAAGTTACTGCCGGTATGCTACGAGCAAACTGGTTCGGGCGCACTTGGATCTCAATGAATCAAGCAAATACTACAGCGAGTGCAGCCTTCCGCCTTTTCAATCTCGTTGTGTCCACCTAGAGCTCTCATGTCTCCACTCTAACAGTTCTGTACCGGTACACTAGCGGAGGGAACGTGCCTCTGCTTCTCCAGCATTGCAGCAATGTCCGTCCCAAGATGCTGTGCATGACGAAGCTCGGTGAGACCTGCATGAGTCCGATGCATAAATCCACTCTTGCGGCCATGTGCCGAGTAAGAGAAAGGAACAGCGACGAACTGAGATGAGAGAGTTCCCAGTGGCTACAGACCAATGCTGAGTCGCGGACATTAGGTGACTGCTAGCTGAAGCACTAAAGATGTTGATTCGACGTTCGTTCGTTCGTTAGTAATTACGTCTTTTGCAGCTAGTCTTCAAACAGAGCATTCATTCATTCGTTTAGTTTCGTGAGGCAGTCGCTCGGGCGTGCTTTGTGGAGTACGTGTATACTTTGTGTCATCTTCGGCCCAGCGTCCAGCGTGGCAAGTACAGTTTTGGGTCAATCAATGGAAATGGAAGGAGACAACGCCATAGATCGGTGCTCGGAGAACATTGAATTCGCTGGGGGTCTTCGCTTCTTTTTATGTTTCAGCATCATCGCCTGTTTCTCCGTGGGCGTGTTCAGCTTCGGCGTCAGAAGCGACGGCTGCTGGTGGAGAAGGAGGCGGTTGCATAGCAGCAGGAGCCAAGCCCACATTGGCTCCTGCCACTTCTCGTCGTGGGAGAGCAGGAACAGGGCCCACATTGGCTCCTGCCACATGTCGTCGTGGGCGTGTAGCGGTTCGAAACGCATGGCGTATGAAAAGGCGAAAGGCAGCCTCGTAAGGAAACTGGACAAAATGCCAATCAAAAAGAGGCCGACTGCCTTGGGCATCGTAGAGATTTTGGGCACGTTCTCCGAGTCCCATTGCGACTTCCATGTCTTCAGTTAGGGTAACCTCCCAGTCAAGCTTGATCCACGTACCGGTGGAAGATGGATTGCTGTCACAGTCATACTTGAACAACATGATTGCCAGTCCACCAGGGACAAGAATGGTCGAGTCCACGACAACGACCTTGGCACGGTGAAAGGTGACACCCCACTTGGGAAGATTGTCACGAACCTCGCGTTTCTCGCTCTCGGTACGACAGGCCGCTACTTTCAAGTCATTGGCTCGGTTGAAGATTTGACGGACAAAAGCTTGGGTTGGAATAGCAGTTTGAAGGCCACTGCACTCAACCCAATCTGGCCACTCGTCTTGGTCGTCCTTGACGCACGAGATCTCGACGAGGCAGTCGGACTGGCACTTGTCCTCCACTTCATTCCAAACGTCTCTCCAATCACGACACGTAGCCGCAGCGCTGAGACACTCATGCTTGAATAGAAATCCGGAATTGACCAAGACCAGAGGCAACGCTCGCAGAGGCGCCGTCGCCATGAGTTCTTCTTGGCGCTTACAACCGTCCTTCGATTCCGTCGCACCACCAAGCGTCAAAGCCTCAAGCCCAGAGGAACGACGGAGTTTCTTGTCCCGTTGGGAAGGATCATCGGTAGCTGCACTTCGCTTCATCGTTGTCTTCGTCAACACTCAAAAAAGGCGTCGATGTTTCCGAGAAATGAGGCGAACTTCTCTCGTCTGAAAAGAAAATGTGCGTCCTGGATTTTTAAGTCACGAGCAGGACCGATGATGGATCTATTTTCGGATCTTCCCGTCTTCTCTCCTCCCACATGGGGCCCAAGAAGTTCATCAACAAAGAAGATAGTGCCGTACCTTCCATTACCATAATACAGCAAGCATGACAGACACGTCGTCCCATCCGCTCTTGGTGATGTCCCCATCCAAAGCCCACGGGCTGTTGTTTACGAAAATGAGGGGTAAGACGCTACAGTAAAGCACTGTGCCGTTGGCTATTGTACACTCGTTCTTCTCATCATGTGTCTTTTGGATGGCGTGATGATACGATTGCTTTACTTTTTTAAGACAAGAACACATCATCCGTGGATTTTGTCTACTATGCGAAGAGGGCCATGCGATTGGTCGCAGAAGATGCCTTGGCCGAATTTCCCACCACGATATCTTCGATCGAGACACCCTGTGGTCCCTTTGAAGGTTTGGAGAGCGTGGCGCCGACAGATCTGTGTGCCGTCTCTATTGTTCGCAGTGGCGATGTGCTGTTGGAGTCGGTGCGAGAAATTCTGCCAGCCTGCAAAGTAGGCAAGATTTTGATACAACGAGACGAGTCTCATCCCAAAAAGTTGCCCAAATTGTTCTATAGCAAGTTTCCCCCCGGAATCAAGGACATGTTCGTGTTACTGTGTGATCCCATGTTGGCCACGGGTGGCAGTGCCATTACTGCACTGGATGTTCTAGTAAAAGGAAACGGAGTGGATCCCAAGAAAATCATCTTTGCCAACATGATTTGTGCTCCCCAAGGACTGAGAGTCCTCGCAGCAGCGTATCCGGATGTCAAGATTGTCACTGCCGTTGTGGACAAGGAGCTGAATGATGACAAGTTTATTGTGCCAGGATTAGGGGACTATGGGGATCGGTTCTTCAACACGGTATGATTACCATATTCTTTTTGTTGGCATTGCAGCGTTCTAGAAACAAATTTTGAATGCCACCATACATAATATAAGAAAGGTGGATTATTATTTTGGCTTTTTTCGCTGCTCTGCCGATGGTGGCTGCTCCGGTATGATGAAATGACGACAAGAGTGTCGCCGCCATGATCTAGAGTGGTCTGCAAATGGTCTACAAACATACATGCGTTTGAATCAGCCGAATTGACCTGCTTCCAATGCAACAATATTATTTAAAAAAGGTTCGACAATGGCGCTTGGAGCTGCTCCCAGCGACGGCAACTCGGATTTTCGTGTGAACCAACCATCCGGCTATTCCTTTTAGATGTAAAAGAGATGGAAAATAGTCTCCAATACTAGTAGGTTACCCCCGCCTATTTTAGTGTTGTTGTTTGAGGACTTTTGACCAAGTCTGGAGCAAATCTTGGGGGTTGACCTCTGGATCTCGTGTTCATCCGAGTCGTCGCACGACGAGGACGATGTCTGCGGATTGCTGCTTTTCTTATTGCTTTTGTCGTTGATTTGATAATTAATTGAACGGATTGAAGATTCGATTCGATTCGATTCAGCTATCAATCGAGGTGCCGACGTCCACTGTATTGGCAAGCTGGCTGAGATGAAGAATGTGGAGCGAACTGAAGGTCTTGTTTGCAGTGCATACCACCACACTCTCATTCAGGAAGATTTACTTGACAGCATGGGTGGAGAAGCTTATTACTGGCACTTGGACAAATCAAAAGTTCCATGCGACAGAACCACTATCAAACACACCGGGTACAGGCCCTTCAAGACAAAGCAATGGCATCCATGCACACCAACCGACGGACCAATCAGACATAAGCAACCACCGGTGTCCATCTGACTGCAGCTGTAGCAGGGAAGATCACTCTCAGCTCGGCCACTGGCAACCAAAATATCCTTCATTTGAAGACAGAGCTGCAGGCCCATGACTACACCCAAGAGGAGCTCTCTGGAAAGAAGATCAAGGCACTCAAGACAATGCTGAAAGAGCACGAGAGCCAGCGTCTTGGTGGTCAAGGTGACAACAGTGTGGAAAACATCAAGGCATTCGAACCACAGTCAACAGCCCCTTTCATTCTAAAAGGAAACTACCGGTAGAGAAGATGATCCTGGCATCAGTTGGAATCAAATGGCGAATAAGAAACTTACAGGAGGGAGGATCGGCAGTAGAGACAATGGCGATGGTTGGTAGATGGCGACGGTTGGTAGATGGAGGGGCCAGTATTTGTAGTAGAGGAGGAGCGGCAGACCAAAATAAAATGAAATAGCCTCCGGCGTAGCCCGAAGGCGGGATCAAACACAGAAGCAACTTGCGTCGTTGGTGGTGGCAAGAGATCGAGGTAGACGGTGGATTGGAGCGTCGGTCAATGGCGTTGGATTGGAGCTGGAGCTGGATTGGAGCGTCGGTCAATGGCATCGGTAGTTTCGTTTCGAAAGGACGACAGTTGTTGCTCTGAGTAGGAACCATCTAAGGACGGCTTCTCTCGATACCACCCAGAGCTAACACTGTTGGCTGTCGCCTCTTTTTCGATTCTTACACTAACAGAGAGTGGTGCTGGGCACCTCTGCTCTATTATAACAACAAAGTACATATGTCAATGCTCTTGTCATGGCAACAAAGTGGTGTTCAGAGTGAGTTTGTTGGCATGTGACGTCTTTTTTTGAATGGTGGTGAGCGCGTTGTGACTTTTTTTTATTCCCGAGTGTCAAAATCCGCGATAGGGCTTCTCACCGGTACCGGTATATTCACAACATTACTACCGCGACTACCGGTACACCGGTACTACCGGTACTATTATACTAGTAGTACTGCAGTACTACTAGTAGGTAGACTGGAAATGAGCCTCTAATTCTTTTTTTTTTTAGCTTGGCCTGCCAGCCCAAAAGAAGCAACCAACGCTTCGCTGCTACTACTAGTAGCTACCGGTACCGGTAGCTAGAAGGCCAGGAACCAGGGTACCGTACTGAATTTTCGAAAGAACCGTAACAAAACTCCAATGAAACGGCCAACTCATCGAACGAGTTAGTGACACATTTTCGTCAAATGGTCAATGATCGGGTGAGGGTCCTCTTGTCCACTTGCTTGGGCTGAGTGAGTCAGAGTCATGGAATACTCGACAGTTCAGCAACAGCAACAACAGCAACAGCAACAGCAACAGACTCACTTCTATGATTGATTTGACCATGATGGTGAAGAGACAAAGTGTTTGGATTGAGCTAAGATGATAGGAATTGGAGGCATGGGCATACACTGTATGTTTAGGCATTTTTGATCTCCTTGATTCGCAGTAAACAATCCATCAGCTGTCATTCACAGGTCCATGCATAATGCATAGTATGGGCAGGACCTGACCAATGGGCTGGACAAAGTCATGGTGGACCTCTCCAACCACCATGACGGCAGCATGCCACCATTTCCTCGCCCCTCCTTTGCGTGTCAAGCTGAGTCCCACCTGAAATTGAAACTACTTCTTTGAAATCAAAATCAAACGGAAGAAGAAGAAGAAACGCAAGAAGAAACAGACGTTGTCTTCTCTTGCTCATTACTTTGCCAAACCAGCCTTTTTCACGTGAAGCAAACAAACAAACAAACAAACAAACAAACAAACCCATCTCCTTTCATTCATTCATTCATTCATCATTCATTCAACCCACCGGTATTCTTCAAGCATCATCATCACATCATTCATCCTCCTCATCCACCATGAGCGAAGCGTTCTCCACGGCCAAAGATCTGATTACCAGTCTTCTCCCAAAGTCATTTCGTGGTACCAGTAGTCGACGATATACAACACCAAATGGCAAGCGACAAAAGCTATCAAATGACACTTCTGAAGATTACCAACATGACAAACCAGCTGCGCTGCAAGATGACAATGAAGACCCAGGAGACCCCACAAGGAACTTGGCTGACGCATTTGAAGAAATCGACAAGCAAAAAGAAAACCAACGGCCGGAAACGGTCCATGACAACCCTGCCAGTGGAGTTGCCAGTGGAGTTGCCAGTGGAGCTCCACTGGCAGCTCTTGCAGACAACCCGTCTGCAAGAGCTCCACTGGCAGCTCTTGCAGCGGCTGTGCCAGATCATCCATCCCTTGTCCCAGATCCATCACTTCAAAAGGTCAGTTCAAACACTTCTCACCAAATTCGTGTCATTTTCCGGTGCTCCTTCGTGGGCTGCTTCGAGCCTTGTTAGAGGAGTGAGTGGGCGGCCATTTCATGAGTCCGTTCCATTTGCTCTTCGCTGGAAACAGTCATTCAATTCCTCCATTATTCCTGAGACAAGTCTTACAAACCTTCTCGCCTCTTCTACTTTTATTTTAGGATGGACCTGGCACGGCTGTGGCAGTGGAAGAAGGATGTTTGTTGGCTCACGTGCGAGATAACATGGTGTCCAAGTCCCGTCCATCAGCCTGTACTCCATCATCAGCGAGTGCTCCATCTGCATATGTCTTGAGCAGTCGCAGTCGCCGTCAAGGTACCAAGAGATCCAAGGAAAGCATCAGTCTCAGCATGGCTTCCCCAGCATCGTCAAACTCCAGTCGAAAATTTGTCAAGGGTCGAAAATTTGTCAAGGCCAAACGTCCTGTGCGTGAAAATGATGCAGCAGCAGCAGTGGCATCTAATGATCAAGATTCGGATGCGGCGGCGGCGTCCAGCAATAATCAAGATGGTTCTGGTCAAGATGGTTCAGGTCAAGATTCGGATGCGGCGGCGGCATCCAGCAATAATCAAGATGGTTCTGGTCAAGATGGTTCTGGTGCAGCAGCGGCCGCGCCCAAGAGGAGCGAAGATGGTTCTGGTTTGGCGGTGGCGGCCAAGACGGGCAAGAGTACTGGAGAAGATGATGATGATGCTCTGATGCGTGAGCTTGAGGAGGTTCGGGAAGATGGCGCTTTGGACTCGCTTGACCTTTCAAAGTCCCCTGACATGTATATGTCTGACTCATCCAAAGAGAATGAGTCCAAGAAGGATTCATCGCAAGATGATTCTGGAAGCAGTATTCTGTTTGGTGAGTCGTATGTCAGTTCCCCACGACGATGACGAAGAAGATGGTGAGAAGGCAGCCGTCTCTGCTGATGATGACAAGGCCTCTGACAAAGATGCCGACCAGGACGAAGAGATGAAAGACGCAGCTGATGATAATGTAGAAGCTCGAAGTGCATCGGCGAAGGACAAGAGCGATGAGGAACTGGCGAAGGAGTCAGCTGACGCCGAACCAAAGGACTCCCCAAGAGTTGTCGGTCTGGAGTCTGCTGTGGAAGATGATGACAACCCCGAGAAGACGGACGGCGATCTCCTTGAAGGGGCGAAGGACACGGAGTCCGAAAAGGAAGAATCAGCTGCCAACGACCAGGACGAAGAGATGAAAGACGCAGCGGACGGCGATCTCGTTGAAGGGGCGAAGGACACGGAGTCCGAAAAGGAAGTTTTGGCCAAGGAATCAGATGAAGATGAATCGGAAGCTCTGAAGGGCACCGAAGATGAAGCTCGGGCAATGGTGGAAGATACGTCGGCCAAGAAATCAGATGAAGATGAATCGGACTCCGAAAAGGACGCAGAAGAGCAGAACGAGTCCGAAAATGACACTCTGGCCACAGTTGAGGGTGCCGACCCAAAGGACGCGGAAGAGGAAACCATGGCAACGGCTGAGGGCACCGCCGACGACGATGAAGAAGATGCAGCTGCGTCAGGATCGAAAGAAAATGCAGATGATACCAGCAATGCAGCCAACAAGCAGAAGAAAGCGCCAGCCAACAAAGCACCGACGGCCGCAATGAGATCTCTTTTGGACGGTTATGGTACTGATGATGAGCAAGAAAAGTGGGAAAGACTGGTTGCTGCTCAGATTAGACGAAAGGAGGCAGAGCTCAAGATGGTCAACGAAGCTGGTGATCTTGGGATGATCAACGAGGCTGGTGATGTCCAGAAAGCCGGTAAACTCCTGATCGACGATGCAGCAAAGGTCATTGTGGACTCCTGGAAGGTACGTTGTGTTCTCATGTGTCCACCCTGGTATCTCTTTGGTTTTGCGTTCTTCCTGATCTCATCATGTGTTCCTCTGTTTCGTACTTTGCCCTGAACAACAGAAAGTGCGCGATGTCAAGTCAGACTACACTGGAGACAAGGGCAAAGTAACTTGGTTCTCTCGAGAACCGTACATTAGGTGCATGGCCTACGAAGGTGAAAAGCACTTCAAGTACTTACCTGAAGCGGACAAATGGGAGGTAAGGCCGCCAGTCTGAGGGAAACCAACACTTGTTTGTTTTGTCAATAATTGAACTAAACATCATCTTACGCTGTGCTGCCCTTTCATTTCAGATCTGCCTTTATGGATCGGGTACTCGAAAACTTGAACACAAGAATCCCAAGTCACTCATTCTCAAGAAATTCACAGTGAGCGATGGTTTTGTGCAATTCTTCTTGACTCGCAATGCATACCACATCATCAAAGAATCCACAGGGTATGGACACGGCTGGAAGCGAGTTAACGACAAACGATTCTATCGCCTCTTCGCCGATTCGTTGCATTTTGACAAATCAAGACCTGCGCTGAATGATGAGGTTGAGTTGCGTGCCACCAAGGCAGATGTGACCATGTACTTCCATCAAGACGAAGAATTCTTTGACAAGACTCAGAAGAGGCTGATCCCTCACATGAAGCGTGACATTATTGAAAGGCGAAAGAACGAGAATCCGAACTGGCGCAAAATCACCGTTATAGTTGGATGCGCTGATGCTGATACTGAAGAGGGAGGCAAAGTTGAATATGCCGTCCCCGAAGTGCGTCTTAAATACGTCCAAAGGAAGGGGGACATTACGTGTCTGCCGTGCTCAACTGCCTCTGTTTTCTACTACATGGGAGAGCAAAAGAAGCTTGAGGAGGCGAAGATCAAAGCAAGCTGTGTTCGAATGTTGAAGCTGATGGTTGATCTCATCGATTCCGCCAAAACCGACGACTACACCACCAAGTGTTTAAGTGTCATCTGCAAGGAAATGAATGTGGCAACACAACCCGCCAAGAATTACAACCCCTTCGATCCGAATGATCCATACAAGGATTACCCTGTCTTGGTCAAGCTCAAGAGTAAAAATTGCACGCATTGTGTGGTCCTCTTCAAGGGGCTACTTTTTGAAGCTGCCTACGATTACGCCCTGGCGCTCACTGAACGCAATCTCCAGGAGCTTTGTGGCGGTGTGGAGGAGGGCGACTACGAAGGAATTGCTTGGGCAGAACAGTTGGTCCCCACGATCTCCAAGAAGGCCAAGAACAAGAACAAGGCCAAGAATAAGGCGAAGAATAAGGCCAAGAAGGCACAGAAAGGAATGAAGTAATCTATCGCCGCTGCTTGGCGCTCTTTTCTCGAAATGATCTAAACGACATGTTCTTTCAACGTATTAAAATAATGGAACACGCACTAGTTTCAGCACACGTTGTCTTCAACATCTATTTATCGCATGCATAGCCGAGCATTGAGTCCAGTCCTAGCTAGACTAGCTTTGTAGTATCGAGTTTCCCAAAGTGCTGTTAAGGACCATGCAAGCGGAACGTCTCCTGCAATCTCGTTCATGATTGAGATTAAACCCGCCGAATGCTTGTTCGATAATGTTTCTCGCAAAAATAGCCAAGAAAGGGAGGAAACACACAACTTCTGGGTATCGTACCTGATAAAAGAGCCTTGGTTCACACGGGACGACGAACAATCGGAATCGAATCACTGTCCAGCTGATGTGAACCTTGTATCTCGGGTCTTCAGATGAAACTCAAGAATGGAGTCGCCGTCATATTCAATCTTTTCTTTCTTTCTCACCATGGTTATTGACAGCTTTGCTTGTCTACATTGACAAGACAAGTGATCAGACTCTTCTTGCTGTTGCTGGCACCGTCGGACGATGGATGGATCTTCCACAGGACAACCGTCTCCTCGTCTTTCAGATTCATGGATTGTACGGTTGCTTTGAGTACGGCAGAGTTTTGCGTTCCATCTTCGTGTTTGCCTTTGTTCCATTTCCGTGATGCTAGTGTATCGGACAAAGCCTTGACAATGTCTTCACGTCCTTTTCCAATGGCCAGCAAAGACCGATCTGTTTCCACGGCTCCTGCTTGTCCAATCTGAATGGGATTCTCTTTTGCTGTTGTTGACACCAGAATGACAGCGCATCCCAGAGGTCGAAGTCCTCCCTGTCGTGTCAATAAATGGCCCAAGTCCGCTGCGTACTGCGCCACATCTTGTAGGGTAGGTGGCTCTTGGTACTGTGACCGGAACTTTTGGCAATACTGCCGTAGAATCCCCGCCAGCCACTGGGCATCTCCCAATAGACCCGATGCCACCATGAGAACATCTCTATCCAATTGGAATACCTGTTCCTTGGATTTGGCCACAATCAGGGTATCATCACCTCGGCCACTCACGACAACTGCTGGGGAGCCCTTTTCGGATGCGGTCGATCCGTATTCCACCTGTAGGAGACGACCTTCCTTGTTGAATGTGGCAATGCTTTGATCAAACTGTGGTTCCCTTTCTCGTCGTCGAACCACGTAAGATAGTCGAGAATGGGCTCCGTGGACGAACAACAAGGACGAGGGAGATACCCATGGCCCCATAATCAGGGGTACCACGAGGATCATTCCAACCAATCGCCAAAGCAGTGTCATCTTGTGGTACGATCTTGTGATCTTGTGGGTATGGCTCAGACCGGTGGCAGCAAGCTCGTGGGCCCGTTGTCTCTGTGCCTTCTCGCAGATAATAGAGCTATAGCTATCCAGGTGGCAATATCTTATCTCAGCTATTAGAGTCCACAGCTAGGAAGAAGAACTAACTGATACTGGTAGTGTCGTCTTTATTGTGTCCTGTGTCATGGTCGTTTACCTTTTTCGTGTTTCGTGTTGGATTGGATGCTGTGCCATTATCTCTAGCTCTAATGAAAATCCAACTCGGCCCATCTCTCGCTTTCAGATTTGAGAGCACCGACCATGACACATATTATCCACTCTGTTCATGGCATTGGGATGCTACTCTCCTGATTCTGTCCACAGGATCTTGTCCGCAAGGTCCTTGTTGCCATGGGAACCACGACTCTCCCATCAAACGTACCGCAAAGAGTGCATGAAGGGAAAGACTTTGGCAAGTCAAATTTTGGATCCAACCCTCATTCATTGACCATCCAATAGAGGATATCTACCCAAAGAAGTGACTTTCCTCTCGTCCTCTCCCCATCAGATTGTCCACAAGATCTCTGTTGCCCATTTACAGTGGACTCTGCTATTCCAGGTCCTACACTGAATGAATGAATGAACTGAAGAAGACTGCACCTAGCTAGTCAATTTGTGAACCCACAGATTAGCCATCCAACGGAGGAAATCCACCAAAAGGAGTGGGTTTGTTTCTTTTCCACCCCGTCATCTTCTCCGCAGGGTCTGTATTACCCTCAGACAGGGGACTCTCCTATCCCAGGTTACATGCAGAATGAATGAAATGGAGATTTTGGCAGCAGGATTGTCGCGGGATGCTGCCACCGTGCTACCAAACAGGAGATTTGATCCAAATAAGTGGCTTTGACCTCTTCCATGCCCTACCAGTTTGATCACAGGGTATCAATTGATTTTTTGCAGCAGACTCTCCTGTTCTAGGTCATGTTCAGAATGAAGGTTTCAGCAAGACGACTCGACTCTACCAGTGGATGTGGCTCTCCACACTCCATCAGATTTTCCAAAGGTTCTCTATTACCCAGGGACAGCGAGAAGGTCTCCTACACAATGAACAAAGACTATGCATCAGATGAAGAGGTACACTACGATCCAACACCATCAACGGTCGGGATATGCCACTAAGATTGCAGGAGATTTTGATTTTGATCAAAAGAAGTGGCTTTTACATCTTCCACACCCCATCAGTTTGATCGCAGGGTATCTATTGGATATTGGCAGTGGAAGGTGGCAGCAACATTGCCACCAACCCCATTGTGCGGAACAGTGGATATCGCTTCCACACATCATCAGATGTCCCAAGGTTCTCTTATTACCCATGGACAGTGAGCTCTTCTGTTCCAGTTCTCCTACACAATCAAAGGTGAACACTAGTAGGCAGCAGACGAAGAGGGCCGCTACCGCATGTCCAAATCATTGAGGCTTCGATGCGATGCGATGCCTGCTCCCGTGCACCAAGACATGCCTCTTCCACAGCCTATCTATCATATGCCATACGATTCAGCATGAGCATGAGAGTGCTCGCAGGGCCCCTCTTAATGAGTCTCCTAAGGGTCTCATACAAACAAGTCAAGGTTGGAATTGCGGCAAGAACTCCCGAAACAATCATTGATGCATGGCGCTACCGGTGTGATCTCACGCTGTGCTCCTCCATGGAGGTGCCAATGAGCAATGAGGAAGAATTGAGACGATCCACAAGCCGAGGATACCATGCGGTAGACAAGAATGGTACATGTGACTGTCATTGCTTCGGCATCACGGTCTGGGTTATGCCACTAAGATTCCATTGTTTTGCTTGTTTGTCTGCCGGGGCGTGCATATTGGTGAACAAGACAATAGACCCATCAGCTGCAAGCGCAAGGAGGAGCAAGAAGAATCAAGTCAATAGACCCGTATCAAACCAGAGTGGAAACGTTGAAGATACTGCCCTGCGCTCCGGCCTGTGCCTGCAGTTCCTTCTTGGGGGCTATTCTGGTACGTTTGTGGCTAGCTGTAACAAGTATCCTTTGGCTGAGCCATTGAGTACACTTGTCCCTCTCTTGTGTCGAAGCAAACCAACACGATGCGATCATCCAGATGTTCTCGTATCCGCTCTTCCATGGAAGGAGAGTCACTTGGGCATTGGAATCTTTTGGGAGCATTCTTTGCTTGTTGACTTTACCAAGACACGCCGCTACGTGTCTGTTTCTGGTTGTTACAGACTGCTTCATTATTCGATCGACACATAGCTTGTTGCACGGAGAAGATTCATGGCACACAGAAGTACAAGCTACATGTTGTGGAGAGCTGACCATGTTCATCGTCCCCTCGAAGTGGTCTGCGTCCTTTCTTAAAAGACAGGGAATGAGGTACAATAGGGTTCAGGAATTGAACAGAAAACACCCGAACCTGCAGCCACGACGCAACACGCAACGCAAACTCACACACTCACTTCCAGGCCACAGCGCTGACCTGTTTGCTGCTGATTGGTCGTCCCGCATGGTAGCACTTGGTCTGTTGCTGGCAAGAGAGATACGGTAGCCATTGGGACGAAGAGACGGGTTTCGTCGGAGCGCTGTTGTAAAGAGCAATTTCTGGAAGGAATCATTCGAATCGACCATGTCGTCACAACCACAATCTACCGAGTTGCAACGAAGACGGCGCAAGGCCCTTGCCGATGCTTTGGCGGGGGTCGTTGCCACATTGGTTTCACTATGGACGTTCTATCCGATTGACGTACTGAAAACCAAGTTACAAGCCGGAGTGGTGGACAAGGGATCATCAAGTTTTTTTCGCGGACTTCCCATCAAAACCCTCCATGCGGCATCGTCGAGTTTCTGTTACTTCTATCTCTACTCTTTTATTGTCAGTTGGTGGACTCAAGGCAACCAAAAGAAGCCCATGTCTCCCGCGGTACGGCTGTCGCTCTCGGCCATTGCGGCCATGCTGAACACCCTTATCACTCTGCCGTTGGACGTCTTGGCGTCCAAGAGCCAGGCATCCCATGACGACGATGATTGCAGTACTGCAGTCGATGAGACGCAACAAGAAGAGAGCGATTCATCCTGTTCTGCTGATGAAGAGGATCACTTAAAACAAAAACACCTACAAGCACAGCAATTCAGGATGGATCAGGTCTGGAGAGAACTTGAAAAACAGCCAAACCCAGCCAGAGCCCAGATCGATGGGGAAGTCTTTTATGATTCATGTTCTGAAGCACCCCGACCACACAGCAATCAGTCTAGTTTTGATGACGAAGAAAAGCAGGAAGAACAGGACAACGGTTCGGCATGTGGGAGCTTTCGTAAGGGAAACTTGACCGTCACAGTCAGAACCACATCAGCAAGGGCACCAGAACAAGGATCAATTCCTTCTAAAAAGCAAACAATTCTGTTTGCCAAGCAGACTAGTGGGGGGCAAAGAGAAGAACCAAAACGCCAACCAAAGCAGCTACGCAAATCGTACTCGATGGAGTCTCTTTCGGACCTACCGCCTCTCTGGAAAGGCCTCTATCCATCCTTGCTTTTGTGTAGCAATCCATCGATCCACTACACGGTATTTGACATGGCCAAATCAAATCTATTGCGACGCACAACCAAGTCCAACTTGTCCATGACGGAAGCCTTCTTACTTGGATTGTTTGCCAAGTTTTGTGCCACCATGGCCACCTACCCACTCATTCGAGCCAAGGTGATGATCATGGTCACCCACCGTAGCAGTATGCTGGCAACTTTGATCGAGAGCTATCGATCGAATGGGATGGTCAAGGGATGGTACAAGGGATGTTCCGTGCAACTGTTGCATACGGTCCTCAAGAGTGCCCTCCTCATGATGGTCAAGGAACGCATTGCTACCACCACGCACCGCCTCCTTGTGCCCTCCAAGCCTGCTGCGACGGCTGCTGGAGTACGTAGGTGAGGTGATGTAGCTAGTTGCTAGCAAGTGTTTGTACAGAGGAGCTACGGAAAGGTGGTAGTCTTGCACAAGCACTAGGCAAAATGTGTAAATAGATGATGTAGGTTTGGCAAGTTTTTCCGTTTAGTTTCGCTTCCACTCTGAATCATACGTATCTCATTTCGCTACACCCTGTCGCTGGTGCGTATGCGACGAGCTTGATACAGCTCTCTCCCACCCGATTCGAGTCGGACCAAGATGGTGTGTAAAGGAAAGGAAGGAGAAACGCTGTCTGTCTCTCGGCCGATCAGTTTTGCTTAGAGTTGCTACCAGTGTTTCCCTCCCTATCCCAGTGTCATATTAGGAGTGCTACAACAACTGCGTCTGAAAAGGAGACTCTCTGATCCGACATTATCAGTTTAGTCTAGCTTGCCCAACTCTCTTAAACCTAGGCATTGATCAATGGTGCGTAGGTAATGCGCTTGATGCTGGTCTGCCCTAAACGCTGCAACCGATTTTCTTCGTACTCCTGATAATTACCGGGGAAGAAGAACCATTTGCTGTCTCCCTCGCAAGCTAGTATATGTGTTGCTACCCGATCCAGGAAGTATCGATCGTGAGAAACCACCATGGCACATCCAGCAAAATGCAACAAAGCTTCCTCTAGTGCCCGCAACACTTCCACATCTAGATCATTCGACGGCTCATCTAAGATGATAAAGTTACCTGATATCGAAGAGGCAGAAGAGGCAAAAAAGTAAGTTGGGTTGCTTCTTGAAAATACCGTTTGTGAGCTCGATTCTGCACTTACCACCGGCCTTTAGAATCTTTGCCAACTGGACCCGGTTCCGTTCTCCACCACTCAAATTACCAACCATGGCTTGCTGTTGTCCTCCCTTGAAACCAAACCAACTGAGGTAGGCGCGGGACAGGATTGATGCGGTGCCTAATTCCAACTCTTCTAGGCCTCCACTGATTTCATCAAAAACTGTTTTGTCCGCCTGAAGTTCATCCATTCTCTCTTGACCCACCGAGACAATTTTGACGGAGTCACCAATGTCGATGACACCACTGTCCGCAGACTCTTTGCCCAAAAGCATCTTGATCAAGGTTGATTTGCCTGCAGAAACAATAACAGAAACGAGTGGTGGTTTCAAATGTTAGAGGCACGAATCCATCAGTACTATGTGCAAGAACAGAGTAGATTGTTTAGGGTCTACGCACCGGCTCCATTGGGTCCAATGACGCCCACAATGCCCGCCTTGGGCATTTCAAAGCTCAAGTCATCAATCAGCAGGCGGTCATCAAAGGATTTGCGCAGATTTTGTATGTCCACGACCTTATCTCCCAATCTGGGTCCAGGAGGAATGTAGATTTGTCCAGCATTGCGTAATTCTTGGGGTGCCGCAGCAGCCAATAGCTCGTCGTATCGGTTGAGGCGTGCCTTGCTCTTGTTTCCCTTGGCTTTGGGATTTGACCGAATCCATTCCAATTCGGCAGCAACAGCCTTGGCAGCAGCAGTAGATTCCTTCTTTTCTTCGGCGAGCCGTTTGTTCTTGGCTTCCAACCAACTGGAGTAGTTGCCCTTGTGAGGGATACCTTCTCCGCGATCCAATTCCAAAATCCACTCCGCAACATTCTCCAAGAAGTATCTGTCGTGAGTGATGCACACCACAGTTCCTTTGAACTGTGCCAAGAACATTTCCAACCATTGAATCGATTCAGCATCGAGATGATTGGTGGGTTCGTCTGATAGCCATGAATGGAGGAAGACGACGATGATGATTGTTGAGTAGAGGTAACGAGGAAAGCAATGCTTGGATTGTGAGAACAGTTTTGCGCCTAAGAAGACATTTTGCTTGCAACATCGCTTTCACACAGAACATACCCAGCAACAACCTGAGCCCGGAAAAAGCATGAGTAACAGTGTCAATTGATGAGGTTAGCAACAACAGTGACAATTGATGGGTTAGCAACATACTTTAAAAAAATGCAAACAAGCAAGATTGCACACATTTCTTTCGAAATCAAACTTACATATCATGATTGGACAACAGCAACCGACAAAGCGCCACTCGGCGCTTTTCTCCTCCACTCAGCACGGCAGTTTTGGCATCTCCTGGCGGAACTCGGAGAGCATCCATGGCTCTGGACACGACCCGATCCAGATCCCATAGGTCACCGGCTTCAATCTGATCGTTGAGTTTTTCCATGCGAGCCATTGCGGCATTCATTGCCTCGTCATCGATATTGGGATCGGCCAGCTTGAGAGATTGTTCATTGTACTCGTCAAGAACAGCTTGAGATGACTTGACGGCATCGTCGACGCATTCTTGGACGGTTTCAAATTCTAGTTCTGGCTCCTGAGATAGGTATCCAATGGATGCACCTGGTAAGGGACGAGCCGTACCATCAAATTCTTTGTCTATACCGGCCATGATTTTGAGAAGAGTTGACTTTCCACTCCCGTTCAGACCAACCACTCCAATCTTTGCACCTGGATAAAAGGAAAGGTTGATATTCTTCAGAATATTCTTGGACTTGTCGGGTAGCATTTTCGTCAATCCAACCATGGTAAACATGAATTGTCGAGTCGCAGCATCAAAGCGCTGATCTTGAACGGATTGTTTTTCTTGACGGGGTTGTCCCTTGCCGCCTCCACCTTTCCCACCGCCGCCTTTTCCGCCTCCACCTTTCCCGCCTCCGCCCTTGTTCTTGCGGGCAGCCTTCTTCCCAAATAGAATTGTGAGAGGCAACTGCCGGCGGTAGTGATCGTCATTGGGTGTCAATCCAAAAGCAGACGGCGTCGACACGGTCATCCGAGCATTATTAGGTGCAATGGGCTGGAATCCTTGTACGGCAGAACATGCCAGGATGAGGGCAGCCATCACGGTAGCCTTGGGATAAGTCATTTTCGAAATGGGTTGCTCGAGAGCGACAAAAAAAATGTGTACCTCTTCCAAGAGCCAAATATGGTGCCTATTCGTATAGGAATCTTGCTCTTCAGAGTCTTGCAAGCCCAATCAGGTACATGTAGTCTAATATAAGCAACCAAATATCAGTGGCTCCAATGTTGGCCAAGATGAAGATCTTTCTCGCAAGGGTTGTCACCTCCGTCTTTTGTGTTTTGTGTGGCTTTCCTCGACATCCGCTTGTTTCCACACTGACGTCATTTGAGTTTCAAGCCGGTTAGTTCATCAAACAGCGCACTCAGATCTGGCAAACAGATGGCGGGTATCCTCCAGCTCAAAAGGGCTTTTGAGCGGGATATCCGTACCTAGCTAGCTAGAGTCTCCGGATGAAACACCCATGAAGCTGGCACTATCCTGAAATATATAAAAACCTGGTGCGTGGTTGCAGACCAATATCTTAATTTTCAAGACCAATACTAGTAAGCTGGGTGATAAAGTCATCAATTACTAGTAAGATGTTTGACATTTATTTCGCACCCTTTGCCTGGCAAGCCTTCCAGAACAGGGCACTCTAGACCACCACCCAAGAATCATCAAGAGACGAAGAACCTTCCTGCTGGATCAACCCGTTTTTAATGTCCTCCTGTATTTCTAAAACTGTTTTGGGCTTGCGTGACCTCTCTGGTCTATCCACGCCAAGCCTCCCAAGAGAGGTAACATTTCTGCCATGCAGCTGATCAAGCAAGTCCTCTAAGAACTCCATTGTTTTGGAAACCCGTGAATCTTTCACCTGTAACACATCCATCCGATCCTTGATGTACGCAAAGATCGTTGCTGCATACTCGAACACTTCTTCTGCCAAGCCGCACTCGAGAGCACTTCTTCGGTCAGGACCATCATCTCCAGCACTCCTCTTTCCATGCGTCTTCATTCCAGATCTTGCTGCCAAATGCAAAACAACCAGCTTCAGACCATTCAGAGCATTCGTGAAGCAAGCAACTTGCATGTCCGTGTCGTCATTGGTGAACTCCGTTTTGGTGATGCTGCTTTTAATCCATGATGTCAGGGCTCTTTCCATTCTGTCCACGGCTTCATCCATTTGTTCACAACTACCATTGGCCTTTGCAACATATAGGACTCCTTTGTAGTGTTTCTTCAGGATGCCTGCTCTTTCATTAGCCCTCCTTTCTTTGGAAAGCTCCAACTGCTGCATGGCTTTGGCATTTGGATCATTGAGATCCGGTTGCTGCATGGCTTTGGCCTTTGGATCATTGCGGTTGCCGACAACATCATGGCCTCCCCCGTATTCTTCGTATTCCGCTTCTTCTGTCCAGCCATAGTCACCCGAATAGTCCATCGCCTTGTCAGCTCTAACAGGGCACTGTTTCCCAATCAAGGGACAACCCGCACTGGGATTTTCCCGGGTTGCATAGGGATGATCATTGGGAGGCCCATACTGGGTTAAGTGACGGTTGTACACGGCCAAAGATTCCTGAAAATTGGACCTCAACCTGCTATACCAACTCCATCTTCGCTCTATCGTCGCGTCTAGGGTCTTATTCCGACTCCACGCGATCCCCAGGGGCTGCAAATGCGCATGCAGGGCACGCCGTTCCGTCAGAGTGAGACCTGTCACTCGAATGTTTTCCAGTGAGGAGGGATGCATCCTTTCAATAGCACTTGGATTGACTCGAAGGAGCATGAGCACATTGGTTCGTTTGAATTTCTTTGCCATTGTTTTGGGCAGATTCATCCCGTTGGGAGATGGGTTACGACTCAAGGCGGCCTCTGAGAGTCCTCGAACATTGACAGGCACGTGCCGCCGGATTTGTCTGAGTGCCTCTTGGTTGGCCTCCTTGGCATCTGTTTCCCACTGCTCTTCCATTGCTTCCTGATTGTGTTCTGTCGACGGCTGAGCCTTTCAAAGTGCATTGGAAGCACAGTCGGGATCCTCGGGAGTCGGGACGTGCATAGCCTTGAGTTCAGTCTCTGGGCCATGATGAGCCCAGAGCACTCTCATGCCGTACCGTACGGTATGGTACCGGTACACGTACCGGTACCTGGTACTGGTACGGCTGAGATACTACCGCAGTACTTCCCCTAGCGGCAATGTACCGTGCCGTACACGTGTACAGTACCGTACGGTATGTCAGTCTCGATCACGAGAGCGAGTGTCTTGGTCACTTCGAATGATTCGAATTGAATCGAATCACTCGAATGCATCGAATCTTCAACGTCACGCCAAAGATACCGTTGACGCAGCAGAACACCCAGCTCCATCGCTGAATCCTCCCTCTCACAAACCACACAACCTGACAGCAAGGAGCCGACCATACCAAGTGCTTTCATCTCAGCGGACGAGATAACAGATTGACCGACCAGTACATACAGTGTACTTCCGAAGAAGACGAGCAGTCAAGAAAAGAGCGAGATCAGGAAGATAATGGGCTGGACTTGTGGGACCATGATGGAATTTTCAGCCCCGACCGCCGCCAGTCATCCCCTCGCGGATGCAGAGGCAACTGACCGAGATACCAAGCGACGCAAGTTGAAAGAAGAACCCCAAGTCCCTGATAATGCCATGATGGACACTAATGCTAGTGCCATGACAACTCAAGCATCCACTGCTGATATGTCCATGGAGATTGACACTCAACCTTCCACGGCCAGCAGCAGCACCTCCAGCAATAATTATGCCCATCCATCGTCCTCCAATCAGTTCAACGGCAATGCTCTATCCGACGAAGAATTGGTCTATCAGGTAGATTTTCTCAGCAGTTGTCCTCCCAGTGATTTTGTTCTTTGACACTCCTGAAGAAGACAAACTTGCTCACTCCTTGGTCTGCTCTGCTGCTTTTCCAATCAATTCAATTCAACCCAACCTTTTCCAAAATGCCCAACACAAATTCTTTCATTAACGGGGGGGATCATCATAACTGCACACATCACTTCGTTCATATTCTACGAACCACAATCATATACACTCTCTTCTTCCCTTCATGCATCAAAAACCAATCTACCCAAAACCAATTCACAATTTTTTTTCACGTTGTCTGCCAATCGCCACTCAACAACCTCTTCAGGTCATGCAAAGCGGTGCAGAGTCTTACTCAGAGGTTGTACAGTTTTGCGTCAGCCGTGGGATTAGTGTCTCTAGGATTCTACAAATGGACATCATGAGACGGTTGTCCTATCTGAGGGCTGGGTAGTGAGTCGCAAAACGCAGAATCCATCAGATTTTGTGATCACTACTTAGACTAGCTGAGGATTCAATGTGAACCAGGGTTTAATTAAGAAGCCAAAGAAGGCAACAAATTTGCGTTGAAGCCAACCCATGATCCAGGAGCAACATTCGTTGCACGTAAAATAAGACATTATTATAATCAGCCATAATGGATCCGTTTGTCGTGGTGTCCTGTTCTGCGGATAGTTAGAAGGAGACACGAGGATATCTGCAAGAACGCATAAAACGCTATCACATCGGTTACACCCCTGTCGACCTTCGTCTTGCGTGAAAGCGCCTGAGAAGGAGGTACTTAATTGTGGCGGTCCAGTGGGTGGCGTGCTGAGGAAGGCACTCCATTCACACCATTCCGATCAAATGACTAACCGGGAGACCGGAACGAAAAGCAACGACTCGACGTCCCTTCATTTCTTTTTAAAAAGAGACCCAGGAGCTGACGATGAGCCGATGCTTGCTTGCTGGCCCGAAGGTATGCATAAACTAAACGAGGATTACATACACGGTACGCAGCTCAGGTGGAAACATACTTTTAGAGACCAGGCTTTATCTACTACTACCGGTACCATACCGAGTGCCTGCGAATCGAATCGAACGGAATCATTGGATCATCGCATCAGGCAAAATCAAATCATTCACTTTGTCGGGCATTTATTCTTGCGCAGCCATTTTTTCACATGCTCATGCTTGCAACCGAAGCGCCAGGTCTTTTTGCTCCAGGTGCATCCATTTTCATGGGCCCATTTCAGTGTTTCCAGATGCCCATACTCAGCAGCCCTATGACAAGTTTGTATATTCCATGGGCAGCCATGCTCACGAGCCCATTTCAACACGTCCAAGTGACCACTGCTAGCAGCTGCTGCACACGTGCACTCATCCCACGGGCATTCTTTTTCACGAGCGTACTTCAGGCATTCCAACTGGCCATGGCTTGCAGCATGTGAGCATGTGGATGAGCTCCAGGGACATCCATTTTCATGGGCAAATTTGAGCATTTCTAAATGACCCCTTCTTGCCGCTTCCTCACATACCGTCTTGTTCCAAGCGCATCCAATCTCATGTAACCATTGCAATACCACCAATTGCCCACCACGGGCAGCACACCGAGCGACACCGTCCTCAATACCAGGGGGTAGGTTACCACGAGCATGACACCATTTCAGCATTTCCAAATGTCTAATTTCAGCAATATCTGGGCAAATACTACAAGGGGACGGAAATTCGCAATGATTGAGTTCTGCCCATTTGAAAACTTGAAAATGGCCAGAACTGGCTGCACCTTCAAGTGTGTATTTATCCCATGGGCAGCCATGCTGACGAGCCCATTTGAGAATTTCGAAATGCCCACCATTAGCAGCAAAGGAACAAGTTTTGGCATCCCAAGGGCATCCATTTTCCCTAGCCCATTTGAGAATTTCGAAATGCCCAGCAGCAGCAGCAGCCGAACAGGTCGCAGCATCCCAGGTGCATCCAACTTTTCATGAAGCCACTTGAGAACCTCGAGATGCCCACCTTCAGCGGCACCAGCGGCAGCGGACGCACATCTATCCAATTGATATCCTTTTTCACGTGCCCATTTCAGGAGAGGAATGCTCCCAATTTTGCAATTGTTTCGCCGACGTCCGAATTCCACGGCATCTTGTAACGCTTCGAGTATCGATAGTTGTGCCAGTATTCAGCAAGCGCCAAATTGCAGAATGTAGCACCGTAGAATGTGTCGGTGCTTGTCGCTGGTCTTGTTCTCGTGTCGCTGGGAAAATAGACTAATGTCTCGACGACGGCAGGAGGATCTTCCACGGTCTTGCAGTATTCCTCATAGAGATGTTTCATCTGCTTGCTGACAAGTCCCACAAACGCAAACTGCCCCATGCCAAGGCAGGGAAGGATCTGATTCACCCAAAGCTCCTCCTGTTGCATGAGCAAATCGATGGTAGCCGGAGGAGCATTCTTCTGGCTCTTCTCCGCGAGAAGGGAAAGCTTCTGCTTCTTGCTGCTAGGGTCTGTGGACATGGTGAATGAATGGCAAACAGATAGAGAGAACGGTACTAGCTACCGTAGCGGGAGAGTCAGGAGGTGGAGAGAGGCAGCTTGATGGATGTTTGCTGTTTGCTTCCATGGCTTTGTTGCCCTCTTGGATCTGGCGTTCTCTTGCGGTGGAAAGGGTCGGGTCCGGTCTGTTTTGGCGCAAAAAGGGAGGGGCCGCGAACGCATTGGTTGAAACGAAAGCTAGCGAAGCTGCTGACCCGCACCGGTGCCAGTAGCCCTAAAATAGCAAAGTCACATCCAAGAAATAAATGTTTCAATTCTCCTTCCTTGAGCCATTGGTACTAGCTAGTAAACTTGCTCATTGGAGTCAGTCTCTTGGGAAGAAGAGCCTCAAGAATGGGTGAAATTAGTCTGCAGCACACACATTTCCGTCATGAGATCTGAAGGTCAATGAATGGGATATCACGGATGCCACAATCGTTCTTTGCCAGAAGAAATCGAAGATCGGCCTTCGGGGATGGGCAAATCTTGCAATAGCCCTGTATTGTAATGGAGTGTGACTCGCCAAAATCAGTTAAAAAGACGAAATTCGTCAATCTAATCCAATGCAATCCAATCAAATCCAATAGAGAAAAACAGCCAAAGTAAAAGATTGGCTTATCGCACACAATTTTTACAAAAACGCTCTAACAAATTCAACACAGAGCCATGGGCAAGTTTGCTCATCCCCTTCAGACCGGTCGTCCAAACATGTTGGAACAAGAATTGCCCCCGATATCACTTACTTGCTCTTGGATGCTTATCAAAGGTGCAGATAAAGAGTGGCTAGTAAGCAGCAAAACCATATCCAACCTCAAGCGTCTTCTTGGAGCGGAAGCACAAGCAAACAAGCCAATACCCATGAAACCATAATGCGAACGCAACTTGAGATCCGTATCTAGTCAAAGAAGTTGCCTTTCCTCTGCCTGATCAACGTTTAGATTAATCTATTCATCACAGGATAGTGGATGTACCGGTGATGGCATCCTTGACCACTCCAGCTGGCCAGTTTCTACAGCAGCACAGCTTTCAGCCTTCCTTTGGTACGGTAGGACTGACTCCCACGGTCAATGATCGTGGAAACCCTGGACACAAAGCGTTCCCGGTACCGGTGGCTGCTCATAACTTACAACAAATATGATTCCCTACTACCTAGCTAGCTAGTACTGCACGTACGTCGATACATGTAAAGGTTACACGGAATCGTGCCAAACGGGTGTGGGACCAGCAGAAATCGCCCTCTCTTGTCGGTGCTCTCTGACAGCCGCTCTGGCTAGTAGCTACTCGCTCTACTCTAGCTAGCTAGTAACTGTCTACTCTAGCTGGCCTCTGGCTAGCTAAAATTGTGGCGTGGACTCGACACGGTAGTAGTATTTGCAAGAGGAACTATCTTCTTGAAAGATACCTAGCCAGCTGGTTGGATCCTTTGCATGGATTGGATTGATGTTCACAATTTCAAATCCGTCTCTCACAGCAAGGCCAGATCTTTCCGTTTTGAAGCAAAGCAACGCCATGTTTTTCTCAAGTTGGAAGCTCTTCTCGGTCACCGTTCTCCTTGCTGGACGTGCCGATGGCCAGTATAGCGCAAGTGATGTACAATCCCATAGTTCTAGCGGTGACTGCTGGACGGTTGTTGATAGCAAAGTTTACGGTACGCCCAGCCCCAGCTAGCCAGTGTTGGATGTCCAGCTTGTGTGGACCTCTGGGATCTGGTCTCTTTCCCTCTGCAACAGGCCGTCTAAAGCTGGCATCATCATATCCTATACTCGTTCAAACTGTCGTCTCACCGCCTGTACAATCCCTCCTTCATTAGACGTGACTTCCTATGCTGGATCCCATCCAGGAGGGAGCGGAGTTGTTCACGGAATGTGTGGGAAGGATGGTACTTCCAGCTTCAACTCTGAACACAGTGGCAGAACGTCCTATATGGACTCTTTCACAAGTTACAAGGGAACATTTTCTGGTGGCGGCTTGGATTCAGCTCCTGCGCCCGGCAACGACAATGGCTTTTGTTTCTCTGCTGTTTCAACTGTTCAGGTTGAAGGAAAGGGGGAAGTTTCCATGAAAGCCCTATCTGTTGGAGACAATGTTCTCACAGGAAACAAGTACCAGGAGGTGTATGCATTCGGTCATCTCGACCCAACCACATCCACCAAGTTTCTTCAGATCCGTTCTGAAGGCAATAGATCTCCTCTTGAAATCACGGGAGCTCACATGGTGTTTATTGAAGGCAAGAAGAATCCTGTGCGGGCTGATTCACTTGAGGTTGGGGATGTCCTTCAAAGTGCACATGATGAAGGTAGTACCGTGTTGAGCATCCGAAACGTTGTCAGGCAGGGTTTGTATGCTCCACTAACTCCCGACGGCGTAGTTCTGGTTGATGGTATCAAGGCTTCCTCCTACATCTCCCTCCAAGACGTTGCTGTGGAGCATGTGGAGTTGCAATATGGTGTTACAGCCATGTCCCAGCATGATGGGATCCATATGGCATTGGCACCTTTCAGGATGCTCTGCATGTCCACTTCTTCCAGTTTCTGCCATGACTACGACAAAAATGGCATGCCAAAACATGTTGCATGGGGAATCCGGGTGTTGCAGTGGTTTGATGCCCTTGATCTGCCTATTGTTGTTCAGATCGTCCTGCTGGGATCTGCGTGGTTGTTTTTTGGTTTCTTCATGGTGGTGGAAGCTCTACTCATTGGAAGCATTTACACCCCCATCGTGGCCCTCGTCTCTCTTTTGGGGCTTATTGTCGTCAAATCCCTTGGCATTCGGGTTTCCACCAGATCCAAGAAAACAGTCTGAGCTGATCTCCATCCTATCTCTCGTGTGGCTTGAGAGAAGTCAACTAGTGAATTGTTTTGCCGGTGAATGGAGCCAAGAAGAAGCGTATCTCACTTTTCACGAAGTTGTCCCGAGTGCTTGTCTACTTGGCTTGTAACATTTGTTAAAAGAGCTTTGAAAGTGTCTTCCTCCAGTTCAATAGAGCGTTACATGATCCCATCAACTCACTCCGTGGAACGGTAGCATACAGCTCTAAAGTTCCGTGTACCTTTGTTGTGTGTCTTCTTAGTTGCCGTTGTTGTCTTGGTCAAAACCGCACGAATGGAGGATTCCTATCCTGCGAGCCGGAGGGCACAGAAACCAGGAATGGAAAAATGATGCCAATCCCAAGTTCAACGTAACCCTGGGATGGGCCGCAGATGCACTGTCTCACAATCCAACCTTCAGACCGCTTCAGCACGCAAAGCACAAAGCAAGCAACCTCACTCAAAGTCGCATTTACCTCCAACCAAAAAAATCATGCTGTTCGGTAGCAAGAAGAAGAGCACAACTGCTCCGGTTGAAAACTCTGGCGTAACCGTCATGAAATTACGAGACAACATTGCCAACCAAGAGAAGCGGTATGTTCCTAAAGGATGCGTTCGGTAGTTCTCATTCTTTTTTGGATGTTCCAACTAACGCCTGCTCTTTTATCATGACTTTAGTGAAGCACACTTGATGGCCAGAATGGAACAGCTGACCATTGAAGCCAAGCAGAAGAAGGCCAAGGGCGACAAACGAGGCGCTCTCTTTGCCATGAAGAAGCGAAAACTTCACGAAAATGAGCTGGCAAAGATTGAAAATGTCAAGATGACACTGGAAACACAGGCCATCAGCTTGGAGGGAGCCACTCAGAACATTTCTACATTTGACGCCATGAAGACTGGAAACAGCGCCATGAAGTCCATCCGAAAGATGTTTGGAGTGGAGAAGGTCGACCAACTATTGGACGACACCAAGGACGAAATGGAACTCCAACAAGAAGTGAACATGGCTCTCACGCAACCCCTCGACCCGTACCTTGCAGACGACGAAGATTTGCTGGCAGAGCTACAAGCCCTGGAAGCGGAAGATTCCAAAGCGACCATGTGGCCAGTGGCCCCTTCTCGTCCTGTCAAGACGCCTACCAAACAAGGGGCTCCTGAGCCCAAGAAGTCCAAATCCAAGTTTGCTCTGTTCGCGTGAGGTAGCTTGTAGAACGATTTCTTAGATGACACACTCGTGGCTGATAACATAGAAAATGTAAAGTAATGGATTGAGTTTGCACTGACAAGACGGACAAGAGCAGAAAGCTAGACCAACAGGATGCTACATGTACCGGTACTACAAAATAGCACTTTGCTCCACAGACGTGCTAGTATACTAATTTGGCTTGGTCGCATCACCACCCCAGGCATCCTTTTGTTGATCATATCGTCTCCGTCTAGGTACCTAGAAATCCCCTCGCATGGCTGCTGCTTGCTCCGCTTGGTTCTTGTCGTGCTTGCGAATCTCCTTGTGCAGCGGCTCCAAAAAGGCCTTTTGGAATGGCTCAAAGTACCCCTTCAAACTGGTCTTTTGCCACTCGTGCTTGGGCTTGGGGCGCTCTTCCATGGCGGCCGTCTTTTCATAGTCATCCAACTCTTCCATGAGTCGCCCCAGTGTCGGCACAGCAAACGGATCAAACTGACGAATCTCTTCGGGTTGAATGGGGACACAGACTCGTCCCGTTTTGGGATGAACACAAAATGGCGATTTCAACAAGTGATTCATGGTTTTGGAGACATTGATATCGAGCCGAGGGTACGTGTGACGAAAGACCACTTCAATGGGCCAATGTTCGAGTCGGAGCTTGTCCTTGGTGGACATGGTCTTGGCCGTTTTGGTTTTGGCACCGCCACCTTGTCCAATCAAGACGCGAACGTGCTTTTTGAGTTGTTCCCATTTTTCGGCGGGCGTTGTCGTGTCATTGGCCCACTTCTTTTCGAGTAGAGAGGCAATGGATTTGCCCGCCTCTGGGATGGTGTCGAGGAGATCCTTCTTCCAACGTTCCGGGGACGCCAAGAGTCCGTGTCCCGACGCCGGAAGAATGTCGGAAATGAACCATGGTTCTAGAATGTCAAAGGCACGTTGTAATGATGGATGGAGAGGGAGATGGAGCTCAACATCCTTGTTGTTGTCGCTGGCCAGTTTGACCTGATCAATAAAAAAGAAGACGGGTGGTCAGTTTTTTGAAAACTATTATCCAATGATCTATCCATCACCCAGCACTAGTACTCTTTTTCTGCTTTGTCTACTCACCTCAAAATACGTCGCTACAGCATTCCTAGCTTCATTGGTGAGTGTCCTGGCCGTTTCATCACAAATCCAAGCGTGAATTCCACGCCGTCCCGAATAAAACCAGGATACGTGGTCAAATCCAAAATCCTTTTTGAGACCGCCATCCAACACTTCCACGGCCATGGTCATGAAAACCCAGCACTTGTTGCAAATTTGGGCCCCAGTACACCCACAATGACGAATGTCATCGTAATCGGTTAGATCAATATCAAAGACGAGTTCGCGTTGGACCGGTTGCAATTGACCCTTTTGGAGTGTCTTGTGATCCTTTGGTGCTTGGCTGAAAATGGCGCCCAAATCAATCTTGGTGGGACGTCGCTTTAAAATGGCAGTGGTCAACTCCTGGCTGGTGGAAAAGGATTGATAACGAATGTAGATTTCTTCTCCTGGACTGGGCTCGATCGTCATGGAAAATTCGCGACGCGAAAAAAGCCAACTTTGTGAATTGTTATTGTTGGGAGAGTAGGCCAACCAGGAATGCAGCAAATCAAAGGGAAACAATCGAGCATAGTACATTTTGAGGAGTTCTGGACTAAAGACTACGGCCGTGCTCTTCTTGGCGGCTTCCGTCTCGGTTTGCATGGGCTCATCCTCATCCATGTCAAAGTCTTCGTTAGTGATCTCCTTGTTGCTGTTATCTTTGGCATACACATTCGTCACGGCACTTGTAGGGCTCGTAGCTGCAACAGCCGTCGTGCCGTTATCAGGGTCTTGCTCTTGGGTTGACTCTTCTGGCATGGTGATCTGTTGGTTGTTGGGCTGAAGGAAGGAATACCGATAGCACTGTGGTGATCGAGGGAAGGTGTCACACAAACAGCTAAACAACGGCGAAGCAAGGAACCAAGATTTGGCTCGAAGCTGCGTCCAATGACACGCGGGGTGGTGGTTCGTAATAAGGTTTCCAGTTTAGGGATAATATATTGCCGTCGAGAGATCCTTTGGAATTTAGAAGCTCCAAACCAAGCAAGAAGAATGGAACGAGACCCGGATGATGAACCATTGTCACCCAAAAAGCTACTAATACTCCAAGGTGAAGGAGTTTGGGCATTCCGCAAGGAAATACTGGGCAGGATCTTTGATGCTATTTCACGCACCATTGAGCTCCCACCTGGCAAACTTGAAAAGATTCGGGCAGCCGTCAAGAAGGTCTTCCATGAGAAGCACAGCAAACAGACTGATCTCCAATCTCTTGTGGGAAAACTTCAACACGTGTGCTGGGATGTTCCCAATGGACGTGGGTTGATAGCTCCAGTGTACAAACTGCTCCCAGCTACGCTACGTCGTGCTGGAGCAGCTTGTCCCATCCCTGGAATACAAGCATTGCGCCGCAATGATGAGCCCATTCAGATAGTGGTTCCCAAGAGTCTTGCCTATCGCATGATTTTGGATTTGAGCTACATGTTCACAACTGATGGTGTCCCCTGGTCATCTCAGGAGTACAATTTCGGCCATGTGCTACCACAAACTGACCCCGATGAACCAAATCAAATTGTTGTTCCCAGCTCTCTTCCTTCTGTGCTGCCACAGAAACTGGACGAGATGTCGCCGAAACATTAGCATCAAAATCCACACTATCACATCACCCCTTTGAAGAAATGACCATGAACATTGATGACGATCTGAACCTATTCCAAACCCAACACCCTTCCCAATGGACAGAGGAAGAACTCCCAGACCTGTTCGAAATTTGAACCATTGTTGCTGCCATCCAATGCACAAACCCTCAGGCCCTTCTGCATCATTCTAGCTAGAGCCTTGCTCCATGCCATTTACTCCGTCTTTCAAGCAAAGCCTTCGGCGCAGTAGCACTTTAGGAATAACCGCTACTAATCGTTGTGTCAAACTCAAACTTGTGTCTTGGGCCCGAAGTTTTTCATCCAGCAAATCTCTTGTTGGCCAACGATTGGTCCGGGCCCTGTTCATTCCGCAGGCACTGTCTAGAGTGCCACGGCTTCCCTACCGGTAGCATAAGAAGTCATTATAACCTTACTATTCATATTTTCAAGGATTGGTTGATTGGAAACTCGGAAGTGGCCGAATTTGAATCAATGACTTCCGCTCAAGACCATGTCCCATTCCACAGTTGGCTGTCCATGGGTGTACCAGATGAGTTGGCCCTTTCTTTCGAGGAGTTGCCTCAATCTTGCTTTTCCACGGATGTGTGTGGTTAGATCCCAACATTCACTCGCGTCTTGGACAACGATGGCCACAAAGGGCGACGCCCTTCCGTGCCGCAACCATCCAACTAGTGGAGAAACTATGGGCGCGTCGATGAATGCATCCGATCAATCTCCACTTGTTCCACTAGTTACCGTACCAAACTGCCAGTCACCACGGATGTGTGTGGTTGACGAAAGTACCAATCGAGTCAGAGACGGCAACGGCAACGGCAACGGCCTCTCCAGGTGGTCTCGGTCTGGGTTTGTTTGAATGGAAAGGCTAAACGATGAAGCATAAAACCAGACATTGACGCAGACAATCGAACCCTCATTTCTGGTTTCGCCACAATCACCTTTTGTAACTGCCTCTCTTTCCCTCTTGTCCCAATTTCCTCCAATGACAGCAGTCTTGGTGTAGAGTGTCGGGGCAGAAACACCAGGATGTAGTTTCACAGATCCTCCGGTCACATCACTGCTGTGGGAGTTCTCTCAAACCGGAGGTAGTGAAAGACATTTGGCTCGGAACCATCTTGTCCATTGCTCACTTCTGCTTCTGTTTCCACTTCCTCTCGGAACTCACTACTGCTGTCGTCAATGATGAATGGCCCGAAGACAAGCGAGTGTATGCCTTCGTCTCTACCAGTAGGTAGACCAAGAGCACCTCCACTCGATTCTGATTCCCCAAAATGCCGTCAAACAACTGATGGGTGCATTCGCGAAGTTCGTCCATGGCCCTTGCCGAGACAACAGTCCAAACTGCCAGTCACGATGCGACCGTCTACCTGTATCTCCCGTTTATGCCACACACACACAAAGTCTTGGAATGAATCGGCTGCAATCAAGGAAATCCATGAAAAGCGACGTCTGATGGGAACGATCGAGGGTGGCCCTTCGCCACTCCGGAAATATGGATCGCGGAGTTGATGGTTTGGTGATTTCCCACCATTTTCCCTCTTGGTACCGTACGTGAGAAACTGAGAGAAAGATGCATTTCGCAAACGAAGGTTTCCAAGTCTCTTGTCTCCACGATTCCTAGTGTTGTCATGTTCGGATCCATGTCTGCGAGCAACACATTTTTCCAACGTCTCGTGGATTGCCATGGAGCAACTAAACTGGCGTCTTTACCTGAAGGCGGCAGAGTGTTTTGCACGCCGTGAATTGCATTGCCATTATGGAATCATTCAACGTTGCTGACGTGTGCTGCTGGCGACGACGAAGAACCTTGCACATTGCCATTGTCGTTGAACTCCTCGGCAAGGTCGATATCTGTCGGTGCTGGCACAAAACTATTCGCTGCTACCATCCTACATGAGGATCCATTGGTATCCTCGCCGAACAGTTCCACTTTGTTGACTGGTGTTGTACTGTTATCGAGTTGGTGATTGCCGACGTCACGTTCATCTGACTCGACTTTGTCGGCTGGCAACGGAGAGCTCCGTTCCACATTTCCTGTGGAAGCTTCCTCCTTGGAGACGCGCCGCCAAAACGACGACGAGGATCGATTGGTGCGTCGTCGTACGAGTGCCGGAGCAAAACAGCATTGGAAATGTCGAACGAGTGGCCACAAGCAGTGCAAGGGACCTTGTTCTTCTTCAAAGAGGGATTGTCGTTCTCGAAAAAATATAAAGGCGTTGAAGAGTCCCTGCCAGGGTGCCATGAAATTGTGGAGGGCGGCAAAGACAAAAATCGTGGAGCCATTTTCGGGCACCAACTCAATGGCAAAGGAGACTGCCACGAGTACCAAATAGGGCACGTGAGCCGCCAAAAAGGCTCCAATGTACAAGACGCCCTTGATGGCGGTCTTTTGGGACATGTCCAAGTCGCCACGGCCACCCCCAGATCCTCGACTGGAGTTGGCTCCCATTCCGTACCGGGCCAAACGTCGTTCGGTATGTCGGACTTGTTGGTAGAGGAGGCCCATGCAGACAATAATGGTAATCATACAGAGTAGCAGAGGAAGAATTCCCACCAGCATGAAAAGGATGCGGCGCAATCCTTCGGGGGCTCGAAGGCATTTCATTTCGGGATAGTTGGTGCCATTGGTGGATTGTTTGGTTTCATGATCTCCACTGCCATCATCCTCGCTGTCATCTTCGGTATCACAATCGGGTGGCCAGTCGGCATACCAGCAATATCCTGGAGCCACTACCAGAGGAGAGTATGCCTGCACAGCAATAGAAAGAAATCCCAACCCCACAGGCCACAGAATGGAGATTCCATGAATCCAGGGTTCAATGCGACTCGTCACAAATGCTTCTCGACACTGATAGCGCACCGTCAAAACATAGTAGAGGGCCAGTGATGCCGAGTAGAGTTGAATGGACGTGCCCAAGTTTGTGAGGAATCCGTTGAGATTGCACGTGGCCCAGGTGCCTGAAGCATGGTAGATAAAGTAATCGGCTTGTTTGGGGATGGACCAGGGCCAATAAATGCACATGTGGCTGAAAGAGGCGATGAAGTCCATCAGAGACAATCCCAACAGAATGCGTCGAAAGGTTCCCAGACTACTACTACTAGTACCAATACTACCAGTACTGGCAGGGCGCTCTCGGAGAATGGCCACGGAAATGAGAGAACTGCCCAGCATGGATAGAAATCCGCCTGGTACCGAGAGACAATACAGAGCCAATTGCTGACCTTTTGTGTAGATGGGCTCGAAGCTCTCAATGATTTGATCGTTGGGCTCCTTATCCATCATTAAAACTTCGTCCAACAAAATGGGGCTAAAGGTTGGCGCATTTTCCGTCAGAGCAGACATGATTGAAGCCTCAGAAGCACTGCCATTCGGTTAGTTGCCTGTGTCAATCCACCAATACTCCCTTGGTGGTGCTGCTACTAATTACATATATGTAATAACCCATCCCATCTTGTTGATGATGTCCTCCATTGCCTCTTCGTGAGCTCTTGCTCGATCGGAAGCAACGAACATCACGTTTTGGTTTTGAGAACAAAGCTATTCGTGACCGGAATGAATCCGCGATCTTTTCCTCTCCATCCAAAGTTGAAGCAAAGAAGCAAAGTCGTTTTGTCACACTCAAGATGGCCATTCTCTCTTGCCAACCAACTAATTCCCCCTCTTCTCCTTATTACCTACTAGAGGTAGGAACACCGCACAATTCATCAATTCATTAGGAGGTAGATGGCGAGAATGAAGTCTCTGTTTCCATCTCTTCTACTCCAAGTAGTTTTTGCCCTTGTCGCTTCCATTCCATCCGTGGCTTCCTTTGCCGTTGTTCCGGCTCGGCAGCGACGCATCTCAAGATGTTCCCGTGGTTCATCCAACGTCGTATTGCAGGCATCCACCGTCGGTGCCTCCAACTCGACAGCAGCTACTGCCACAGAGGAAGAAGAAGATCCCTACCAAGTGTTACGGACGGGTGGAGATCCCACCATCGATGCGCCGCTCCCATCCGCATTTACCGAGTGTCCCTTTACCGGAATATTAGCCGGCCCCGAATCCTTTTATCGTCAAGTGGCATCAAAACTACAGTCCCCCGATATCTTTTCCTTTTTGCAAAAAGATCAACCCATGGCCGAAATCAGTGGCGGCACGACCGTCAAACAAGTGTTGGACCAAGAATTCACGGCACTCTCCAGTAATGCCGTACCGGGCGTCAGTCAAATTGTCTGTGGAACCGAATCGCTCCGGACGGCACGCAATGTCAAGGAACACAAAATTATACGCCGTTTGGTCAGTCATCCACTGGGAGCATCCAGTGTGGCGGCGTCGGTTCCAACACTTCAAGACATTGGGCAGACATGTTTGGAAGAAACAATCGCAACCAGCAGTACAAGTATTAGCACCTTGGAAATGACGCAAAAAATGACACTGGAAGTGGCATGGCAACAATTGTTGGGATTCGACTTTGATACTGACGCAGAATTGGAACGGTTTCGACGAAAAGCCGCCACTTGGTTGGACGGGATTTATCACAAGGTCGGAACGCCAGAAATGGATGCCACCCTGCAAGCCAAAGAATATCTGGTCGGCCTCGTGGATAAAAAGATCAATCAACTGGTGGAAGCTGGTGAAAGTGATGGATCCACCCTGGGTGGACTAGTATTTGCCAAGGAAACGGATACGGGCAAAACACTGACACGACAACAAGTCATTGACAATGCACTCTTCCTCATGTTGGCTGGAACAGAAACAACCTCCAGTTCCTTGTGCAATATCATGCTGCTCATGGGATTGCATCCGAATGTCTGGCAAAAGGTGGTAGAGGAACAGGCTCGGGCCGTAGAAACGCATGGAGAAACACTGACACCCGCACTCGTCATGGACGACCAAGGATTCCCCTATCTGGATGCCGTCATTCATGAAGTCATGCGAGTGCTACCGGTAACCTTGATTTCCAAACGCGTCACTACCAGTACCATGGTGGTGGATGGAGTGCAAATACCGCCTGGTTGGGGAGTCGCCTACAGCATTTACCTCACCCATCAAAAGGCACTCGAGGAGGGGAGTATGGATCTGCAAACAGGATTCAAACCCGAGCGATGGCTGGATCCGGCAACGCGACCGCAAAAACCAGACTACATGCCCTTTGGAGCCGGTCCACGGCATTGCCCAGGTACGTCCCGAAAAACAAACTGTGTGTTTCGTCACGTCCAGCATCATAATGACCACTCACATATTATTTCCCTTTGTCGCGGATCTATCTCCCAGGAGCACTCTTGGGCATGACAGAACAACGAGGGTTCTTGTCTCTTATGGCACGAGCCATTCCCAAGTTTGAGCTCGAAATGGAACTGGACTCAACCCTACAATCGCCCATTGACGAACAGATTGAATGGAACAAGCTGAGTGCCGTATCAACACCAATGGATGGGACTCGGATTCGAATACTGCAGTAGTCTAGCACCTGTAAGTAAATGGGTTGCTGTGTCGGGTTGTACTGACTGTCATCTAGTTTAGTTAGAGCTACCGGCTAATAGTCAGAAATCGCGTCTCTTCTCTGCCCGTCAAGTTGGCTTTGTAAGGTGCTGTGGCTGGGAGGAACGTTCAACTTTCTCGGGGTCGTTTCAATGTTCATCATCCGTCGTCTTTCTTTGTAAATGCGCCTCGTCTTGCCTTGTACCGTATGGCCGCACAACTGAGTAAAAGAAGAAGGACGATCGCAGAAAGGGTGGCAATGCTTCCTTCCAAGCAGGAGAGGGAATTCATGGCCGCATAAGAGGGCGGAGAATGCATTGACTACCCTGGTAAAAATTGCTAAACATCCCAAACTAAACTATTAGAGCCAGAGCCGAACTTTGGCCTTCAAGGCATTCCGGAATGTTGCGTCAATTTTTGGGTCATCTGGGTCAAGGTCTCTTCAAGTTCGGCCTTGACGTTGTAGACGTGCACTTTAGGTTCCTCGTAGGTGCCGTCCTTGATGTCTTGGAGGTCAGATTCCAACTCCTTCTCGATGGTGCACAATCGCTGCTGCCCTTGGTCGATCAAGTACGCTCCCGCTTCCAGGATAGTCTTCTGCGTGTGCAATTCGCCGTATTTCTGCTTTGCGAGTCCCTCTGCTTCCTTCTGTTCCTCCTTCAGCTGTTGGTGGGTTCGTGTCTCCTGGTCAAGACTGGACTGTTCGGCTTTGACCGATGCCCTGATGCTTTCAAGTGTTGTCTCAAGAGCAGCAAGCTCCTCCTCAAAGGCCTTGGTCCCCTCCTCCGTTGTTTGAGCGAATTCGCCCATCTCTGTCGTCTTGTGATCGACCTTGGCGCGCAACTCCTTGACTTGTTCTTGGAGCTCCTCGATTGTTTCAACCTGCTTCTCTTCCTCCAGCGCATACTTTTCCGTGTCTTCCTTTATAAAGTCATTGATATCACTAATTTGCTTGGCCAACTCCACTTTCTCTTTGAGCAGATCGTTCAGCTTGGCCTCCTTGGGCAAGATGTTCTCGGATTCAAATTGATCATTGACACGTTTTTTGGCCGCGACTGCCTCTGCCTGCTCATTGACCTTGGCCAATTCTGCCTCCGCTTCTGCCGCACTGGCTTCACTCGCTGCTACCTGGGCCATGAGCTCTTGTTCCAACTTTTCAAGCTCTGCAATGGAAAGCTCCGTCTCTTCCTGCTCTTTCTTGTCATCATCACGTTTCTTGAGCATGTCGTTGGCACGATCGAGCTTCTGCTGGATCGAATCGCGGTGCTGCTCCACCTCGGCAACTTCCTTTGTCCAGTCTTCCTTGGTCTTGCGTCCCTTGAGCCTTGCCTCGGCCAGTTCCAGCGTTTCTTTGAGCAGCTTCTCGTTACGACGGAACTCGTCGTTGCGCTCCTCCATCTTGCTTCTCTGCAAGGTCACGGAGAAGCCGTAACGAATGTCGATGAGCAGCGATTAGTCGACGCGCCATATGCAAGCACACGGAAGCTCCGTCTTCCTCCTGTTCGTACGTACCTTTGCCACAATGCCGTTGGCATTTTCACCAGCCCTCTCACTGGTTCTCTTGATTTCATGTGTCAGGTGCATTTGCTCCATCTTTTCAGAGTCGAGTTCGCTCTTCTTGCCATCATTCTCGTCTTTCTTCCTGTCGAGCGCTCCTTTCAGATCTTCCTTCACAATGGTGCTTTCAATGGCGGCAATTTCATCTTTGACTTGCGTGGTATACGCTTGGATCTCTTCCATGGTCTTTTTGTCGGTCGACAAGCGATACATCTCGTCGCAGCTTCGGTAGGTGTCCTCGAGGAACTGCTTCGTAGGCGCGACCGCCTTGTTGTTCTTGCCATGGTTCTCTTTGTCGTGACTGCTTGCGTCGGAATCCTTCTCGGCCTTGGTGAGAGGCTTGACCAAGTCTCGCTGCATTGTCTCTCCCAGCGTGGCAAAGGTCGCCGCGGTGGCATCCGTATGGATCTCCATTTCCTCCACCGAGCGTAGGTGCTCTCCAATTTCGTTGAAGTTGTTCTTCTCTGCCTGTCGAAGGTTTTCCGCGTGCTCCTCTTCTACTCCAATGTGTGCATTGAGATCACCAATGTCTTTGTCAATACCAGTAATTTCGGTTTGAAGGGCGTTCGTGTAGCTTTCCATGTTTTCGAGGTCGGCGCCAAGATCGATGAAGAAGGCGCCGTCATCGGCCATCGCTTCGTTGGTGTCTGTAGCATCTAGAGACGGAGCAGACGGAGCTGGTGGGGCAGTACCCGCTGAAACAGACGAGGGAAGGGTCAATCTAGACGAAGAGCCACCTCCTCGGGAGGTTGCACCGGCACTCGACGACTTTGCACCGGCAATCGAAGACTTTGCACCGGCAGTGGACAAAGAGGGGGTGGATGCCGAGGAAAACTTGGCAGATCGCTGGAAGCTGCCAGAACCCGACAACGCAAACTGGCCAGGTCGTCGTCCTCCCAAGGATGCTGCCGCCACCGTTGAGGACGACGCAGAAGGTTTCTTGCTCATTTTGGTAGTGCGAAACATGATGGTTTTGTTGCTTTTGTTGTGATGAGTGTGAGAGTGGTGGTTTACGGTGCTCTTCTTCTCGGAGTGAAACACGGGGGTTAAGAAACGACGCACAGGTGCTCCTACGCAGAAATCGGAACACCGCCGAGCTGCGACCTTCGACGACGCCTTCTGCCATAAATTGCTTGCCCCTCCTCTCTCCCTTTGGGGCCTTTGACAGCCGACCGGTAAGTCCCTGGTAGAGTACATGCACCGCTAGCCACAATGCCACGGACCAACAAAAAAGGGTGTATCTAACTGTGCCGTACGAGATATTGCAATGCCGGTTCCAAATACGAGAGTCTTCTGAGCAATCAATGGATTATTTTACATTGGTGTCCGGTAGAGCAGTATACTGCGACAACAACAGCCCAAAGGGCATTCGCGATATCTATCCATAACGAGACCTGGCAAACAGCAGTTGAAATAGGGCAGCAAAGATGACACCTGCAGCAAAAGATGACACCTGCAGCACCATCACATTGGTCGCAGTGTCCGCCGGGATCAACTTTTTGTTTGCCAAAGTTGCCAACAAGCTCTGATAAGAGACTACCACGCTGGACAAGACGGTTGAAAAGTAAATCAATGGCATGTCAGCTCCAGAGCAAAAGGGAAGACCATAACCAGTCTCAATCAAGTGAAGCCAGTCTGCCCGATCCAAGGCTGGGTTAAGAAAGTTGACAATGAAGACCACGTTCAGCCCGCAACCCAATATGAATTGGCCGCGAAAGCAAAGTTGATGAAGGGCCTGTTCAATTATGTTGGTAGGTTTCGACACTCCAATATAGGTCATGCGATCTTGAATTTCATCATAGTCGGTCACAGCAGCGCTAAAATCCATCACGATCAGAGAAACAATGAGAAGGCTAAAGATAGTCTTCCAGTGGTCTTCAAGAAGTGATGGACAGAAAGGCGACTCCCAGGTCGAGAAAACTACAAGCACCGTAGAAGCCAATCCCATTTCTATTTGCGTCTTACCAACTTTGGGATCTACTTTGCGGTGCTTGAGAATCATGGGGATCGCAGCCAAAGCCTGAACGCTTGTGGACAACGTGAAAATGGCATCGAATGGGCTAAGCCAAGATGGGACTTCCTGAAAAAATCCTTGTTCTGTAGGCATCAACATTCCACCGAGGATGACAGTAGAGGAAACGACAAACGCAGCACTCGAGATCTTGTGCACAGAAAACTGGTCCTCTTTAGTGTTGAGACGTCGCTTCCATGTCTTCAATGAGAGCTTCTTCTTGATTGGCGTGACAGGTTCCATTTCAGAGACAGACGGCGCAATGACCTCCTCGTGAAGCGGGGTGGAAGGGATATCCAAGGTTTGTGGGATGCTTGACCGGACTTTTGTAGTACCAGTGTTGATGTGCTGTGGGCGCATGGGCTGCTGGAACGCCAGGGCACTGCCCAGGAGCAGCGAGAGGGAGAGGAGCGGTATCATTTTCTTGCTGCTCATTTCTGCTTTTGATCTTCTTCTGGTAATATTGTTTGTTTCTTTTGATTTTATGGCTTTGTGGGCTAGTTCGATGGGTTGACCTACAGTCATGACACAACTAACTGAGCTAAAGCACAGGGAAGAACGTCACCGTTGTGGATTTCAAATCTTAATCACGCGGGCAAGCCATCTGTGACTGGATGACGAGTTGAGACGCTTGTGCACATGCTGTCTCGACTCGAGAGGGCAAGTCGCGTACTCGTACAATGGGCAAGTCGCGTACAACGGGCAAGTCTGATGTGCTACCAGGCACGTTTTGTTTCCTAGCAGCTACCAGTGGTATTGTGGACAGGAGATGTAGAAGTCATTCCTACAGGGAACCTTTCTAAGAAGTCTATAGTCACACAAGGAGCGCTATAAAATGATTTTGCGGATGCTTGCTGGTTGTGCACTTCGCAGAAACATTGACATACCGTAGTTGCTATTGATGCTGATTATGGGCAAGCAAGCCAAAGTATCCTTTGATTGTGAATCAGTTCTCGAGCATGCGTTCAATGGGAATTTGAAGGTTGCTTGTGTATTTCTTTGTGGACGAGACAGTCTTGCACAAGCAAATCTACCGAAGGACAATCCACGCCAAGAGATCATCTTCTTAGTTTCAGTTTGTTGCGTTACATTATCCTTTTTGCTCAGGGCTGCTCGAGGCTTTGAAACACCGTGTTTGGACAAAGAGCCGAGCCGCTAGTGCATACCGGTTTTGGAAGCTAAGGAAGCAAGGCAAGGATATTGATTCATGGGTCCAAGCAAACTTGAGATACGGGCAAAGTTATCTAAACTTGAAACCAAAATCAGACCAAAGATCTGATGGAGTTTTGCAAAAACCACCAACCAACTCAAGGTGGAAATTGCAATGAAAATCCCAACTAACTAGAGAAACTACTTTTAATTAAGGATGTCCCACGGGGTGTTTTCTTAAAAGTGTGAAACATGCACCGTTTACTAGCATTATCACGACAAGAAAAGTGAGAAAACTCCATTGTGAGGCTAGCTTAGACCGATTGCCGTTCCTCGAAAAGCACATCGCATGTCCATGTTGTTATATTCCATCTTATAGAGTAGATAATGCTCTATCTCTGTGAGGTGAAAGAAACATAAAATGTGTTGTTGTGTGTTCACCAACAGTAACTGCCGTCGGTCAATGAAAAACTGCCGAAACCAATGGATATGCTGTTGTGGCATTGACTTTGCTCCATAGTGAGCCAATATTTTATGTTTCTTTCTTCGGCACCTGCTGCCCGTACTCAACAATGTATAGTGACTTGCTATCATGTCATTGGAGAGTGGCATGCCGATACTGTTACCCATGTCGGTAGCAGCAAGTAGTTGTTGTCGTGTTGGAATAGTGAGCGGCCGAAACTGTTATCTCGCATTGGAAGAAAGATATTGAAGATATCGAAATCAGCGTGGAGTGTGCACGCTCGATAAGGAATCACGCTGAACTGAAAAAGCAAAGAACAGAAAAGATCAGCTTCATTGTGACACTGTTTTGCGCCATTTCGCCGTTGTGTACTTACAACCTTTCACCATGAACCGCGCTATCAGAGTTGAGTACTATGATGAAGGCTGCCTTGATTTTGCTACTTGATGCTTGCTTGATGAGTATTGTTGCTCTTCCCAAGGTCCTGCCAATGGGTGGTGGCTTTCGCGACGGAGTGACAGTGAAGCCTGACGCAAAGTATTGGGTGAAAGGAGAAGGGTTGAAGTCACCGGCCATCGAAGAGACCGAATCTGCCCCTGCTTTTACTGTGGTTGAGGCAAAGAAAGTGTCTCGTGAGTACAAGACACACGACATGTCCAGCACTGTGTTGTCTTACAATCTTGTGTTGATGGATGGAAGTGGTACCATGTTCAAGGCCACGGTTAACAGTGGCCTGTCCCACTATTTCGCTGCATACAACATCTACGTTGGATCGACTGTCTTGGTGGATGACTATGCATCATCACGCAGACATCCAACCGTAGACTACACGTACAAGATTGTACATGCTCATCAAGGACCTCCGCTGGAAGCTTCCACCCAACAAGAAGGTAATTGATCTTCTTCCCATCGTCATGCGTGACGTTGTTCCAGCCACTGGGCATATCTACCCGCACCGGTAGTTGAGAAGATGATTGACGCCAAGGCCATTCGGGCAGTGTCCAGGTTGGGAGCAGTGGTTCCACTTGAAGAGAAGAGTACTTCGATTGATGCATATGAGTCGATCCACTGTCTCATGAAGGCGCCTGACAAGGGCCTTACTTCCAGGAAATTGGATCCAGCATGACCTCAGCCGTCAGCATTGGAAGGAGCAAATGGACTTTGACTTGATGAAGTCTCGTGGATGCGACATGCGGGAAAATCTCCTCGATACGTTCGATCTGTATGATGAAGAGGAAAACAAACGTGGAAGTTACTTCATTGTGACACAGCCCGCGATTGGAGAAGAGGGACATCACAACAGTTGCCAGTGCTGTTCGGAGTATGGATTCATGCAGTGCATTCTTCTTACCTTGCCTCTTGAGGATGTGGACGTGAACGACTTGTATCTCTCTGTTTCCAGCAGGCTGAACGGAGAATTGGATGGTGACTCGTTCGATGACTTGGCTCCAAACCACAAGAGATGGTGCTTCTACTGGTACTACGCCGTCAATGGGTACAAGTTCATCAATGGCGCAAGCAGTTGCCAACCTGTTTCGTAAAGGCCGTTCGCTCATTGTATCCAAATCCAAGAGGTGTTCGTTACAGTACCTTCATGCCGGCTGATCCAAAGAAGGTGGTTGAGGAGAAAAGTGTCATGAGCTACGGTGCAAAGGCTACGGAAGGAGGTGTCAAGAGAAAGACGATGGATTTATGGGAAGATTAGTGGCTGTTGCTCCTAGATCAACCACTCGCTCCTAACTCCAACAGTTGCCAAGCCACCGTTGTTCCTCTCTCAACCTGCCAACGGTCCAATCAGCGACTACTCGGAACCTCGGAGCTACTTCTCGGAACGATGGGTTCCGCAAAGGAAACTTCAATCGTTGTGATTGTGTATTTGTCGAACAAAGAACACTGGTTTTCACTACCAACGAAGGTTAGCTATTGATAACGCTAGACTTTCTATACTATTTTAGTACATCGTCGTACCAATAGCTACGTAGATTTACAAGTAAAATAGTTCGCGATCTCGCCAACTCGTATTCAACGATTCTGTCATGCGAACCCACGATTCCGAGTGACTAGAGAATGCTGTAACTACATGTTGTTGGCGATGTTCAACCGTCTTTGCTAGTGATTCCGACAATTTGCGACGTGTGGATCGCTCGTGAGGGTATGTTATCTATGAGTGAAATATCATTCTCATTGCCGTCCCGCTAATATCTTCTTCATGCCTTGGAAGAACATTGGTATGCTCTTCTTCACGCACTGAGGTAGCATTCTGGGATTGCCCTTACTCCGTTTACGACGATTCTTCGCATTATTTGGACAATTTCCACTCCGAGCATCCTTGTGGCCAAGTTGATGACACTTCGAACACATTACCTCCGACAATGACGGTGTGCCGTTGTCTGCGTCCATTGCCGAACCGGACTGGTAAGCCATGCCGTTGACTTGTCGATCTTCAGTTGTTTCATGTATTCCTGTATCTTGTCATGCATTGTCTTTTTGCGTTTGACACGATACTCTGTCTTTTTTGAGTTGACTAACTTACTGTTCCTCATTTTGTCGCGCATCAGCAGTCGATACTCAGTCAACATGTCGGCATCCAATCCAATGCTGAAAAAGAGGTCACGCCACAACACAAGATTGCCCACAAGATGGATTGCAATTGCAATGCGGACCCGCATCACCAATGACACGCTACCACAATACGTTTTGGTCTTGGGTGCCAACCATGCGATCTGTTGATTTAGCAATTCATTGCACTGGGCTCTTACAACCCGCTCATTCTCTGGGATGCTTGCCATGTCACGGATGAAAAAGATGAAATACAACGAAACTCGTAGGATGTCACCCTCCTGCATGTCATTGGCCGTTTTGACAGAACGTGCCTTCAACTTGTACAAGCGATTCTTCAATGTCTTCTTGCGATGGGCCGGATCAGCCAGGAAACGAGGTTGTGGAACGGATACTTCAACATACCGGAGCTACGTAGACAGGTATCATCTTGACTTGACCTGGAGTCTTCTGTTGAGATGGAGGAGCAACAGCGTCCCGATGATCAACTGTCTTCTGTCACAGGTTCGTGCCCGTTGTGTTTTAGCCAGTCATCATTGTTCCACTTGCACCTTGCTCTCATCTTACTGTCATCATCTGTCAACACATTTGATATACAAACCGCCTTGTCAAAGTACAGGTCTTGAGTCATCTTCAACAATGACGCAGCTTCCATTGCACCGGCACCATCGTCATGGTTGATAACACACTCGTGTTCTGGTATTTCCTCCGTAAGTTCCCGTTTCACTGTACAAATACGACAGAAGGTGCATTTGTGGAAAGACTTACTGGCTTCCTTGTCTTTTCTCCACCAGACAGGCATGGCCTGAATGAGAGTCGTATGTCCTACCGCTGGACCTTTTGTTCCATCCCATGTCCGTGAGGTTCCTATGTAGGAAGTGGGTTCCGTCCACCGGTGCATCCCCAGTCTCAAGGCTCTCCCGCCAACTGTCCAGATTCACCTCTGTCTCCGCATATGTCAGTCTTATCTCTTCATCAGATATCATCAGGTAGCCATCCACTATGTATTCGACATAAGGAGAAATGCTCCGCTCTATCTGAGAGAACGTTCTCCTTTCCATGGAATTTGCTCCAGGCAATGATAAAAAGCCAAGGAACCTTGCCGCCTCAGTTCCACCATCCCCACTACCCACAAAGGCAAGTACAAATTTAACATTGACTTCAAAGTCAACATTGGCATCACCACGCGCATGTGAACTCTCATTGTTGTTCTTTTGGGTTGTGCAGTCTTTGGTTTGACTGTGGAATCCTTCTCGCAGTGGGTACACGACAGTACCGGTGTTGTTGCCACACCAACAGACACAAACTTCAACTTCAACGTACTCCTGTGACAGCGAGAGCAGTTGCAGTTTGCCTCGATGAGCTGTGACAGTGGAACACTTTCCAGAATGACACGGTTTGGCAATGGGGGTTCTGTAAGCTTGGTAACATCATTCTCTGTCATTTCGTCATCTGATTCTACTGTCTCTTCTACTGCAACTGCTACCTTCCTTCTACCAGACTTTACAGTGCCAGTACATTCCCTTTCAACGAGATCTACACCCTCTATTCCATCCACTTTCGAGGAAGTTCCTTGATTGAGACGTTTTGCATCCCAGGAAGGACCACCGAATCGGCCATGGTGATCCAGTTTCCTCAAAGCGGCGTTACTACTCCTCTTGCTACTATTCATTGCGTTGTGGCGGTGTTCTGCGCAGAATCAACAAATTGGTGACCCGACTCATTCATCAAGGCAGATTACCTGTCCCTCCATTCATAGTTGGCAAAAAGCCAATGGGTATCCAACCAAGTTGCCAACTATGTGAGGCGAAAAGCCAACATTTCAGCAGAAGTGAATGTGAGACATGCTTTGGAGATTCAATGATGAGGTCGGAGGTGCCGGATTCCCACGAAATCAGAGAATAGATCTGAGAGCTAACAACCACTTTATCTATTTCGAGAGCTCTTGAAAAAGTGAGCTAATAATTTCTTAAAACTAAAATTCACTGTATACCCCGTGGGACATCCTTAAACTAGCTAAGACAAGAGGGCATGAACACCAAAATAAATATGTTCTTTGGCCAGGTCAGATTGATGTTCTTCAGTGGTACTCTGGAACGTTGTGGAAATACAGTCGTGGTTTGTTTAATTGGAGAGAAACGCCGAGATTTAAGAGAGGGCCGTTTCGAAAATGGAGAGTACGATCTACTCTCCTACAGAAGTAGGAGAGTAATTATGAGAGTACAATCTATTTAAGAGAGTACGTTTCAAAATAGGAGAGTATCTCATACAGTTTACACGTACCTATAGGAGACGATCCGTTGGAAATTGGAGAGTACTTAAGAGAGTACCAGAGAATAGTAGAGTACTTGGGTCCGCTCCTATTTATAAGAGAGTACTGCTTTCAATTAAGAGAGGACCGTTGGATTTAGGAGAGCTCTAAGCGGGACTCGCATATTTCCACAACGTTCCTGGAGTAGGCCTCATTATGTCCCAGCAAGGCGAGCAGTTAAGCCCTTCTTCTCTTTGTTCCACTCAAAGTTGTGTTCGTGTTCTTCTTTTCTATTCTTCTTGCATCATCCATCAGTCTATGCTATTATGACAGTACTGTACCGGTAGGAGCCTTCCAGATTGAGAAACAAGCCGCAAAGCAAGGAAGGCATGGTAGAAGAGCCGAAAGTGATCTGTTTTGGTAATAACAACGTAACAACGTAACCCAACAACCCAACCAACTATCATAATCGTACTCAGTAGCCAGCCAGTGTTACCCTTTTCTTGCCATCGCTTCCCTTCTTCCGCAAAACATTTTGTGCTGAAAAGGAGGAACATTATTATTGACGACCCTCAAAGGTTTCAAGTCCAAGGACCAATTGACCGACCACTAATTGAGCATCAACCATAATCCCATCAGAGTACGGTACCTCTGCCACCGCCCCTCGATCGTATTAACATAAGTTACCATGGCGGTCGATGCAGGACCGGTAGCGTCGTCTCCACTGCGCCAAGTGCTGCGTCGCGAGGAGGGACCGTCCTCGGAAGTCTTGGAGGTGCTCGACGTTGCGACGAACCAGACATACCGTAACATGCACTTGGTGAGCTTTCAACCCATCACCAAGGCGCTTCTGAGTGCCTCGGAGAAGGCAGCCGAGCGCTACATTGGCATGTTCCAATTGACATACGAGGCCGCGGGGTATATTGCATCCCTTCATTTCAACCAACGGAATTCGTCCATTATTCCCGATCTAGCAGAACGGCTCGAAGGATTCGGGTTAGCTATGAGATGTCCGATACGCAAGTCAATCGGCTGATTGCGCTCCGAACGCTTCAAGAAGTGGCAATAAGACCAGATATGCCCACGGGTACTTCCATTGCCGCAGCAGACTGGAAACCCAGACCGACCGCTATTGTGGGAGGAGCGGCCAGTTCCGTTTCCTTAGCTTTGGCTAATTTGGCGGGGATCTATCAAATCCCTCAAATCTCAGGAACGTCGTCTGCTACGGCTCTCGAAGACAAGCTAGCTGCTCCTTACTTTTCTCGTACATATCCCACCAATCAAGCGGATGCGGAAGCTCTCATGGTCTACTACAAGTCCATTGGCGTGACACACTTTGGTTTGATCTTTGGTCGAGATTTGTATGGACAAGGATTCGGACAAGCTGTGATCCAGGCGGCCGCAAGACACGACATTGAAATCAAATTCTTCGCCTATGAGATTGTCAAGGATGGGTTTCAGCCTCTCAAAGAGGGCCTCCAGTTCTTGGCATCGACGAAGGTTAGATACTTCTTTGCCGTTTTACACTACGAATCATACAAGGCGGCCTTTCGAGAGGCATACAACTTGGGTATTATGGGGCACCCTGGCTACGTATGGACCCTCGGTGACAACAATGCGGAGCTGACAACGGATGATTTTACGCTGGACAATGAAACGGAAAGCGATATCGCCAAGGCTATTCATGGGGTGGGAGTTCTGCTTCCGGGAATTGAAATACATCCAGTTATTGCCGACGTCATGACAAACCAATTCAAGACCAATCAGCAGCTTCAACGGGACTTTGTGGCAGCACACCAGAGTAATCTACATCATTACTTTGACGACATCAACTTTGCCAACAACAGTATGCTACCATCATTTTATGCCGGGATGGTTTATGATGCTGCCATGACGGCAATGTTGGCGGCCTGCGACATTCAAGACACCGGATACTTCTCGTCCGAACAATTGCTTGATGCCATGCGGCAACAGGCCTTTCAGGGAGCTACTGGCTATGTCACCTTCAACAACATAACTGGCACAAGAGATCTACTCGGACTCCGTTACACTATTACCAATGTCCTCGTTGCCGAGGAAAGCCAACAACTCACACCTGGACGGATCCATTTCAACGCAACCAAACGGATTGGGGTGGAATTCCCATCAGATGTGATTGATCTAGGGGAGGGACCGTTCATCTTTTCGGACAACTCAGCAACACCTCCTGAAGCATTACCGCCGAGAGAAGTCAATTTGAACCTGATTCCAAAGGGTGTACAGGCCTTTGGCTGGTCACTAGCTGCTTTTATCATTGTGCTCTCCTTGCGGTGCATGGTTTTCACCTACTGGAATCGGGACAAACGGGCTGTAAAAGCGCACCAGCCAGAGTTTCTTTTCATCATCTCGTTTGGATGCTTGCTGTTGGCTTGCGCCGTAATCCCAATGTCATTCCAAGAGCCAATTAGCCAATCAGTCTTGGACAGGGCTTGCATGTCCCAGTTGTATCTAGTATGCCTTGGATTCTGCGTCTCCTTTTCTGCCCTCTACTGCAAACTCTACCGCATCAACAAACTGCTCAAGGGCGCCAAGAACTTTCGCAGGGTTAAGGTGGATGTCAAAGACGTCTTGTACCCCTTGGTGATTATGGTGACATTGAATCTTGTGGTCCTCATTTGCTGGCAGGTTCTGGATCCGCTGACATGGAGACGCTTGCCTACAAAGGAATCCCAAGATGGCTTTGGTCGTGATACATCGACGTACGCCCAGTGCTCGAGCATCAACAGACATTCAGAGGTCATCTTTGGATGCCTGCTCTTTGCAATCAACTTCGTTGCTCTTCTGAGTGCTAATTGGGAAGGGTACCAGGGTCGAAACTTGCCAAGCCAATTCAATGAAGCGGGGAGAATCGCCATGTCCATGTTCTTCCTTATTGAGTCCGTGCTGCTTGGGATGCCCATCTTGCTGGTTGTCCAAAACGACCCAACTGGAGCCTTCGTTGTCGAGGCAATATTGTCCTTTTGCATTTGTGCTGCTATTCTGGGTCCAATGTTTTTGCCGCTTTGGAATTAAAGCACATGGCATCTCGAGGAGGCTCGGTCAGTCTTCCTTTCACCCTCATCCGGAGTGGATTTGATGGCGGCGGGGAGTGCACACACTGTTTGGGGAACGAGTCATTCCTTCGGTTCTCGCCGGTCGCGTGGATCATTTTGGCAAAGGCGACGCCCAGTGCAAAGTCATCGAAACGAAGAGATGCTATAATACAAGGTCGCCATCCTCGCGACGGCGAAGCGCTCAGACCCAAATCTTCGACGAGAAGTTTGCTTCATCGCTCTGGTAGGGATTCTACCTCTGCAAAGAATGCGGCGCCCGTACTTGAGGGTACCCCAGGTGAAGAGGAACGCCAAAAGGAACCGATTGAAGTCGAATCCTCCGATGCCGAATCATTTGCAGATGAAGGCTTGGGTTTCCCAGCGCATCCATCAGATGAGCAGCATAACAACGAAGCGGTCGATGTTAAAACCTCCGCCCATGACACATTTGAAAATGAAGGCATCCTGTGAACATCGCCAGAACAGGAGCAGTCAGACAAGGAAGTCTAACTTGCATCCACAGCCTACCAATTCAAAAGGAAAGCAGCAATGGCAAATCAACACAGGCTCTTGCTGGTAACATAACGAGGACATCGGGCGGTCGAGATCCAGCTGTGTACGGGGTGATAAATGTGGAAAACACCTGGGCCTTGGCTTACCGGTATGTGTCGTACTCATCAAGCACTTTTAAGAGAGAAGCGTGTCATTTTCCTGTAGGAAATGGCGAGCCCACGTGATTGCTCAGCATGATGGTCAGGATCTTCTCCTCGGACGCTCACGTCAAAACCAAGATTGGGACGACTTCTGATACATACAAAGACGGGTGGATTCAGTCTGCTTCACAGCACATATTATCTTCAATCAGCTTCTCGAGAGGGTGTTTCGCGGGCTTGCCACATGCATATCTCGAATCCGTCGTCGAAGTAGCTTTTCGGATGCCCTCAGCATCACAGTTGTTTCACTGCTGCGGTCATGACACCAACGAGATGAGTTGGATGGTCGAGGCAACATTGGTCAACCTTTCCGTCCATCAAAACTATCTTGCCGCTTTGGAGAAACGTCGTGAGGAGTTGGCTGCGGATGCTGGAGGCGGCGGAGAACTTGCGAGCTTAAAATGTTGGAAAGGTGCGATATTGAGCACTACTATTGGCGATGATGCAGTGCATCCGTGATGACTATGAAAAAACTATAGAAATCTCATATCGTCGGACTTGACAGCCGCCTTTGATTTGTGGACGAACATCATTCTCAAACAGCTAAAAAGGGTAGGTTTGCACAGTTTAGACACTCTAGCCACAAGTTCATCGAAATAGATACTACAGGAACAATCAGATCGTTCTCTGTCCTTCTGCAAATTCCCACACAAGATTGTGTTGTCTCCATGTCTTCCTGCATGCTTGCTAGTGTCGAAAACTCCAAAGAAATGGGATGACCAAAACAGAAAAAGCTGAACATAAAGGTGGCAACCATGCCTTGCTGGCTCCATTATTGACAGCTTCTGGATCAGTGGTGGCGATAGCCAGAGTACAGTGCCCCAAACCTTGTGCCTCTCCAACCCATTGGCATCCACTTTGCCCAAAGCAAGTATCTTTTGTTGATTGAGCGAAGCATTCTTCATTGGCTGTCATACTTTCATTGTATACTTGACATATTTCAGGACCAGCATCCGGACCAGCCCCAAATGTGAGGGCATCGTAACAGTCAATATTGGGACGGCCATCACAGGATGTTTCACAGGTCCCACCATTTCATCCACACGCAGGTGGGATCCTCCAGACAGTCGGTGCAGGTTGTTGCAATACAGGGAGAAGGCATGGGCACATAGTGCAAATCCAGAGCACACCAATTGCGATCTTCTCCATTTTCAATGATACCCATTTTCCAATCGCACCCAGCTCGTTTCAGACAATCTTCTCCAGTGGTCTCTTCAAAGCAGGCTTCATTTTCAGTGATATTAAAGTCCCAAGCCTCACAAATTTCATCCACTGTGACGACTTCAACTGCTGGATTGTCAGCAGTGGATGTATCAAAGATTCATTCATAGTAGCAATCAATATTCGGAAACTCCCACAGCCTTCCACACAGGTACCATCCACCATCCAGACACAATTGAATTCTGATACACAAGAAATGCAATCGGTGGAGTTGCATTTAATCTCGACGTCTTCCTGAGCCAGAGCTCCAGACAGGCCAACGAGGGGAGCTAAAAGGGAAGATAATCTCATCATTTTTCGTCAATTCTCATTCCAATCAGACGAGACAGTTTTGAAAGGGTTGTTGGGGTAACGTTAGGGTTAACGTTAATTAGGGCAGGAAGGTTCGGTCCGAGGCCAGACGCTGGAACTTTTTAGGCACCGCTGGCCATCACGAGTGCTTTGCTGGCTGCCATCAGGAGTCAGGAGTGCTTTGCTGGCCGCCATCACGAGTGCTTTACTGGCCATCACAAGTAAGTGCTTTACTGGCAATGCTTCACCCCTGGCCATCACAAGTGCTTTACTGGCAATGCTTTTTTCAAAGAGCACAACAGGCCAACAAGCAAAGAGCATCAGCTGGCTCGAGTTTCCCGCCCGTAGAAGGCTGGCGTCGTCATTGTCATTGGTTGGTAGACAAGCTCGAGCATAAAATAGAATCAGTTCACAATACCAGCCAGCTATTCCAGTACCATTCCCAGTGAATTTATTACGAGCCGAGACCAGAAATAATGGCATCCAAGAAACACAAGAAGGTTCGCCAGAAGCATCAACACTGTCTCCCAAAGTGTCGCCACCGTCAAAATTCTCAGCCTGAAAAAGCACCAAGGAACGAAGTACCGCCTGTCATGCTCCGTGATCATGACAAAAGGGCTGGGAATTGTACCAATGGTGCTTCCAGCAAAGGGCTTCATACGCAAAGAGATACAGCAGCCAACTGCCTGATGGAATCAATCCTGTGGTCAAGAATCGGCTGGAAGCCAGTTATTTGTCACAATGCCCACTGCTTGATTCGAGAATGCACTGGAAATAATTAGTTTCTATGAGCAACACGAAGTCCAACTTGGCAGAAAATGAGGGCCAGCACCTCTCTGGTGTGGTACGCGTAGGGTGACAGGTGGGAGCTGTTGTCCCAGCCTGTAGCTGTTATCCCAGCCTGTAGCTGTGCTGTTGTCCCAGCTTGTGTCCCAGCCTGAAGCTGTTGTCCCAGCCTATAGTGGTTGCCCCAGCCTGAAGTGGTTATCCCAGCCTGGAGCTGTAGCTGTTGTCCCAGCTTGTAGCTGTTGTCCCAGCCTGTAGCTGTTGTCCCAGCCTGTAGTGGCTGGGAGCGGTTGTCCCAGCGTGGAGCTCTAGCTGTTGTCCCAGCTTGTAGCTGTTGTCCCAGCTGTACTAGTAGTGGTTGTCCTAGCCTGAAGCGGATATTCCAGCCTGTAGCTGTAGCTGTTGTGTAAGCCTGTAGCTGTAGCTTGTAGCTGTTGTCCCAGCCTGAAGCGGTTGTCCAAGCTCCCAGCTTGGAGCTGTTGATTGGTAGTGCCTATGTTCTACACCAAATTGCTACACTTGGCCAAATCCTCTACAACTGTACATGCATGCACAACCGGTTGGCCAAATAATCGTAGATTCTACCGTAATCCTCTGGAGGGCATTTCTAGGAATTCATTGAAGTTGTGTAAAATGTCTTATGCACTACGCTAAAAGCTAGTGTAAAGATCTTTCGAGTGTTTTGAGTTTGAGAGAATGAAAGTTATGAGAGAGATTAGAAAGCTATGAAAACTAATCAACGAGAGAGATCATCATCAAGGATCGTAGATCTGGTTTCCCGCGGGAGATGTGAAGTGTGATGAGTAGGTTGTGGTAGTAATCCTACGTCTTTCCACGATCCTAAAACGGAACGCGTGGAAGGTTTGTCTAGCCTGGATCTAGTAGCGTGAAGTACTCCACCGCTAGCTAAATATCTAGAGCGATGTTCATCATCAATCTAGTATGACTAGCGCGGTTTGAGAAACCCTGTCTCATGACTATTCACGAGAGACTCAGGCATGAGTCGAACTCAACCTATCTGGATCGAGTCGCGAATAAGGCTAAGCCGTGTATTGCATTCGCCCCCTGACAAGGTCACAGAAGGCGCGACACAGTCGGACAGGAGAACATATGATTTTAAAGTGCGGGGCACTCTCATGAGATTGGATGTAGACATTGTGCGTCGCACGATGGCCATCTTACAAGGGGATCAGGCCTTGTATGGGTGTATATACCTTATGTTCCAAGTCTGGTAACTGTGCCGCCGTGGCGGTAGATGTTGAGCCGTACAGTGCATTGTCTTGACTCGGTCTATGGTGTAGGACCTTTGTACTTGGGCTGACCGTACTTGCGGTGCTGATACTGTTGATCATCACAGTATCGTTGACATTGTATTGATGAGGACACGCGTTGCGTTTTCCCTATCGTTGTTTTGTTGGATTGTCGTTGCGACGTTCCTTAATGTACTTCCAGTTGGCTTCGAACCGGACGTTGTGAATCGCGTCACGATTGAACACGAGCTTGTCGGCGTTGGCGCAAGGTGGTATGAATCGTGGCATTCATTGCAAAGCGAACCCGTGAGGACTCCATCCCAGATCCATTCACGAGGTCGTTTTGGCACTTGATTTTTTGAACAGCGATCAAGTTGTATGGTTTGATGAGCACGCTCGACCATAAGTTGGCTTGAGGTACGCGTTGTAATGAATTGCGACAAGTCCATATTCATCCCGGAGTGTCTTTTCGACCTCTGCACGGAACTCCGTCCTCTATCCATTATAACCTCAGCAGGCCACGGTACCGGGTAACCACGTTTTTCTAGGACGATGCTACTTCGTCTGCTGCCTTGGAGCAGATCCTGCAATCTCGAACCATCCGGTACGGGATCAATCATTGTCAACAATGAAGTGTGCAGGAATCTTTTCTTGGATCCCCGACGTTGTAAGGGCCTATCAGGTCAATACATAGTCTTTCCCAAGGATCTCCTCGCAAGTCTTTGGAGGCATCAATCCCAGCTTACGGTCTTGGGTTTGTTCATCTGGCAGCTTTGGCAACGCTGACATACGGTCTGCACAGTCCTGCGCAGACCCTTCCAGGTGTAGTGTTGGCTGTGGTTAGCTCCGTGCGAGTCTCGCCAGGATGCATCAGCACACCATGGTACCATTCAACTAGCTTTTCTGCATAGTTTTAGGTACGAGATTTTCTCGTCTTAACTACTAAGTCGTTAGACTTATCCCCTCTGGGGAAGATTGCTTCTTGTAGTCGTTTGGCTTGTCCTGAGGAGCTTCTTGATATCGTTGTCGTCTTTCTACGATGTTCGATCTCGGGAACGAGAGAGGGAATCGCTAGGGAGTCCTCTTCGTCTGCAGCCATGAGCTCAGCGATCTCGCTGGTCCATTTGTTCGAAGAACCGTCGTTGTTGGAGATGTTAAGTCTCGCAACGCATCAGCGGATGTTCTGTTCCCCTTTATGTACCGTAGTTCAGGCGTATTCTTCCAGAATAAGGCGCCATCGCATTACGCGATCGGTATTGAAGTTCTTACATGTAGATTTTTGTGGTCCGTATTACAACATCTTCTTTCCTAGAAGAATGTTACGGAATTCTTTAAGTTTCTACGATACTGAGAATTCCTTCTCGGTAACGTGTCGTGTCTGAGCAGGGTTGAGCTTCCTGCTGTAGAACGCGATAGGTTTTCCCTTCTGGGAAATTACTGCACCTAGTTGAGTCACTCGCATCCGTGTGGATACAATGTTCGTTGAAGTAGGGTAGGCGAGCAGGTTTCTTTGCTGATGATCCTCTTCATCTGGCTAAAGCCTTGTCGTGTTCCGCTTCCCATTTCCACTTGTTGTTTTGGAGTCACGAAGCGAGTGGAGCCAGTACATGTGATCGTCTAATCCACATGTCTCGATAGTAGTTCACTAGTCCAATTGTGAGAGTAGGGGGAGCGTATTCTTGATCGCGTCTATTTTTGGTTATAGGTTGGATCCCTTCTCGAGTAATCCAGTAACCTAGGTACTCAAGTTTCTCCTCTTGCGAAGAAGGACTTGGTAGCATTGATCTTAAGTCCGGCTTCTCGAAGCCGTCGGAGAACTTCATCAACTTTTCAACGTATCTGCTAGATCGCCGTTAGTTAGGATGAGTAGATCATCAATGTATGCACGGACTATTCTAGTCGTGCATTAGTGTTCCCATCTTCTCTTTGAAGATGTCGGACTATTACATAGGCCATTGGCAACCTCTGGTACTCGTACTTTCCCCAGGGAGTACGATGTACAGAGTTGCTTCGAGTGGGTGACAGCTCGATGTGATAGTATCCCATGTTTAGGTCTAGACTAGTAGCGTACTTGAATCCATCTAGATTAAGAGCATGTCCTGTATTTTTGGATAGGATAAGGCTTCCGCTTAATCCTTTTGTTAGTTCCCGGAAATCAGAATGAATCTACAGATCCATCTTTCTTGGGAATGATAAGTTGGTGCCGCCACTCGGACGGTTTACCTTCTTGAGTACTCCCGCCTCGCAGAGACGTTCAACCTCCATTTAAGAGTGTTGGTATGAACCGTGGAATAGGATAAGCCCTTGCATGTAGGGTTTAGCTCAGGGAGAAGTTCTACTTTAGTCGTCCATCTGCCCCTTTCCAAAGTACCATCGAATAGGTCAGAGTACTTCGTCAGTAAGGAATGAAGCTGTTCCTTCTCTTCCTGTTTAACTGATCTTTATTGGCAAACCTGCCTTAAGTCAGCTTGTTCGTATTTCCATCAAGAATCTTTTGAGACGATCTGCACTGTCATCAACAGGTAGGATCAGGAATGAAAAAGTTTTCTTCTTCATTGGTGTCGCTGTCTTTCATAGGAATAGATGCGCCGTCCCATTCCACTGACATGGTAGTGAAATCGAACTTGAAACCTAAGTCAGAGAAAATATCTCGACCTATGATCATGTTATACGCCCCCAAGCTCTTGGTGATGTGTAGTCCCACTCGATATTCTATCTTCTGGAATTCAGGAATCATGATGCACCCTTGCACTTCGTGCTGGTGTTTAATTCTCCTGCAGGGGTAGTCCACATCGTTTGGAGCCCCCAAGATCCTTCATGCGTAATTTCTTAGCATGAGGTTGAGCAATAAAGTTCCGATGCTCCTGTATCCATAAGCAACGGAGTGTAACGGTTTTGTTTCCTTTTTCTCGTTGTTAAATTCTAACATAGACGATGGTTTGAGGTCTCTTGTCTTGCGACGTTTACGAGGTGGTTGGCCACGGACGAGGTTAACGATGCTAAATAAGATCATCAGAGTCTAGTTGAGCAGCTTCTAGGCAATCATCTAATTTGCCGTAGAGTTCATCAGTTGCAAACAATTCTTGTTTACTAGTTAGTGAGATATCTTCATACCTTTGGTATGAGAATCGGAACAGGTTCCGTTGAGTCATCATCCTGGCCTAATCCTCAGATAGAGATTTCTCCATCCAAGTGATGAAGTTGATAGAGGAGTCGTCCTCATTGTCAGAGTTTCTCTGATTTGCGCTTGGCAACATGGTTGCGAAGTTTGCAAGTGGTTGCACGAGTATCGTCGATCTCGTTTTGGTCGTCATTGTCGACGAGAGGAAGAATGGTTTGTCACGCAACTGTTTTTCGAAGTTGCGGAACGCATGCTTTCCTTGAGCCATCTTCATGGTGAGGAAAGGTTGAGGGTAGCTGAAAGCTATTGTGTTTGTTAACAAAATGCACTACGCTAAAAGCTAGTGTAAAGATTTTCGAGTTTTTTGAGTTTGAAGAATGAAGTTATGAGAGAGATTAGAAAGCTATGAAAACTAATCAACGAGATGGATCCACAATCAGGAGATTCGCGAGAGATCATCATCAAGGGATCGTAGATCTGGTTTCCCGCGGGAGACTGTGAAGTGTGATAGAGTAGGTTGTGGTAGTAATCCTACGTCTTTCCACGATCCTAAAACGGAACGCGTGGAAGGTTTGTCTAGCCTGGATCTAGTAGCGTGGAAGTACTCCACGCTAGCTAAATATCTAGAGCGATGTTTCATCATCAATCTAGTATGACTAGCGCGGTCATTGAGAACCCTGTCTCAAATGACTATTCACGAGAGACTCAGGCATGAGTCGAACTCAAACCCTATCTAGGATCGAGTCGCGAATAAGGCTAAGAGCCGTGTATTGCACTTACTAGCTTTTTATGAATCTGGTGTTAAATCATCTAGCCCTCTTGGTACACTTCAAACCATAACCAGAAGTGATGGTTTAAAGTACGTGAAAGGATTTCCTTTGAACCAATCCTTACTAATTACTAGTGCATGCTTTAACACACCAAAAGCACTTCAAGAAGTCCTCTTAATTGCAGAATCGGCTTTTGTACTCTTTGCCCCTATTCAAAAGAGCCAAAGTAAATTGCACGAGCCACCCCCAGACCCCCTTCTATGCTTAAATCGTGAGGTGACCTCACGAATTATTTACCTGCTCCTAAAGTTTGACCGAGGCATTGCCCACTCTAACCCGTAATTACTTCTCAATTACTTTACATCGAACTAGTCTAGTAGTAGCCTACCGCTATGCATAGGCCCAGCCCATAATATCTCCAATGATGGGACTCCTGAACTCAAACTCAGCCTGCAATAAGGGTTGATAGCTAGTCTAGCTAGTAGACGGAAAGAGTGTTGCGGACAACCTCAAAACCAACAATAATGATGACAGGGCTTTCGTTGAGTTCGGTGCGTTCCAGACATGTTTGATTGGCAGGCCCACAACAGCTCCCAAAACCACGAAGATGGCTCTGTTGCGTCATCTGATATCGATGTTTGCTCCGTGTTCGAACCTCCAACGAAATTGGACCAGACCTAACAACAGTGTATCTGACGGCAGACGGCAACAACTAGAAAAACCCAGATCCCGTAAGTGTCTGTCTTGCATTAATATATGATTCATATCTATCAGAATGGCAAAGATCCCCCGGTTTTCAGTTAATCTGAGAATGATACATCCATTGTGTATTGTTGGCGAACGTTTTTATGACGACTCCAGATGAACAAAACTGCGTCGAGGACCCTGCTTGAAGGAAGCCCCAGTAGACAGAACCATTCGCCACAATTCTGGTTCGCTTGGGCGCGAAGTAAGGGATGATCCTTTTACTGGCATGTCATCTTCGGTTTCTTTGCAGGGTTCGGTTTCCTCCTCTTCATCTTCGCTTTCGCTCTCATCTGTCTCGGCAATTGTCTCGGCAATTGTCTCGGCGCCCATGGATTTGGCAAACGGAACCGTAGCGGCTTGCGCCATGACCAAAAACAGGTTACCACTGTCACTGGACTCTCCTTCTTCGGAATTTTCTTGCTCAGCACAAAAGTAAGAGCCACAATCTTCCAGGATACCCTCATCCAATGACCTCCATTCTCTTTGCAACCATGTGAACCTGTCCAAAAACCGGTTGCCGCTTTCACTGGACTCTCCTTCTTCTTCCTCGGACTTTTCATGTTCAGCACAAAAGTAAGCGCCTTGATCTTCCAGGATACCCTCATCCAAAGACCTCCATTCTCTTAGCAACCATGCAAAACTGCAAACGCCGAGGACCACAGCGGCAATATTGACTGCATCCGCAAAGAAGGCGTCCGTGGAAAGAGGGAGGGCCTGGGAAAGGGTGGTGCTGATAGAAGCGATCATGTTGTTGGTATGGCTTTTAGTTTTGTTTGCTTTCTGTTTTATGATACTGTACCAACGCCTCATCAGGAAGGTTGGTCCGCTAATGAGAGAACGAAGAACGGCTTATTCTTCGCTTTTCTCTTGACACCAAGCAGCCTGGATCAACAAAAGAGAACCCCGAAGAACAGAAATGCTGCATGCTTGAAGCCGGATTAGTGCATGCCATCTGGAAGAGAATATCCACGTCTCAAAGCTGACACGCAGTGTGTAAGGTGTCAGGAGGCAGAGGATATTATCTTTCTCAAAAGAGGGAGAAGGGGAAGAGGATATCTTTCTCAAAAGTCGTGGGCAGGCCGATGACTTCGTTGAGAGCGCTGGATGACTGCGTGCTGTACCCATTGCTATGACAGCAGTTGTGCCGACGAGTTCGAGAGACTGGACGTTGAACTGGAGAACCAGAGCAGCTGAAGCCGTGAACACCGTCACCAATGGCGACACTTTGGTCTTCCTACCATTGCAAGGAGGTTGCCGTGCTGATAAAATGAAGGAAGCTTCGTGCAGCGTCGCTCACTCTTCCTGAACGCATCCAAGAACCGTACGTCTATGATGAGGGGGGCAGTCTACTAGCTCTTATAGCACTATCTATACATGCAGCACTTTCAAATCCACAAAAAATCTCCAGAGACAAGCACATCGCTCTTGCGTTTACAGGTAGTACTGGCCAATTCACTCGGCAAGTACAAATAACAAACACAATCGAGGCAGGAGTAGGAGGAGTTCCACCTTGATTACAGGACGAAAGCGCACCCAAGCAAAACACCAATACCAAGGGATGCCACCACAGAAAAGGAGAAAGGCGTTGCTGCAGCACTTGCAATCGCAGCGTGGGACGCCACGTAGGTTGTTTTCGGTTGTTGGCTCGCTCCAACGCGGGAATTACCCGGTGAGTGACACCCACTTCTTGCGCTGCCGCTGTTGCCTTTGCTTCGTCCTTTCCCATTTGAATTGGAAAGGCGTCGGACTCGTTTGCCTCCCTTACCAGACTTTCCACTTCTGCTACTCACTCGCCTTGACGCCCCAGCTTTGCCACCACTGCTACTCCTTCGGCTCGACCCCCCAGCTTTGCCACCTTTGCCCTTACCGCCCTTTCCCTTGCCACTGCTGCGAGACCCACTACGTGAAACACAGTCGATGGAATCAATGTATGAATCATCATCGTCATCGTCTCCTTCATCGAAGCTTGTTGGGGGTGAGAGTGTTGGAGGGACTCGAGGCGAAGTCGTGGTAGGATAGGGCGTATTTAGCAGTCTGTCACTGAGTGTCGGTGCAGAAGTTGGCATCATTGTGGTTGGTGATTTCGTTGGAGCCGACGTGAATACTGTTGTCGCGGGCGCCTTCGTTAGTGGATTTGAGGCCGGGGCATTTGAAACCGGGGCTTTGGTTGGTGGATTTGAGACCGGACCTTTGGTTGGTGGATTTGAAATCGGGGCTTTCGTTGGGGCTGGTGACGTTGGCGCGGGGGAAAGGATCGGGGTAGGCTGAGGAGTCGGCAGGATGTCTACTTCGGTGAACCCATTGTCATAGAGGCGAACCCAGTCCACAACCATCTCACCAGGGAAGGGGGCGGTAATGTCATCAGGATCACTGCCACAGCCACCGTGGCTGCCAGAGCTAGAGCTGCTGGAGCCAGCGCAGCTGCTCCCTCCTGACGAGGAGGAGGAGGAGCTACCTGATGTGAACCCACCGCCAACAGCCATGTTGAATAAGATGAAATGCGGGTGATGTAGCTCTTCGCAATCAGCGCATGCGCTTTCGTCAATGATCATTTCCCAAATCTTGGCGTCGTCAACGAAAGTTGTCATCCTCTCTGGTGTCCACTCCAAACGATAGACATGAAAGGCTTCTGATAGATTCGTGGGCGAGTCATAGTAGTTGGCGTATGTAGCATAGTTGCCTTGGTAGTCCCAGTGAGCTGCGCTCACCACACGCTTGTTTCCAAGGCCAGCAGCATTGGCAATGCCTTGACCCAGTTCCATGATGTCCACCTCACCAGCTTTTGGCCAGCCTACTTGATCAACATTAGCCCCTAAGGTCCAGAAGGCGGGCCAGAGCCCAGCATCGACGTCAGGGCTCTTCACCCGAGCCTCCATTGTCCCATATTTGAAGCTCATCTTGCCTTCAGTCTTGATTCGAGCAGATGTGAAAGTTGGAGGATTGGTGTACTCATCTTTTTGTGCAATGATCTTGAGGAAACCATTTTCTACACGGACATTCGCCGGTGAATCTGTGTACGTCTGTAGCTCCCCATTGCCCCAGCCCCCATTTCCCACATCGTAGGACCAAGTCTCAGATCTTGGCTGGCTCCCGATGTTGAACTCTTCGCTCCAGAGAAGCGCTCTTTCTTCGGCGGTAACCGGGTGTGATAGCACTGCCAGCATGAGACAAAAGCCAGCAGCAGCAACTTTCTTGTTCGTAATGGATATAGACATTGTATTTTTCTTCAGGTACCTTTGACAGAGGTAGGTTCAGTTTTCCTAATGAGTTGTGAGCAGGTACGGATAAGTGGAACCAAAAGCAATGACACAGCCCCACCCCGGAGCGCTACCACGACTGAGTCGTAGGAACGGCCGAGCTGTAAATTTGGAATGCCGTTCCGGATTCCGGATACACATGGCTGCTGATGGACCAACAAAACAAGTGACCTCGGCCAATCTCTGCCATGTTCGAGAGAAAGCTCGCCGAGGGTGGAAGCTTGCCTTGACCAAAACTTGTGTCCCACGGCATAGTTGACCTACCAGTATGTTTGGGGGTACCGGTACTTTCGACGAAGATCCATTAGCTAGCCAGGGTCATAGTGAGCTACCGGTACCGTAGCAACCCAAGTGTCGGTTACCTTAGTTACCTCCTAGAACAATCCACCAAGAGTGCTGCAAATGCACAGAGGTTCCGACATAGCTTGCCGCCGGAAAGGTACACAGTAGTACGACAACTCGGAGCAGTTTTCGTAGTACAAAGCTTTGCAGGCAACCTGCCTGACCCAAAGTATTTCAGCCTCTTTGCTTTCCTTGGAACACCTGGATACTAGCTAGTAGCTACTTGTCGGAAGCCCTTGAGAGCCCCATAGTCTAATTCAAGTTCCTTTGGGCGGGGGGCGACTGGAGACCAGAGGGCTGATCCAGTGAAGATCACAGCGTGACAAGAATCCGGTATTCACAGCTGCCCGTGTGACATGCCGAGGCGGGAAGCCACTTCCCTTTTGGCGGGACGCGGAGCTTTATTCTCCGTGTGATGCAGAGGGTTGTGTGCCTGCTATTGGCTTGCATGTCATACTGATAGCTTGTAGGCTAGCTATTTCACCGATACCCTGCCCAGTTGGTGGTTTAGCTAGATAACGAGCCTACGGTGGAGCCTCCGGGCGCACTGACAGCATTCAGCCAGTGTCTCTCGCTCTGGCATGGATGCACTGACATGGAAGACAAACATGTTCTGGCGACAACGACCAGTGGAACTCTAGCTAGAGGTCTTCAACGCAAACAAAGGAGCACCATAGCTCGCCCAAAATGACATAATACCCTCGCCGGCCCTCAAGTGATTGGCTGCACCTAGAGGGTTGATTGGCGTTGGTTTCTCGCCTTATTCGCCAAAATGTGCGTTGCACTGCGCAGCATGGTGATTGGTATCGTACTGCAGGTCCATCCAGCCACCGATGAAATGAGCTTCCCGAAGGTTGGTTTTGTTGTGCCAAGGTCTCTCTAGCTGGCTAAGACGCACGAGAATGAAAGATGACGAGAATGGGCAGAAAATGTATAGTATCCATTGGTTGTTACTAGTGCTCTCAATTAGAGGAGGTATAGCTACAAGGCTACGGTTCCATCCCCATACTACTTGCGTATAAATTGATAGCCCCCACACCTTCCAATCGCTTCTCTTTTCTTGTGACACTTGGCAACAACACTCTAGCGTGCGTCCTGTGAAGGGGTTCATTTGCTTTTGCACCGAGTTCAAGACAAGTCATCAAGACGAGCCAAGCTCTCGTTTCGGCCTGCCTTCAACTGTCGGTACGCTGCTCACAATTCAAATACATAAACGCAAAATTACACATTTCCATTCCGATCATTTCCACCTCGTAGTCCATCCAAATTTCACCATCCGTTCGTCACTTCACGTCCATCCCGTCATCCGCCGCCATACTTCTTGGTCGCCACAGTCCCCAATCTATTTGTCTGGAGGAAGCTTACAGAAGAGCATCGGGCTTGACGTTCAATCGTGTGCGCAAGTACCACACGTAAAAGCCCATGGCGAAGAAAGCCATGGCAAAGATGACAATGAAAGCAGTCGTTACTGCGTTGGCATGTGCCTTTTGGTAAAAGACCATACCGTCTTCACGGACGACCTTGATTCCTTCAATGTAGTTGCAGGCATTGTCATTGGGGTACTGTGAGTTTTGGACGTTGACTTCGCACTTTCCGGCATTCATGTAGGCCATTTCGCAGACTTCTGTGAGTTCAACTTCTTGGTCATCACCATTGTCGTTGCCGTCTTCGTTTTCATCGACCATCAAACAAGAGCTGCACTCAGATCCGACAATGGACTTCTCGGCGTAAGGCAGGGAGAATCCGGTCATTTGCTGGAAGGTGTAGGCACCGTAGGTCTCGTCCTCAATGGGTGTGGAGCAAGTATCGTCGGAGAACATACCAAGGTTGATGGATCCTCCTTGTTCGGAGCAGTAAGGTCCAACAAAGAAAGCGGCTTCCTCCAACTTACGGTTTCCATTATCGTATTCGAACTGGGCACACTCCATGTACTGGTCAATTTCAAAGTCCTCTGCGTGGATGTTGTCTTCCATGTACTGCACACAGTCGGTCATGCCAGCATCGACAATACATTCGTAGAAGCATTGGTTCTCGTTGAAGTTGTCATCACCATTTCCTTCACAATTACAGTAGTTCTCGGCGTAGTCTCCGCAAGTCTCCTCGGCCACTTGACGCTTGGACTCGTAGTAGGATTGCAGGTAGGATTGCATGTCAACAATGTAGTCTCCGTATCCTTCGTCGCAACCACCGGCATCCGATGCGGAGCAAGTGTCGGAGGGGCAAAGACGGAATCGCACCAAGCGCTTCTTGAAGAGACGGACGTCTTGTTCATCGTCAGCCTCTTCGTTCCACTGGACAAGGTGATGACATCCCTGGAACTTGAGGGAGTAATCGGCGATCCATTGCATGGCCTCGACATCTTCATCTGCGTTTTCCAAACGACGAGCCTTGCTGATGAGTTTCTGGCCAATTTTGGAGTTGGCCTTCAAGGTGTCTCCAACCTTGATTTCTGATCGAGCGCTGACAGCAGCGAGTGCCGAAAGAAGAATGGTAATAGCGAACTTCATTGTGCTTCTAGTGTGTACGTGTTCTAAAGACTATGGTTTCTCTTCAACAAAGGCGACAGGTGTTATTCCAAGTCAACAACAGGAAAGTGGATATCGAGTGGTGAAGGGCTGTCGAGATGTGGAATCTGTGGCAACGGCGAGGCACTTCGCCAACTGATTTGTTTAAGTGATTTGTTATCTTCGGGTATGAAGGTTTAATAAAAGATAGCAAGTGGGCGAGTTCGTGAAAGGTATCGTCTGTACGTCGGTCCTGCATTCCATAGTATACTCAATCTGAGTACTGGCGATCCGGGTTCTGCGACTTCGACCATGTCAAGCGTTCGGCTGAATTTGGCCCCAGCACCATCTGGATAGGTGCGCTGTGAAACCGAGAGTCGCCAATGGTCGGTGCTCGATCTACACATCCTCACACACCCTGCCGTTCAACTCCCAATAAATAGCCATACTGCCGTTTGAAACATTCCGTTATCTACAAAGAAGATAAAATGCGGTAGTTGCGGTAAATATATAGTTACGGTAGTTGTGGTAAATATAGAGTTAAAGTCAGATGTCTTCCAGTGGTTTCGTGGAGAAAGAGTGACGTCAAAAGAATGACTTGACTGACATCTCCTCGTGGGAGTTGAGTGAAGTTGCATTAGTCGGGCTCTGGAGGAAGTTCCGGGTTGGGGGGTCTTCGCGCCACGTCTCCACTCTCCACGAGTCTGTTTTGTCTGTTCAAGCAGCTGGAGTAGCAGCTGTGATGGCGCCTCGCTACTGTATCACAGAACCCAAGAAGTCACCGAAGCAAAAGATGTGGGAAAACACGCACCCTGGCTCTGTATCTTGTCCGCCAAACGATTGAATCATTCCTCGTACTCTCACATCTAGCTAGCTCGTAGTAGAGCATCCAAAACAGTCTACTCTTTGTCTGAGGTGGCACTTGAAACTTGAAACCAGCCAGCCAGTGGCCTACGTTGAGATCTTTATTTAGTTTATTATCGCGAACTGCCTCCTAAACCGTACCGCAATTGTAGAAGATAGCTATGCACCCCACTGCAGCCACTGCTTACGACGACATCCTTCGCCGCGGCCACTCTTCGTCTAATGCATCCGCAGGCGGAGGTTGTAAATCCCGTTTAGTCGAGACCTTTAGTGCAGACCTTAGTTAGCACAAAAGGTTAGGGCTGTGTCCGAGGATCAAAGAACGTTCTGGGAAGGTCGAGAATTTTCGAATCCTCCACAATCCATCAGCCTTGGGTGGGTAACATAAATGCACACCACTCCATGGCCGTGGGGAACATGAAAGCCTCCAGTCGGAAAGCAACTCCAAGTTTGTAGCCAACAAAGGTATGGTAGGTCTTCTGACGAGATACGGCGTGTCCATCTTCATTGATCAGAAGAAGGGGAGGGAGGGAACGTTCTCAAACGTCCATGAAAGCGATAATGTGAGAGCCAACGCAGTGGCGCATCCAAGATTCAATGCGGTACTGACGGCAAACTGCTGCCAATATTAAATATCTTTCTCCTTGACAAATAATCTACGCTCACAATTTCTGTCTCAACAAACACAAGACAAACTGTTCCGAGAGAAACAAAGAAATCCAACCTGCCCTCTTTCTCTGCAAAACCCAAGTAAGAGCCCCACCACCACACAATATTCTATTCACTTGAAAAATGTTCCTTTGCCACCAGAACAACATCGACCTATCTGCTGCTTCTGGGCTGAAACAACCCGCGAAGATGGCACCAACTTTGATAAAGCCGTCGGATGCTTCTACCGGTAGAGTGCCTCTGAAGAGCCTCAACAAGTACCCTAAGCTAATAGAACAGGAGTCATTCAACTCTGACGCAAGTAAGTCTTCCGATATTAGTTCTGTTGCAACGAAGTCGATTCCTCCTCCTAAGCCAGTACCATCGCCTCGAAGCAAACCATGGCGGCCTCGGACTTCATCGACCGGTTCCTTTCCGGTGAACATCCGACAAACAAACCAGAATCGAACGGAACAGTCGCACCCAATGGAACGCTCGGCAAGCAGCCTGCCAAAGATCCGTCAAGCCCCCGCGATGGAAACGCAAACGAGAGCACGGTCGTACTCCTCGTCGTCGGTGACAGCGTACGCAGCGGCAACACCCACGTCCAACCGAGAATCTTTCAAGGCGCTTGCCGCGAGCCTTGGCATGCGACGAGTCAAGTATGGCGAAACGCACCCAAAAGTCGGGTCGGCATGGAATCGGATTGGCAACTACTTGTTCCGTTCGTGTCAGTACTCAAATGCCCTGGAAGCCTACAAGCGTGCGGTCGCTTGCTACAAGGGAGGAGAACCAGAACTGGGATGCGCCTACTCCAACATGGGAACAGCACTCTGGGCCAGTGGAAGACCCGACAAGGCAATCAGCTTTCTCGAGAAGGCGTTGGAAGCCTACGAACTGTTTGAAATCACCGAAGGGGGCAATCCGGATGAGAGTTTGGCTGTGGCTTCCACGTTGTATCAGATGGGCTTGTGCAACACTCTCCGAAAACAGTACGGCGAGGCACTGTCATGTCTCAAGAAGTGTCAAAAGATTCAAGCAAGTCTTCTGCCTGCAATGGACATTCAAGTGGGTCGTACGCTGGACGCCATTGGCAAGGTCCATTACTTCAAAGAGGAGTACTCAACGGCCTTGCAATGCCACGAGGAAGCCCGCCGCATCAAGTCTGCCGCCGGGGACAACGAAAGTGCTGTTGTGACCTCTCTGCTGAACATTGCAGCCGTCCATCACGCCACGAAAAACTGGAACGTTGCGTTGAGCAAGTATGCCAAGGTGATGCACTTGCAGCAGTCAGAGCTCATTCGGTGTCGGAACCAAAAAGGCCAGTCCCTGCTAACCCGAGCTGCTCAGGATGTGGGGGAGACGCTGCAGCTCATGGGTGACATGCATCGGCAAATGGAACAAGAGGGCCAAGCCTTGCGGTTCTACAAAGAAGCATTGATGGTCTACCAAGAAGCCGGTTTGTCGCAAGATGATCCGAGAATGCTGGCACTGAAGTGAGAGATGGGCTGAGTTGCAGGGCCGTGTGCCTGGGGTTGTGCTGGGCGAGCGAACAAACTGTATCAGATCCGGCTATGGAGAGCAGCACTGCAGCACTGCGCCTATACTCTTAGGCGCGTGGAGCTGGCTCCGCCTTGGCGTATCTGGTTGTAAACAAAAGATTAATGTAACACGTGATAAGATACTACAGAATAGACAGCTTACTTTTATGAGCTTTTTGAATAGAAGACCAAGATTGCTGTTTTCCCATCGTCGTCCTGTTAAAGTATAACGGAGAGGTTTCTAGTACTAGTATGGGTTAGACGGAACTATGGGGGGAATGGGCTTCAGAGAGAGCATGAGTGCAAGGGGCAAGGATGCAGGCCAGACAGGCAAGTGAGCAGACCAAGGGAATTATGGAAGAGGGAAAGGAAGGAGGGCAGAGAAGGATCGAAAGACGAAGACTCGACTGTCACTCGTCCTGCAAAGTGCAAAGCTTCTGATCCTCCAACATTGCGGTATTTTAAAAGGCCTGGTACATGTACACGTACAGTACATGGGCTCGTATGCCTGTCCGTGGAAGCGTGGAAGTCCAACCAATATTTTGCAGCATGGATGGCCGTGGGGAAGAATTATGCACAGAGAGACACCAGATGTTGCCGTTAAGTCGCTCAGGACCAAGCGGTTTCCCACCAAAACCAAAACACCAAAACCCAAGCGACACCATCATCCATCCATCATCATCGGAACTTGGAAGCTTGGAGGCATCACAAGAACAACAACCATGGACGACCTGCTGGATCGTCGAATGGAGGAGGGTTCCAGCTCGAATTCGAGTGCTGGAGATCTCTCCTCCCTGGATGGTCTGGTTCCTATCAAGACCGATATCCAGTTCTATTGGGACCCTGCCCCATCCTCTAAGTCTCCTGGCAGTGAGAACCTCAAGCCCCTGAAGAAACTACCCCACAAGTTTTTGACGAGGAAGTTGCAACAAGCCTTTGTGGCCAAACGAAAACATCGTGTCAACGAAGAACATGAACCTTTGATATCTTAGAAAAAGGGCGTCCCTCGGATATTTGGCCTGGTCGCCTGATCCCCAGCTGTGATCATTTGTGGTGATGGAACGATGGAAGATCTAGTAAGGAGCTCCTTTCGAGTGAGAGGTGAAGGAGGCTGTCCCCTGACGCATTCTATACAGTTGTCCATGAATGCTTACCATGTCAGTGAAAGTAACAATACTGTAGGAAATAATCACTCTCCATGGTAATGACACTAGTATTCTACGTTCTGCATAGCATACTTTTGAGGACACAATTTCCTGTTTCTGCGGCGCCATAGCTAGATGTGCGCATCGTCAGAGATGAAGTGATGAGGCACACTCCGGTATCGTAGTAGGTGGTATTGAGGATGACGCAGTGAAAGCAGCCAAACCAAAGAATAGAACTGCAACTAGCTGGGGGTATGGTAGCCATCGTTGGCAATTGTTGAATGCATTCCTCATTCATGGCATGAAAAAGTTCCCCATTTTAGTTCCTACCGTATGACCACGACCTCACGCCAGCCACTCGATGACATGAACTTGCATGTAGCTTCTGTGCTGGATGGAGCTGCGTGCTCAGGGCTAGCACTAGAAAAGCAGTTTCCACTCCAGCTGAAAAACATCAAATATCTCAACCTCGTCTCGCTAACATTCCACAAGCTGAGGAGTATACCCATCGCGCTCTTGGCCTACAGCTCGCAACGAATGCAGAAAGACAACGTGGTCACGATGAGGATGTGTTGGTTCAACCAAATTAAAGCGCCCCATTTTAGGCCGTCTGCCTCAGACGAATGCAGAAAGACTAAGTGGTCACGATGCGTTCTTCGTTCCACCAAATCATTTGACGACTGCCCCGTTCTGGGCCGTCTCAGATTCGATTCATTCATCATTCTCATCAGATAGCGAGAGGAAGGATGAATCGAATCAGCTAGCCAGAGGAACCTGTTCGCTCCGTAGCAAGCAGACCTTTGGGTTACTGATGAAAGCGTATTTTTCTAATGCTCGGGATCGCTCATGGTGTCACATTGCCTTAAGTATCTTCTCCGCTCTCAGTGGTACAGTACCGTACTGCGAATGTAGCGCTAGATGCCATGCTGCCGCTGGTACTGGTACGGATACATCACCGTGCCACTTGCTAGCCTGTGGTTGCATTCAATTTTGGCTGATGGCTACCTTGTTTCTTGCAGCTTGTTTGGCGTGCCCGGATCAAGGTACGAACCTTGCTCTTTGACTCGACTGGTGCTCTCTGCTATCTACATTTATCAAGTACCCCAGAGCAAGTGCATCCAAGGTTGGCGGGGCAACATTGATGCATAGACCCTCAAGTTGCTCGTGTTGCCAAAGATTGCGGATGCTCTTCAGAAAGCACAACCGCAACTCATGATATCATGCTCTATCCTTATCAAATGCAGCTCCTACCAGTGGTTGCGACTATGGATCTGGCCTCCTCAACCATGAGAAAACCTCGCTACTTTACTCTACTAGCTAGCTAGTAGATCTAGCTGGCACCGGTACCGGTACTGGTAGCCGACTATCATAGATACGGCCTTGGCTGATTTTGCGTTCGGATCGGTTTGCTCTTGGTGTCAAAAGAAACGAATCGAAGAATCGATACTGGTGTTGGTACGACATGTTTTGGACAGCAACAATAAACCACTGGTTGAGGGGTATCCGATATTTGTTTAACGTTGGTTAACTCTGATGCCGGCTTGCTCTCCGAAGAATACGTAACCGATCGGCACTGGTTTCTTTGCTCTGAGTGAGGAGTGTGTTCTGTAGAATTAGTAGGGGCTCAACCTGGGATTGATTTCCCACTCCTCTCGTCCTCCCATCACAAATTGAAATTACTTGCAGACCTTCGGGTACCCATCCATCCATATCATCCTCTACAAAGGTGTTAGTATCGTATCGGAGAAGACTCATTGAAAGCATACTAGTATCTCTTGCCTGCCGCATTCAGGTGCCGAAATCTCGATTGACGTCTTGAAACAATCCACTGAATCTGGAACAATCAAGAGATCAGAATCCTATCTCTCACCACCACCACCACCGAAAACCGTGCTGCCACCACCATGGCGGAGAATGAAGGTGTCAAGCGAGAGCTAGACGAAGGCGCAGACTTGGGTTCTCCTCACAAGAAAGCCAAATCAGGAGATGACGATGTTGCTGCTGATGCCGGTAGTGATGCACCCATTGTCAAGCTTAATGATGCATCCAACCACGCCTTCGTGCCACCTGGAACGGTGGGGGTCACCACCATCAATGATAATGATGTGTTATCAGGTAAGAGCGATGAGTATTGAGTTCCGTATCTTGTGTCCTGATAGGGGTATCCTTGGCTATTGATCTGACTCTTGATGTTTTGTTGGTGTTCTCTCGCTCTCCTGCTGGTTCTCCAAGGCCGTGGAGGTGGAACCAATCTACACCCAGGAAACCGACAGTTTCGAGATCTCATCAACTTGTATCGACGTGATTATCTGAAGGCTCGCAAGAATGACAAGCCAGCTATCTCTCGGTCGATTGTAAGTGGTTCACTCTCTGTGGTGGCCATTAGATCTGCCGCTCACTCATCTTTCGCTCATTTTGTGACGGATCTAATGAATCACCCAGGTCAATGCCATCCGTGATAAGAATGGCCGCTTCCTCAAAAAAGTTGAGAAGTCGGGCCTTTGGTTCGAAATTGGAGATGATGCGGCGAGGGAGAAAACGGTAGGTTCACTGCGTGGTATCGGAGAGCACACTCCGTGGCGGCATCTCACTTCTTTTGTCGTGGATTCCACGGTATCGTAGAGTCAAGCGCTGCGCCAACGAGCCCCCGAAATGAGAAAGCTACTGTTGGATCATGAAATGGAAGGAGCCAGAAGCCAACAACAACAAATGATGATGATGCCTGGTATGATGATGCCCGGCATGATGGCAAACGGAAACATGCAAATGATGGCTTTCAATCCAGCCATGATGGGGATGCCCAATGCTGCCATGTTTAATCCTGCCATGATGGGGATGCCACCGATGGCCTTTAATCAACAAGGACTTCCGACTCCAGGTGCCGCAGAAGGTGCCGCCGAGGGCGGCGCTGCTGCTCCCGGTGGAGATGGAACGGCCGGTACGGATGCGACCAACAACGGTGGAGCTGCACCAGCTCCTGCAGCAAACAACAATCCAATGATGGCCGCAGCGAATTTCGGAATGCCTGCTCCCGCAAACTACCACATGATGTTTGCTCCAATGGGAGCCCCCATGCCTGGTCAACCAGGAGGTGTACCCGCGCCTGCACCAGAGAGCCCTGCACCTGTAACCTTGCAGTGAGGAGATGGTTAAAAGGGGAATGGAATAAGCGGTGAAGGAGAAACTTCCACCTTTTTGTCAATGGAGTATCGGTACCCTCCGTATCTGATGGGAAAAACAGTTGTTGTAAGATGTCTTGCCAGGACCTAAATTGCTATGCTGACTGATTGAAAGGTCTCGGTTTTTCAGTTTGATGCATTATTGGTACGGTAGTCTGTTGTAACTTTTACATTAGCAAACCTATGAATTCAATTCTTGACTATGTGGGCTACGAACAGACCACAGCACAGTGGTCTGTGCTCTTTGCTAAGGAACTGTTACAGCCGTACCCAGAAGAAACGCAACCACCTGTACATGTAGTTCGAAAGCTGGCTCGCTTTTTTGCCTTGCATCATGTATGTCCTTTCACAGGGTACTCTCTCAAGGCGACTGAATCTTGAAGCTTTATTTCCATGGCTCTACAGCTATGGGGACAACTTCCGTGCAAAAGAAGTTTGTTTCTTGACAGTTCGCTAAAGCTCAGCCGCACAAAAAGCAGAAGTAGCAAAACAGCCCCAGCAGAATTACACATCTTCCCAGGAACCATTCGCTGCACTTTTGTACATTGCCAACACAACTCGAACGTCATCAGCAGCCCGGACAACTGATTGATGTGCAGCTGTGTGATCTTGGTTGGTCCCGATGCGATAGATCTCCGACCAAAGTCCTGCAAAACCTAGAAAGAATCCTCCCTTGCGATCGTCTAGAAACAACTCCTTGCCCTGGGAGTGTTCTTCGTTGTACAGCCGTAAACCACCCGCACCTGGGTCTTCTCGAAAGAGCCCGTTGCCGTGGATGACGAGTTCTCCCTTGGTACCAGTGATTCGAAAATACGGACAAGTGTCGTGTGCCATGGGTGCGGTTGCCAACATGTTGCAGGAGTATGTTGCCACCAAAGGACCCGCTCCGTCGGGTTCCACATGAGTGCTGTGACTTTCCATTTGAAAGAGTGCATGTGCCACTGATTCGCCCTCCATTTGCAACCGTGGCTCTAAATTGCGTCGTACAACGGCAACGACTCGTTCAATGCGCCTGTCCAACATTTCTCGCAATGGACGAATCCAATGCAATCCGCCGTCCAAGGCGATTCCTCCTCCTGCGCGGGCAATGGATCCTCGCCAACCCAATCCGCCTGATTCATCCACACTACCACTTGTGACATTATCTCTCATTGATTCATAATAGTAGGACGCTGCCGTGACAATTGACCCAATAGTTCCCTCTGCAATCAATTGTCGTGCCAAGGCAACCTCATGCCAATAGGGAGATTGCTCGGCAATAATGAGCATGGGTGAGGGCGTGTTAGTTTGACCATCTGTCATCAATTTTTCAGAATGTTTCACCAAACGATCACAGGCATCTCGTGTGGGAGCCAATGGCTTTTCCAGCACCACGATTTTGGCATGCTCAAAAGACAAAGCCTGCAGGGCAATAGTCTCGTGCAAGTCATGAGGGACAGCAATAAAGATCACATCAATGACATCTTTGGCAAATCCATCAGAGGATGACAACAAGCCTTCGAGGGTATCGAAATGGCGTGCTGGTTGACCAGAGCATAACAGACTGTTTGAATATTTGTTCAAAACTAGGTCGTCTATGGCGGCTCTTCGCTCTTTTGATGGATCGCACAGGGCGCAAAGTTGTATCTTGCGGGGAAGTGCCGAAGCCATTGCCTCTAAATGATGGGTCGCAATCTGGCCACATCCAACCAGTGCCAAACCAAATCCATCCTTGTAACTTGTTTCGCTTGTCATGGTCAATGTGTACGGTATGCTGAAGGGTGCTTCTGTTGTAATAGCTCTCCAGAATTGTCCAACGAGGAAGAGGCGGTGAACAAACCATACAGGTGTTGGGTGGCTCAGTTTTGAATGACGTCAGTCTCGGATAAAAGTATCCACGTCTGACAAATTGACAGGCCTGCTGGCTAATCATTCAACCTCCATTTGGCAACAACCGGTGGCAACGATGATCACTCAGTTGGGAAGGGACATACGGTACATTTGGTGCCTACCAGGTAGCGCTAATCGGAAATACGGTGCACACATCAGCATTCAGAGTAATTTGACAACAAGGGCGTTTTTAAAACTTTATCTCTACATCAAGCTGAAGGGACAGGAAGGAAGATGGAGAGAACCGATTCTTTGGGGACACAGAGGAGTGATGTAGGATTGGAAGGAGCGAAGGATGGGATTGCGTGACCTCAAGCCTCCACTTGCGCAAAGTGATACTCAGATTCTGGCAATGGAGCTTCCAGGTCAGCAACTTCCAAAGCTTCCTGAGTGATAGTGGGTTCGACGGTGACTCCTTTTTCGGTGTCATCGGCCGTAGCGGCTGCATAGTAGTGCTCGGGGAACTCTGCCGGAAGACTTCTCATCTTTTGGTCCAAATACGCGGGCATCAAGTTGAGGCCGAGGCTGAAAGCAGCAACGGTGGGGGCGGCGGCAGCTGCCTCCCCTCCGGGAAGGTACCCAATTTGAGCAACAATCTGGAGAGACAGAACCAAAACCCATTGCATTGCAAGGGACATGCAGAAGGAAACGTCATTGGCACCCAAATGGTAGCCGTAGGATCTGGCAAAACCCCAGAGTCCGTTGAGAAACTGGACTGTACCCACCAGAATGGAAATCACGGGGTAGGTAACAAAAAGAAAGGCAACATGAACTGGTCCTTCTGAAAGCGTCCTGGCACTGAATTTAACAGAGCAATAGGTACCCAACAAGAGCTGTGCAATTCCAGCCAAGCTCAGGACACCCGAGTAGAACCCTAGGCGGCCCTTAAAGTAGCTTCCACTTCGCTGTTCATGATTTCCATTAGTGTAGCCATACAAGGACCAAACCATAAAGGCAATAGATCCAACGAAGGCAAATCCGTATGTGAGGATAGCCACAATGCCAATGGCGCCGACGAATTGGACATCCGCGTCGCTTGGTTCATACTCAAAAGGGATGAACACATTCTCCTCAGCTGGTAAGCGGGAGGCTTTTCCCACGGACGTCATGTCGGTAATGTAGGGAATCCAAGCAGTCTGGGAACAACCAAAGGATACATAGGATTGGTAAGATGCGAAATTGTCGCCCACATGTCAGTGGCCCGGGTTGCACTTACCTGTATGGTGACCATCAAGAATTGAGTCAAGTATCGATGATCCCAGTCATGCACTGTGACCAGATACCCAACTAGGACAGCCAAGTTTCCGTTGATGAATAGGCACAGCCCACCCACAAGACCCCAGAAAGGTATTTCCCCAGGATCCGTTGTGTTGGCGCCGTCTGGACCAAAGCCGGAGACGATGTTCGCTGCTGGCATGATGATGGCACAAAAGCCAAGCAGCATCATAAGACCTCCCATCTGTCGTCGATCAGACTGAAAACGATAGCTCTTTTGAAGTACGTTCATTTTGTTTTGTTGTTTGTGTTGTGAGATTGTTTGTGTTGTGAGATGATTTAGTTTTTGTTTTGTGAGCAGAGTTAGTTGATGGCTCCTTTGTTTGGTACTCGAGTACTCGAGTACATGTACCGGTACTCAGTACAGATGTACTGCTAGCTAGACCACCCGTGCAATGTCCATCGGCTCCTGGGCAATTATCCTTGATCAACAACCCAGTCACCGCTCTTGTTCTTCTCCTTCTTCGACCAGCACTCCCCTTATGTACGTAAGTAGAGCGATCAAGTGTGAACGGCACAGGCATGCTACCACTGCTCCACCATCTCACTTTTTGCTCTCACTGTAGCAACCAATCCCATGTTCTCTGCCAGCGTTTAGCCAGAGCTATCATAGAGCTCTCCGGCTGAAAAGGTTTGTAATGTTGTACGGGTTGGGTTGGTTGCCCAGCACGTAGAGGCGAAGTGGAAACCTTCCTGTAGATGTAGATGGTTTGAAGTTTGATCAAGAGCCCATACGTGGACGGGCCATGTTAGCAGCCTGGGTGGGGCAAGGTAAGCAACCAACAATTCCACGAAAGCAGGAAATGGTTTGGTGAAAGGCTCACAAAACAAAAAGCGACAAAGCAAACCAACCAACAAGCCAATTATTAAACTAAAAACACAATCAAAAATGATGAAAACACAGGTAAACACACAGCTTCTCGCTGCTATCTCTTCTGAACAACAGCACATCGAGCGAGCAACGCCAGGATCTGTTTCAGTCCCCGGGCTGAAGTGCATGAAGACCTTCAATCCTTTGATTACACCTGAATTGATGGAGAATGCCTTGAAAACCAAAACTTTTGGTCGTTCCAAAGCTTTCTCGCCAAATCTTTCCTTTGCCGTGGACATGGTTGGAAGCCCCGCCACAGCTTTCCCTGAAACATCATACACTCAACAAGAGGTTGGGAACATCCTTGATATTAAAGACCCAGTTACTTGGAAGCTTCTGAGTGCCCCTCACATTAAAAAGAGGCACTTGTATCTTCCCCCAGCCATCGGAGGTGACCAACCAAGGCAACCAACCCCATCACAAAGAAATGCCACTTTCATGAAGGGGCTTGATGATATTGGTGTGAAGGCTGTTGAGGCTGCCCTTTCTGACACGAAGACTGATATCAAAGAAATTGATATGCTAGTCACAGTTACCAGCACCGGTCTTGCCTTGCCAGGAGTGTCGGGGATTCTGATCCGAAAACTCCCCTTTCGCGGGGATGTCTTGAGAAGTGACATTGTTGGCATGGGTTGCAATGGAGGTGCTTCTGGACTCCGTGCCATTGCTACCCAGTTGGGACACATGGCCTCCATTCGTGGAAAAGAATGCAAGGCGCTGCTTCTTTGCTGTGAAGTGAACTCGGCATACTTTGTGAATAGGGATGGCAACATAGGAGATGGTGTTGTCAATTCACTCTTTGGTGATGGTGATGTTGCCAGCATCCTCGCTGCCAGCCCATTTGGCTCAAACTTTGCTATCCCAGGGAGCCCAAGCTGTGTTTCAGCCGGAGCTGATCCTAGACCTCCTAAGATCTCACTTTTGGACTTCCAAAGCATCACTATCCCTGAGTACTTTGAGGACATGAGTTACAACATGGATGAACAAAGCCAACTGCCATTTTTCAAGCTGAGCAAACGCATTCCAATGGCTGTTGGCAACTCTGTTGAGATTCCAGTCAGAGAACTCTTGGATCGTCATGGTCTGGCACCAGCAGATGTTTGCCAATGGGTTGTACACGGAGGCGGAAAGAGTGTCATGCAGTTGGTTGCTAAGAACCTTGGTCTTGACCATGACAAAGACCTTCGCCACACCAAGTCAGTTCTTCGGGACTATGGCAACATCTCTTCTGGTTCCTTTTTGGTCAGCCTTCAGCGTTTGTTGGCAGAGGCACAGGAAGACTTGGATGTTCTACAGACAGGTGATGTTGTCGCACTGATTGCCATGGGCCCCGGAGCCACTATTGAGGTTATCCTTGGTGTTGTAACCGCTGCTGCCAAATAAAGAATCTCTTCTCTCCACATGGTTTCCCCCAGAGTAGGGAATGTCAAATTCTGAAAGAACAGGCAGTATGACGGACTTTTCTCCGATTTGTTTCACATCCAAGTAAAATGAATAGAGACTAACTTTAGAAGAAAGGGAATATTTGCATGAAGAATTGCATAGTCAGCGATACCTCTCTGCTATGATAGCTAGCAAGCTAGTACTGTAGTAGAGGAGCGTCTTGCATCATCAGATTCTGGAATCCGACAGTTTGAACGGTGCTTCCCTACCGGTACCGGTATCGTACTACAGAGTTGCTTGCATAAGATTAGCAGTGCATCTTGGCGCCTTATAGTTCTGTTTGGACAGACTTGAGGAGGCATCTCTCATGGAGGCAAGAAAGACATAACACTGGTAGAGATAAGCACACACTGATTATATCTTTGGTCTAATTCGTTTACGTTGTTGTGTCAGTCAAAGGCTTCTTTCTGTTTCGTAGCTACTTCAGCATCTTGACTGCGTTGTTTTTAACCATTCGATATTTCAAATACGCCTAAAACACTTATTTCCAGGACAGTAACAAAAGTCATGCAAATTCAATGATTCCAGTCGCCTGTTGGTATGGATCTCGTATTCAGTTTCTAGGGAAGCTCTTCAAACGATCGCATGGGGGCAACATCCTCAACAAAGCTTTTGGTGTATGCATCTGAAGCCCCCTTATCCGGACTGCCGTTTGTTTCCCAAGTAGATTTCAGGAGTCCTGTTGCAGACATTCGACGCTTGGTGTCCTTGTTGATTTGCTCAAACTTGCCGGCTCGTCGCTGCACTTTCGAGGCAACCTTCAATTCATTTCCATTATTCTTGCTTCGCTGTATCAGCAGTTGGCGGGCAGCTCGAAAGTCAACCGAGGTGGTATCTTCATCCACCATGGGCACAACGCCCACAACCGAGTGACGCTCCTGCTGGGGCTGGTGAGAAACAGCCGCGGCGGCAGCCTGGGCCATGACGGGAGCCGGCGCCGATGCACGAGGACCCACAGCATCTCGCATTCGTTCTTCCAAGCTCTTTCGAGGTGGAGTATCTTGGATCGCAGGTAGGCGCTGGTTGTAGGGGCTCAGAGCTGCCACTGACTTTTGGGCGCTCATGGGAGCTTCTGGGACTCGCTTTTCCGACTTTTGTTTCCACATGCTCTTGGCCCGAGAGGTGATATCATCACGACTTTCACGAACAGGGCCGATATCACTGCGGGCCTTGATCGAGAAGTGGCGCTGGCGCTGACCATTGCTTTCATCTTCCTTCCTGAAGGCATTCTGTAGCCACTTCTTCTTGTCGCTGACACTGATAGAAGATGCCGTATCATTGCTGACCACAAACTCACTGCGAGCACAATCGTCATCGTTGACAGGCTTAGTGCGCATCATCATCATGTGTCGGTTGGGGTCATGATGAAAGCAATCATGATCTTCCTCCTCGTCCTCGGCCGCCTCGTGCACAAAAGCCGACTTGAGCCAGTCCTTCTTTTCCTTGACGGCACCCGTCATAATGTTGTTCTCCTCCAAAATGACGCCTTCCAAGTCCTTTTCAAACTTGCGTGATTTGGCAATGACATTGGCACCACGACGGACATGACGAACCTTCTTGGTGGAAGTTGGATCATCGGCTAGCCAGGCAGATAGCTTGGCGACAGAAGCGTATCCCTGATCAGTGGCTTGCACTTCTTGTGGTCGAACTCGTGGCTTGATGCGAATGGGAGTGCTTCGAACAGTGGCAGGGTGACGCTGAAGGCGGGCCTTGCTGTTGCTGTGCATGGATCCCTTGTCCACCAGACGCTTGACCAAGGCAGCAGCCATGCTGGATGTGGTAGAGCTTGTCAATGCCGATACTGCCGATGAGTTGTGCGAAGACAAGGACGAAGTTTCCTGGGAGGACGACTCGGCCAGACCTGGAGCTTCCTGGGCAGCAGCGATAGCAGCATTGGAGGTTTCAAAGACACTCGATCGCTTCATGGGTGGGGAAGGAAATCCCTGCGCTCGACGATTATCAGCTTCCGCTGGAGGGACAATCACGGGAGCCAAAAAGACTTGAGTACCTTCCATGGGGTCATCAGGAAACATTGGGGGAGACTCTGGAGCTGCTTGTCTTTGATGATTTTCCGTAGAGCTGCGATCATTCGACTTGTTCTTGCGCTTGCAGTGAAAGCGAGGGTCCTTCGCCGCAATATTGATTGGCTTTGTATGAACGTCTTGAGCTGCAAGAGTATCTTTGTTCTGCTTTCCATAGTCATCAAGCCAATTGTGGTGACTGTTGCCTGACACACACGAGGAGACTTCGGTATCGTTACTGGGAGCTTGTTGCAGAGCAGGGACGGTGATCGACGTCGGGGCCACACTCGACGGATCAAATAGCATTGGACGGTCCACAGATTTGTTCATGTTGCGCTGTTGACTGTTGCTTGGCATGGTTGGATCGCCAACAAGGCGACGGCATCCTTGTTTGTTCGGTGTTCCTCCCATGCGCATTCTCTTGACGGATTGTTGTTGGCCTTGATCGACAGAGTTTTCAGGAGCGTTTTCTTCGTCGCCTGGCAAGCAAGTTGGAGCTACCTTTTGTGGTGAAAGCAATCTATCGAGGAGTATTTTGGATGACGACGACAAAGTTTGAGCCTTTCGACTGATGTTGTGATGGTTGTTGTTGCCGAGGTCGTCGCAGCAGTGCTGCAACGGAGCGGGAGAAGTCTCCTCCATTTTGTTGGGAGTTGCAATCGGGGTCTAAACCGTTCTTCGGAGTGCAAATGCCGGAGAAGTTTTCTTCCAAAGCGGATAATGCCAATTATTCGCTTGTTTGTTGTAATAGGTTGAGTTTGGCGGTCCAGAGTTGTTTGATGAGGGCGGGAGGAGTGTCGAGGGAAAGAACAACGACTACTTTCGGCTTTGTTTGGATCTGGTTGAATGTGTGATGGCTCATTTGGCGGGATGAGCCGTTTGTGTGAGAGGTGAGAAGCTTCGATTTCGTTTAGAGTCCTCGTGACGTCATAACCCCGCCATTGCGCAGATTAGCTATGGTGCGAAACTAGCTTATGATTAACTAGGAAGAAAGCACGCCGACTTCATGCTTGTCATTCAAAGCCCAGGTCGGAGTTTGCATCATGTGTTCCAGAGGATACTGACCTTATTACAGAACATGTATTGTCAGGATTATCTAGGCAGAGATCTGAGCATGAGCGATCAGGAATATTCTCTTGGTATCATGGGGGAGGCTCCGGATGGCTGGTTTCTGGTTTGAGATTCGACCTGAATGATTGACTGATTCAATCTCCGCTGGGAGAATGATGCCACGTACTGTATTTACTTGTGGTGGCTATGTTGCTTGGGTACCGGTACTGTTGATGTACGTTGTATGCGCTACGGTACAGTACTGTACAGTCTGAGAGAGGTTGGAGTTATTGTACTGGCAAACGGCTGAATCAAGCATTTCGCGCAAAGAGCACACGAAGTGGCTGCTCCACCCTTTAGCTTGGTGGGGTCTCTAGTCTGTGACAGCCAGCTACTATCAGTGGTACGTTTCATTCATCGACACCACTAAAGAACTTTGGAGGGGTGAAACGGGGGCAGCACTTGTCTAGACGACTGTCACTCCAACGCACCGACCTTGGAACATTGCCTCTCGCAACTGTATCAAGATAAGTCTGATTGATGTCATGATTCGTCGTGTACTTCCTTTGGAATCTTGGGTGCACGAAGCAAAGAAGTCCACTAGTTTTGACAACTTTCTTCCTGGTATTGCTCACTCATTTAGATATCCTCTGCACTCTATTATAGTATAGTTTATAGTGGTCTTCTCTGGATTAGAGAATCTTACAGTACTTTCCAGTTTTCTTTCATTTGCTTTTATTCCCCACACAACTGCACCGGCATCGACCCGTCTTTCGTCGTTGTGACGCCTCGTGATTGATGATTGTGTGTTGCCGGTGCGTTGCGGTGTACCGGTGCATTGCGGTGTACGGTGCAGTAAAGTTGTTGCCGCGGCCACGAGTGACTGCTCCGTTTTCGTCATTGTTCTTTTACCGTCCCCGACCCGCCTTTCGTCGTCGCGGCGCTTGATGATGATGATGATTGTTGGTTGCTTCCTGGAATGCTGCATTGTGATGTGGTACCGCCGTGTTCTTGTGCAACCCACATGGCACGCCTCCAACACAAGCTCGACAATAGTCGAAATGACCTTCCATGGGAATGACTTTGACGTCAATGGCTTTGCCCGGGCAAAGTTCTACGGCATTGAACCGTTCGTTTTCGAAATAGGAATCAGCTGCATCTTTGACGTTGGAATGATAGATCCAGCTGCTTCTGCTGCGCAACTCCAGGGCTGCCGTGAAGACTGGTTCCGTGTTGCGTTTCTGGACTTGTTTGCGTTTGTCGGCGCGGCGTTCGGCTTCCTGACCGGAGAGTGTCACACTGGTGACACCTCCCACAAGACTTCCCCGTTCTTTGTCAAGAATGATTTCTGGAAGTGTCACACCATGGATGGTGGCAATGAGTTGAACACCGCGCTGAGATATAGTTCGGGCTGCTTGAACTTCTAGTGGCGTACTGATTTCATCCACAATAATGACATCCGGGGATTGATTCTCCACCGCCTCTCGCATAATGACATGTTGTAGATTGGCGACTCCCACGGGCATCCACCGAGACCGGCCAATTGCAGGATGGGGTGTTACGCCATCCCCTGCAATCTCACAGGTCTTGTCAATCACCACCACATTCAGGGAGGTATCACTGGCGAGGGTGGAAGCAATTTCGCGCAACACGGTGGTCTGATCAGTGAGTTTGCGTCATTGTGAGTTGTTGTCCAAGGCAGGTCAGTGAGTTTGCGTCATTGTGAGTAGTTGTCATTGGGATGACGTGGGGTGCAGAGGAGGTTTTCCCTGCCAACAACCCGTTCTGCGTCAACCTACCTTTCCAACTCCTGGTTTTCCAATCAACAGCAATGGCTGGTGCTTTTGTGCCATGTCGACCCAGAATTGCTTGCCCCACGTCATGGTGTCCAACAATCCCTGCAACGCTCGTCCCACGCGAACTGCCACACCCAAAACCTTTTCTGGCCGATACAAAGGGTGTGTAATCAAGCTGACACGATGAAGTGTACCACTGATGCCCTTGCGCTTGGTGGTTTCCGCTGAATCTTGCTGAGAAAGGAAGAAATCGGCAAAGAGATCAATGTGTCCTTGGCTGCATGGTTCTTGACTCAAAAGCTCCCGTTTCTTTTTGCCACTTGTATTGTCCTCGAAAATGCACTCTGGCAATTGCCCCAGTTGAAGATAAATCTCATTGAGTTCCTTGAGGCGTTCCCCAAAGTGATGCTGCAGGTGTTGGCTCAGTTCGGGAGGAAGACGTTCGAACAAAACGGCCATTTCTTGTGCTGTCCCATCGGCTTCTCGGACTCCTTCCGCTGGAACCATCCATTCTCGAAGGATTCGCATGCTGGTTCCGGACTGTGGAGCTCCCACGACGTTGCTTCCTACACCAAACTGGAAGGGCGATGACATTTCTTTTGTTACAGCTCGTTGTTGTTGTTGGTTGACTTGCAACTTACTTCATTGGCTGTTGTCGCCACAGCTGCGACGCGTGGTCTAAAAACCGTGACTGAGTCTGACGTATCCCTCGTGACTGAATATCCACGACGTCAACGAAATCAACAAACAACCCCCCAAGTGGAACCAACTGTGCCAAACACCTCATTTTTATAGGGTACAGCGTACGGTATTAGATCTACATCTTCCTATCTGGATACATACCACCAGAAGTAGAGCACCAGTAGCTAGCAACATAGCTAGGAAGCCCAAGTACACTTCCACCCACTACGTAGCAGACAGTGAACCCTTGGGGTACTGGCTGGTACCTGGTACCAGTACTACTATGGCCGTACCGCAATGTGGCGATGGCACAGTTGGCCTGGCCTCGAATGAGCAGTTCCAAGAGGCGTGCAATAGGCAACTACATGTATCTAGCTAGCAGATGACATGAGCTGGTCTAGTTAGACACGGATAGAAAAGGAGCTTTGCAGCAGTGTGGCTGACAATAATAGTCAACCGACAAACTGTCCCAGTTTTTTTCAAAGGCAGCCGTTGATATATATCATTGGAACGTCGCGATGGTGTAGCCTCTGATCGTGATGGTACCAATAGCCTCTGGTCGTGATGGTGAAGTTTCTTCTGTTCGCTTCCGTAGACAACTTCCCTACTCTAGCTAGCCCTTCCTTTTTCTCAGTTTCTGCTTCGTGAACTTGAGCCATTGACGGCGAAGATGATGGAAATAATGCTTGGGGCAGTGTTTCATTGGCTGAAGAACCCATGTTCCACTTGCAACATGACGCTACCGAAGCAGTCCTTTGTGTTCAGGGGCAATGGCTCATGCGTGCAGGAACGCATCGGGCGTTGCTGACATCGAACTTGCATCATATGCTATCATATCACATTTGACATGACGACGCTCAACGCATCGATGGTCAGTGGTCAGGGGCAAGTAAATCTGGTGAACAAAACGCCGCCAAAGTTTCGAAATTTCGCCTCCTAACTCGGTGAGCAGGACCACTCGACCCAGCAAGCAGGGAGATGTTGTGGGATTCGGGGTGTCAGCTGCTGCTGGAAGTATCCATCGCCCAGAGTTATTGACGAACGCGAATGCCAGACTTTGCGTGGGACCCCTGTAAAAGGGGCAGCATAGCCATCAGTTAACCTTTGCAGACTGAGGGACTAAAAGGATTTCCACTTGCACCCTCGGCAGCGCTTTGTCCCACCTCCAACCTCCAGGACTTGTGGTACGGTACCTGGTACGGTGTACATGTACCACCGTCCACCGTCCAAATTGCAACCCACAACGTTGAACAGAAAGATATGTTTCACACGTCTCAACGGGTAAGGGTCGCCTTGACTCCCTCCGAAAGGCGAGAAGCAATTAGAAAGAACAATGAAATTTCGGCCTTTTCAACTGTAAGTATCTTTTAATTCCCGCTCTCGCTTGCTCTGCATCTCTATCTTTGAGATCCCGAACCTCCCTTCACCTGGCACGACGGCACCAACATTAGGGGATCGGGTTCTCGAACAGCCAAAGAGCCTAATCGGGAATACCAACAAGATCTGGCGGCAGGAGGGGAGCGTGGTGTGACACTCTGGAAGAAGCTGAACCATCACTATTTCTCATCGAGCACCTCCAACGTTAATGTGACGGGTGGCTGAGCTCATCGTTGAAATCCAAGAACAATCCTCCCACCTCACCATCAGAACAACAAGAACCCCCATTTTTCAGAAGACTGGTACACTGCCACTAACTGGCATACCCAGCTGTGGTTTGACCACCATTATCTCTTGCCAACCGTTGGCTGTAAACAAGGTTGCTGAGTCTGTTGGCTGCCTTCGCTTCCCTCATTTTTGTCGTGTTTCGAGAACAGCAGTGCTTCGAAAGTAACGCCCTTGCCAACTGCTGCTTTCCCGCGAACAGATTCTCACTGATTGGTTTCTTGGCCAAACAAGAAAGCCAAAACAGGAAAGACAAGGCAAGAAGAAGAACACCGGAACATCGAAGACTTTGCTGAACGGTCCATAAGGAGGACGGAGCAGAAGTGTGCTACCCCAAGCAAGCTCTATCCCTAGTTTATCTCCCTTCCTTCCTCTGCCACCACTCTCAGTTTGGATGATTGATGCAAGATGTTATCTCGTCAGTACATTGATAACAACATGAGGGCAAGTGCCTGGTCCTACAGTGCCAACAAGGACAAGAAGAAAAATGTGCCTGATCATCTTCTCAGTTCTACTACAGCCGAAGGTGACGCAGGCAGTAAGAGTACGTATGGATCTGCAGATCGTTGCTGCACAGTCTGCGCCGGTGGGTTGTTTCTCCCCCGGCAAATGACGGACTCGGACGAAGCCGCACCAGCCCTGGTGGATGTCGGCTCCATGTCCATGTCCATGTCCTTGTCCTTATCCGTGTCGTCGCCAGCCCGAAACACCCGTGGCACTCCAGCCAGCCCCACATCAATGGTATCGCCTACATCAATGCTATCGTCTCCCAGCTGGTCTTCTTCTCGGAAACTGGAACGTTTCGAACAAGAACGAAGGAGCAGTTCTTCGGGGGGCAAGGACCTTCCTGAAGTTGCTCGCATTCATCAGGACGAAATCTTGTTGGGTAAGAAGTACGGCAAAGGTGGCTCATCAACTGTCTTTGAAGTGACTGGTTTCAATCTAGGCCATGTCCCTGCGAATGCAGCAGCTGATAAACAGCAGCAACGACAACAACAAGTACTTCGGGAAGCCATCACTGGATCCTTCCCGCAGAAGGATCGGTACGTGTTGAAGAAACTGAGTACCCGCATCGAGTCTGGACTACCAGACGACAAGTACGCAAGGGCATGCGCCATTAATCTTGTCCTGGAAGCCAACATCTTGCGTGTCTTGAACCATCCCAATGTCCTCAAGTTGCACGGAATGAGTCCTCCTGAGGAAGAAGCGCCCTATCTGATCCTCACATGTCTACCAGAAAGCATGGAACTTCGCATCTTGCATTGGAGGAATCTGGTCAGAAAGCAAAAAAAACACTTGAGCACTTCTGGTGGGAGCATGTGGAGGATGGTTTCCGCCGTGGGAGGGAGTAAGAAACAGGCATACTCCGCACATATAAAGCTTCGCAAGCTCTTGTGGGAACGTCTGCATGTGGGACGGGATATTGCTCGTGCAGTGGATCATCTTCACAGCAAAGGCATCATCTACAGAGACTTGAAGGTTAGCAATATTGGGTTCGACTCCAGTGGGGTGGTCAAGATCTTTGACTTTGGGATCAGCCGGTTCTTGCCTCGATCCTCCTCGGAGGGCAATGGAACTGGCAATGGCAATGACGAAGAGACATTTGCAATGTCCAAGGCAGGCACAAAGGTAGGTGCAGGCCATTGGTTGGTTGTCAGCGTTGGGGCCTTGCTTTTTGTGGTTTTTTCTTGTCGGTACAGTTTGTTTCGACTGGTGTGTGGCTCATTCCTCTTACGAACGTGTGCTCATTATTTGTACCATCCAGATGTTCATGGCCCCCGAAGTCATGGGGAAACAACCCTACAATTGCAAGGCAGACGTCTACAGCTTTGGGGTCTTGTTGTGGCAATTGTTGGCCATTTCCACACCGAAACCTCTGATTGATGATCTCAACAGTTGCAGCACCCAGGCCATTGGTGTGGATCAGTTTCCAATATTCGATTTCCCCATGTGTCCCTGTTGGCCCGCGACTACCCGAGACTTGATCCAGAGCCTCATGTCTCTGGACGCACGGGGAAGACCCAGCATGGAGGAGGCACACGTGGCCTTGACGTATCAACTGGAGAAGCTAAAGCGCGCATTTACTCAACAAGATTCGGTGCCTGTCTTGTCGGCAGGTAAGAAGAACCATGGGTTTGGTCGTTCAGGAACTTTTGAACTGTCAACTGACCTGGACATGCCATAATGACAGTGTCATCCGTTCGGTTGGCTTCCTCCCAATCTTTCCGTAGGCCATAGCCATGCTGGAACGCATTGGCCGTTCTCTGATACTCGTCTGCCTATTCATTCAATCCTTCTGTTCACATTACTTGCTACACTCGCTACATTTTTCTCCCACGCACGTTTACTACACATCCCTTCCGCATTACATTACGTACCTACTTTCATCCTTGGGAAGATTCTCGACCGCGCCTCAACAGGTCATCCTTTTGGTAATCTTACCTCACTTACTTCAGCAGTCCCCCTTTAAAACAATAATTGTACCATTTTTAAAATTTCCATCATTGCGTAGAGAGTCGTTGTGCAACGTCTGCTTTACCGGAAGTAGTATGTCGCTGGGCTAGCTAGCATTATTGAACTCAGAGGCGCCCGCAACAGATATACACGTGATGCTTGTTGGCCTGCTCTTTCCACATTTCTTCTCATCGTCCCTTCTTTTCATCATCCAACAGACTCAACATGCCCAGAGGGAATTCTGGATGCAGATTCATAATATTGCCAGTCATCATGGCCGAGCTATCACTGAGCAGGAATCCCACCGTAGCAGCCACATCTTCTGGTCGCAGGATGCGTCCCAAAGGGACCGAAGCATCGGCTTGTTGCGTCCAATTGTCACCCATGGCTTTGCTTTGCAGTTGATTCTCATTCTCCGTCACGGTCCATCCCATATTAATGGCATTGACCCGAATTCCCTGCGGCGCCAATTCGGCAGCATTGTTCTGTGTCAAATTGTTGAGGGCAGCCTTGCTGGCACTGTAGGCCATAATGAAGGGTGCCCCACCATGAGATGCCACACTGCTGATATTGACAATACTGCCTCTAATTTTGTTGTCCATCATGTGCTTGGCAGCAGCCTGGGTAATGAGGAAGGGTGCCCGAACGTTAATGGCAAACTGGAGATCGAATCCCTCCACTGTCGTTGTCTGCAAATTGCCTCGTTCTGTAATGGCGGCGGCATTGACCACACCCGAGATCATTGTGGTAGCGCTAGTTGCCAACAACTCGACGGCACGAGGAATCACGGATTGCGCCTGTTCTGGTTCCCCCAAATCGGCTTGCACAAAGTGACACTGACAAGTGTCGCTGGTCAATTCGTGGCACACTTGCTGGCCCTTGGTTGCATTGCGACTGACGACCACCAAGGCTGTGGCGCCTTGTTTCTTCAAACTGCGGGCAATTCCCAATCCCAGACCTTGTGTACCACCCGTCACCACAAAGCAACGACCCGTCACATCATAACCAGGAGTGCATAGAGGAGGAGTCAAGGTAAGAGTAGCGGTAGTGCTTGTCATGGTGCCACCAACACAACACGGAGGAAGGAAAGTTAGACAGAGATCTGGTTTTGAAATGAAAGATCCACCAAAAAAAGCGTGGTGATCGATGAGGGAACATGTGGAAGATAACGTTCAGAGAAGTCAACATAGCTTTTCAACAGCCCTGCTGTTTGGTTCTAATCTAATCGTTGTTTCTCTCGCAGCGACCCAGAGACATTGTTGTGATCTTGGGCCATGGTATGGTACTGCCTCTCATTTGGACCAACAGACTCAGCTTCGGCACTCAAAACTCCTTCCAATTCATTGCTACATTATAACATTCTAGCTAGCTAGCTAGTACATTCAAAATGGCCCGACGAAAACGAAGATCAGCGGAAAACAACGGAGATTCCCCGGTTGCCACCACAGCTTCCTCCTTGCAAGACACCGTCCTTGGGTATTGGCAGCGTTTCTTGACTCTATGGAGGAGTCGTCCCCTGCATTATCGGGTGGGAGCTGTGGTCTTGCTAGTAGCAGCAATACTCCTCTTTGTGGGTGATTTTGGTTCCACCAACGAGTCGAAACTCCGACAGCAACAACAAGCCGCTGCGACGACTTCTTCTTGGCGGCAGAACTGGAAAAGCCAAGGAATAAGTAACAATCATGCCGAACCATGGCTCGTTCCGGGGGATCTGCCGGGGTACACTGGTTGGGCACGACCGGCCACGACTCTGGCAAAGTACTTTCAGTTGGATCCAAAGAGTGTCAACAAGCCTGTGGTGGCGGGGAAGCCGTGGGAATTGACGGTTTGGTGTATGGAGGCAGAAGACTGTGCTAGTGGAGGTGCTTTGTTCTTTGTGCGAGCCTATGGGCCAGCCGTTCTGACAGGTCACGTACAAGACAACAAGGATGGCAGCTACAAGATCACACTGTTGCCCAAAGATCCTGGGCCGTATACCCTGGAGGTGGTCTTGACATTTTCCAATCCAGATCACATGGGACAATTTCCATTGCCAGATCGCCAACCAGAGCCTGCATATGAAGGGTACTTGTTGCCTGGATTTCCAATCCCCTTCTTGGTTGTGGATGGCGACAAGGAAGAGTACAAGAGCAACAATGGCGAAAGTCACAAGTCACTGCCAGTTTGTGAAATGGAGCGGCTACTGGAAACATCGGCCACAAGCGCCTGGGAAAAAGCACGCTGGGTGGTGACAGATAAAATCAATCAGCCAAATCATGTGGATGATCATCATTACAAAGACACAGTCACTTTCCCTGGGTATGAGGTATCGCAGAATTCTTTGGGAATCATGATGGATTACCGACATGACACTTGCCGCATTCTGCCCCACATTGCTCCCAAACACCCCCAAAATCCACTCAACAAATGCACAGAAGCCAATGGCCCTCTTCATTTCATCTTTATTGGAGATTCCAATATGCGACTGCAACGCAACCTCTTTGAGACCATGTTCCTGGGCTTGCCAGAGGATCAACGAGAAAAATCACGCTACAATGAGCACATGATTCGAGCATCCTATCATGACCTTACAGGAGGGGCGCTCAGGTGCAACCTCATTGGAGGAAATGACAAGAATGTCACGCGCTTCTTCCAAACCATTTTGGCACGGAAAGACGAAAAATTGGAAAAGCCAGAACGATACGTTGTGTTGTTCAATACGGGCATGCATGACATCCATCGTCTCTGCAGTCATGAGTTTGCCGCGGATCGACTAACCTACCTGGGTGACGCAGCCACAGATGCATCAAAAGGCTTTCACTGTGTCATGCATTATCGATATGCCATTGAAGGCCTTGCCACAGAGGTCCTTAATTTCCCAGCGGATCTCCGAGTATTCCAATCCACCACTGCTGGTATGTGACCATTATTTCTGCGTTGGGCTGACCATGCAGATAACATATACGCAGTGGGTTTCTCACATTTCATCCGCCTTGCTTTCTTGTTTTCCAGGCTGGCCCAAGTATGGCAACTGGGGTGTTTTTTGGCCAACAGAAGGAGCACAAAACATGCCAGTAGCAACCGAGTTCATTGACTTCTTCAATGATATTGCTTATGAAGTAATGAAGGATTCCTTCCCTACCATCCCGGTTATGGACGGGTATTGGGTCAGCTATGCACGGCCAGACAATCGAGAGGTCAGCTCGGCAAAGAAGAAGGCCTTGGAAAAGAAGCTTTCTCATCCTGGGGTGGAAGTTGTTTCAGCGATGCTACGAACGTGGACTACGATTGTGGCCCAGTCCGAGCTATGTGAAGAGGAAGAATTCTAGATTTGTAATCTATTTCCATGCAAGTGTTGTGGCTTCGTGCGGATGTTCAATCTGGTTGGGTAGAAGCCGAAACGAGGTTTTCGTTTATCTGGGTTGGATAAATTCAAACAGCCTTGCTGTCTTCTCATTTGTTCCGCTTCCTTTGAAGCACCGGAACAAACTCGCCAAACCTTTTCTCATGTGGGGGGTCCTTCCAAAGGGTGTTGTTGTCCAGAATCTCTATCTTGCTGCCAGTGCACCATGAGTGCTGTTGGTGGAATGGAGACAGTTGTGGTGGCAATACCTGAAGGTGTAGAGCCAGGGCAACAGATTCAAGTGGAGGTACCCGGAACACAAGATTCGCTGATTGTAACAGTCCCGCCCAATATCATTGCTGGACAGCAGCTCCATGTTCAAGTGCCGGCTCCACCTCCTATTCCTCCCCCTGTAGTAGTGACTGATGCTCAATGGATATCAACCCTCCCAGCAGGATCTCCATCGGAAGATATTGCTGCAGATTCTGGCAAAACGAAGAAGAAACGAAAGAAACCCAAAGCTTCTTCTAGTAGTCCACCAAGCAAAGATGTCAAGACTCGGGTATCAGTATCGGCAAACCCAATGCCCTCGGCACCACCTCAGGAAGAAGACACTGTAGCTCATGGTCCAGGGCTGACTGTCGCTCATACCAGTTCCACAATAACAATCAACTCGCAGCCTGCATCACCAAATCGATCGTCTGCGACCTCCACAGCTGCCACCTCCCCTGAAGTTACAACAAGTACAGCCAAAGTCATTGTGAAATGGGCCCCTTCTAATAGAAGAGTTTCGAAGGGGAAAGAAGAGGACTTGGGGGCTCCTATCCCAGTATACATTGACAAACAATAGAAGGGGACTGTCACGCCAAAAGGGACTGCGTTAACAATCACAGTGCCCACCACGTCACGAGGCAGAACCTACAGACTTGAAGTAGGCAAAGTGGGCGGTCGGTTCTTTAACCACAATTTTGGCGTCTGTGACATTGAAGTCCACCCTGACATGTCGTATAGCTTCATGGCGAGCGCCTACACATCCCATCGGTATTCCAAAGAGTCAGCATGTCAACCAACAGCCCAAACTTATTTCCAGTTGCGACAGGTGGGAAGCTACGGGCAGTCTGACATTGGAGGACGTCCCTTGACGGGCCCGGGTGCCTCCTTTGCGGCCAATCATGCCCAAGGGATACTTTGTCCAAAGGCGGGAAGATGCATCCACCGTGGAGACAAATTCAATGACCATCAAATCAACAGCATTCATCTCTGTTTCAATGGAGAAGACAAGATAAAACTGCATGAACCCAGTTCTCGAAAGAACGATTCCTCCACGACATGGAAAAAGTTGTTGGGAGTCGAGCGACACTCTGCGGAAGAAGTCAAGTTTCGAGAAAAGCTTACACTTCAACCCGGCAAGTACTCGGTTCAAGCCACTGCCAAGCAGAGCGGATGGGAGCGAGCCCTACGATTCGTGAAGGACGGAGGAAAGACACACAACCCTGTAGATCCTATCAAGTCTCATGATCCGCTTCACATCACAGTGGCAGCTAACAAGGTGTACAAACTTGACGTACAGGTAAGTCAAAGAAATTACGTGTAACACCCGCGCACAACAACAGCATTCATGATGACCGCATGCCGCTGACATGACGCGTTTCTTGAATCTCCGCCCCAGTGGAACTATCCCACCAGAACCACGCGTTCTCCGTGGAGGCACCAAAAAACGGATCGCAGCAAAGTGGAACAGTATTGGATCTTGTTCTCGAGGATTGCCGAGATCCCAGACGAATATGCACTCTAGGAGCTTTACCTGGAACATGTTTTCCTATTCTTCACCGTTCCCTTCGGAAAGCTACGAGTTTCCTTTTCGTGCTTTTGAGGTGTGCGGGAGCCAAACCTTGGGCAGCCATGGCGGGACAGCGTTCTTTCCTTTGCCGCAGCAACGCACATCTGGATGGATGTGTCGATGCCCAACATTCTTGCAGTCGTTGATCCTCTGGCTACCTTGTCCTTCTCTCCGGTCTAGTCCATCCCGAAGCATCCATCCTCACCACAGTTTGTGACGGGCGTGACTCGTCACTCGAGTGGCATCCTCCTTTTTTGCTTCTTCTCCACCAAGCCTATCCATCGAATGGGAGTCGCAAGAATCGAATCTCTATATAATTGATGCCTTCCGAGCCACCACTGGTATGCGACGAACTTCAAGGCATGTCCCGATCATGCTCTTATGGATGCGCAGTACCAGTCTCAGTCGCTTGATTGGAGGAATGATGCCACATCGGTGTTATGCTTGGAGCAATCGAGCCACCGTATCGCCAAGGCACTGGCGGTACCAATCCAATTCTTTAAAAAATCTTTATTAATAGAAGGTCGAGAGGGGGGTTGTCACTCCGTCACCGAGACGCTATGAACGACTAGACCCCCGTCACCGAGACGCCATGAACGACTAGGTTGCCCCTCTTTCTTCCTGTGCCACATAGCTAGCTAGCGACGGATGATCTGGAAGGGAGTTTGCCTTCGCTCCATCGGCACGGAACGCCTCGTTTCAAAAAGCAGAACGATAGCTCCATGCACCGATACCGGTACCTTTTGCAACCTGGCAGCAGCCTCGGCAGAAAAGAACTACAAGAATGCCACTAGCGTTCGCAGATCCTCCCCACCAGCGTCCCAGGAGAGATTGGAACTGCGCCCGAAGCACCGGGTGTTGTACATCCGTAGTAACTTCTAACTAAACAGGAGCTTTGGACCGTGTATGTGTTATGTAGTGACAAAAATTTAGTTGGTGCTGCTGGTTGTGTTGGCTGTGTTGGCAGATATGACAGAACCCAAGGCAATTTTGAGTGGTTGGAAGTGGTCACCCAAAACCTTCTGGCGCTGCTCTGGTGTTCCATAGACAATGACCTCGTATTTGAAGTACATTTCATTGGGCTGTTCTATGGGGTTCGGGCAATTTGCAGCACAAGAATGCAGCTTGGGTAGGTTTCCATCTGCTAGTCCCGTTGATGGTATGGAGCCTTCCTTGCGTGGCGTTTCATAGCAGAATAGCTCACAAAGCCCCCTGAGAATCTGTTGACGACCAGTCTTTTGGAATATTTCAGGGTCTTTCAAGCCCTGCTTTGGTTGAGGGCCAAAGTCTAGCCCTTCATAATATGGAAGGTGCACCCCATAACGAATTGCCGGGATGTCATCTTCCTTCCTCAAATCAAAAGGAGAACCCTTCCAATGCCGCACCATCCAATTCCCTAGCAGGCAGAATTGAGACATCATTCGCCAAGTCTTGCCTTCATTGTCCAACAATTCTTTCCAGAGTAATGTAGTTTCAAATTGGTTACCATGCTTTGCTTCGACTTCTGCTCGATACTGAGGGAACATGGCTCGAGGCCAGACTGTGGGCAGCTTGATCATGAAATTCCAATCATCAGAGTCCCCCTTTAGCATCCACTTGTCACCCTTGCTCCACATTCCCTTCTGGTATGTGGTCTCTGCCATGATGAAAGGTGGGGCATCTGGCTTCTCAATGTTGAACAAGAGATCAGGAGTAATGGGTGTATGCAATGCAGTGTCTGTGTCCATGATGGCCACATACTTAGACGTCCCTTGCTGCTCCGAGTACATGTTGAAAAGTTGGTTTCCCATTCTACCTGGCATACCATGCTCAAACTGGGAATAGATGACTTCCATCCAAGATGGGATGTTTTGCTTAGCAAACTCTTCATCGCCGACATCAAGAACAATGATGACACGTCCTGCACACCTGGGCCAGTAGAGCTCTACACTCTCAATCATGATTGCCAATTCATGAGGCATATGAGCTGCACCAGCACGGCAGATAAGGTCAACGCTGTGCGGGAAGGGGTTGGTCGCCTCGTACTGTGCCAACAACTTGGCCACAGATACATTGCTACTGTGATCCAATGTCATGGCACCATAATTGGCACCCCCCATGAAGGTTGGCTTGGGTTCTTCCCAATGCACCAGTCTTTGGCGAGCACACTCCCGTCGATCTTCGACTCCACCCGTACTATTGATTTCCTTGGCTTTGACGGCGGGAAATGTGTAGCCACCTTGTTCCAGAGCTGTGAGCCATTCTTGGACTGCCTGAACATCTATCATTTCAATGTACTGTCTTTCGTAAAGCTTGATCCACAAGTCCTCAATGCGAGCCTGCAATGAATCCTCAGCACTACCTTCTGTGCTGAATCTCCAGTTGTCCAAGAATTCCAGCAACGCTTCTGTGCGGAGATACAAATGCTGTTCTGCAACAAAATCACCAGCATAGTCATGAGCATTACGGAACTGAGTGACCATGGGTGGACTGTACAAAACACGGGCTGGTGTCTCGAGCTCTCTCAAGAGTCTCTGCACAATGTAAGACCGCCAAATATCACTGACGCGTCCATTGACAGTGATGGGCAAGTACAACCCCCAAAAGGCAACAGGGAAATGTAGTGTTGCTTGTGCATTGTATGGACTGTATTGGTTGGATGGAACCTCCAATGTCATGGCCTTGGTTCGTTCCTTCTCAAATTGAAATGGCAATGGTCGACTGAGTCGGTAGATGGCATCAACATCCGGATCATTGTCGCAGACAGACTGGACCACAGCAATATTGGATCGCTGCAACTCTTTCAGCATCAACGGACCACTCTCTCCCCTGGCTGCCTTGCTGTTGATGAGCGACAGAGGCATTCCACGAGGCCAAGCATCGGTAATGGAGGATCCCATCATGGGGAATGGATTAAAGGCACGACCCTCATACGCCATGGGAGCGCTGACTTGCTTGACCATGACGCGTTCGTTATCGGCAAAGCTGGACATGATTTCGACACCGGAAAACATGCTGTCTCCCACTTCGTCTTTCAGAGAGACCAGATTGTCGTCATCGAAGTCAAAAATGGTAGTGGCCCCCATCCAAATGGCGTAGAGATAACCAATATTTTTGCGTGCAAAGCTTCGGTAGGGTGTTTGTTCCACAAAGGGTACCATCTTGGCCAGTTTCTCCTGTGCCGGTACGGACAAGAATTGAACTTTGGTTCCAGTACCAGTCTTGTTCCAGCCAGCCATGTCCATGTAGGTTTCTGGAGTCTTGGTATCGGCGACCACCACCATGCACCATTGGGTGAGTTCATTCCCCACTCGTTTGATGGCATTGGCCGGTTCGTAAATAGTGGTGACCACGGCCCACTTGCGGCATTTTTGGTAGAGAGGTTCGGCTTGGAGAAATGCCGACAAGTCCTCGGCTTGTTTTCCACCGGTGCGGAGAGACTTGCTGGCAGTTGCACCAAAGCGACGTTTCTCATTGTAGGCTCGGACCGGATCTCCCTTGAAGCGACTGGCCGTGGCAGCACTGGTTGCCACATTGGCAATTACTTCACCAATGTTAAGTTGGGCTTCCTTGTAGGTGGTACCACTCCCCAACTTGCCCTCGAACGTCCCCAAGACAAGAACAAAAATCCGCCAGCTCATGAGGACAACGATAATGGCCAACATGGAACGCATCCCTGCGAATTTGATAGCTTCCGCATTGTTGCCGTTGCTGTCTTTCTTGAACAGCATGGTCTTGATTTATGGAATAATGGAAGAAGAAGAGAAACCTCCGCCTTTTGAAAGATGATGGTTCCAGACCCAAACACTTGCTCGTTTTCTCTTGTACATGTATTTATCAGCGTTGATTGGGATTGTGATGTCTCTGCAAGCAATTTTTGATGGGTAGACCAGGTAAGGTTGGGTTAAAGGTAATGTCTATTTTTGTATACAAAACTATATTTACCGCAACTACCTGATTTCCAAAGTTGTCTTCCAGGATGGTGGATGGAACTTGCGTGGCAGGTTGGCTATTTTTAATAAGTGATTTTGGGGAGTGGAACCGCGCAAGATTGCCGCCGCAAATGACTGGTCCGCTTTTGACGTAAAACTGAAGTTCACCCCCGCATTACGAAAATCAATAGTGCTATCAGTCTATCATTTTGACAGTGTGACCCAAAGCTTTAATTAAACAATGTTTATCGTGACTGAAAAGATGATGACAAAGGTGCGCGGAGCCAAGGGACGACGTCAGTGTTGGGTGGTGGGAGTGCCTCACTTACCGCACTTGGTACCAGTTCTGATGGGCATCTTGATCGCGTGCCCATACTGGTAAACACTGCAGTGGACCCGGTCAAAGCTACTAGTACCGTACTAGTACGGCTGTACTCCCAACTCCCCTGCTCCCATGCAGCCTAAATGTATCCGAGCATCCGAATCCGAATCCGAATCCTACCAGAAGTCTAAGAATGGTGGTGACCAGCGGGGATGGTTTAGGTTCGTGACTGTAGAATGAAGAGAAGCTTTCGTGTGGTGGAGGGGAGATGTTTGCAACCCTGTAGGGGAGGGAAGTGAGAGCTCGAGACAGTGTTTCGATGGAGGAGCGGGAAGTTCAGGGCATTTCCAGGGGGAAAGGTGTCAGCTGAGGGGCCACCGACACATTGCACAAATTGCCATTAGATTTGAAGGGATTTGTTGTGGACAGTAGAGGTGGACTGGGGTGGGGGTAAGAGCTGTCCGCACTATGAAGGGAGTGAATGCAGGTGGTCCAACCAATCAGTATCTCAGGACGAGAGGAGAGAGGGAGTCATGAGCGAAATCTTCGCCCCATACAGTACTGGTACCGTAAGTAAAAGTACCAGGTAGACTACAAACTCAAAACTTTTTGAAGATTCGCCGCCCGCCTCTTCGGACCTCCGTGGACCTCATTTCATGGATCTTCTCGCGTCTGATGATGTCACCATTAATCGAAGTTGTAGACTACTTCTGCTAGCTAGAGACCGCCCAATTCCCAATTCCCATGGCCAGTATGCATAAAAGATTCCATCATCGCGATGCGGAAGTAAATATGCTGGTTGACATTCAGGAACAGTACAGTACTGTGCTGTAAAGATTCTACACATCGATGCGGAAGTAAATATTGCCGGTTGACACGCAAAAGAATTGCTATGTCTGGTTTCACTGTACTATTTTAAAATAGTAGTCCTCCTTCACCTACAGTATCATACATGCACACATACAGTACATGCACATGTAGCCCTTTCCTTTCTGTTGCCCCTGACGACGTTGATACGTTGAGCGCTATCAGCACGTGCAAGATACAATTTTCAGCTCTCACCCCAAAAATTGCTCGCCAGTGTTCAGCACCGCATGTGACGGAATGCGAAGCCTAGGTAAGCAAACGGCGATGCTCTTACGGGATAGCTCACGCCCGTCGGTTCCAAGTGCGCCGTTCCTGTCACTATTTAGGCCAAAATGATCAAAAGGTATCAATACATGTAGCTGTATCAATTGTACAACCCAACTGACAACACTCGAGAAGGCTACAAGGCGTCAAGGGTCAAGAGGATCCAACCCAGGGTTCTTGGATCCATCGTGCTGTGATGCTGCTCTCGCTAAACTTTTGGGGTGTCAGGGTTGAACAGATTTCGATGAGCATCACCCCAGAAGAAATCACAATTTTCTTCGGGTGAGAAAGCTTCACGTCATAGTTTCCCAGCCAACGCAATCAGAAGTTTGCTTCACAGTTTGTCGAGAGAAAAAGGATTGACAATGACATCCGCAGCAGCCCCAAACAAAACCTTGCAAAGGATTAGGTACACCTACTCCAGCATCCTTCTGATATTCTGCGGTGTCCTAATTTTTGGACTTATTTTTACTGAGCAAACCCATCTCTCCCATGATGTTCACCCTGCTGTTGCGTTCTTCGTTTTCATCATCGGTATCGTTTGGCTTACAATGGTTGAAGGTGGACAAGGAGCCATTGTCGGTTTGGGACCTGTTCATGAAGATTACTTTAAAGAATCTCACCCCTTAGCGCACAAATGCACCTCGTTGGTTCACAAAGGAGACAACTTGGATCGATACCTATTGGGTCGCCAGTTCATGGTCATCTTGATTGTTTTCACCACGGAGATGGCTGGAGCTCCTCTTGCCGGCGCTGAACTTTGGGGTCTCCCAACTTGGTTGACAAACATGATGCTTGCTACTGGTATCGCCATGATTCTCTTCACCTGCATGGTCGGTCAGCTCAATTCGGAGATTAACGGCTGCCATTGCATGCTTGACTACAGTAAGTTGCTACCGAAGTGGGGTGGCTTCGGCTTTTTTTGTTTTGTTAGCATCTAACCGACTATTACTTTGCATTAGTCAACACATGGTTTGCTGTCTTCACGGTTTGGGTCGCCATGGCCATCGAGTTCTCTGGTGTTTTGCACATTTGCTACATCATCCAGAAAGTGGTTGCTCAATTAGCCGGTCAGCCCATTGAATCCAAAGAGCCACCGAAATCTTTCGTTCAGCATCTTTTCTTTTATGGCCGCGCCATCATGTCGCTTGCGATCCTGTGCTTCTCTTTCGCCGTTACCATGACGGCTCTGTTTAACGGTCAAACTACGATGTGGGAATTCATGCCGCCCGTTGCTTCGGTGGTACTTTTCTTTGTCCTTTTGTTCGTCATTGGGCTTCTTGAGGGCTCCCAGATTGCCTATTTCGCCGTCGTCAAGATGCGCGATTGCGAACGAGGGGAAGGTTTCTTTGCCAAGAAGTCCTGTGAGATCCTGTTTGTTAATGACAACCGCAACTTGGGGCGTTTCATCATTGGGCGCCAGCTCTTGGTGGTCTCCTGCATGTTCATCATTGCACGCATCACTTCAGTCAAGCTCAAAGACGACGAACCAAACCTCTTTGGTGTTTCGGACTCCACGCAGGGCTTATTCAGCACCGGTCTGCTTGGTGCCCATATTGTTGCTGTGATTGGCTCGTAAGTATCCGCAGAGGTATTGTTTTGTCAGAAGACAACATCCATGCCACCTTGATCTCTCACCAACAAACGTCCTCTTTTCGCAATACTATAGTGTTACGTGGCGTCTTCTTTCATCGGCTTTCCCTCTTGCTTTCTTGGCATCCCCGCTTACGTACATCCTCCTCCGTGTGGCTCTCTTTTTGGAATGGACTGGCGTCCTTCACGGTGCCTTTGTTCTGGCTTTCATCCACAAGAAGATTGCTGGATTCCAACGTGATGAGGTCTACATTGGAACTGCCGAAGAACGTGCCGCCCAATCGAAGCGAGACAGGAGCTCTATAGCTGCCCCCAAAGCTGGTCATATTGTCCCCATTGTCGAGACGGGCGAGAATCCTTTTGAAGGTCCCACGACAGTCGAGGAAATTGAAGATTTGGAGGAGGAGCTCAAGGAACGCCTGGAAGCCTTGAAAGTTCAAAAGAAGCGACTCCTGGAGGCCGAGCAGAATCGCGAGGCCGCCAAGAGGAAGCAGAATTCCGATTTGACCGAACTGGATGAGCCCGACGTCGACTGCTAAGAAGGTCGCAAGCAAGAATAGTCCTGTGATCAGTTGTGTGTTTCAAGAAGAAAGACCAAGGAACCAAGCTGCTGTTGAATCGAATCAGCCAGCAGCTGAGGGCCCCCGTTGCCTTGGGTGTATCATTTGTTTCAAGAAGGTCAAGAAGAATGTTGTTGTTGTACATGTAATGCTACCCTCGCCTTAACTGCCAACGGCAAGTGGAGGCGTACCTGGTGCAATTCGAAAACTAGTAGTAAGCTAAAAGCTAATAAGCAAGCCTGATAATTTCGGCAACAAGCGTAGCTGCAGTTTAGATGTCTGTAATGGTCTGCGATCCTTTTTAGTTGGAGCAATGCTTTGCATCAGTGACAGCTTTGATCCGGCCAGCGTACGGTACATGAACTGATCCGAGCACCGACCAAGGCTGGCTACTCTGTCCCGTACGTACGGTACGTATAGCCAGCTCTACGAGCTTGATGCAAAGAAAAGGAACAAAACAAGATGCCTCCGGTTGCGCCAACCACGGAAATAGAAATAGCAAAAAGGGCTGTCACTTGATTGGCAAATAGCTAATACTTACTGCCATAGGCTCCCAGAATGTATACGTGCTTTAGATAGCTGCTGCGTAATGGTCTAATCTACCTAAACCCTCGTTTATATTGAGGAGTGGAGTTTGGTTACATCTGGCCGGTACCACGTAATGGTCTAATCTACCTAAACCCCCGTTTATATTGAGGAGTGGAGTTTGGTTACATCTGGCCGGTACCGCGTAATGGTCAAATCTACATAAACATCTGTTTATATTGAGGAGTGAAGTTTGGTTACATCTGGCCGGTACCGCGGTAATGATCTAATCTATCTACCCCTATTATATTGAGAAGTGGAGTTTGGTTACATCTGGCCCGTACTGCATAATGGTCTACTACACCCTGTTTATATTGAGGAGCGGAGTTTGGTTACAACTGGCCGGTACCGCGTAAGAGTCTAATCTACTATCTAAACCCTCGTTTATATTGAGGAGTGGAGTTTGGTTACATCTGGCCGTACTGCATAATGGTCTAATCTACTTAAACCCCGTTTATATTGGGAGTGGAGTTTGGTTACATCTGGCCGGTACCGCGTAATGGTCTAATCTACATAAACATCTGTTTATATTGAGGAGTGAAGTTTGGTTACATCTGGCCGGTACTGCGTGGTAATGATCTAATCTATCTAAACCCCTTTATATTGAGGAGTGGAGTTTGTTACATCTGGCCCGTACTGCATAATGGTCTAATCTACCGAAACCCCGTTTATATTGAGGAGCGAGTTTGTTACAACTGGCCGGTACCGCGTAAGGGTCTAATCTACTATCTAAACCCTCGTTTATATTGAGGAGTGGAGTTTGGTTACATCTGGCTCGTACCACGTAATGGTCTAATCTACCTAAACCCCGTTTATATTGAGGAGTGGGGTTTGGTTACATCTGGCCGGTACGTGTAATGGTCAATCTACAAACTTTATATTAGGAGTGGGTTTGGTTACATCTGGCCGGTACCGCGTATGGTCTAATCTACCTAAACCTCGTTTATATTGAGGAGTGGAGTTTGTTACATCTGGCCGGTATCGCATAAGGATCTAATCTAGCTAAACCCCCGTTTATAGTGAGGATTTTAGTTTGGTTACATCTGGCCGGTACCACGTAATGGTCTAATCTACCTAAACTCCCGTTTATATTAAGGATTGGAGTTTGGTTACATCTGACCCAGGTACCGCGTAATGGTCTAATCTACCTAAACATCTGTTTATATTGAGGAGTGGAGTTTGGTTACATCTGGCCGGTACCGCGTACGTAATGGTCTAATCTACCTAAACCCACGTTTATATTGAGGAGTGAAGTTTGGTTACATCTGGCGAGTACTGCGTAATGGTCTCATTTACCTAAACCGTCGTTTTTATTGAGGAGTGGAGTTTGGTTACATCTGGCCGGTACCGCGTAATGGTCTAATATACCTAAACATCTGTTTATATTGAGGAGTGGAGTTTGGTTACATCTGGCCGGTACCGCGTAATAGTATAATCTAAATAACCCAAGTTTTTAACCATACCATACGGGCAAACTCGGCTAACCCTAACCCTCCGGCTAACCCTAACCCTCCAAAAAGGACCAAAAAAAGGGGACGACCACAACAAAATTCTAACCCAGCCAACTCCGTGGTTGGCGACACAACAAAAGTCCAAACATGCAGTTGTCTTGACTAATCCATCATGACAAGCAGCATTCCATTTGTACGGCTGAGGGGCCACCTTGGATCGGTGCTGTGCCTGGATCATCATGATGAAAGGAGTCAAGAAAGTAATTTTGTGGGGGGTTGTTTGTTGAGTGGTTCCGAAGATGGTACTGCGCGACTGTGGGATTTGAGACAATCCAAAGCGGTTTCCTGCATCAAGGCGGGTGGTAACGACGACGACGAAGTATCTTCCGTGTGCTTTGGTGTGCCACCCCACAAAAAAGAAGAAGAATCCACAGGGGAAGATCCATCGCCGTTTGCTCGCAATTTTACAGTGTGAGTAAGTCCCATCTATCTATCTACCGGTATCTACTATCGCACGTCGTCCAGAGAAAATGGGGGATGCATCTCACATTCACTTTTGATTCTATTATTCTATCGTAATACAGTTACTTGAGCGTGGGAACCAAGCTACTGTCTTTTGATCTTCGAAAAGCGTCGTCTCCCATTGTTCCATACGAAGCAGGATCTCTGCTGTTGCAAGCCAGTGACGATATCAATCAAATTTCCGTCTGTGAAAAACGAAATACATCCTATTTGGCGTCGGCCGATGATGCCGGGGCGGTGCAAGTCATCGAGAATAATAATAAAAACAACAACTCACAACAAAAGCCATCCAAAAAGTCCAAAAAGAATGGAGCTACCAAAAAGACATCCAGAACAACGACAACTCGCATCTTGCAACACAGTCAGGACGCCTTAGTGACGGCAGCCGTATTTCGACCAGGTGCCAATAGTAAAACGCTCGAATTGGCCAGTGGGGGGACCGATTGTCGGGTCTGTCTGTGGGACGTACAAACGCCAAAGTAAGACATGACGATTCTTGTTGGATTTTGTGTGTGTGTGTTGTCTGATCGTACCTCACCTTTTTATGTATTGTCCGACTTTTTGGAATCCACAAGACGCCCCTTGTGTGAGCAGGCGATTGGACACGACGAACAATCCGACAGCAACAATCAACTCTGCAATCCACCCATGGTACATTCCTTGGCATGGGCTCCCAGTGGACGACTCTTGGCGGCCGGATTGGGCGATGGATCGGCACTGGTCATGCAAGTCGAAAATAGATCCTTGGTTCATGTCGCACGCTTGCGAGACAAAACTGATGCGGCCGTGGCGGCCGTGATCTTTCCAGCAACGACCGATCGACTCTTGACTGTCATTCGAAACGATGCCATGATGCATTTTTGGGATTTGGGAGTTACCGTGGCAGGAGAACAAGCCGAAGATCCATCGTGGATCGTACCATCCAACAACAACAACAACAACCACCATACTGATTCAGCCAAACCAAAGGATACCAAGAATAGTCTTCCACAAGCCATGCAAGACCTTTCTTTGGATCAACCATCCTTACTCTTCAAAATACCACACCAGAATAAACCAAATTGGATGGTCAGCTCGTGTTCGAGCGCTACTGGACACGACAACAAAGACAAAAACAAGGACATTCCATGCTCCATTTTTGTGGCAGACACTACCAATGACATTACGGCATACACTTTGCGGTAACACAAACAAATAGAATTATTAAAGAGTGAAACAAATGTGCTAAAGACAATCTACAAACTATTGTAACTATGCATAGCAACTGTACGGCAGGTGAGCGAACTTCTCGGCTTTCTCTCAATGGACCGACGAAGGGTACCGGAGAGTTTTTCGGAGTGATTTCGTTACGATTTTATCAAGTAATAAAATTTGACCCAGTTGCAAAGCGGGCACCGTTGTTGGGGGGGGGGGGGCAAGTTCCAACAAGATTCCACAGATTGATTGTACCGGTATCAACCATTTCTGTCGCTTACTTCGAGGACAAGCTAGCTAACATGCAGCGACTGTTACAGAGTTTTTGCCAAATCCAAATGCCAAACACATTCGATTGCATGACGCAACCCGCCGCATCTAAAAAAGGCAAGTGTCGGTCGCGAGCGATTTCGTCGGATTGGATGATTCATTCGTCGACCGCAGCTCTCTCGAGCTCATCCATTCTCCTAGCTAGGTACCGTACCAACCGTCTGACCAAGAGGGCTACGGTATGGTTCAGCTCCAGCCAGCCGACACACAGAACCTAGAGCTGGAGCTAAGAATCGGGGATGTTCCGGTTTTCCAAGTCGAACTGCCAAAACTCGACAGGTACTCGTACTTCGACCTAAAGGTATCGCACTCGACCCATCCATCTTCAAAGGTTCCAAATTTACTCGATAGTCAAGGATACAGAGCGCCTAGTATCCAAGAGGTATACCTTATGGCAGAGCTTCCACCAGCCAGCCATCAGACCAAAACATATGGTAGCTTGAACTAATTCGGCAATGTTCCGGTTTTTCAAGTCGAACAGCCAAAAACTCGAGAAGTACTCGTACTGGTACGTCGACCTATCGCACTCAACCCATCTCCAAATAATCAACTACCTGGTCAAGGTTACAGCGACCAGAGGGATGCGGTACTAGTACCGGCCCTGTAGAGCTCCACCAGCCAGTCGACAGACCAAAAGCTAGCTTGTGCGCTTGAACTATGCATGAATCGGGCTTGTTCCGGTTTTCCAATGGCTTACGCCATAATCTAATGGCCGCCCCCACGAAGCTGGAACAGCTGCCTCCCTGGCACGTGGTTGGCCTCGTGGGCGGCAACTCTACGACCAGAAGAAGATCCAAATTGAGGTGACCAAGCAAGCAAGCAAGCAAGCAACCATCCACATATTCTGAAGATCCTCCGTCATTCACAATACCACATTTTCAACTTACAATGCGTTCGTCCAGTGGATCCACTTGCTCAAGATCCTTGCCAACAACTGCATCCATCACCATGAATAGCATTCAAAGCCAAAAGACCCATGCCAACGGCATGGACGATCCCGAGAACCAAGGGGCCAAGACTTTCGAGAGCAACTCCATTGACGAACTTGGCAGTGTCGACAGCTTCGCGAACGAATCGTTGAACGAGTTGATGGAATTGAAGAGTACCTTGCGGACCATCAAATGGATCGTCGTCGCCCTGTTTGGCTCGGTGATTCTCGTTTCGGTTGCTACCCTGACGGCTTTGGTAATTAGTTTTCTTCGTAGTCCTCAGTTGTCTTCCAACGGGCATCTCTTCCGCATGACGACGACCAAGGGTGCTCAAGTTGGGACCGTCGGCATTGGCCAGACCTTTCGTCTTCCAATATTCACCTTGCCAGTTTACGGCGGCAACAACGCCCTTGGTACGACTTCTGTCCACCCTCATGCGTGTGTGGATGTTCCTTCCGTCAAAAACGTGTGGCGATCCGTTTTTCTCGGCATTACGACCAACGTAATCGTCTCTGGAGTCTACGATGGCAGGTTCCGACCGGACGCAAGCATCAGTGGTGCCAAGCAGTACGGAGCCGCACTCGTATTCCAGGGTTCCATCCAGAACCGCACGGTGAGTTGTCGGAGGACCTCGTAGATGCATCGTAAATGCCACACGGTTTGGTAAAGCCAAGTTACGGGACATTATTTAGTGACGATGAAGAATTCTGTGGGTTGCTCACATTCGATCCTTTTTCATCCTCCATTTTTTTGACCAGCACACTTGCCTCAACACGATGGATAAGGATCTTCAAATTTGTGTCAACTTTGCAAACCCTGGTTGTCGACGTGCTGGGGAACCCGTGGAAGATGCTTCTGACCGTAGACTCCGACAGTTGACTTCGTCCGAGGTGGTCGATACTCCTTTCAATCTTGAGGGCATCGACGAAGGCTATGCTGCAGCCAGCAACGAGGGTGGGGCAAGCACGAGTTTTCCCTCCATCATACATCACCGTCTGATGACAGAAGAATGTACTGGTATCATTGATCCCTGGTGCCAGGACTTTGCCGCCCTAGAGTTGGTCGGACCGTGGCAAAACAAGGGAATGGCCGTATGATTCAATCAGGGTAAGGGCTTTAGATATACACCTTTCTTTGGCACATCAGATACGACATCATAGTAGGCAAAACAAAGTGAGTCAGGGTAGTATTTTTTAACATGTTAGGCCTAGTAAGAACTAATAACTGTTTACAAAGTCAACATGACAATGGTGCATTGTCGTTCCATAGAACGAGTGTCATTGGCAAATGGCTTGCTCCCATCAAGCATGAAATCCTTGGCCGCTATGTTGTACTCCACAGTGCCCCCCAATTTGTTGGTCCAAATGTGCTGGGTTGCTGGATTGGTTGGCTCCACAACTACATAGTCAAAACCCTGCTCTCGAGCATAGTCTACAGTCAGCTTGCGAAGATGGCTTGCAAGTCCTCTGCCAGAATACTGCTTGGAAGTGGCTCCCATGAAGGCATGAAGAACCTCGTTTTGCTTGACTCCAGCAGCACTGCCAAACCTTTTTTCTACTAGTTGAGTGTCCAAGAGCTCCAGAAGGGCAAAAATTGGAATGGCTTCAGGAAGGTTGCTCACAAGGTACTCACTAGCTTCTTCATCAGGGTTCATTGTATCATAAAAGTCTTCATTCAGCATAGCTGCCACAATGTTGCCAGTTTCATTATCCATGCAGACCAAGGAGAGTTCGTCTTCAATGCACTTGTCCACCAGTGATTCCACCAAGTGCTCCTTGAGCAAATCTGCAGTAATACCTAGAAACTTGCAAAAGGGCTCTCCTTCGGCAAAACATGTGGCTACCATACCAATGATATCATCACGATGGCTTGGCTCCTCAGCAATGAATGACTTGTTGAGGACACGGATGGTGAATCCAGGGCAGGTTGTAGTGTCAATGAACATCTTTGAGAGGGTTGGTTGTAGTATCGTTGGTTGTTGATTTGCTTTCTTGGGCTTTTGTGAAGCTGTGGAAACTTAGATTTGTGAGCCTTTGCAATTGGTTTGCGAAATCCTTGAGGCTGGGTGTCTTGCCAAAACGAGGGTGGGATTCACTGTGACTCAACTCAGCGTTCCACAACCGTGACAAAACCTGGTTGCATGGGTCATGCTCGTGAATGAGGCTGGCATTAGTCTTGGGAACCCACAGCTTCCGAGCCGCGCTGCACCAATTCGGCGGCCAGCCATGGCAGGTTCAAACAAAAGAAGGAGGACCGCCTCAATCAATCAAACTATTTCCTCCAGCGCCCATAGAGACCGACGATGATGCGCTTCACTGCTACGTTGATCGCCGTGGCTGCCCTCTGTGGCTCTGTAGTAGCTACGGATAATCGCGAGAATGTCTGCCTCGGTTTGATTCAAACGCACTGCTCTGGGCAAGCTTCTCCCTCCATCATGAATACCTGCGTTGAAAGAGGAATTCTCACATGCAGTATGCCCCCGCACTGCTTGCAGCCCTCCGAGACGGGAATGTGCCGTGCGGCCTTTCCTCGTTTCTTCTACAACGCGGGCTCTGGATCCTGCGAGGAATTCATCTACGGCGGATGCGGCGGAAACACCAACAATTTCGAGACCAAAAAGGAGTGTCATGACGCTTGCTCCGGAATGAGGTTCTGCGGTGGAAACACCGGAGCGACCTGTCCCGAGAATTATCACTGTGCCGAGCAACCGGGGGAAACTGGCATGTGTGTCTTGGTGCCACAGGAAAAGCGGGCTGCGGCTCGTCAGGGTGGAGGTCCACAACAACACGGCCATACCATGGCCGACAAGAAGAAATTGAAGAAGAAGCATCCCGAACACCCAGCCAAACCCGTCAAGGCACTTCGGAAGCAAAAGAATCCCTAGGATGACACAAAACTTAGGATGAGACAAAATTCGGTGTGGTGGTGTTGGCTACCTATTTGGTTGTTCGTTTAGAATAATCTTTCAAAAAGCAAAAACAAACAATGTCTTGTGCTAGCAATTGGATAGGGAAGGTACTGATCCGTATACCTTTCACCCAATAGGTGAGATTTCCACTCTTGAGGACCAATTATTCTCCACTTAGTGATGGTTAAAAGAGGGCTACACTCCAGGATTTCACTCGCTTGGGGCCTTGAGATTATTCCAGTCCCTGCACTTTGATGACGGAAGGGGCTACGCGAATGGAGCCGGCCATGGCAGCCGCAACGGCATCGTCCTGTTCAGAGGCGTTCTTCTTCTTTTGACCCGCTGGTGACGAAACTTGTGGCTGACTTTGTCTCGAGCCATGCCGTTATACGTTGTTTTCCTTGAACTCCTCTCGACTTTGCGACAAAGCGATCTGCAAGGGCTGTATTTTCGGGAGTGGAACTGTGCCGGTGATACTGTCCCAGATAGCCCTCGAGGAAGAGTGCCATGCGTTGGTTCCCAGACGAACTCTGGATGGGTCTTCCTTTGCCAGCGAGAACGGCGTGCCTGGATGGGATTGCCCCAGACTCCGCTACCGTGGCAGCCAGATCCCTTGGTCTTCGGCTGTCTTTCTCGTTGACGGGTATTCTAGATGTTTTGTTTTTTGTCTTCGTCTTTGGTCATAGGTGTAGCATCGACGCCAAATGACACCACGCTGTTCATCCATTCATCGAAAGATCCTGAACGCCTTCGGTAGTGGGGAAGAGAGGCGGCACACATAGCTGGGATAGCGACGCCGCCGCACTTACCGTAATAGCGCCTTTGGTTTGACCTGATGCTCCGGGATCATGATACTCGTAAAATATTCCACAGTCTTGTGCATGAGCATTCTCAAGATTCCTCTGCGGGCGGGGTCTTCCATCAAGGTGGCCTATCAGAAAAACGAAGAGCCACGAACACGGGCTTCAGTTCCCAGGGGTGATACAAATCAATTGCCTTGCCAGCCATCGTGTTCTTTGGCCCTCTCCCAGTCCGAGCAAGTCCGGAAGAAAACAGCAAAGCGTTAGTGGGCAAGTGCTTGGCAGTTGATGCATCCACAGCTACTACGCAACATGATGCTGAACTCGAAGTTCTTCCTCGCAAAGAACCGGTCATCGGATAATGCAGCCATCTCTGCCGCGAGCAAAGTCTCCAATGAAGCACGTTTGCGTTTCCTTTGGCCTTCCATTGAGGAGGAATGATGATGCAACTAGGGAACGTATTTGCTTCGAATGCGAGCCACGAGTTTCCCGGGTGGCCAGCAGACGATTCGATTCATTCCCAAGCAGGTAATAACTCCATGCATTACTCAAATATGACCACTAAGGTACCTACTCGATAGGGCAGCCATTCTCCCGAGCCCATTCCATTATTTCTGAGTGTCCACTTGCTCTAGCTGCTGTGAATGTCCTTGTATCCCATGGGCAGCCATTCTGTCGAGCCCATCTGAGAATTTCCAAATGGCCATGTTCAGCAGCAACCAGGCAGGTTCTTTCGTCCCAGGGGCATCCATTCTCGTGAGCCCACTGGAGAGTTTCCAAATGACCATTTTTGGAAGCAGCGATGCATGTGAAGGAATCCCAGGGGCACCCATTCACTCGAGCCCACTTCAGACTTTTCAGATGACCAAATCTAGCAGCAGCAAAACAAGTGCTTGCATCCCAGGGGCATCCGTTCTCGTGTGCCCATTGAAGTGTTTCCAGATGGCCACTTTCAGCAGCACCTTCGCACGTTCTCGCATTCCAAGGGCAATTATTCAGACGAGACCATTTCAGAACATCCAATTGGCCGTGTCTAGCAGCAATAGCGCTTAAAACTGGATCCCACGGCCACCCTTTCACACGAACCCACTGAAGAATTTCCAAGTGACCGTTTCTGGCAGCTTCTCGGCATATTTGCTGCACATTCCATGGGCATCCATTCTCGTGGGCCCATTTTAGAATTTCCAAATGCCCCCCTCCAGCAGCACCTGAGCACATCCTTTTATCCCATGGGCATCCACTCTCTCTCAACCAAATAAGTACATTCAAATGACCACCTTTGGCAGCAGCACGGCATGTCCATGCATTCCAAGGGCATCCCTTCTCTTTCAGCCATTTCAGAATTTCCAAATGCCCCCCTCTTGCAGCAGCAGTGCATGTGAACTGACCCAGTGGGCATCGATTTTCAAGTGCCCACTTCAGTATTTCAAAATGGCCATATCTAGCTGCAGATGCACAACATGTTGATGCACCCCATGGGCACCCGTTCTCATGTAGCCACTTAAGAGTCTCCAAATGACCTCTTTCGGCAGCACCTGCACAAGCCATCTCATCCCACGGAAATCCCTTGGCTGTTCTAGCCCAATGAAGCACTGAAATACTCCCGGCCCTTGCAATGGCTGCGCATACATGACGTTCAGTAGGGTTCTTGTGGCTGGAATTGTCACCATACCAGTTTTCGGCAGATGCAACATTGTAGAAGACAGCACTGTAAAACGTGTCAGTACTTGTTGCTGAGCGTTTCCCAGTATCACACTTTGAGTCTGTAACCATAGGAGGATTCCGTACTGATTCACAGTAGTCCTTGTAGAGTCGATTCATCTCCTTGTTGACGAGTCCAACAAAAGCATGCTGCCCCATACCGATCAAAGGAAGGATATTGTCCACCCAAACATCACGTGCATCCGAGAAGAAACTACCAGGAAAACGAGTGGTAGGTGTACCGATACTGTCAGATCTCTGTCTTCTGGTCTTCAGCTTGGAAGACATCATGATAGTGGCAATCAGTTTATCGCTTTGATACAGTGATCTTATCCAAACAGCTTCCAAGCACACTATTGCGCCTTGCTGGCTTGAAGTCTGCCCGAGTTTGCTTGCTGTCTGTAGTGGGGCGGAGCCATGGCTTTCGGGTTGGGGTTGGGGTGTTGGGGTTCCGGTTAGGTTAGGCTGGGTAGTTTCGGGTGAGTTGGTACCACGGTACGTTGGTACCGGTACACCGGTACTCAAATAAAGAGCCAGGTAAAGCTAATTAAAGGTAACGTGCCCGCAAAGCACACATTTGACAGAAAGGGGCACCAAAACTGAAATTATTTAATGGTGGTGTGAACAGGCAATTTTGGTACCACTGTGGTACGAGTACCACAGTACCACAGTACAGCGTACTATTAATAGTACAGGACCACCGTACGGCACGGTAACTCCCTTTGGCCAAATGCAGAGCTCACAAATCCAAACCACAAAGAAAACAAAAACCAACCAACAAAATAAACCAACAGATACCATGCCTTGCCTCAAGAAGTTTGATATTGACACCACCAAGCCTGTTCTTGTCACGGGTGGAACAGGATATGTGGCCGGAGTCCTCATCTCTCAACTCGTTGAAAAGGGCGTCACCGTCCACGCTACGGTCCGTGACCCCTCAAAGACTGATCGCCTTGCCTATCTTCAGGAGATTGCGGACAATTCCCCAGGATCCATAAAGTTCTTCAAAGCTGACCTCACCACACAAGGAAGTTTCGAGGAGGCCATGAAAGGATGTTATGCTGTGTTTCACACCGCAAGTCCCTTTTCGACTGACATCAAGGACCCCGTGAAGGACCTTGTTGAACCAGCTGTCATTGGAACTGAGAACGTTTTGCGCCAGTGCAACAAAACTCCTTCTGTGAAGCGTGTTGTCGTTACTAGCAGCGTGGTTGCCACCTATACTGATGCCGCAGAAACTAAGAAAGAGAAACCAACGGATGAAAACATCTGGAACCGTACAGCTTCGATCTCTCATGTTCCCTACAACTACAGCAAGACCGTGGCTGAGCAAACAGCGTGGGTGATTGCAGGAAGCCAGACCCAGTGGCGTCTCTGTACCATCAACCCCAGCATGATCGTGGGCCCAGGAGTCAAGTATCATGCCTCGTCTGAATCCTACAAAATTGTCAAGTCGTTTGGATCCAACGATCCCAACATGGCCCTTGGAATTCCCAACTTGGGAATGGCTTGTGTTGATGTCCGTGACGTAGCTGCTGCTCACATTGCTGCGGCATATTTGGATGAAGCGGGAGGTCGCCACATTTTGAGCGGATTCAATGGCTCGTTGCCCCAGATGGCGCAGGCGTTGAAGAAGTATTCTAAGAAGTACCTCATTGTGACAAAGAAGGTACCTTATTTCTTCTCCTACTTGATCTGGCTTGTCGCCCCCTATACCGGCCAAGGCATTGACCGCGAATTCGTCAGCAAGAACTGGGGCTACGAGTGTTACTTTGACAACCGAAAGTCCAAGGAAGCTCTTGGTATTGAGTACCGTCCCATGCAAGATAGCGTCCAGGAAATGTACCAACAGATGATTGACCTTGATGTCGTTTCTCCCAAGAAGTAGGCGCAACGAAGCAAGCAATAGGAGGGCTGGCTGCAGGTCGAATCCAGGATCCGCCCAAAAGAACAAGAAGAAAAGAGTACATAAAGTTGCATTTCTAGTAGGAATAGTAAAAGTCGCATCGGAAAGAACCAAACGAAGTAACGGCAGGACACTATAAAGTAATAGGCATTGGTTACCAATCGAATGCAGCCAAAAGTGAGAGCGTGCTCAAATACTGCCGTTTGCCCGAGTTAATCTACCCTGCCAAGCAATTCCGGTTGCCTAGATCCCAGAACGCCTATGAATGCAATGAGCCCTTCCTAGTTACTTTACTTATCGCTGTTGCCTTCGAGGAAATCTGATGATTGGTTGGCTTTTCTAATGGTTCTAATCAGGTCGTTTGGAGAACAATTTTACGGGATGATTTGGCTCTATTGCAGGCAGCTTTTCGATGGCCACGAGAATACTCCAGTTTTGTTGATACCCTATGGAACTAACTGGGAAAGCTACTACTCCTGTGGATCGATTCGCTGGAGGCAACCCATTGGAAAGAGGCAAATTGTTGGATTTTCATCTGGATTCCGAGGCCGTGTCCGACAAATGTTGAGGGATTCATTCTTCCCAACTCCTTCGGCTAGCACATCTACCACTTCGCCCACTCTGACAGGACCCAATTCGGAAAATACGCGCGACCGTAGCCTCACGAGGCACGGAAACAATGGCGTGGTGTCCTTGTATTTGTCTCCCAGTTGATCAGGGTCTCCAAACTCTGCGTATAGTTCCTCGTATTGCTGGTTAATGTCGTCCCGTGATCGATTGGCAAGATACTGATTGGCAAATACCAAGCCATACAACCCAAATCCAATACCGACAAGCACAAGGGGCCCCAATCCGATAAACTTGCGTTTGTCCACTTGGAACACCACATCTGATGAGCTGCTGCCGCCATTGGCCGACTCTCTGGCTCGTTCCTCGAGTTGTTTCCTTCGGTAGGGACTTTTGTGGCGAGCACCGAGACTCAACCATTGTCTTTGAGGTCTTGAGAAGCCAGAGCAGTCTTTCGTAGGATGGTTCCACAACAGTGATCTTGTGACTCTGGCAGTTGCACACCTTGAGAGCAACATGATGGATCTTGTACTGATCAAAGGGTGCTCCGTCTTATTACAATCTATCTTTCTTGCGACAAGTGAAGAGTTGGAGTTGGTTTTCTCTTTTTGTGGTGGGGTGTTGGATGCAGTTGTGACGTGTCTGGAGGGAAAGTTTGAGGTTTAGTTTAGGGTTAAAAATAATCTTCCACGGTGTGTGCTCGTTTCGAGAGACGAAGTGTCGGAGCGATGAAGATGGCTTTTAGCCGCTAAGATGTAGGCCATGAAACGAAGTGAAGCCGCCCTTAGCGCTGACTACGGTAGGCTTCTTCTTGCAATGGATCCCTACAGTAAAGATGCCGTAGGTATCATACCCGTAGCTCATAGGTCAGGATGCGGTACGGCTGTATCGGTGGCACTCGTTCCGTCCTACCGAGCGAAGAGTGCCAGTAGGATCTTTCGCGGTCCTCTCGAAGACAAAGCAACGACTTGGCTCGTGAGCGCAAGTGAGGATTTCCTAGTATTTGCTAGACTAGCAGTAGCTGGAAAGCATCCACTCTAGTTTCTTCTCGAAACCGATCCACAAAGTACGGCAGATACTTGTTGACACGGGGATCCCGCGGACTGGACACCACGGAACGTCGAAGACCTGCCCTCTCGAAGCCTAAACAGCAGGATGTCCTTATCAGGGATGCAACACTCTCCTTCTCGCAAAGACGCCACAAACAATGCCCTACATGGACTGAGATATCCGAGCTAGTAGATGCCGTTGAGCCTCTATAGACTTCAGCTCAAGCTTACGGGATCGAAGCTGGTGCCGGAAATACGAATGTGTGTCTCAAGGAAAAGCGTCACCCAAAAGAAATCCTGTTGATGCTCAGGCAATGTATCGAACCTTACCAATCGTACGAACTGTGCGTTGAATGAGTACCAATTCCTCCGTAGCTTCCCAAGCGCCTCGTGCCGTTCCGTCTCTCTCTCTTTCGGCTCTCTCTCCTCTCATAATTTTTCTCCTCGAAGAAAACACCACAACATTTGTTCAATCCATCACAAAACAAGAAACAACTTCGACCATGATGATCAAAAGCCTCTTGTTCGCTGTCGGTCTCGCCTTCACGGCCGCGTCTGTCCATGGCGCCGAGTGCTTGACGGAAGCGCCTCCTACCGTCTACGAAGATGAGAACATCTCCCCTCAAAACGCGGACTATGATGCAGTCAACAAAATGTTTGTCGCGCATCCTGGCTGGTACAATGACAAGTCCATTTCGTACTACAAGTTTCGTGTCTTTGCTCCGGCAACGTACGACGACTTGATTACTCCAGAATCCTCGGTGGCCGATGTTCCCATTCAGAAAGTCTACTTGTACGTTTGTCGTGTTTCGCGTGATTCGATTCAATCTTTTGTTGTTGTCTTGTGTCGCTTGAGCTTGTCATGACATCATCTCACCTCTTGTCGCTTGTTGCTTTCCGCAGGGTCACGTCCACCGGCGACTTCGATGGAGTGATGGGCTCACCTATCATTGAGTACCACCATGTCGATGACAACTCGTACTCGGACTTCATGGCGCTCCATTTCGTCATGGCTCCCGACAACTATACCGCCAACGACTTTCAGAGCCACAAGGACATTATTACCAGCGGAGCCACAATGTCCAATGCCGATATTGTCGTCAACATGCCAATTGTGCCTACCGGATCTACTTTGCAGCACCCAGAGACCAAAGGCAAGGCTCCCATTGATGCTCTCAAAGTCTGGTACAACTGTGTGGAAGTCTCGACCTTTGTCTTTGAAGTCACGTCTGCCGATGCTGCTAGCTACTTTGGCTTTACCCGATCCGGCGACAATGGTGTCGCCACGGGTCGTGCCGCTGGTGAACAAGGCTTTGACATTTCTGTGGCTCCCAACATGTGGTCGCCTGCTACGATGAAGCTCAACGCCATTCCAATCTGGCACGTCAACCAGTTTTCTCGCGGTGTCACCCCTGGAGCTGGAGGCGGACCGTCTCCTGATGGCATGCGAAATGTGGTCAACTTGGACCGCGGCGACCCAGGCTACAGTCCCTTGTGGCAGATTTGGTGGGCCAAGACGTTGCCCATCAACTACTCGGCCGATGAAGCTTCCAACAGCAGTGTCCTTGTTCCCTCGAATGGCTTTGAGTTTGTGGTGGCACCCATGTGGGTAAACTGCCCAAATTTTGGTCTAGTTGGAACTGTCAACAACCCGATGCGCAAGGAGGACTCCTTCCAGACCAAAATCAGCTTGTCCGACGAGTCGTCGTGGATCATGGGAAGCGATGCCACGCTTATTTTCAACCCCGACATGCCGATTACGTTCTTTGCTGCTGATGGAACCGAGCTCGGTAGCACACAAACCAATGTCATGGGAGCCTACGAGTACGAGCTCAAGACTGAGGATATTCCCGCAGGAACGGAAATGATCAAGGTCATGTTCAAGGACGCGTTGATCGATACGATTGCGGTGGAGGAAGGCAACAGCAGTGGTGCCACCTCGTCTTTTGGTTTGACGGCTATGGTGGGATCTGTGATTGGGCTTCTCTTGGCTCTTTGGTAGACTCTCGTGTCAATCACGCGGGCTCTTGTGTTTCATATTTTGGAGGTTGAGCTGCTCCCTCCGTTTGTGCTCGCAAACAATTACTTCACTTTGCTGCCTTTTCCAAGGCTACGTACGTGGAACAAGCAACTTTCAAAAGTGCTAGTAACATAATATTTCTTGTCACCGATTCTGTTGCCATTGTAGCTAGCTAGCTACGGTAGTCAGTAGCGTGCATCAACTTGCTTGCCTGTCACTGAACACTGAAGGTTGATTACACTCAAAGCTGGCTGGGCACTTATGAGCAGAACCGGTAGGTACACAAGGGACTCACCAACTTAATCTTCATGGGCAGCTGTGTAGATTTCAAGATGCTTAACCCTTCTGGTCTCTAGCTAATCTCAGCATTGGTGCTGAGGAGGACTAAGATGTGGGCAAGGCTCCACTTGCTTGGGATCCGATTCCGATACATGTACATTGTGCCACAAGGGTCCAGGCACGACGTACATCGTAGTCTTGCGAGATGGATGTCCCTGCCCCTGCCAACCTTCTCGTCCTACCGGTAGTCGTCTTGGTTTGCCAGATAGGACCTATCGCCATCATCACGATCCAATTTTGCAGGGCAAGCAAGAGCCCAACCAGCCCGCATTCCCATACAATGATCATTTCCTTACCTAGCCATTCCAAATATGCTTAATATTATTGTTATTCCCACAGCAGTCAACAGCCAACAGCCCGCTGCAACCACAGCAACGACCAAGAAAGAGCACTGATGAGGAGACACTAAGAGGCACTTCTTCAGGATGCGGTGTCAGTCCCCAGGAGGGGATTATAACTACAACAATGAGGTGGAAGAAGATGAGAATCCAAGCTCTTTTGGTGATTGCGTTTGGATTGACGGCTTCTCTCAAGAGCTTGTCCAGGTGGACATCCGTTCCTCCTCTGCCGGCTGATGATACCGGTACGCAGACAATCCAACCACAAGACACCGTCGAAACTTCCTCCTCAAATAAGAATTCCCATCGAGTCATTTTTGTGGGAAAATTTGGATTGGGACATCGACTGAGCAAAATGACGGCAGCCTATCATTTTGCCCACGAGCTGAGAGATGCCACCAAGCGACCCATCGTGCTGGAAGCTCAGTGGGGGATGTGTCGTGCTGCGGAAGAGGGAGGAGACAGCCACCCAATCTTTGAATATCTGTTTGGTGACAAGAAAGTCCCGTTGATGACAATAGATGAGCCTTCAAGAGCAGCTACGAACATCGGCAAAGAGATTTGGATCCGCAATGACTGCCCAGGATATTTTGCCGGTCAAAACTTTAAGAATGCTCGACAGCCTATTCCCAAAAGCTACCTACAAGACAATCCTCAGTCGCCATTCTTTCAAAAGTTGGATTTGGATGCTCATCTGTATCAGTGGCTACAAGACAAATTTGAGGAGATCCATCCAGAAGCCTTGAGGTTCCGTGAGAGACACCAATTTGCCGATCATTTGGTGATCGGATTGCACATTCGTGCTGGAAACGGAGAACAAGATAACTTTCTGCAACAGAACCGAGATGTGGCTAATGTGGACGAGTTCCTCTCCAATCTCATTGTGTTATTGCAACAATTCTTGGTCGAGAAGAGCTCCTCCTGGAAATCATCCAAAAAGCCACCCCTTCTATTCCTCGCCACCGACACACCCACTGTCATTCCTGTCGTGGAACAAGCAGCTGAGAAATGGAACATTCCTGTGGTAACACTCCAACAACTCCAATTACAACCAAATGAGGGCGTCACGTTCTCACAAGTCAAAACTGGCACACGGTGCTTGGAGGCCTGGAAGGCCATGGTGATGGATATGATACTGTTGGGACACGCAAATGTTCTTATAGCGGCCATGCGGTCCTCCTTTACACAAACCATGCCCATGACAATGGTATTCCATCGCGCCGCTGACACACTCAGCAATAATTCACCGCGGTTTTGTGAGGTTGCCCCATCGGGACGGGCCATGACATGTGTTGGGACGCGGCAAGCCTGGTTGCACCGCAATGATCCCAGCAGTGAATGGACCCTGAGTTTGGACGAAAATTCTTCATCAGTGGTTCACAAGATTGTTGTACATTTTCCAGATGTGGATCAGGACGACAATCAGTTTCAACGGGATTGGCAGAAGGCCGTCTCTTTCTTGCAAGACCCAAATGATCAAGCATCGACCATGGTATGGGGCAATGGCAAAACTATCAATAAGAAATATCGGAAGCGAAGTCAAGGGAAGAGTTTCACTACCGATTGGACAATCTACTAGCTAGCATTCTTATGTCAAGCCTGCCGGTGACAAGTTCTTGCATGATTCGTCGTGCATGGACCGAACTGACAACGCTACATTTCTTTGGTCGAGAATTGCATATTTTTGCGGAGGCTGAAGAAGATGGTCGAATGAAAGAGTAGTCTTCTCTGGTGCTCACTGTAACTGCAGAAGGAGGACCAATCGTTGGCACAAAGCGTTGCTCAAGGGGATACAGCGATGCACACGACAACTATTCGTGATGCCGGAGGAATGATTCAATCCATTCGCTTTTGCGTGTGGAACTGGAAACCGCTTTTTTGGCACCAAACTGGTTAGTAGCGTTTCGAAGAAGTGGCTGTCACCTCCACCAATTTTTGATAGGCTCTGGCAAACGTTCGAAAGAACCGTGGCTCATCGCGTGCAAACGCTTTCACATATCGGCGCAATCCGGGGTCGACCGCCAGAGCCACATCCGTCGGTATAAAGGCAACATCTCCGAGCTGAATATCTCGGTCATACCATCGCAGCAAGTATTGAAAGTAGCCATTGGAAAAACGATCCACCGACGACGAAACAAAGGGAAGCGATTGAGGTGCCTCTTCCAAACACGTTCGGGTGAGATTTTTCAAGCAAGATTTGGGCATGCCCAATAGTGTCACATGCCGTCCCAAGCCATGGACACCCGACAGTGCTACAAATTCTTCTTCTCGAAGGTGGAGACGTTTTCCAAAGTACAAGCGCAGTCCATCCGAGTCCATTGCCGGCGATGGCATGGTGGAAGTGATCTTGGATCGTTCTGTTTCCATTTCCATGGGTTCTCGTAGTGTGTGAGGGTCGGCGGAGTTAACATCGCGTCGACCCAAACGAAGTGCAATGCGAGGCCCACCGGCATGTTCTATAGCAGTGGCACCTGCAACCGCAATGACATCCGCCAAAGTGATCGAGGGCGATGTTTGTTCCAGTATTTCCTCCACGATGGCCAGAGGTCCGGATAGGGCACGGTTTTCATTCCAATCCAGCTCGTAGCGAACAGATCCATTGGGACCTCCCGTCGTCACGGCAATCCCTTCTTTGCCTTTGGTCTGCTCCCACGTGGTGGCATCGTGAAAGGCCAGGCGTATCAGTGGTCCAGCCAAGCCAGGATCTTTCTCTAGCGTGGAGTGAATAGCGGCCCGAAGAGGAGGGATCATTGCTTCATAATCGTGTTCTTCTTCTTCTTCCAGTAGATTGTGGCTGGTATTATCATTGTAGGACTTGTTTGTGGATACCCAAAAACTGTTGTAGTCCAGTCGTTCTTCCACTTTCCCCTTGTTGGAATGGTTATTATTTGACACTTCCGATAGCAGAGCTGGGGACGATGACAACAGATATTATGTAGATGCCAAAAAGGCGGTCCGAGTGAAAAGGTGTCCCGCTGCCAGGATCATCTTGCGACTTTCTTTGACAGACGATCTCTGAAGGCCAACTTCCAACGGATTTCCGCAGTGTTCTAAAGCAGTCACCAAAGGGTACTCTAAAACCCCCTTAATAAGGGTGACCGACTAGCTAGCGAGCAAGAGCTACATGCAGCAACCACGAAGATGACGATGATGAGTATCATCTTGGTGTCGGTGTGGATACAACTTTGGATGCCGGTTGCCGGTTGCCGGTGGATGTTGGTATCTTTGCGTAGCCAGCAGAGCAGTGAACGAAAAGATACTCTGCGATCCGCGTCCACAATTGAGGAGCTTTGCTGTCCATTATGTTAATTGCTGGCGGCTGTTATAGTAGCCACCTGTGACATGTGGCTGCTGTAGTTTGACTTCCAACGAAAGGCTTGTCGATTTGGACCGATTGGTTAGGCTATTGGTAGCTGCAAAGAGCATTGTGTGACAATCGTAGTTTTGCAATCTCTGTTCTCGTACCGGTAGCAGCAAAAACAACCGGTATCTCCAATCTCCAAATGCCGAACATGGAAGAATATGCGGCTGGGCTGGAACAGTTGCCGGATCCGTCACCCTCCAATGATCCATCCCAGCGATGCAAGGTTTCGAGCGAGGCACGATGTCATGGATGCGGAGATGAATTTGAGATTGACGCCCTGAAGCGTTGTTCCAAGTGCAAGCGAGTCTGGTATTGCTCCAAAGCTTGTCAGGTACTCGACTACAAGTCTCCCCGAAACCACAAACGCATGTGCCGAGAAGATTTACTATCTATAGCCATCCAAAACATTTATTGTTTGCCCGTGGAACAAAAAATGGCCTTGATGGCTCAAGGACGGATCGAGCAGATTCCCAACAATCAGTTCTGCCAGACAGTGGCCAGGATCTGCTGTCCAGGTAACCTCGATGTCTTCATCGACACGGCTTTCAAAGAATTTCAGTTGCTTCGCAATCACTACTTTGATGAGAAGGAGGATGTACTGTAGTCTTTGGACATGCTGGACCCCATCTTGACACCTACGTGGAAGGACGTAGATACGGGTTACATGCTGGGGTCGAGTCACTGGTGGCTGCCATCAACATGTGGCCTGGTGTCTACACAGTCAACTCGTGTTCAGGAGTCCATGCAGGTGCATGGATGGAGTTTCCAGACCACTGGTTTTGCGAGGACTACATCAAGTTTGTCTCGGACGATAGAGAGGCGTTGAACCAAGTATCTGCCATCCTCGAAACGGGGTCTCTTGGAATCAAGTTTATGGTTTGCAACCCACAAGGGATGCCGGACAACATTGGCTCCAAGGAAGGCTTCCTCGTCATTGACTACCAGGACAATGTGAGTGAAGCCCCAAAGACGTGTCGTACCTATTGCAGAGCCATGTCATTTGTGCGAGATCCCACCGACAAGCTTGACAGCATGCTTCATGTGATGGCTCGCGCCCTCAATAAACCACCCAGAGTAGAATGCAGATGAATCTTGTAGGCCTCTATGGAACCTCATTGGAGCTAATTCAAGCCAACCCAGTCCTTTCCCCATCTGAAAGTCAGCAAAGAAAGCTTACGGATCTACAGGATCTGACAGTGACTGCGAGGAAGCGCATGATCTTTCGGAACTTGAAGCTGCTGAGCTTCGGTGGTTTGCAACCAGCCAAGGAGCTGTTCGAACGATTGGAGAGTGGAAACTGGTGGAGCGAGGCTTAGCGGCGTTGCTTGTTTTGTGGGATGGTACCTGTGGAAATGGCAGCATGAGGATTGCGAAACGCCAATGCACGACGCAGTAAAATGGGCATTCCTCTTGATGCCTTTTTCCGCTGAGGTCGAATGCACATACCAGTACAACCGTGCAATGCTTCAAACTCCCTCCTGTAGCGAACCTGCCCCAAACACGGCACGCTCCTGTCAGAGAATTTTGGTGGTTCAGGAAGACAAATTCGAATTTCAGGTAGGAGCGGTAAAGCCTACTTTGCATACAAAAATTAAGAGTAAAACATATCTTTAACCCTATATTTACCTCAACTACGGATCAAAAAATGTCTTCCAGTACAACGCATAGATATTATGTGGCTTGATCCTCGTGTAGACTGCCTGATTGTTGGCGTCTTAATTTCTTTGTGTGTTAGTTTAGAACCTCTACAAATATTCCTTCTTGAACACGTCTTTGTCTTGGCCCGCAGAATACTAGTAGTGGTTGTCTACAAATTGCTCTTCTTCAAGTTGGAAGCACCACGTAGGCCATTAGCTTCTTCAAAGGCATCAGCATGTGCTTTGGGGACAAGAACAATCTCAGTATCATTATCCAGTTCCATGCGTCGGGTTCCAGGGGCGGGGAGAGAAAAACCAGCAGTGACAGCATAGTTTGGGTTCCTTTGAAGGTTGAAGACATACAGGGAGTCGCCGTCACTGACTGACCAATAAGTGCCGTCATCTCGGGCATCAAGCTTGACCTTGCAAAAGTTGCAGTGTAAGCACTTGCATGATGGTGTCCATTCCCAACCAGGCGGAAGGTTTGGCATAGGAGCTCGTGCAACTGCCAAAACATCATCTGTCCCATCAAAAACTCTAATTGTTTCATAACTGGCAGCCTGGTTGTAGATTGTAATTTTCACATCATTTGGTTTATCAAAGATTTGGGTAATACCACAAAAGAAGCAGGCAGAAGAAGAATGCATTGTTGCCAAGAGTACAAGGAGAGCCAGGGGGAGAGAAAAGATACGGGAGATCATTGTTTGGTTGTTTGTGTTACGGTATGGTAGTTTGGTTGGATTCAGGGTTTGGATTCTTAGTCCAGATTATCTTTTGAGTTGTTTTCTGCTTTTGGAAGTTGAGATTGTGAGCTCATCATAGTTTTCTTTTCTTCGTCAGTGCGGTTTGTCCACTTGTGAAGGGACCAATGGCCAAGTTAGCTACATACCGGTATGCAAGAAACCAAAGCTTTGCTGCCAGGTACAGGAACATATTTACCACCAATCGAGCAAATTACTACTACGGGTATCCACAAAGGAAGCTGAGGCTCCGAAGAGAACACTGGTGGAGCAGGCTCAAATGGCGACTTGTGAAAACTTGGCTTTGTCGGGGGACTTGGGATAGATTCGATTCGATTCATTCAGATCATTATCATGCACACCCAGCGAACAAACTTGCCATGCTCGTACCGTAAAAGTACGGGTATCCACGAATGATAAATCGAATCGAATCATGTTTGGCATGCCAAAAAGTGCGGTGTTTAAGTGTACGTGTATTGCACCGGTACCGGTACCGGGTCAGGGTACTGTACTGGTACCGGTACTTGTCCTGTTCGAGAGAGAAGGATTATGGCCCGCCAAAACGTTAAGAACAGCCGATTGTCACGTCTGGTCGGAACGAACTAGTGGAGCAGCGGAGCCGACGGTCACACATGAGAGACGCTCACTGGTAAAAATAAGTGAGCACGGACCATGTAATATGTAATATGCAAACTTCTCGCTGGCCCAGAGCCACTCTGGGTTCCTGCATCCAGCGCCACAGAGTCCCCAGAACAGAAAAAACAAATCTCATGTGATCCCACTTGGCCATTGGTAAAAAAGTGTGATGAGGCTCACCCTCTTAACGTTAATTAAAAGAAAACTATGCAGCAGGATGCTGATCTATCAATAGATAAGACGTACCGCACCGGTACCGGTAACGTACGGTACTAGTATAGTTGCCCCCTCGCCATTGGCTGTGGCTGTGGCATGGTGCACGACTTTCGGGGCTAAAGTACATGTAACTGCTAAAGTACATACATGTACGGTACCGTTACTTTGAAAGAACTTTTAATTTGCAGCTTTTTCACAGAGCAACGGTACAGCGTATCACCAGGACAGCTTTGGAATACAGGTAGATGCGGCAATATAACAATCTTTCATTCAAATATCGAGAGTGAAGCGTTTCTTTAACCCTATATTTACCGCATCTACCTGTCTAAAGCTAGCTTGGGAAAGAAGAAAAGCGAGGATGGCTGCCTGCGACTCGACTCGACTCGACTCTACTAGGTAGTAGTAGAGATCTATGAGGGCCTGCGCCCTTAAATTTTATCACGAAGCTTCAGTGCAAGCAAGCAGCAAACGCGGATAGGCTCTACCGGTAGTAGCTACCAGGAGTATTCTACGAGTTCAGCGTAGGCAGGATCCAACAGGAGACACCCACCCATAGCCCGCTCTATCCACAGTTTCACACATCTCGGGACCTATCAGTGGTACCATTATGATGACAACTGCAGCTGGACGCGTCGCGGTTGTGACAGGAGGTGAGGAAATCTTTGGGGTACCTGTACGGACGGGACTGGTAGTGGCCTGAGGCTTTTGCAAAGGTTTCTTCGCTGACGTTAGTTCTTGTGTTGACGTAGCCAACAAGGGTATCGGGTACTTCATTGCTCTTCAACTCGGTGTATCGGGCATCTTTGAGCACATTGTCTTGGGATGTCGCGATGTATCCAGGGGTGAGGCAGCCCTGGCAACGATGAAACCGCTGTTACCATCGACTGTCAAAGCATCGTGCTTGCCGCTGACTATTGGAGATAGCCAAAGCCATCTGTCGTTTCGCACTAAATTGGAAGAATTGCTAGGACCTCCTGCCAAGGTGGATGTGCTTGTGAATAACGGGGCGATTGCTTTCAAAAACAGCGACCCGACCCCCTTTACCGAGCAGACCAAGCCAACCTTGGACATCAATTTTCGTGGTACTGTCGAATTCACGGAAACAATGCTTCCCTTGTTGAGACAAGCTGGGAAGCACACGAGAGATAGCAGGATCGTCAATGTGGCATCACAATCAGGATATCTATCCCAGCTCAGCCCCGAACTGCAGCAACAATTTGCATCGCCCACACTGACAATGCCAGAATTAAAGGCTCTCATCGATCAATTTGAAAAAGATGTCCAAGCAGGCACTCATATATCCAAAGGGTGGTCAAATAGCAACTACGGTATCTCCAAGCTCGGCCTCATTGCTGCCACCAAGATATGGGCTCGTGAGGAAGCAACTAACCAAATCACAGTCAATGCAAGCTGCCCAGGGTACTGCGACACAGATATGTCCTCCCACAAGGGGCCGCGGCCGCCTGAAGAAGGTGCCAAGAATGCTGTTTTACCAGCCACCATGGAGAATCCACCAACTGGGGAGTTCTTTTCTGATCTGAAGGTGCGGCAGTGGTAGTAGTACATGGATAGGAGCTGGAGAGAAGCTGGCTGGCTAGATCGAATCTTCCCCTTGGATTTCATTGTGAAACAAGATGAACAGTATTCTTGAGTTATTCTTGATAATTCTTTTGTGAACATGTGTGTACCGAATGGAAGGTTCTACTGTAGCAAGTCTTCCTCTTTGGTTGAGCATCAAGCCCCCTGGGAGTTTGTAAGTGAGCATGATAGGTCCCAAAAGATAAAGCTTGCAGAGCCTGCCTCGCCCAAGTCAGCGCCTGTAACGCATAGCCTATCGGTAGCCTTATCTCCCCCTTCGACACTACAGTGTAGTACCTTTTTGACCTTTCATTGAACAAATAAGGACACGCCACAAACAAGCTAACAACCTTGCCTACCGGTACGGAGCCAGATAGCCAGTCAGTAATAACAGCACACATCACACCATGCGTACTAGCTAGACTAGTATCAGCAAATTGGAAATGCTGCTGCTAGCTACTAGAGTAGCTACTAGCTACTATCATAGTAGTACAGCTCGTAATACCGATACCGGTACTGCAGATGTGCACTGTACAACTAGCTTACTAAAACATAGCTAAATAGTGTCAGCATTACTTATTAGCAGTACGCCTACTACTTAATGAGAAATTTCCTCTACAGTATTAAATCTTTGCTCAGAAATCTCTGAGCTTGCTTGCTCGTATGCCACGTTTGAATGTCCTGGTGCGACTGTCCGTGAGGTTTCCTCGCGACTTAATGATGGGGGTTTCAAAGGGGGCTAGTTAAAACATTTTTTGGCAGGGCTTCACTATGAAAATATCAGTGGCAGGACCAATTTTTCAATCAGGTATACGGAGGCTTTTGAGCAGGTTGGCACAGCCATGGTAAAGCACACACCTATTGTTGTGTACACTGAACGAGGTAGATCTGACAAAGACAGAACCAGCAGCTGTGAAAAAGCTACGGGGAGAAAATGAGATGGGGCGATATACACCTGGTAATGGTCCTTGCTCCACATGAAAACTGAAAGGGGGAATCGAATCATTGATTGTTGTCTTTACAGAACAGGGGGTATCAACCATCCGCCCCGCAGAAACATTGAAGCACCGCTGAAGAGACAGATGCTTTCTTGACAGCTTGACAGAAGACAGAAAGCGGGTGTGTGTTGGTACACAAGGAGCCGGCCATGCGGCAGCAACCAACCGCTACGTACCCCTTCTGGTTGGTGGTACCGGTACCACTCACTCTTGTTGTTGTTGTCGTTGCCACCATTGACTGCACCTGTTGTTGTTGACATCACAATGCCGCGATTGTGAGTGTTTCGGCCGTTGTGGAAGAAGAGAAAAGAGCATAGCTTTCGCTGTTTTTGATGGCGGAATGTATGGAGCTGAACTAACTGTGTTTCTCGCGTTGGAGAGTCAGTCGTTGAGTTGGAGTGGTTGACTGTTTACTCTCTCTTAACCTTCAGGTAGACAAGAACCAGTAGACCAGCAACAACTTCAATTTTCCATCTTCTGGTACAATAACTAGCCATAGGAATTGTTTGTGGAAAATTGTTGTTGCAGCTGTGGATATGACCTTTGTGCGTTCATTCCCATGAACCATAAGAGAGGACCAACGAGGGATGGCCGCCGACTGATAAACATGAAGCCGCTCCTCTTCCGGTTCATTATTTCGATATTTCGATTTCTCTACCTATGCTCTATCAAGATGATGTTATCTTCTCTTCTTTATAGCGGCCACTCCTCTTGAAGAAGGCTTCACCATGATAGGCACCTCTTGTTTGGTTAGCTGCAGCAGCAGCCGTTTGACTATCGGTCGATGATAGGAGCTTCCGTTCGTGACTTCTTCCTTCTTTCACGACGGAGCGATTGAGTCCACCATGACGCAGAATGACTATGATGCCTCCGCTTCTACGGAGCGACGCTTGCAACAAGCGGCTACTATTCTATGCAGAGTGCAATCTACTGGAGCGACGATCTATCGGAGGATGGACTTGCTGCGGTGCTTCTACGGATCGACGGTTGCCATGGTGGATCTTTTTCAGTGCCAGAGAGGACCAATGATGGACCGGTATGCGAGTATGGTATTTAATTGTTCACTAGACGGCTCGGATTGATAAAAGGCAATCTATCGATCGCACCTCTTATACTACGGTGCTATCATCAAACCCCAGTCAATCAGAGTGTCTCTGGTTCAGAACTAAAAGCCATCCTCGTTGAAATCGTACCGGGCTTTATGAAAGACTATGATGATGATCAGGAATCTAGTGCCGTATCCTCATTGCGGATGCTCCTCATTGTTGATGCTGATAGTCGACCGTCTCCGTGGATGACAGTTGGCTTTCAGTTGCTGACAATCAAGTTGGAGAACCAGGGTAAGTCTCTCCGGTTGTCTGCAGTTCAGCACAGAAAGCAAAACCCATCCTTATTTTTTGTTTTATCTGTTATACAGCCTATGGCCGATGAATGAACGTTTCGAGCTAATGCTATGGATAACAAGAGGCTGGTGTCGACCGATTTCTATTTACGGAGAACCAGCTTTCAATTGCTATGGACGAGGCTCTATTAAATCTAGCAATATCACCAGTCCGGGCAAAGTCGTAGTCGAGATCTTGAAGACAACAGTCAAGATTTTTGCCAGTAATAGTAGGTAAATTCAGGAGTTTGGAATGTTCATTATTGCCAACACTGCACAAAGGCAGAGGGATACACTTCTAATAGTTCATTCTATCTGAAAGCTACCATAAAAATGGAAGTTGCAGTTCTAGTTGGAACTACTACTGCAAAGAAGTGCTGTGTGTTGGATGACATTGTTGTGAAGGATTGTATGGTTGTCGTGTGGTCTCATCTTGTGGAGAAATGAGTGGAAGTAGTGCTTCTTTGTGGAGATGGAATTGTTGCCCACGTAAACAATTGTCTCACATCCTACAACAAAAGTGACATCATTCCTGGTTCCTTACCTGGCTGTGTGTTGCAAATTGGTTGTCGCTAATAGATAATGCTTGTCGATGGATAAATCGCTGTTATCGACGGATAAATCGCAATGGTAGTGGTTGCTGACTGGATGTAGCCGAAGCAGTACTAGTAGTGATTGCTCGTGGATTCCAACAACTGTGCCATACTTGTCCACATACGACGCAAACTCTCTTCTCCAACCACTTTTATTGCACTGTTTAAACTGTTGGTATCCTAGTTGGTATCGAAACTATCCATACCACCCAGCCACAGTACTTGGTTGTTTGTGTCTTATCGTGAGGAAAGTCTGACTGCAGTGTGGTGGTCTCAGAGCAATTTTCTCACATCCTACAACTCTACTGCTGCAGTCGCCCATTTCATACCGGTACTCTAGTTGGTATTCCTACAAGGCCTACCAGGTCTGGCAATTACAGGGCACTGGGCTGTGTCCGTTGTGATCAGTAATTCCTTGCTTCAATTGCAACAATTCCTCAATTCCTCTTTGATTGTGGTGGAAGGGACCAAGCGACAAGAGACAAGTGATGACATGATGATGGTGCTTTTCTGGGGTAGTTTGTGAATAAAAATGTCTAATTGGCATCAAACCGGTTCCCTCTTCCTTTGCTCCTAGTAGCTGCTACAGTACTAGCTAGCTAGTACCATGGTACTGGCTAAAGGAAAACTGTCTAATTGGCATCAAACCCATTCCCTTTTCCTCAAATTACAGCTTCCTTTTTCAGCTGGCTGAGATCTCCTTGGAGCCTCACCCACTTCCGGCACCATCCTTGGAAACGTTCACTTTTTGGACAACGCGCTAACAACGCACTCGCCTCATCACCCTTCAGTTGGTTTGTTTCTCAACCCTCTTGCTTCCTTACCTCGCTTTAACCATGTCATCCACTCAAAGAAATGATCCAACCACCCCAATTGGTAATATTATGGATCCGTAAGTACCATGTAGAGAATTGCCGCTCGAACAAGCTTATCGTGCGGTACTTGTTTGAGTTCGCGAAACTAATTGCATGGTTCGGTCTTTCAAATAAATTGTCACAGGCAAATGATGGCCTTCTTGCAATCGCCTCAAGGACAAGCCGTTCTTTCTGAATTCCAGTCTTCGCAGTCAAATTTGAACCCTCAGGACCAGAATGGCGCAGGAACCGTGCCAACGTCCAATCGTTGGTCCTTTGACGCTTCGGACGGCCTTCGCACATCAGGATTCTCAGGAACCGCTCAGCCACCGTTTGAAAGCCCCTCTTTTGGTAATGAAGGGCTGGAATCTACGTCTGGTTCGACCTAAGGAAGCTCATCAATCTCTCGCCGCCGCCCTGCCCCTGCCTTTACCGATGATGACTACGATATGACGATCCGGTCCGTCAGGCGTCGACGGATTTGTGATTCCGCCAACGAAGGGCGTCGCCGTGGTCTCCAGGAAAAGCTGGCGTTAACGTAAAAGCGGATCATTCTGTCAAAAGGTGATGTCGATCAAGACAATGACAACATTACCTACAGTGAAACAGGCATGGGTCGTTGCAACGAAGAAATGCAGGTTAAGGACCGGCAAGCAGCTGCTGTGAATAGTGAGTACGAGAGCAAGTGTAAGGATGCCTTGGCGGATAGAGACAGGAAGATTCAAGCTGCAAACATTGAGTTCAACGAAGTCTGTCGCAAGCTGGAAAGTGATCGGCAATGGAAGATGTTTCCAATCAATCAACAGAAGCTAAAGATCCAGGATCAAATCGTCGACCACGAGTCGCTCCTGAAGGTTTCACGAAAGAACTTGAAGGTGCATTCGGTGTCCCTTCCTGCATTTCAAGCTCAGAGAGCTGAACTTATCTCTTTGCTTGAGAGCCTTGACAACTAACTATAGTCAAGAGCCATTCGACGAGCATCTTGCCACCTCACCCATGCCATCACCTTCACGACTACACCGGTATATCAGACACAGCACCCGCCTCTTGGGGCCCTCATACCGCACCTGCATCATCATCCATTTCATCTGTCACATCACTTCAATACCGCAATCCATCTCTGAATCTTCAGTGCACATCAACCACTCGGCTCGGCAGGATGTCTCCGTTGACTTTCCTGCCTCCGAGTCAACTTACTGTCAATCGATACCGATACCGGTACCGGTAGTCTAGCTAGCTAGTACTGGTAGTGCATACACCTCATTACTTAAACAAAATGATAACATACAATCTCTATGGTCTTTCGTCCCAGCACTAGATGCATGTACGGTACTTGCTATTAGAACCCATGCATGCTCTGGCAGTTTGTATCATTAGGCTGGAGCGGACAGATCGACCTGGTCGTGGTCTGGTGGTCGGTGTTTCCTCCGTGCGTACCGTGCAGGAGAAGGGTCTACTAGCCAGCTGGCTAGAGCAGCACCGTACTAGCTAGAGTGGATCTTTGTCCTGAGGGTGAAGCAGGTAACCACCACACTCGGCAATCTCACTTTTTGCTAAACCGGAAGCAAGGCCAAGAAGATCCCTCGCGAAGATAACAATCATGATGTTCTTTTTGGATCCGAACTTTTCAGCCGGAACCGAACCCAATCAGAAATGAGCTTGATGATGTGAGGCTTCCCAAAGGAAGACATTCCATGCACACAAGCAAGCAAACAAACAGCAAAACAGAAAGAAACTGGAAGAATAGAATAACCAGTTCGGAAAGCAGCAACCAGTCAACAGATCTACTCAGCCAGCCAGAGCAAGCAACCGAAACCTTTGAAAGTAGGAAGGAGTGATAGATACCGTGAGAAGCCTCACAACAAAGAGAGAACAAAGCAACAAGATGGCGAAGGACTCAACAAGCAAGAGCTCCAAGCACGGAAAGAAGCATTCCAGTGATCACAAGGACAAGACAGAGTCGAGGAACGAACCGGAGACCAGCTCATCCTCTGACGGCGATATCTTGGATGGATCAGGCAGAGGAAACCATGGCGATGCTGAGGCCGTGAAAGAAAAGCATGAGAAACACAAACATGGCAAGAAACATTCCAGCAAAACGCATAAAGGAGGAAAGCATGGACACAAGCATCATAATAGTAAGAACAGCGAGGACGAAAACTGGAACCCAGACTATCACTGGGAAACTCATTGCAACAACAACGACAGCAGCAGCAAGTCCGCAAAGAAGATTGTTGCTCACAGCAACAGAGTGGACAAGCATTTGAAGAAGCTTTACAAGCTAGAAGAAGACATCACTGGCACTGTCTTTGATTCGGACTTGGGTGTCAGTATGGTGTTTGATTCGGATGAAGGAGGTGTGGCAGTGATGGATTCATCTCATGATGTGAGAGCGACACCTGCCGTGTCTTCATCAGATGCGATGGACGCCAAAGAGGTCGAATACGATGAAGAAGCTTTGGACATGGAAGAAGACGAGGCCCTTCGAACGACTCCAACGACGCCGCCTCTGTCTCCACCACAAGGCCCCACAACGACATTGGAGAATTTGCCCCCAGAATTGGCCCCAGGCAGTCCACGGGCGGTCATCACCACTCAGCACCAAAACCAGGAGCACCATGCACAAAATGCCACAATCAGAAAGGATCCCACTCGACCCTCGCCAGTCGCAGTGTCACGGAATTCATTGGGACCCGAGTCTCTGGGCCCTTCCATGATGCCAAGAGCCTCTTTTATGCCCCCCTTTCTGATGCACGAAAGCGACAGTGACGACGAGGAAGAGGAGGAAGCTGTCGTCCATCGACGTAGATCGTCGTACAACCATGGAGAAGTTGCAGGCGGTGGCCATGGTAGTGGTTCGTCGGGGGACTGGGCAGTGCCAGAGGCAATGGGAATGGATGAAGGCATCCCAGAAATCAATCAAGAACGATGCCATTCTCTACTGTACTAGCTAGGATACTAATGAACAACATACACAAGGCTATTGGAAATGTATCTAAGTACCGGTAGTGACAATGTTGTGTGGGTGGCTGTTATCACGTTCGGGTCCTCTGAAACCCTCCTCCTAAGTTGCAGTATTTGGGTGGCGTTTCTCGCAGTATCATTCGTACCGCTATGTCGGCACCATTGCCATTTCTTCCGTGCCGCCAAGTTGTGCGCTATGGACACCCCCGCTTTGGCTAGCTAGCTCCAATTCTCGGATCACCAACACATGACCATGGCTGAACGGGTGCGTTATCATCAGCGTAAGTGGGGCACTTCACATCCCCTGCGTTTGTTCTGCGACAACACCAGTTCCACCCTGCCATCCCCTAGCTAGGGGGCAACCTCATGCTTAGTTAGATCAAGTCAACACACCACAGAGTGAAGGTAACCTAACTGCGGTACGGTAGAAACTAGCTACTGTCAAGACAGTTTGGTGTTGAAACAATTAGTGTTATCGGAAGTGATTACAGATACATGACTCGCAGCAACATACAGCTATTTTGCAGATATCGAGTGCTTCCCGAGTGCCCGTTGATTCTACGTCCCTCACGTAGAATAATAGTCCTATGGGTCCCCAACCCTGCGCTGGAGAGATGGTTGATTGGCAGTGTGGAATGAAGCGCACCCCCTGGTGCGCTCTATTGGGAGGGTGGTTATGAATACACGTTGTGTTGGTTTTGAGATTTATCTCTCTTGGTTGTCATCTTCCACGACCGTGGAGAGTCGTGTCCTTCGAAGCTTCTTGAGAATAGAAAAGTCATCGTCCCATTCAAATCGCTGCTCCTTGGCGTCAAACAGAGTTTCATCGGGGAACACTTGATGCAGCAGAGGCAGAGTGCTGCTAGAGGACTTTTCGGTAGTGTCTTCGCTCTCCTCCTCGACATCATCATCGTCGTCGATCGTCAAAAAGCTGGCAGAGTCATCCAGCGAAATAGAAGACATCAAGACATTATCATGCTCGTCCTCGTCGTTCAACAGAATGTCCTCGTCAAAGGAAGTCTCCGTGTACTTGGTTGGGTTATTGGCGTCCAACAGCATATCAAACATCGCAGTAGAGGCAGTGCCCGGCTTTTGTTGAGAGTCAAGAATCATCGTGGGCGAGGTTGTGGCGGTCCAAATCATTTCTACTACGGTAGCCAGTTGATGGGAGTAGGCAGGATGGGAGTGGGTAGCTTGCTTCTAGTAGAGTAGCGCAGCGGTATAGCCAAGATAATGCCTTGGGCTTGGTGCTTTATGAGAGACAACAGAGAAGAGGAACCAAACCAGCAGAAATTTCTAGTGACACATGCAATGTTGCGTTTGTGCCTCTTCTTGAAAACCGGTGGCAACCAAGGGAGGGCTCTTTGTTTTACATGTATTGCCACGCTTGGCTGTTTTTGTTGGCGATCGGGTCTTTCTTTACTTCACTTTCCCAGCAGAACTCCAGAGCGTAATCTCACTTTACTCAGGTACTTAACGGAACAGATCGTAAATAAAAGGTGTTCAGAGGCATTCTGGCAAAGCCACTTCTAAGAGGGCACGTCGTCAAGGGTTAAATGAAACATGCTTGTCTCTCAGGTTTTCCTCAAGCGAAGCGCGCTCATGCCTTGAATATAAGAAGGCAGATACTTGCAAGGAGACAGCTTGTGGAGAAACGTATTTGACTTTAGCTGGTACCGGTAGGCTTTTAGAAGATACTTCCGCACTCGGCCAGTACATGTACAATATCTCCCCCTCTACAGCTGCTAGCTACAGAGCTGATAAAATCTAATTTTTGAGCTAAACTGCTTTCAAAGCAGGTCAAATGGCATTATTCGATTCGATTCATCTGCCCCACAAAAGTGGACTTTCCGTTTGCGTGTCAAAAGGGTAGAAATGTCTCACAGAACTACTTTCCTATCAGAAGTTGTCGGTTGCTACACTACGCTGTTGGTTGATCAGGAGCCAAGTGTGGTGGATACAGTACAGGGGCTCGCTAGCTAGACCACCTATTCGTCGAGTCCAGTCCATGTGCTAGATATCTAAATATTAAGGGTAAAATAAATTGTAGCTGTAAAAGGCCAGCAGTGTTGTTATTGGTCAGAGTTATGCGGGATTGCACCTCCCACTACCCAGCGTCTTTTGAACAGTCTCAATTTCGTAGCTTTCAAATCCGTTGAAGGCAAGCGACTCATACCACAGGACTTCCTTCCACAAAGCGTCGCCAAAACCCTGAAGTGTGATTGGCAAGAGCGAGGAATAGCATCGATAGAGCTACGAGTAGCTAGGTGGTGGAAGGAAGTGTTCAACGACGGGACTGGCTAGACTGCAGCTTCTCCCAAACTCTAGCTAGCTAGCTAGCTAGCTGGCTATGATAGTGCATGCTAGCAGCTTCTAGCAGCTTCTTGGAAATCCCAGCAGAGCTTTGGATGTCTGCTGGGCCAGAATGCAACACCTAGTACCCGCAATAACAGCACGCATTGCACGTGACTTGCGGGGCAAGTAGTCATATGCTCTTCTTCAGCTTGGATAATTAGCTGGCTGATGAGGACGAAAATGTCAAGCTGAGCGAAAGTCAATTAGCTCTTGTTGCTGGTGGGACCCAATCTTCACCTCCTCAAACCAACCAGTCAGTATCGGTGTCGCTAGCTAGCAGTAGTAATGACACCAACCAACCAGGCAGTCCGAGCATAATTATATATTGAAGGCAGCAAGGAACTTGGCAACGACTGAGAAAGAAACAATGCGAACAATCGGGAAGCCAGGCACCAGCAGTGAGCATGGGGCGGGCGTCTGAGGAGCAGCCAGACTTGGGTGCTACTCAGTACATCGCATCGAGGCGCATTTTTGCTGCGCTCGGTACCACTGGCCGGCGCATTCCTTCTCTCCGTGGTACGGTACCAGTAGTGGCTCGACCTAACCTCCCCACTCTAACTAAACCCCCTTGACCTTCACAGTCATGGAGACCATATTATCATCATACCAAGCAGTTGTTGACGGTGCGCCAGATTGTGACGAGGCAGTGGCTCCCTCTGCGTGAGTTTGGCCTGCGCGTAGGAGAGGAATTGACCACAAACACGGGGATTGAACCGAAGACAAATGAGCCGAAAGGACTAGCTAGCTAGAGAGACAGGCAAAGGATCACTACATTTATGCATACCGGTATGTAGATATAAACATGTATCACTAGTAGTAACAAACAACTAATCCAACTAATTCATCCAATCCAACTCTTCTGCAGCCTTCTTGTATTCTTCCCATGAATCGTTAGTAATGTCCCACAGCAGCTTGCACAGAAAATGCTGTTCGTCTGTCAGGTCTCGTGGCAGCTTGTCTGAAGGAAAAGTAAAGATGTGAGGAGGATGCTGCGTATCATAATGGGATTGAGAGAATTCTAGCACGTACCAGGATGAAGGAAGAATCGAAGTTTCCGCACGGCCTTGTTTAGCTTCTTCTCCTCGGGAGCACCAGTGGGGCTCAGCAGTTCGTCAGCAGTGATTGGTTTCCAACCATCAAAATAGGCATGAGCAGCCACGTTATTAGCCGGTGGAAAAACGGTCTGAATGCTACGCAAGAGCTCATGAACAGGTTTCAGCCCCATCCTATCGCTAGGCCGTAACGCCCAGCCAACGATAACATTTCGTTTCAAGTCCGTCATCATGGAGGGATCGTCGTCGTCATTCTGCGCCACCATTTTGCCGTACTTTTGACCGCTTCCTGATTGGCCCTGATTCTGCTGGTGGGAAGTCGGTCCGGAGGCGTTCGGGGTTGGAGGTTGCTGGTAAGGGTAAGGATGTGGCGAAGGACGAGCTTCACCAGGTGACTGTTGAGGTGGTTGCCGTGCTCTCTGATTGCCAGCGGGAGATGGTTGGTGTGGAGTGGGAGACGTTGCGTAGTTTGGTTGGGGCGACTGTGGGTTCACGTTGACATTGAATGCCGCATGTGCCCGATAAGGGATTTCTGGCTGCTGCTGGTACTGATTGTACACATGAGGCGAGCTCGGCATTGGGACAGACGATGGATGATTAGGATGATGATGAGGCGTCTGGTTCTGGAAGTGTGCATTTTGTGGACCTTGATATTGAGCGGGATTCTGATGTGCTCCACTTTGAAATGGTGGTGCAGCCGCTGTTGGCTGCTGACTCCATGCAGGCCAACCTGCTTCCCCAGAAGCATGTGGTTGTTGTGCTGTTTTCACGGTTGGCTTTTCATTCACAGGTTGCGTATTTACTCGCTTGGCTTCTTCTTCCAGTTGACGCTGCCTAGCTTCCTCGGCAATTCGCATTCGCGCCGTTTCGGGGTCTTCCACCTCTTCTTCCTGCTCTTGCTCCTGACCCGTATTATTGTTTTCTTCCTCTTCCGCCTTGGCGTCTTCGGCACGCTTTTCAGCTTCAGCATCCAAGGCAAACATTTGGTTGTTCATCTTTTTCATGAGCGCCGAGTTTTGATCGGGCTGGATCTTTCCAGCCTTTGCCTTGGCCATGAGGTCTTGCTTCCGTTGCTCTTGTTCCATAAAGCGCCGCTTCTTCTCCTCGTCTCTTCTCTTTTGCTCTTCCCTCGCCTTGCGACGTTGTTCCTCGAGTTCTTGTCGTCTCTTCTCCACGGCTGCCTTCTTTTGTGCTTCCAAGTATCGTTCTCGACGAGCTTGTTCCGCAAGACGTCTCTGGGCTGCCGCATCCGCCTGAGAAACTGGTTGAGCCGCTGTGGAAGCCGTTGTTGTGGTAGAAGGCGCATTGCTAGTGTTGTTGCCTGCAGCTGCCGCAGTAGCCTGGATTGGAATATTCTTGCGACTTTCAATCTCCGCTTGCATTTGAGCAATCTCCGTCTTCTTTTGTCCCATGTCGGCATCGACCGTTTTCATTTGTTGCTGAATTTGCTGCAACATGATGGACGTGTCATTGGATGGCCGCTGAGCTGCCTTGGCAATTAACTCTTGCTTGCGCTGTTCCTTTTCCAAGAATTTACGTTTGGATTCGAGGTCCTTGCACTTTTGTTCGACGCGTGCCAGTTTGCGCTGCAATTCCAAGTCCTGTCGTCGTCGTTCATTGGCCGCCTTCTTTTGATTCTCCACTCGCAATTCCTTTTCCATTTGAATCGTTGCTGCGGCAGCCGCGGCCGTGGATGTTGCTTTGGGTGTGCCACCCGCTGACTGTGGTTGTGGTGTGGATTGTGGCACCTTTGGTTGGTGTCCCGCCTGCCTTTGCTGCTGTTGGTACATTTGTCGCTGTTGTTTAATCTGATGCACCTTTTGATGTGGAGATGGATGTCGTCGTTGAGTCTGCGCTTGCATTTGAATTTGAGGTTGTGGTGTCTTGGCCTGCGGCTTTGGCTGTTGAGGAACCTGCTGCTGTGATGGTGGTTCAGGCTTGGGTTGTGGCTGACCTTGTGGTTGCTGTGGGGTCTTGTGTTGTTGCTGCTTGGCTTGCTGCAGCTTTTTGCGTTCCTGCACTACATTCTGTCTAGCTCCTGGAGGAGCAGCCTTGGGAGCCAACACTGCGAATTTTGGCGAGGCAGTCGCAGCCGCAGTAGGAGTGTTCGTCGCAGTGGGTTCCAACTCTTGTAGTTTTTCTTCTGCCACTTCCTTGCTGCTACTAGTGCTGATTGGCGTTGGGATAGCAAAGGTGTTCTTGGTTGTCGTGGAGACAGAGGGCGTCGATAGTGGCTCTGCCTGCTGATCCAAGGGAGGCCCTTGTTCCTTAGTAGGCGCTTCCTTGTCGCCGACATGTGGCTCCACTGGAGGTGGTTCAGTTGTATCCACGGACAGGGAAGTGCTCGGGACCGCTTGTGGTTGTTGCGGTTGCGCCGACGTATTAGTGGCTGCCTTTGGTGTGGGCGGCCTATTCTTTACAGATTTAGCCTTTGGTGTGGGCGCATTGGTGGGAGTGGGTGCATGATACCTAGCCTGTTCAATCAAATCCTCTTGCGTGGGCGTTGCCTGTGGTGGTTGCGGCGGGTCCAATGAAACGTTCACATGCATCTTTTGGTCGCTGCTATCGTCCAGTGGTGTCGTGGTATCCTGCTGTGGTTTCTCTTCGTCTGCGTTGGTTGTTTCTGTGGGAGGATCCCTGCTTGCGTTTGTTTGCACTTCGGCCTTGGTTGCGTTTGTTTCCACCTTGGTTGCGTTCGTTTCTACCTTTGCTGATGTCGTCGTCGTTGTTGCTTTCATTCCTGCTGTATTGGAATGATGTGAGGAGGAGGAGGACGAAACCCCGGCCATGTCTTCATCGGATGGATTTTCCAAATCGTAGTCGAGCCCATCGTGAATGTTGACGCCATCGTTTTCTTCGTCCATTTCGACTTCGACACTTTGATTGGCAATTTCCTCATCGTGGGGTCCCTTTGGTGCTTCACCATCGGCATCGGCACCATTATTGGGAGGAGGATCGAGCTTTTCCTTGGGCATTTCTTGTCGTGATGACGTTGTTTGTTGCAGTTGTTGTTTCATGAATTCCACCGTTGAGGAACTGCTGTTGCTGCTGTGGCAATGGAGTAAACTGCTTTGGGTGGTGCTGAGGGCAATGGTAGGATGTCCTTTGGAAGGCGATGGAATGAGTGGTTTGGTGGCTTTATTATGACTGCCATTGCTGTTGCTATTGTTGGGATCGAGGAATCGTTGCAATTCCGAGACCCACGCAGCAGCCGCGGCGGTATCTTCTTTGCAGCGAAAGGTAATGACGCAATTCTGAATCCCCGAAGTTTCGGCTCCAATGTGTAAAACGAGTCGAATATCTCCGTACAAGTTGACGGGTTCACACCTCAGGAATTTGGAATGCAGTGGAATTTTGTGTTTGGTCCGCAATTTGGGCGCAAATTGGCCACTTTCGCAGAGCACTTCTTGCGCAATGCGAAGATACGGTTGTTTGCTCATATTACTGCTCGAATTGTTGTTGTGGTTGTTGCCAGTGATGGTGGACTCATCGTCCATGCCTGGCAGTACCAGCAGCATGAGTACCGTCTCCCACGTAATGGCGCTCTTGCTCTTGCTTTTACTCTCTTTGCCTTTGGTAGTATTGTCATTGTTGTTGTGATGAGGATGATGAACCGTTGTCATTTGTTCCAACCACCCCGACGCCACCACATTGTCTCGATTGGGGATATTGGGTTTGTAAAAGGCCGGACGTGTCTTCCAGTACTGAGCGGTCGATACCACCGATCCCGGTCGGCCCATCATACACCGTTCTTGATGACTCCCGATATACTCGTGCAACGACGCCATGGCTTGGTAGAGCACTGGATCAAATTCGTCTTGCGAGACATGCATAATGCTCGCTTGCAGCAACGCTACCAAACTAGACGTTCGAGACTGCATCATTAACGGACTGCACAAACTGGCCATGTCTCCTCTCTCCGTTTGTTTTGTTTTACTTGCTGGTCGCCACAACAACAACAACTCTTCTTCTTCTTTTCTCCTTTTCAAACTCGGTTGTAAGTAGAGGTGTTGTTTATTTATTGCGAGGGTGAAATGGACGAGCGGTGTTCAATAACGATCGACAGAGCTGACGACCTGCCGCCAAATTGGCTCAGTCGTGGGATCGACTACGCACCTATTTAGAGGACGGCGAACCTCGAGCAGGGCGGTGACTCTGGTCTCCATTATTCTGTTCAGGCCAAGGGGGAAATGAACGCCGATCTCACTTACTTGTTGTCGCGGGAGTGACGCGACTGTTGTGATGGGTGCAGCACACGTCTGCTTTGCTTTGGTGGTGTCCTCGGGTTGCTAGACAGACACAATCCGTGTCTGCAAGCAAGCTAGCTGCCAGTATTAGCCACTAGATCGAGGACAAGAAAGGTTGATATTTCCAGCAGCAATTCAACTATTTTATGTATATGCTCCAGTTTCTAGCTAGCTATTAATAATACCGGTACCAGGTACCGTGCTTCAGCACAGCACGCAGTGAAGACAGTTGCAGAAAGTCCAGACAAATCCTCCTCTATCTATCTTCCCTTCCTGCTGGAACAGTGGCAGTCTTTTAGTCAGACCTCTTCCCATCGGATGTATTGCTTCCGTGCTCACCTAGCTAGCTAGTAGTCGATTCAAGTTTCCTGGGTTGCATCAGTGCGTCCTCAGTAACAAACGCACGGATTGGCTGGCACTTCAGTGTACTTGCTTTCATACCGGTAGGAGGCGAGTAAGCAAGAAAGACCAAGGTTCACATATTATGCATAGTCACAAACGCTCTCTATCTTTGCCCCCACCATTTCTTGTTCTAGCAGCTAGCAGTGCAGTACCGTAGCCAGGAGGACATATACCGGTAATATACATCCACTCCACCTATAAACAGATTCCTTTCTATCCATTGGCTGATCAGATGGATTTCTCTGCTACGTTCTTGAATGGCGACAAACCTGATGAGTCTGCAGCTGCAGGGCCTCCGTAGCCCGTGATCAGTGCAATCAAGGCTGGGTTAAATGTGATGAAGTTGGCCGCATGAGCCAAATAGTATCCCCAAGACGTTCCATAGGTCAAATACTCGCCAGCAGGCAGAATCGTCATGACATACGCCCACAGACCAAGGAACAAAAAGATGGGGTGCAGAACCTGACCTCGGATCAAGAAAATGCCCATGGTCAACAAGAAATACAGCAAATACAACCCCCCTGGAACCGCATAATATCCCTTCTCCACCAAACCACCATCTTTGATAGCCATCATGCCACCGTGCTCGGCCGAAAGGAATCCCTCCACCAAGACACGAGAAATGGCAAACAATACAGCTTCCCACCAATGCCACGCTCGAAAATACCGGGCCACGACGAGACCCAGCATTGTGTGAATCACATAGCTATCCAACATGGAATGAATATGCCATGTGTCCCATCGATTCTTGACGGGGAGAGAGTTGCCAAAATGCCAAAGCTCCAACACAAAGCTTGTGACTGCGAGGACCTCGAGAGAAGGAGCATTCTTGGGCGGTAACGACGACGTTGATTTGTTCGTTTTGCTCATTCTTGGTGTGTGCTAGTTTGGGAAGTCTCACTTGATTTTCCTCTGATTGCTTGTGGTGTTTTTGTGTGAGCTTGGCTTGGTTTCGCTTGGCATGGGCCACCAGAAAGTGGTGAGGGTTCCATGATGGCTTTGACACACCACCAGAAAGTAATTGGCATCCTTTGATCATTGTGTCTGATGAGGATCGTTCCTAACCAGTCATTTTGACCTCTTTATTCCTCTGTACGTATGCCAAATCGAGTTAACTGTTAAAAAATGGGCTTGCTTTCCCTCTTTTTGCCCAATAATTTCGGTACCACTGTACCCCGTATCAGTAATTTTGCATTCTCAATTCGCCATACCGAAATTATGAGGGAAAAAGAAAGGACCAATCAGAACGTTAGAGCCAGCCGAACTCAGTCACGGTCACAAATCTCGAACTCTAAGTCGCAAATCCCCAACTCTACCGAGTTTCGAAAATCGAAAAGTGAGGGAAATTGTGGTGAAAGAGGAGGTGATTATCGTTAGAGTTGGGGATTTGCGTGGTGTTTCTTTCGCGTACCGCTGTGTGTCACATGGATAGGAATGAAATCTTGATACGTACGCCTAAATAAATCCATGAAAATAAATGTGTTTCGCGTATGCACGGAGGACACACATGGAGTTTGGTTAGGAACGCACCTGAGCTCGGGAAAGCGCGGCCCAGTCTTGCCCCATCCTCTCAAGACGTACGCCTAAATAAATCGATGAAAATAAATGTGTTTCGCGTATGCACGGAGGACACACATGGAGTTTGGTTAGGAACGCACCTGAGCTCGGGAAAGCGCCGCCCAGTCTTGCCCCATCCTCTCAAGAGATGGGGTTTTTGTTAATCAAAAAGTTTAGAAAGTACTCCTTCTTCCGGAGTCAAACTATCGACTGTGGCGATTTTGATTGAATGGATCGGATCGAAGAATCGAATCATGGTTGCACGGTGTTTCTTGCCATGGGCCGATCGAAGCCTCAGCCACAATGACGATCAGATCATCTTGGAAGCTTGAGCGGGAGGAGCTACTAGCTACCAAAACGCACAAGCCCTTGCTGATCGCAGGTGAATGTGGCTGGTGCTAAAGTGAGCACGGTAGACTGTCACTCTGGCTGCATTTGCATTCCCATCCATCAAAATCCGCTTTTGATTTGGTCCAGGGATGTCCAACCTGGTTGCATTTGCCTACCACAGCCTGGAAACGACCTACTATCATACGTGTAGCTAGCTAGCAGCTTGCAAGTTGAAGCTAGAAGCAAGTAAGTCATAAAACAAACGCTGCAGGATGAGAACAATGGGACAATCATCCTCGGCTGCCAGCTGCTTGGGACCACTGCCACCAAGTCGGCGTCTCGTTGACCATTTGGTGTTCGCCAACACTGTAACACCGTAATCTTTTACCAAAAGAACCTCGAGGTATGTATCGTGTATTCGCATTGAACCTTGGAACCTTGGAACAGCAACCAACACTGGATTCCGGAGTTGCGGAGCTACCTCTCCAACTCCGACACTCCGACAAGCTTAATTAAGCTACCGAGGACGCAAAACTAGTAGATATGAGTAGTCTAGTAGATTGAAGATTGAGGGACATCGAGCGGTTCATTGTGGCATTGTAGCTACCAGCTCTAGCTAGAGCCAGCAACTACTAGTACCGTATGCATAGCGGTAGTCTAGTAAGCGGCTACCGGAGCGTGCAGTACTGAGTAGTCTAGCTAGAGGACATGCAAAAGCTCTGACTCTTAGGGCAAAAGCAAAGAAAGTCGATAAAGCCTTACTCGTACTCTCTCGTATCTTGGTTGGGTATTCCTTATTCCTTGTACTTTTTGGAGAGGGGGAATTATTGAAGGAATGGAGGAATTCCCCAATTCCTCGAAGGAGCAGGAATTTGACTGACCAGTCATGAGCGTGACTGTGAGTCATGAATCAGTACTGTTGTACACAAGCCTACGTAGAGTCCCTAGTGTGACTGGCAGTTAATTCCTTTCCCCCATTCCCTTTCCCTTTAATGCTTCCTTCAGACACTGGAGGAATAGTGGAGGAATTCCCGGAGTCGGGGAATTCCTCCAAGGAGTATACAACTAAGTCTCCGAGACTTAGTTGTATACGAGACTTAGTCTCGTATTAATAATTTTATTGGAAATGGGACGTTCAGTCACTGGCATTCTTTTACAGCTCAGTTCCTCAACGATACGACTGTACGGTAGGACTGTACCTGGTACCGGTACAGCGTTACCAGTACCACAAAACAAAAACTAATGATGACCACGTGTTCAGCTACAGATCGTAGTCTAAGTCTTGTAGCTGTCGTCTATGTCTGCCAGGTTATTAGAAATAATTAGAGAAGTGCAAGACGTGGCATTGGAAGAACGCTGAAACTAAATCCTTCCACGTAAATCAGGGGGCAAAAAATTATTCTTTTCAGGGGAGAGGGGAGTTCGGTGATTTAGAATTGCAAACACGACTTTTGGCATTAACCAAACTATTCCCCACCATCTTTCGAGCTCGCCTGGACTCGACTACATACATGTAACAGAGTTCCGTGCCACTATGGACTATGGACTCTCGGTACTAAGGTGGTACAACCCTACATGTACGGTGCCACATCATGGGGAGATCATGAACCCCTAGCTGAACCCTCATGTATTAATAGCGTACTTTACGGTGCTCCGTTCTACTTGTCATCTTGTCATGGCTGCCGAAGTAGATCAGTAGCCTTAGCAAGTAGTGATTGAACAAACTCAGTTGGGGGGGCTATCTCAGGGCAGGAAAATTGATGCATTTGACCCACCAGCAACTAGACCTACATAAGATGGATCTCTGCTCGAAGTGCCAAAGGATATCAACTCCACTATTAGTACTTCTTGCTTTCAGTGTCATCTGAGCATACCGGTACCTGGTAGGGGCTGACACATTGTCATTGTTTCCAATTCATAACACTTTTTCATTGGTTGGTCGAAGCATCCACTCTCGAAGAGCATGCGTGGTCGGATGCGTGGCAAGCTTGAAGAAGATGATAGCAATGAGATCCTTTCCATAAGAGGACCACGTGGATTCGTGTGCATGTGTGTTAGTAATTGCACACGTGCACCTTTCTATGCTTAGGCCACTGAGAAGATACGGCTTATAGTGGTTTCTGCCCAAAACCTTCGTCAGATGCTTCCAGTGTAGACGACTTAATTCCTTTTTAGACCCAGCAATAAATGTTTCAGCGTTCGTAGCTGTTCGCTGCAAGCGATTTACACGTACTATTAAGAGTACTCAGAGTACTATGCTCTCGTCTTTTTTTAAAGCTCAAGGATCCGCTTTTGGAATGCGTGATCCAAGTTCCGGCAAGCTCAACCAAGCCATTTTCGGCAACCAAGGATCTCCCGTCGCCACAAATTCAATGCATTGCATTTGGAGCCGCATTGGTGATTGGTGATACCACAATTTGATAGCTTCAGCCCGCAGAAGCAGCTCGTCCTAGCTAGCTAGATTCACCAAAAGCAATTGCTTATTGTAAGCTACAGTGGGCAAGTAACCATGGCAACCGAAGCTGCATCAACGAAGAAGTTTATGGATCATTTGGCCCCATTCCTCCACCCCAACGCCAGCTCTCTTCCCTTTGCAGTCAACAGTAAGGAAGATAGAACGAGCACAGCCAGGCAGTCCTCGTTGCCCCCCAGGAAACCTGGAGCCCTTGATGCCCATTTGAGGAAAGGGAGAAGCAGCATCTCATCAGATCCATCCTTCCATACCCTTGCTACCATAGACACGTCTGTGAGTGGCCTGGATGAGAGCTCTAGATGTGAGAGCTTTAACGAATTCCCGTGTGTTCGCGCTATCGATGAAGATGGAGACAACCTAGCTCGTGATTTCATGTTCGCCCTCCCAGAAGAAATCCCGGCCAATCCCACATTCGAGCGACAAGTTAGCGCCGGGCTTGACTTGGACTGCAGTGAACATGGCAGTAGTACCAGTGTTGCTGAGACAGATTCTGTTCACTCACTTCAAGAGATGGAAGAAGGCATGAGCGGAGCCGTGGCTATGAACGGCAAACCAATCCCTGAAGACCATGAAGTAGAGAGATCCAATGTCTCCTTCAAGTACACCCTGGAAGCAAAGCAACGTCCCAGAGAGCGGTACATGGGGTGGTCGCGTGCGTCAAGGCTTCAAGCAATCAAGGCACTGCCACCTCTCAAGGGGTATCCTTCCGGGAAGGGCTCACTGTCCACCTCGTTGCACAGTATCGAAGAAGCAACACCAGGCAAGCTAACCGAGTCTGTCTGCTCCAAGCATAGTATGGACGAAGATTTGGATTGCTCGGTTCATTCCAGCACATCAGAGGCTAGCTTTGTGATTGGAGACTTCAAGACTTCGTCCAAGGACAGTGAACGAGTTCTATGTGGTCCATTTGAGCTCCCCAAGAAAGCACCTAGTAGGCCTCTGTTGTCCAAGACAATGTCCCTTAGGAGCTTTGCTAGTTCGACGTCTTTCAAATCGTTCGGCAAGTCAATGAGGTCCATGAGGTCTATGTTACTGCATCAGAATAGTGGAATGTCGAGCATCAAGAACCACCTTGACCATGACGAGTATGCCCTGATTGAAGAAACACTCCAAAAGAACTTCATGTTCAAACATCTTTCTGCAGGTGCCCTGCACAATCTGGTTATGTCCTTCACAAGGGATGAGGTAGAAAAGGATGACATCATCGTCCGTCAAGGTGAATCCTGCGAGAATGGTTATGTGTATATTGTCGCTGAAGGAGAGTGCTCTGTCATTGTCGACGGAAATGTTGTGCCTGGTCCATATGGCACACTAGCTTCCAAGGCTTTGTTTGGTGAGCTAGGAGTTTTCTACAATGCAAAGAGAGGAGCCACCATTAAAGTAAAATCAGAAGAAGCGGTTCTCTTCCGGGCGATTGGGGAAGAATTTGCCAAGGCCTTCAATGAAGATTCAACCAAGGAGACACCCAAGCCCATTGATGATGATTTGACAGAAATTGATGAAGCAATCAATCAGTTATCTGGTACCACCTCAAAGTTTGAAGGAGGTGAAATCATTCCTCAATACAAACCGAACAGGAAGTGGCTTTGGTGCCGGTGGCATGGGACTGTCTTTGAGCAGACCTATGTAACGGCACTTTGCATGATGCTGCTCTCTCTTGTGTTTGTCTTGATAGTAAGACTGTTTGGGGAACCAACATGGTCGGTTGGGAGGGCACCGGATGAAGACCATGTCTGGATCCAAACCCTCACTATTGTTCGGAAGATTTGGGTGTACCAGATGACGTTCACCACATTCATCCTCACCTTTTATGTCAACCAAGCGTACATGTTCTGGAATGAGACTGTGAACATTACAAGGGCGCTGCAAGGCCGCCTCAGCGACTTCTTTCTGCTGTTGGCAACTACAATCCAACGAAACGAGGATGGTACATTCACGAGGGAATCTGAAGCCCTATTGGACGATGTAGGTGCATCCAGTCGTCTCTTCCACATGTTCTTCTGGGCGTCTTGTGCAAATCGCTACAACTGTCTTCTCACTGAGACAGGAATGGAGCGTATTGTACAACGGGGTATCATGACCCAAAAGCAGCTGAAGGTTCTGCAAGGCCTTGGCACGGCGGAAGGCTCGAAACATTATGCGTGCTTGGAGTGGATGATGATCCGGGCTTGGCAAGGCATTCACGATGGAATCCTCACTGATTCCCCATCTCTCAGCCAGCAGCTCCTTGAGAAGATGTGTAAACTGCGAGCACTCTGTGCAACTGTTGGAGACAACAGCAAGACACGCATGCCTCTGGTCTACACTCAGTTTGTGCAGATCTTGGTTGACACATTTGTCTTGCTCTCCCCATTTGCACTCTATGGAGACCTTGGTGTATACTCTATCTTCTGTGTAGGAATGATAACTCTGTTCTACACTGGGCTTCTTGACCTTGCCAAAATCTTCTTGGACCCATTGGACAACCAAAGGTTTTCCAATAAAAACAGCAACTTGGGTGTTGACCTAGGAGTCCTTACCCGCGAATCAAATGCTGCATCTGTTCATTTCAAGGACTCTGGTGCTATGCATCCTTTTGAAAGAAGCATATCAGCTTTTGAGTGAGAGGTGACTTCAACCTCTCTCCTGAATCCTGAAATCTTGGATCCATTACTTCCATACTCAAACTTCCTGCCTCCCTGCATGGTTCTTCTTCACATTTATCTCAGACTCTCTAGACTAAAATAGACGTAAACATATGCAGCCAATCGATAAAAGTTGTTACCGAGCCACTGCACATTGGGGTTTGGTTCTTTAGATGTAGCCAAGAAGCGATGGCACTAGCTAGTTTAGCGTATGGTCCCTCTTCTTCTCTACCACATTGCCTAGTCTAGTATGCTAGGCTGTGGAGTGAAACTCAGTACTAGTGGTAATGAAGGGTCATGGTGTAGTTGCTGGAGTTGGAAATTTACCATCTCAGCAGATTCGCACCTTTCCCAACACACACATGGGGCGAAACGATGTCGTGCCTCACGGAGCTTGAAGAATAGCGGACTTTGGCTTTTTGTTTTCGCACAGTAGCCTAGCTACTAGCGTAGCGAGCCAAGGTGTGGTTTTTTGGAAAAGCCGGTGGAGGTGCGTGGAGCTCGACCGAAGAGGTGTTTTATCGTTATCTTAACAGTGAGTATTATTAGGAGAGGTGCGAGCCTCATTTATCTTGCGACCAAGGCTGTGACCTTCTCCCTGAACACGCAACCGGTCTTCGATCTTTGGGTCAACAGCTTCCATTCGAGAGAATCCTATTTCGTCACCCTGCTCAGGTGTCCTCTCGTTTCCTGGAATCTAACCTCAAATGAGATAATGAAATCACTCCACAGTGTCCCGTTTGACTATTCTTTGATCGAGTTCAAGCTGATCGATCGAACGAGTTCAAGCCCATCGATCGGCCGCGCCTTTTCTGCCGGTTGCCGGTACCATCAAACATCAGTCAATCAGATGGTCTCGATTGATACAACTTCCAAGCCGATCGATTGGTCGCTCCTCTGTTATCAACCCTGCTATTGAAGGTGCACGTCTGAAAGCCATCCTTCATTCATTTCTATGGACCGTGGGAAAGCAGTCGGATATCGGCCGAGGAATACTACCGGTATACCACTATACCAGTACCGGTCGATCAAGTGAGCGAGAGTGCATTGCACCTCTACCGGTACTATCAAGCCCCAGTCAAGCCGACCATCTCCGGTGCAGAAGTGAAAGCCATCCTCATTGAAAACATACCAGTTCGGGAAGGTTTTCTTTTATTGGTCATGACAGAAGTTGGTGGAATTTGCAAGACAAGGGTCTCCGGCTGTCTGCGGTGCAGCACAGAAAACAAGACTCATATCTTTTTGTTGTTTCTATGCTGCACTGCATGCCAACGGCCGAGAATATACCATTGCTGTCGCTCCTTTGCCGGTCGGTCGGTCGATCGCTCCGGAGGAGTTTCCGCCAGCACTATCATCGGCCTGAACAGATCTATCGTCGTCGAGTCACTGAGTGGGAACAGCTGTCGAAGTGCATGTAGGAGGTTATACGACAACAGACACGAGAGTGGACCCACCTATTGGATTCATCCCTCCCTTGTTATTTTCTAGTGCTTGGTGGGTGATTCCTGTGTCGGTACCCAGCCATTTCCTCGAGCGAATTCGTGGGATTTGCCCTTTGCTAGTAAGTCGACAACGACTGGGTGCCTCTACTCAAGGGATGTTATAGATCACTAGCTAGGCTAGAGTAGTAATAGATAATAGATAGGATACGAATTGGTAGCAAAAGTCCCACGGTCGGCAACCTTGGTTGTGGATTGGTCTGTGGCCTGGCTTGTAGATTAATATACTCATACTAGACTGGTCCCTTGGTTGCAGATTGATAACCACACCTCCCACTATCACCTTATGGATTTCCATTGACCTCTGTTTTCGCTTCTTTAGATGTTGTTCTTGACTCTCATATATGTTTTCCAATACGGATGCCAATGCAGAGAATTACATGTACCCGATCGGCTTTGGGCAAACTCCTACGTCAAAGTCAGGCTCGCAACGACCGAATAGATCGTCACTCTAGTAGGGTAGGAGTTTCGCATCTTGTCCCGTCACCCCTCCCGTCACAGTCTATCTTCCACAGCATCTCAGCATCTTCAGAGAAAAAACTAGCTAAAACTACATGCAGGTTGAGCCAAACTTCGCGTACATGTACTTTATCCAGCTAGCTAGTACCGGTACAGTGTACAGTGTACCGGTATGATAAGCTAAGCGGTGATGGCAAATGGCACAGACCGAACATGAACAGATAGAGCACGACCTCTAAATCCTTTCTTGCTCAAAATGAGTCAATTCTGTTATGCATAAGTCCGAGTACAGAGGTACAGAGTACAGGAGAGTACAATGATTTATTTAGACTTCCAATAAAAATAATGTTGCTGGTACTAGTCTACTGCCACTCTCCACTGTCCACTGTATGCGGCTCACATCTTTAGTTTTTAAAAACTGGAATAAAACTATTCCCCGCCGTCTTTGGTTGCTAGTACGATAGTACCACTGTCATGACAAGTCTACCGATATCGAGCGAAGGCGAAGCCTACTGGTTCATGTTGCTACCGGTAGCAGCTAGAGCGAATTGCCAACCTTTTCAGAATTGCTCATAGCGTCACAGCGTTACCGTACAGGTACTCCAGTAGGCCACTGGAGCTGCACCAATAGACTTAGTACTAAATCCACAGCGTACTCAGTACACGTGTAGTGATTGAACAAATAAATTGAGTTTCCCGGAGTGTTTTCTGGGGGCAGAAGCAAGACGCATGATGCATTTGTGGACCTACCAGCAGCTACTAAGATGAGAGTAATACTCAGAGACTGCCAGTCCGTATTGTTCCAATTCCCAGCGAATAGCAGAGTCTTTTGTGTGGTGGTCATCTTTTCATTGGTCAGGGGCCAGAGGATGGTAACGTACCGCCAAGAGCGATGTCTAGCTAGAGGTCCTGATGTCTTCACGCGTGGCAAGGCCGACTGATATCCAAGGAACATGGAACATGGAACGCGTGTGGGGTGGGATACGTTAGTAACTGCACACGTTGCCCCTTTCTGGGCTGAGTAGATAGGCTTAATTAATGGTTCTGCCCCAAACCTTGAACTGCTGCTTCCACCATGTAATGCCCATTGAGACTTCTTGTATGAACGTTCGTTGAAGTTTACAAAAGATGCGCTCTCTCGTTTATTCCAAGAGTATTCGCGTATAACAATCGAATTCGTGTTCCGGCAAGGCACAAGACCAACACCAACCAAGCTGTTCCTCAGTAGTACTAGCCAAAACCACTACGTATGATCTACCATCGCCACAAATTCAATGCATGGTGATGCCACAATTAGAAGCTCAAGCTGGCTGCCACAACTCATCATAGAATCACCAATCACATCTACTTTTTGCAAGCTACAGTGGGCAAGTAACCATGGCAACCGAAGCTCAATCAACGAAGAAGTTTATGGATCATTTGGCTCCATTCCTCCACCCCAACGCCAGCTCTCTTCCCTTTGCAGTTAATGGTATGAAAGATAGCAAGAGCACGGCCAAATGGTCATCGTTGCCTCCCAGGAAACCTGGAGCCCTTGATGCCCATTTTAGGCAAGCGAAACACATCATCTCATCAGATCCATCCTTCCGTACCCTTGCTACCATGGACACGTCTATGAGCGGTCTGGGTGAGAGCTCTAGATGTGAAAGTTTTAATGAATTCCCATGTGTTCGCGCTATCGAGGAAGATGGAAACACAGCTCGTGATTCGGTTCTCACCCTTCCAGAAGATCCTGGCAATCCCACATTCGAACGACGAGTTAGCGTTGGGCTAGACTTGGACTGCAGCGAACATGGCAGTAGTACCAGTGTTGCCGAGACAGATTCTGTTCACTCACTTCAAGAGATGGAAGAAGGCATGAGCCGAACAGTGGCTATGAACGGCAGACCAATCCCTGAAGACCCTGGAGTAGAGAGATCCAATGCCCCCGCCAAGTACACCCAGGAAGCAAAAGAAGGTCCCAGAGAGCGTTTTATGGGGTGGTCACGAGCATCCCGGCTTCAAGCAATCAAGGCACTCCCACCTATCAAGGGGTGTGCTTCCTCCACCTCGCTGCTCAGTATTGAAGAAGCTACATCAGGCAAGGTAGCCAACTCTGCCTGCTCCAAGCACAATATGGACGAAGATTTGGATTACTCGGTTCATTCTGGCGCATCGGAGGCTAGCTTTGTGATTCGATGCTTCACAACTGCATCCAAGGACAGTAAACGAGTCCTGGGTGGTTCATTTGAGCTTCCCAAGAAACCTAGGCCTGGTTTGGTCAAGGCAATGTCCCGTCGTAGGAGCTCTGGTTCGACGTCTCTCAAATCGTTTAGCAAGTCAATGAGGTCTCTATTGCTGCGTCAGAACAGCGGACTGTCGAGCGTCATGAGCCACCTTTACCATGATGAGTATGCCCTGATTGAAGAAACACTCCAAAGGAACTTCATGTTCAAACATCTTTCTGCAGGTGCCCTACACAATCTGGTTATGTCCTTCACAAGGGATGAGGTAGAAAAGGATGATATCATCGTCCGTCAAGGTGAATCCTGTGAGAATGGTTATGTGTATATTGTCGCTGAAGGAGAGTGTTCTGTCTTTGTCGACGGAAATGTTGTGCCTGGTCCTTATGGCACTCTTTCTCGCAAGGCTTTGTTTGGCGAGCTGGGAGTTCTCTACAATGCAAAGAGAGGTGCCACCATATCAGTAAAATCAGAACAAGGGGTTCTCTTCCGGGCAAAAGGGAAAGAGTTTGCTAATGCCTTCAATCAAGACACAACAGAGGAGACACCGAAGCCCATTGATGATGAGTTGACTAAAATTGATGAAGCCATAAACCAGTTATCTGGTACCACCTCAAAGTTTGAAGGAGGTGAAATCATTCCTCAGTACAAACCAAGCAGGAAGTGGCTTTGGTCACGGTGGCATGGGACAGTCTTTGAGCAGACCAATGTAACGGCCATTTGCATGATGCTGCTCTCTTTTGTGTTTGTCTTGATAGTAAGACTGTTTGGGGAACCAACATGGTCGGTTGGGATGGCACCGGATGAAGACCATGTCTGGATCCAAACCCTCACTATTGTTCGGAAGATTTGGGTGTACCAGATGACGTTCACCACATTCATCCTCACCTTTTATGTCAACCAAGCGTACATGTTCTGGAATGAGACTGTGAACATTACAAGGGGACTGCAAGGCCGCCAAAGTGACTTCTTTCTACTGTTGGCAACTACCATCGAACGAAACGAGGATGGTACATTCACGAGGGAATCTGAAGCCCTATTGGACGATGTAGGTGCATCCAGTCGTCTCTTCCACATGTTCTTCTGGGCGTCTTGTGCAAATCGCTACAATTGTCTTCTCACTGAGACAGGAATGGAGCGTATTGTACAACGGGGTATCATGACCCAAAAGCAGCTGAAGGTTCTGCAAGGCCTTGGCACGGCGGAAGGCTCGAAACATTATGCGTGCTTGGAGTGGATGATGATCCGGGCTTGGCAAGGCATTCACGATGGACTCCTCACGGATTCCCCATCTCTCAGCCAGCAGCTCCTCGAGAAGATGTGTAAACTGCGATCACTATGCGCAACTTTTGTTGACATTGGCAAGACACGTATGCCTCTGGTCTACACTCATTTTGTTCAGATCTTGGTTGACACATTTGTCTTGCTCTCCCCATTTGCACTCTATGGAGACCTTGGTGTTTACTCCATCTTCTGTGTAGGAATGATCACTCTGTTCTACACTGGGCTCCTTGACCTTGCCAAAGTCTTTTTGGACCCACTGGACAACCAAGTGTATTCCAAGAAATCAGGCAATTTGGGTGTTGACCTAGGCGTCCTTACCAGCGAGTCAAATGCGGCCTCAGTTCATTTCAAGGACTTGGGTGCTATGCATCCTTTTGAAAGAAGCATATCAGCTCTTCACAAACAAGGTGAGAGGTGACTTCAACCTCTCTCTCTCTCTCGAACTCTCTCTCTCGAACTCTCCCAAATCCTTAGATCTTAGATCCATCACTTCCATCCTCAAACTTCCTGCCTCCCTGCATGGTTCTGCTTCAACTTGGATCTCCTGAATCCTGAAATCTTGGATCCATCACTTCCATACACAAACTTCCTGCCTCCCTTCGTGTCCTTCTTCAAGCAGATATTAGACTCTCTAGACAAAAGTAGACGTAAACATAAGATATCGATGAGAGTGGTTAGTGGGCTACTGCACATTGGGGTTTTGGTCTCGAAAGATGTAGCCAAGCTGCGGTGAGAGGCATGCAGTAGTTTGGATATCAACCCTCTTCGTCTCTGTTTCTACAGTTGCATGTCGATCACTTCGCTCTGCTGTGATCTTGGAAAACTCATATGTGTGTGCGAACTTAATACACTAAAGTAAAGTAGGTTTCTGGACTACTATGTGTTGACTCAGTGAAGTTGGCACCGCCATCTAGCCTTAGACAGGGCGTTGAGACGACGGCTGTAAATAAAAGACTTCCCAGCCACAATGAGGTCACTTGTCAAACAATGCTGAGCACTCGAGTCGAGCCCTAGCTAGTACTCGGAGTACTTGTTCTCGCATCGGAACAGTATCTTTGGCGGTTGGCGAGAGCGAATCCTCCCCTCACAATTTTTTGGCTTTGCACAAGCCAACACGCCGAAAGTAAAATCGTTTTCTAAAACCACCATGAACAGGATTTTTCTACGTTTTCTGCTCCATCTCTTGTTGATGCTTGTGATCTCTGCGAAGAAGGCTGATGACTCCTATTGGGAGATAACGCATGCCTTGGACAAGCCTGCTTACTGCGAGGTAACATTTGAATGAGGTAGGAACGTCCGACGCCGCGAATCCCGAGGAACGAATTCGGGAGTACAGAACGGTTTGCCGCCCAAAGAGGAGCGCCGCCTTGGTTGGAGCCAAATAAATGTGCAAGATTACTGACAATCAGGTTCGAACAGAGGGAGAGACTGCCAGGATGTAGTGCAACGATGTTACGTATGCACAGAGTGCCGAGGCTGATCAAAAGATCCGCGGAACAGAACAAACAGACAACTTGGTCAGGGTGGAAGTGTGGAACACTGGCTCAGGTACTGACGCTGATGATGACTGCGAAGTTTGGATTGGACACATCAAAGTGAAGAATGCCTCAAACGGTAAGTTTACCTCGAGTCATCCATCCTGCCAGTACCTTACGATACGAATCCGCCTGAGGCTGACGCTTCGTTCTCCGTACTATTTCGTCTCTCTCACTTCTAAAGGCAAAAAGGCAGGTGCTAGTCACTTCAAACCACGAAACAAAAATGATGACGCTTGGATGTTTGAGCATTTGGACAGCAACGTCAACAACCACTGCTACAGGAACTTTAGGATTTCCCAGAGCAACGACAATGACGCAGACCACATGCTCTCCATTTTTACCAGGGGATCTGGATCAAACTGTTGGTCGGTGGAAAAGTAATCGATAGTTAATGCATTGTGCAGCCAGGCCGTTTTAGGACGAATGAAAACAAGTCGACATTGCAAGCTGTAGCAGCTGGACTGGGGCTTTGGGGCGTGAGAATCGGCGTGGAGCCTGCTAGAAATCGTAATATATACCCCAGGAATTCTCTTCAAGAAACACAAGTGCCCGTGGCGAGCTAGACTACTAGTACCAGCCAGCTACCAGCCAGCCACTCTTCGAAATTGAAAGAGACTCCACGCCGTGGGAACGCGGAACACGTTGGAAGCATTCGTTTTTTTTCAGCGCTCGTCTCCTGTATCCCTTTGCCTCAGTTTGGATCCTTATGACGAATAGGGTACCTGGTACCAGTCAATCCAGCCATTGCAGCCGGCTACAGTGGCAGCAGTACCGAACACACTCAGGTTCGGCTTTGCTCGCTACACTTCGTTACCAGTACTTTGCATTGGATCCTTATGACGAATACATGCACAACCGAACATTATGAATCCAGCCATTGTAGCCGGCTGCGGTATAGCTACATCGACGACGATGGCAACAGTACCAAAAGTTCGGCTTTGCTCGCTACGGTTACCGGTACCTCGCATTGGATCCTTATGATGAATACATGCACAACCGAATATTGTCAATCCAGCCATTGTAGCCAGTTACCGTAGAGTTACATCAATCGGTGACAGTGGCAACAGTACCGAACACACTCAGGTTCGACTTTGCTCGCTGCAGTCGGTTACCTCGCATTGGATCCTTATGACGAATACAAGCACAACCGAATATTGTCAATCCAGCCATTGTAGCCAGCTGCCTGCTATAGCTAGTGGCAACAGTACTTGACTTGCACATACAGGAAAATGGGTACCGACACAGGAATCACCACCAAAACAGTAGGAAATAATAAGAAGGATGAATCGGTAGGAGGATCCACTCTCTTGTGGTTGTCGTGTGTCGTATAGCTCCTCCCCGATTGACGACTGTTGCCATTAATGACTCGACGATGTTCAGGCTGGTGATAGGGCTTGAGTTAACAGGCATCCTCTTGTTTGTAGCGATCGATCGAAGCCTCTCCTCTTGTTGTCCGGAGCGACCGAAAAGGACTCGACAATGTAGTTCGCCGGCCGTCAGCAGTAAGAGAAGAGAAAGTAAGAAATAGCTATGGTTTTCTCTTCTATTCTGACACTGAAGAAAACCGGCGACTTACCCTTGTTCTCCAACTTGGCCGTCCATGGCTGAGAACTGACTGCCATCCCATGGTCCATAGGATTCAATGAGGGATGGCTCTCGAATCTGCACCGGAGACGACCGGCTTGAGTGAGGCTTGGATAATATGGTACCGGTACCGGTAGAGGTGCGACTGACTCGTCACTCGAATAATTAAAACAACTCACCTGTTGATGGCCGAGATCTGACTGCCTTCCCACGGTCCATAGAAATTCAATGAGGGGTGGCTTTCGAATCTGCACCTTCAATAACAATCTTGATAATAGAGGCTTACCTCGTACAGTACCGAACCAGTCGTTCGATCAATCGATCGATTCAACATTGTTGTCGGCCAAGCTTGGATTTACCTCCTGTTTACCATACGAATTCAATGAGGGAGAGAAGTCAGTGCTGCGCCTTCAATAATGGACTTTGGCTCGACTGAGGGACCATCGGTACTCAATCAGTTTATCTTTAACCTTAGTAACTTCAATGGTTCTTTTATCCACGAATCGATCTAAATCTTTTGAAAGGGAACTTGTTACTTAACGATACACATGACCGTTGATTCTGCAACTGAAGTGCGGGTACACTAATTTAGACAGTAAACGCGAGCCAATCGATTTCAGAGTGCAACTGAGGGGGTAACCAAAAGGTGCGTCGTCTCACGGAGACGAAATAAACTCCAACCTTATTTTTCTCAAAGAATCGGGGTTCATCTTTGCCGTCGTTCTTCATTCTTCATCCGCCAAGAGCACCGCCAATCCCCACTCAATACTTCTTGATACCTTCACGGCGCCAGACTTTTAGCTTGCCCAGCAACTGCAGAAGTCCCAGAGCAAGGGATAGTCTGGATATGTTTGGCCAGGCCAATCCGTCCAATTCCCATGTCCAGCATAATTTTCTCGTTTTCGGCGTGGCAGTTGTGTCGGGTTAGGTTTACTCGCATCCACCACCACCAAAGGCAGGCTGGCAAGGCTCAAGTGCTCTTCCACTGATGAAGATTGTTACTGCATTGCAGTCGCAATCTTGGTTCCAATTTTGGAAGGATCTGGGCGCAAGAAAATGCAAAAGATGCCGCGAACACCGATCGTCAAGGTGCTCTTACTGTTGGACTTTACTAGTACTCGGGCTTGAACCAGCGGCTTCCACCTCAACTAAATGATGAAAATGGTCGATCGCTCTGCCGTTCTCGGCCTCGGTGGATTGAGCTTGGGGTTTGCTTTGCTGTCCTTGATGGTCCAAGCTTTACGCATGCTTTTGATGATGAATGGGCATTTACTCAACACTTATGCCCAGTCCAACTCAAGTGCAACAAATACTCCAGCTGCAATGACCAGAAGGTCAAGTCATTCAAAGGGGCGCGCTGGATGATGCAACCTATCAACCCCCCAATATCATGATAGTGTGTTGTTCTTGCCAACATCGTGGGCACATGTATGCATCATCCAATCTATCAAATCTCAATCAACATGCTTCCGCGGTCGTCTTAGTTGGCATGCCGCCGAGCACTGCAAGAGGTGTACATACTACGGTATGTACAAATCTTCCAAAATCAACAACCCATCATTCCGATTCCATTTACTTTCATTAGGAAGAAACCTGAAAACGTCACATGAGCACCCAGACGGGGGTCCTCCCCATCTTTCTTCTCCGAGAAGGCTTAATCTGAAAGGTGCCAAAACCCCTCCTCGCCCACAATAAGCGCTCTGCGTGGTCACTGTCCTGGGTTCAAGGGATGCAAACTTCATCGTCAAGAGAGCCACCTATCTGTATGGTACGGGCTCTTCTTGGTTTGCTTGCGTGCTTCCCAAGCAAGCTGTTCGACCGCTCCCAAATGCACGGTACCGTATATCAGCAGCTCGCCCGCAAATTCACCATTATTGACATGAGGGTGCCATTGTGTGGATGAGACCGCAAGATTGCTACCACAGTGGACTCCCGTATGCGCAGAGTCGAGTCAGTGAAAGGAAATTGGTTGTATCATGGCAACTAATGAAACAGAACATGTCGTTTGGTTTGGCTATTGGCAGCCAGCCAGAGTGAGAGTCACATTGCAGTCAAGGGATGGAGAAAACCGATACGTCGACACTGTGAAGTGCATCAGCACTGTGAAGAGGGGGTTCTATGGCTGGTCCCGGCCATGACAAAGTACGAAGGAGGTATGCTCTCGTCCTCTCAAGGAAAATGTCGGCATCATTTCTTCCAACAACGCACTCTGCCAGAGAGAACACTCGCGAGCTGCATGCATGGTCTTATGCTGCGTCCACTCCTGATCTGCTGCAGCAGCGTGTTCTGTCATTGCTTCATTGCCCCCAACCACCGTCTTTTTCATGCGTGGGAGCTGCATGCATCGAGGTCCTTCTCCTCCCGTGCTTGCCATGCCTTCACCACGCGTCGTTTATTGTTCAAAAGACGCACACTTTATCGAAGATCTTTTGCAAGAACTGTGTTCGAGTCGAGTCGAGTGACAGTCCGCTGAGTCAACAACGGAGACTCACGACGACCACAAACGAAGCTGCAGAGTGATTCGATCACAACAACAATCTGCGAAGACAAGGTTTTCAGAACCAAGACCAAGCCAAGCGACCGTATTCTACTGGTCCCATCTATCTATCCAAGCTATCCATCGCTCTCTCCTCGCATTATCTTCATCTCAGCTCAAGTGCAACAATGGCCACAGAAGAAACCAAACTGTTGGCGGATGACAATGGCACGCGACGAGCATCTCTGACAGCTCGACAAGCCTTTGAAGGAGCCGATGCCAGCGCGTCTCGTGCCTATCACGAAAGCAAGGGTCAATCAGACGAAGCCCATCAGAGCGAAGGAGGTCTGCTCAAACCAATTATCTTTGGCGGTCTCGACGGTATATTGACGTCCTTTGCCATTGTGGCGGGATCGGCCGGAGGCAATCTGAGTCCCAACATTGTACTCGTCTTGGGATTTTCCAACATTTTTGCCGATGCTCTGGCCATGGGAGTGGGAGAATTCTTGAGTTCCAAAGCCAACAATGAATGGATCATGAGTGAACGAGCACGAGAGAATTGGGAAATGGAAAATTTCCCCGAAGGAGAAATTGCCGAAATGATTGATATTTACAAAGAGCGGGGAATGGGAGCTGCCGATGCCGAGATGGTCGTCAAGACAATGTCCAAGTACAAGGATTTCTTTGTCGATATCATGATGTCACAGGAATTACAATTGCAAGTCCCGGAAGAAGATCATGTCACAGAGTCCATGAAGGAGGGATTTGTCATGTTTTGCAGTTTTGCATTCTTTGGAGCGTTACCCCTGCTGGGATATGTCATTATCCCATCCATGTACCCGGAGTTGGGAGAACACGAGCTATTTGTGACGGCATGTGTCGTCACGGGATGTGTCCTATTCTTGATGGGATCCATAAAGAGCTTTTTCTGGTAAGTAAGCAGTGGCGCGAAGGGTGTCTGTGAATTCACACGATTGCTTGCTTGTCGTATTTCGGATTCTCTCACATCTCGTGTTGTTTTGGGTGTGTCCTCTCTGTGTGTGTCGGGGACAGTTCTCAGCATTGGCTCAAGAGTGGTCTCGAGACATTCTTCCTGGGTGGAGCCTGCGCTACTGTCGCTTTCACCGTCGGACAATTTGTCGACCAATTGATTGGCGATGATGCCCCCGATTTGTAAGAAATTGTACCCCAAAGCAACAACAACAACAACAAACAGTCAATCAGTGTCACAGTGTAAACACAATCACCAAGACTGGGAGAGAATTACCGGTAGGAGGTGATCGATTACCTACCTTTTGTTTTCTTACACCATAGAACCAACCAGCCATCCTTTCACGAGCTACTGGAGAAGAGCTACTCATCTATCATCTTTGGACAATCGCTATTTACCAGGCCAGTAGCCATCTTCAGCTGCTGCAAGACAGATTCTGGGTTGCTTCACTCTCTTTCGCACGATGTCAACCAGCATAATTGAATCGAACCGAATCCATAAACTAAAGCAATGTACTGTAGCACTACCGTACTTACTTCCGGTTGCATTCCATGATCTCATTCGCGGCACAACCCGAAACATAGGTAGCTCACATGTCACATGCGTTATCCACCAGCTTTTTGTGCATGGAAAGTAACCCTGCAGTTTGGCACATCGTCTCATGTCGCGTTTGCTTTGGCAGGGTGTATCAGCCAGTGGGTGAACGACACAGGCTGGAACTTACAGGCTCTTTCACGTGCGCTGCTTGAAAATCACCCTGCACCTTTGTCTCATTTCGGTAGTCTCAACAGACAGTGACAAAGTTTTTATGGTTTGCTTTGGCGGCAGGGTGCATCCATGTGAACAACACCGGAACTTGCGGGATCTTTCAAAGTCAATAAAGCGGGGTCTAAACTCTAAACGCACTCAGACGGGATGTTGGACGCGTTGGGGTCCTTGGGTTTGACGATCATTCCCTTGGACTCGACCTCTTGAGTCTATTCCCACCCATAGCCTACTCAAACCCCATTGTAACCTGATTTCGTATCCCTTGGAGGGCTGCTTGTTGCAATGATAGATGGGGCAGTACCTTGGGAAGCACTCGCCGTCGAGGACAGACAATGCGTAGGGTGTGTGCTGCATTGAACCCGTTGAAACGGCACCCTTTTGCAGAAGAGTCCCATTCAGATTATGGGAGCTTCAATCTGGATGCCGGCAGCCATGCCCAAATTCCTTTGCGTTATTCCATCGCAGCAGTACGAATGTAGTTCTGATATACTAGACCCTACCCAGTAGCTATGAGATGGCAACACTGGAGTAATGTCTGTCTTTTGTTCATTTTAGTACAAGTGCACATTATATTATACTATAGCGGGTGTTTTTCAAAACTGGTAGAGCATCTTATCGGTGCAAGTAGAGATCCCTTGTTGGTGACCTTGTCAGCTGTGTAATGGAGGGAGTGGGGGATGACTTGGTCGGACTCCCTCCACGAACTAGCGATTTGTCCTTGCTGCTGCTGTGGTATGTTCGGCTCGAGTCGCTGAGGATATCAATGCTTCGGGGCATTGCATTGCTGGAGACTCGAAGGGGTCCAAGGTCGCTGATAATGGCCAAGTTGGCCGAGGGCAATGACTGAAGCCGATAGGGACTGCCAGGATCCGACATTTGTTGCACACTCATGTTGTTGTTGGAGTGGCTCAGGTTGTGAGAATCATGGTTGGAGCAGAAGCTCATGTGGTGGCTGGACAGGTTCATGGTGTTGGAACTATTGTTCCACTTGGAAAAGCTGGCCACGGAATCCACCCGTCGAGGCATTTTCGGTGGCATGGTATCGCCATCGTCGTCGGTGCGAAACGAGCCTCTTCTCTCTGGTAATTTGGGACATGAAGCATCCTGACAAGGTCGGCTAGGTGCTTTTGGACTCACATCCTTGGCTGCATGAGGAGTAGTCACTTCCGTTGGATTCCAGCGTTCAGCTTCCGACGGAGCGGTAGTGTCGTTGTGGGTTGAGCCAGAGGAGCTTGGAGTCTCGTCACTAGCATCATGCGATGTGGCGTTGTCAGGAAGGAAGATGTATTCGGGGATCATGGTGTCTCTTGTCTCTTCACAGTAATGCGCTGAGTAGGAAGAGCCGAAGTTGATTGCCAGTTTTGGTGGCGAAGATTTGTGGCAAGACAATTTTAAAGTTGGATCCTTTGACTTCGGTTGCGCTTCGCACTGATCTTTTTGAGTTGGAGCTCCGCATCCGGTAGAAAACAGCTTTGAAAACATAAAGAACCTTCACACTTCGCATGTGGAATCCCTTGGAATCTCGGTGCCGAGTGACTATTCTGCATGACCGTACTCTAAGTATTTTAGTCATTAATGAAAGAACGGGAATGAATAATGAAAACAAGTTAACAAAACCTTGAAGAATGACAAGGCTATTTTACTTAATAGCGAGAAGTCATTTGTTCCTCATTTGAAGTTCAAGTCAAGTAGTTCCTTTAGAACCCAAAGTTGGCGTTCTTGTCAGAATGTCCTACGCAGCTACTCCAGTACTTTGGTTGATTTAACTCTGTACGCTGGACATCTACTAACCTCTTCTACCATAAAGTAAGTGTACGCTGGACACAAAAGCATCTAAATCTTATCTTCTCCGCTCTGAGAAGGGAAAGAGGAGGAATCAGAAAGCGCGTACTGTACCACTGAACCGAAAATCGAGCATAAGCTATGCACACAACCCACAGGAGCAGCGTTCTACACCAATACAACATGCTGCAGCCTCCAAGGAGCCACAGCCAAACAGAGAGAAAAGCAGCTGCTGGGTGCTGAAGGCTGACGGTTGCGGCGTTGCGGCACGCCTAAGCATGATGGAAAACTTGCGAAGATGGGAAGAATGGTGTCAAGAACTGTACGGTACAGAGTACATGTACACAGGTATCAAGTGTCAACTTCCAAGCAAGGTTCCTGGCTTGTCGATATTGGCTCGATGGCGAAAGATATTGGCTGTAAATGTCGCCTTCATGTACTGGCTCATTGCTATCGCCATCAAAAAGCAAACGATTGCAGCCAATTTACTTCGGCCCTTTTTGCAAGATCCAAGGGCTTGGTGCCCTCCTCAGCATGATGCTAGTATCTCTGCTTCTGCGAGAGCAATTCGTCCGTCTTTCGAGCCGGGGGGCCCAAAGTGCCTGCACTGTTCCATGGCTGGATTGTACATGGACACAATACACAACTACAATTAATTCTTGGTTCGCCTCTTCGGGGAGGAGAGGGAAAGGTGTGTACTGTACTAGTAGACTGTAGGCATGAAGCTCGTTGCACTTGGTGCACGCAGCATTGGCTATTGGCTGGGCAGGCAGTATGAAAGTGTCATGTTGATCGAATGGAAGGTTAAGCTTGGGAGGTCGTGCAAAAGCAACTGCATGTAGGCCTACTAGCTAGGCTAAAAGCAAGGCAGTCTTGCTACTACCACCGGTAGATCGTTTGATTCCTGATCTTTGGGTCGCCTTTTCTGATGATTCAAGCCCCTAGCCCCGGGCTGAAACTAGAAATATCGCACTTTTCTGGAAGCAAGGACGAGCACGTGAGCAGTGGCTGGAGTCGAGTCGAGTCGAGTCGATTGCTACCGGTACCTGGTATGTCCCATTGAATATTTGACCAATTTCACCCTTGAAGAACCTGCAAACATCTTCTGGAGTGTAAATTGCATAGAAGTAGGTTGGTTGTCCACGACTATGAATAACAACAACAACAATGATATCAACACTGATCCAAACCTAGGTTCTAATATTTACCTTTGCCAATGCATCAGATGCGTTGTCCCCTTCGTTTGCCACCACACATCCTCAGCTCAAGCTACAAACAGGCCCAAGAATTCCTTGACATTTTCATTTTCCAGCACTGGCAACCTTCAACTTGATGTCGTCTTTCGACATTGGACCTGGCAGTGATGGCACACAGCCAAACATCTCAAGCAGCATGACGGTAAGGAGCAGAAAGTCTGTCTCTTGCTGGGCAAGATGACCAGCATCGCTTGGATAGTATGAGTGTGTATGCTCTCGTACCTCTTCACCGGGCCTTGACGCACCCCCATAGTCACCAAGAAGGCGATCACCCTGCCACAAGAATACGTTGGATGGCTTAATGTCCATGTGACAATATCCACACTCATGCATTCTAGAAATTGCTGCCTTGAGCTGATTCCCATACCGGAGAAGTACCTCTTCCGTCAGCTGGATTTTGCACCGAGAAAGGGTCGATTGGTACATCTGCATAAGAATTCCTCCGTCGAATTCACCTGCATCGTTGTGGCCACCTGACATGTTCCCAACCTGAACTCTTGGTGCACGTTGGAATTCTAGTCTTCTTAATGGAACAAGATGATGACTGTGACCTCCAGCACTCCTAATTGCATCCCAGACACTCATTTCATGATCAATGCCCTTCTTGTCTGTGATTTTGAGCAGGCAAGGGCTGCCATTCTCAAAGGCTTCCATGATAATTGACTTGCTCGAGCATGCACCGCTATAGATTTCCTTAATAGCAATATTTTCCTTCGTGAGCTCTATCTGTGTCACTGAGCGGGGGGTCTGGGACGCCTGCCTCCCGGTGCAAATCAGCGGCCTGATCAGGAGTGTTCGTAGAAAGCATTCGGGAGGCAAAATGTTTTACAACAACCTTCATCACAGCCGCCGAGAGGTTGATAGCCGCAGATTCTGCTAGCCGCCGGAAACGTTCCTGTGGATGCTCAATTTGGTCTGGAGCAGGCGCCACCAAAATCAGGGGAGATGCAATCGTTGCTCGTTTGGTTTCGTCTTCTGTTGTACGGGAATAATCATTGACTTGTGTGTCCCCCGGTACTAGTAGATCAGGCACAGTATCGAGAATTGGCACTGGGGTCCCAGGAGGGTACACATAAATCTCATCCTCAGGCGCGTGGTCGAGTTTTGGCTCCAGCCTTGTCTTTACCACACCTCTTTTAATTTTAAAAGGCAGCAATAATTCCTCCAAACTTAACTTCGGATACTTCAATAGGAGTAGGATTGCCCTTCTTCTCGTACAAATCGCGAAAGTAGAGCTGAACCCAAACAGGTGGAGTAGACATGGTGCATAGATAGTATTGGTGGGTGGGGTCCTTTTGCGATAGAATAAACCTTGTTGCCTTGTTGCCTGTGTTGTTGAGGCTGCGCGTGGGTGGACGAGATGGCTGTCTGTTGTGCAGTGAAGTTGGGACCTGTGACTGGGTCTACGTCATGCGTCAATGCTGCCTCTCAAGTTATGGCCAATGAAGGAGGTAAATGGCAGTCACGACCATCACAATGATGTTTGAGCAGGGAAAAATACAAGCCCATCGGCGGCTTTCTGTGCCTTTGTTACCTAGCTAGCTAGAGCCCCCACGCTTCAATGCAAGCACGCACATTTTGTTACTAGTAACTGTAGTTTGCCACTGGAAGAGCGGTTGAGGAACAGTTATCCTAGCTCGCGTGCGTTCAGCGTGGAGACTAGTAAAGGTTACTGAAATCGATACAAGAATATTTGAACTGTGCGCCAAAAGTGCACGGAGGTCCGGCACGCTCGGTTCAGAAACAGAAATGCCCGCGAAAATTTGAAAAAAGAGAGCGAAATTGGTTGACACACAATTTGCTCATTATTCGAGTTTGACAACAAACGAAAAGGATCTATCCACTACAACAGCTACTAGTACAACTAACTTCTACCAGTCAAAGATGAGCAACCAGGAAGACAACGTCATCAGTCTCACTGAAGAAGAATTTTCAGCGGAATTGGACGCCATTGCGACGCAAGCCTTCGCCAAGGTGAGCCAGCAACCCAGGTTCTCCGGCTTGCCTCAAGCAGAGAAAGATCGCATCATGGAAACGTTTTTCACGCAAAAGGAAGCAGCGGTGGAATACTTGGGGCGATTGGCGGAGTTTGGTGAGATTCGTCCTGAGGATATCCAGCGAATGTTTCGGGGGCTCGGGAATAACTAAGAATCAAAGCTACCGGTATGGTATGGTATGATCTATTCGCTGTTTGTCTGTGGATTTGGAGAACAAGTCACTGTTGAAGGGAGCATCGTAGCTACTAGCTAGTAGACTAACACAACCTACTACTAGAGTTCTAGTTGATGAAAACATCTTTTACATATTATACTGTGTTTAGTCTGCCTTGGTTATCGTTGCTGCCAAGTGCGAGTCTCGGTACATGTAGCAGCTATTATTTGCAGTGAAGTAGCCTCCGGACCAACGCCACTGAAGACCGGCTCAGTGTCAGGATTCCACTGCCATTTGTTTACATCCCAATGTGACCAAGCTCATTATCTAAGTCTGTGCCTCGCTTTTGGTACACGTACATGTACATGTATCATGATCCAGACCGTGCTGTCTTGTTGTGTGAGCGGAGATTTCTTCAGTTTTTAAGACGCACATTTGTACTCTTGCGTGACGTATTTCCGGCATCATGGGAAGCGAAGCAACAGCTGGCTGCTGCCTCGAGTGATGCTGTTTATGCTGATGTGGCCGTGCTTCACTTATTCATTGGGTTGCTGCTGTTGTTGGCGTGGCGTCCATTGACTCTCCTGCACTGCACTGTGGTTTATTCTATCGGGATTGGCGTGAATACAGCCGATGATGCTGCACTGTCAGATTCGGTTTTGAGGAACGCAGAGAGTTCCATTCGAATCATTCCACACAAAGAAGAGATCTTCTATCGGTATTGTAGTCATCCAGAGTCCAGTCTTCCAGAGGTCTTCCTACTAGCTAGCTAGGTTACCAACATCGCGCTTGGATACACACTTAGTTCATCTATCTATCGATCAATACCTTGCCTTCTTCATTTGTTCTATATCTTCTGTGAAAGATGGCGTTGTTCTCTACCGCCTTTTCCTCGAGCGAAGAAGCCGAAAGGAGTCGAAAGAGAAGGCGTCCCACCGAGTCCACCGCTCCAGGATCTTGTTGGCTGGCGGTGGTCGCCACTCTAGCAGTGATTGGCAGTGGCCATTCCGTTGTGGGGTTCACTCATCCTCCTCGAGTCAACAGCAAGCGAACGGGATCCTCTTTATGGAGTGCCACCGCGACGGCGGACCGCAAACAACAGCAACAACAACAAGACCTCTCGTCTGCCAATGTTTGTCTGGAACGCATCTTGCGAACACTGGAAGATGGCGAGACGTCGACCGCGGGAATTGGGTCCAGTAGTAGCAGCTTGCCTCCGTGGCTGGAACGATATCAGGAGCACCAGCCAACGCAACCCTCCGTGTCAATCGAAGAACTGGACGAGCTGGAAATGACACTGACGGCCAGTGGCTTTTCGTCTGACGATGTCCGCGAAATTTTGCAAACCATGGTCTTTTACACGACGACCACTTCTAGCTTTGACGACGACGACGACGACGTTTCGCTCTTGCGGGGAATGATTGATTATGTCCAGCTCATACTCGATGAGCGATGCCATTTTGAAAGTCTCGTCAGTCAACCGGGAGAGACAGAACCAGATGATGTATCGTCTATGATGAGCCAAATGCATCAAGAAGTGTTTGCCAGCAAACCTGTCATTTTGGCAGGCATCGTTCATTTTGCCGAGTGCATGGCAGCTCGCGAGGCAGGAGTCTACGATTGGTTGGAACGATCCGTGCAGAAACAGAAACATCGACGGGATGCACCGAAGAGTAGAAAACCGGCTGCCTCATTGTCGTCGTTGGGATTGGAAGAGTTTCAAACGTCCTTGTTGGTTCCCAGCACGGCAGCCGTATGCCGGTATCCACCCCACTTGTCACCGACGGCACACAAGATTGCGGCATCGGCGGCCACCATCAAACGAGCCGAAATATTGGCCAATACCGTCATGGGAGTGGGCAGTACGCGCCGTCTTTCCAAGGAACAAGCCGAAAAGTTGCAAGGATTGTTGCTCAGCAGCATGGATGATTGGAGAGCTCTGGCATTGCGCTGTATCGCCAGTCTGTTTCGACTCGAAGGGATCCTACAACAGCAGCAGCAGCTGCAGTCGTCACCATTATCAAAAGATGAAGACGACGACGAGTCCTTTGCTCCGCTCTTTCATGGACTGAGATCACCCCAGGTGGTGCACACGGCTCAAGAAGCCATTCTAGTTTACGGGACACTAGCGCAACGACTGGGAATGTACCCGCTCAAGGCCAAGATTGAAGAACGTGCCTTTCAAATTCTCTATCAACGGCAGTTCAGGGCGGTGTCATCCGTGTACCAACAGAATGGAAATGCCATGCAGGCCATCAAGTCCTATTTGTCCACACAGATTGATGCACTTTTGCGGAGCGATGCGTCGTTAATGGCGCACATTGACGATATTCAAATCAGCAGTCGGGTCAAGGAACCCTATTCCTTTTGGAAAAAGTTGCTCAAGTCGCAGACGAAAAAGAAGCAAAAGCAGCATTTACTGGAAGGTGGATCGTCCACCAAGACGGCTTCCAACTTGTCCTTTGCCGAGGTCAATGACGGTATTGCGCTACGAGTCATACTCAAGGCCAAAAAGGAAACTCCCGAGGAACCCGACGAGACGACACGAGCACGGGAAAAGTTGCTCTGTTACTATGTGCAGCATTTGATTCGACGGTATTGGCCGGGAGATCAAGATCGTGTCAAGGATTACATTCAATACCCCAAGCCGAATGGGTACCAGAGCCTGCACTACACGGCATACTTGACCTACTTTACGGGAGAACAATTCCCCTTTGAAGTGCAGGTGCGAAGCGAAGAAATGCATCGGATTGCCGAGTACGGCGTTGCCGCGCACTGGGATTACAAATTGGCATCGACTACTGAAGAAGAAGATGCCAAGAGCACGGACAGAAAGGCCATGTTTGCCATTGAAGCTGCGGCAGAAGTGGTGGAACCCAGCGTGAACACCGATGAATCGGAATCGTCGCCAGAGGCTGTCGATGTTGTCCCCATCACAACGATTGCAGAGCTGGATGCCATTCCTCAGCCGTTTACATTTGATGAGGTGATTTTGGAACCCTCCATTGTGTACAATGGACCCAATTCTCTGATTAGCGACAAGGTTGATTTCCAACAGGTAGCTTCTCAGCCGGAACCGAAGAACAAGGCGAGGCGCAGCAGCAATCAACAATTTGAATACATTGATGCGCTTGTGACGGCGCAGAAGAAGCTCACACAAGAACGGGTGTACGTGTTTGTAGCCGGTGCTGCATCGCTTTCCATGGATCAGGGACAACTGGTAATTTTGGAGTCGGGTTCGTCGATCCGTGATGCGCTGGAGTACATGCAAGAGACGGTTCCAGAAGTTTTCTCTCAAGAGAGCAAAGTTTTGGAGGTATGCGGCCGCGAAAGTGACGACGTCCGTGAACCGTGTTCGTCTCCTCCGTCGGAGCCTCGTGTCTGGCGGAACGGACAGCTTGCGCAGCTTGGTGACTGTATTCGGAACGGAGATGTATTGCTGATGGAGCTGTAGAAGGAATCTTGTAATGTACACTAGTACCTTGTTTGCTACTTTTGCTGTCGAGAAGCATCCATAACCGAGCCGTTATGATATATGATGCTCACAATTAATGACCGTAGCTAGTTAACAACCCCTTCACTCGTCATCGGCATCGTCAAATTGTCCCACCGACTGCAGCGGCTGCGAAGCTGCCTCAGCAACATTTTGATCAGTCTCTGATGATGGCTTCCCTTGGGGGGTCTCGTTTGGTGGTTGCTGATCCTTCGCAACCATTGAGTCCTCCTCCTCTTCGGCATCGGAAAACTGTCCCACTACGGTTTGCAGCTTTGATTTTGAAGGAGTTTTCCTGTCTGTTCCCCCATAATTGGAATTTCGTTGCTCCTTCTTCCCCTTCCTGCCAGCTACACTTCCATTTCTATTTGACTGCAATTCCAACAGTTTGGCGACGTGTTCAAACAACCGTTTGCAGAGTTTCAACTTCTCCTCTTCGCTATCATGGACTGGGACAATGGTGATTTCTCGTGCAGCAATGGACTCTTTGCCGTTGACTCTTTTTTCTTGCAGGTACACCGACACTGGGTCGTTGGATTGGGCATGAAATTGGAGGAATTCCGCCTGAACGTCAAAGCTGCCGCTACTTTGCTTCGATTCTACCAGAGCTTTCGAGCCATTATTGTTGTCGTCGTCGGGAAGGGTAACGTTAGCTTTCTCCCCAGTTTGGTTCGTCTGGGCAACAAAGTGACACCGTTGAGACGTGATTGTAAGTATCATTTGGACAGGAGTATGCTCTGGTTTTACACCGCCAACACCATCAGTGCAATCAGTCTCCATTTTGCCGTCATGGTTATCGTTTTCTTCTTTCTGCCCATTCACGCAGCTGTGCTCTGGTTTCTCACTACCAGCATCATCATTGTCATCGCCATCAGTCTCCATTTTGTCGTCATGGTCATCATTTTCTCCTTTCTGCCCATTCACGCAACTGTGCTCTGGCTTTTCCCAAGCAGCATCATCGCCGCCATCAGTCCCAATCTTTTCATCTTGCTGGATTGCATCAGTTTTATCCATCTTCTCTTCCTCTTTGCTGCCCTTGAAAGATACTAGAACCGGCATCGGTTCCATCAGCACCATTTCTTCCTTGGAGTCGTTGCCCCCCAAATCCCCGGGTGTCCATCCCATGTGTTCCGAAGCGTGCTTTCCCAAAAAGTCCCACAGAGCTTCAGGGCCAGGATTGTCCGTGACCGTACCCCCCTCGTCCCATGTTCTCGTTGTTTGTCGCTCGTTCCAAAAGGCAACAAGCTTCAGGAAGAAGTTCATTTGTCGTTGATGATTCACCTCATCGGCCGTGTCCGGTTGTTGCCCATTCATGGGAGGAGGATGCAAGGCATTCTGTTGGAACGACGTCTTTAGTTTTTCGGGCGAATCATCAATCAAGAGTGTATTGTAGCAATTCCACAAGTGATAATCCTTCCAGATCTTGTCGAGATCCTTTCGAAAGACGGATTCTCCATCGTCCTGGACGACAGTCTTGCATCGATTTTGTCCCCACACGAAAAGCAATCGCGAGGCAATGGCCGGGGGAAAGAGACCCGCTACCAAATGTTTGGCCGTTTTGGCATGAGCCGATGTCCAGACAGCCAAACAAAAGTGGGCATCCAAAAAAGTCAAAAAGGACGTCAATTGTGGTCTGGGAATGACGGGTGTGCATGCCACGGCGCACGTGGCTCGTCGGTACTTGACTGGTAGCTTGTGGTTGGATCGAATGCGATGACAGAGTATCCCATTGATATCCAAGACCAGCAAGGGCTGTGTATAGATATGAGTAGTGGAGGGTGTCAGTTGCAGTCTTAATTTGGGCATTTCATTGGGAGAGGGGAGTGCCGATGTCGTCGTCACGATGGGTTCCGACTCGTCGTCGATGGACATGGTGGGAGTCTTGCTGACGATAATGACAGAATTGGTGTAGTGACAATCCCGTGCCTGGACCATCAAAAACTCCTTTTGCTGCTTCACTTTTTTGCGAGTCTTCTTTTTCAGGCGTTTGCGTTTGGGTTCTTGGGTGGCGGCTGAAGTAGTAGAGGCATCCGTGGTGGTCACGGAAGCTCCTTCGGTCGGACCCTCCTCTTTCTCCTCTTCTTTGGAGCCATTGGTGTCGGTATTGGCAGGATCCGGGTGCGGCCTCTTCGTTGCCATGGCTTCTCTCTTTGTGGACTCAATGAGCTCGTAGTGGTACTAGGCCTTGCTTTGGCTCTACCCAAACATCAAAGAGAGGAGAAGGAAAAGGGCGCAGGTTGATGGGAACGTGGGAACGTGGGAACGTTGGAATTTGGTAATTAGAGAGTGCAGTGAAAGATTTAATAAATTATCCCTTTTAAACCTTCAGTTTTCCAATGGTTTTACAAAGCAACGGGGAGCTCTTTTTGTTGCCAAGGCGCACCTCCGACCTCCGACGACGGATGCTGCTCCTTGCTTTTTTGACAAACCGAGGCCGACCAACAACACACCGTCAATACTAATAAGAATACGATAGACAAGACCTTGGTAACGTAGTTACCAATTTCAGCTTGGATGGATAGTGCGACGCCATGGTGATCCAATTCAGAACATTGTTGTTCAACCGTCTCTTCTGGGCGGCGTTGCTCTTGTGTGCAACCTTTCCAGGAGTTATCGCCACTGCAAACCAAGAGAAAGCTGCAACGACAAACAATGGTGATGGCATTCTGATATCCAAGTTCACCACCATGCGACGGTGGCTGCCAACACAAAAGGAAGGCAGAACTGTGAATAGTAGTGATTCTGTCATTGGCACTCCAAAGGAAAAGCGAAATGTTCGTCAACGGCTGGCCACAACCAGCGATCACGGTCTGCAAAAGTCACAATCCAGCCCTCCCATTGTGATATCACGTCAAAGGATGCGAAAGCATCTTCGGAGAGGCAGCCCCGCCGAGGAAAAGAGAAAACTCCGAAGCAGGGCAAGGCACAAAAAGCTGAACAACATGGATCCTGCAAGGGAGATTGGGGATGGAGCAGAGAATGAGTCAGGAGGGGCAAGCCTGATTGCCAGGAGTAAGGATAGAAGGGGAAAGGATAAACAGAATGCCGAGCTCAATGACCAAGATCAAACAGCTATGGTGGAACTTCTCGACAGCCACTCTGCTGTTGCCTACATGGTGACACCAGAGGAGGCAAAAGAGATGCCAGATACAGTCTACTTTTTGACTGGTGAGCAAGTAGCTGAGTACATTGATTCTGATCCAGAACTGGCAAGGAATAAGGGATTCTCAGAAAATCTCCAGGTAGCAGTTGTCCCATCCACTGCCACAGGAGCTGCTGGGTTGGTTGCAGGAACTTTGATTGGGGCTGGTGGTCTTGCGGTTATCCTATGCATCACTGGGGCCATCTGCTCTGATGCGCAAGAAGTCAGAGTGGATACCAGTGGTACCATGATATTTGAGAATCTAGCACGAGCTCCCACTGAAGAAGAGGAAGCAGGAGTTGTTGTAGAAATGGCCAGGTACTACCAACAAATCATAGCGGAAGCTTTTGGTGCTGTTGCCACACAATCACTGGCATCAGGAGAGGAACCACTGGAAACAACCCCAACACAGTTTATTGACTTTCAGATTATGGATGCAAATTTTAGCACAGCAACTACTGTCCGGAAGACTGTGACTGGAGAGGATATTACTTGTGTATCAACAAGTGACTTCTTGGGTGAATCTATCTTTCTAGTTAATCTCAGACGGCGGCAACGTCGATCCCTTCAGTCAACTGATGGAGAGAAAATGGTTGATACACAAGTTGTAGATCTTGGTACGAACCTCTCTTCCTTTGAATTGTGCCACACAAAGGCAAAACTTCTCTGACATCTACTGCTTTCTTTGTCGGATTAGCCATTCAACGAGCAGACCTTGAGATCTTCCGGACCCAGTATGCAGCTAATGCAGAACCAGAGGATAGCATCTACCGAGATCTGACTGAAGATAGTGTGACTTTTGTAACCACTACAACTCCCGCACCAACAACATCACCGATTCCAGCACCCACAACCACCGCACCAACTGCCCCGCCTGAGATCACAAGAAGAATGGTAGGAGCAAGATTAGGGTATGGATTCTTTTCAGGGACAACCATTCGAGAACCATCTTCTGAAGAATATGCTGGTCTGTTTGAGGTAACAGAGGACTTTTATGATCAGGTGCTTAGCTCAGTGTACCCAGACCTTTTCGTCCCGGGCAGTGTTGTATTGTCAAATGTTGTGACTATATTTGACTGCACAATGCCAGCTGTACTCCCTGAACAAACTCTTCCATGTCCCTCACCTGTCATAGTGGACTTTGACCTCCTTGTCTCATTTGGGGCCAGTGAAGACAACACCCCCTCTGCTGACAGTATCTTTCAAGTGATGGAAGAAGCAGATTATCGAGACTACGTTCAGAACTATGTTTGGAATGCTGAGCCATCGGGGACCATTTTTTCTGCAACACAAAGAGCACGTTTTTCGGAAAGAGGTGGTGACAGCATAACACCCAGTCCAGCACCCAGCAGAATCACGAGCCTCGAACCGTCACCAATCAATCCAAATCCGACCGATCCATCTCCAACCAATCCAGCTCCAATTCCGTTTACATTGCCCCCATTCTCAGTTACATCGCCCCCTATTTCAATGACAATGCCTCCAATCAATCCAAATCCGACCGATCCATCTCCAACCAATCCAGCTCCAATTCCGTTCACATTGCCTCCATTCTCAGTTACCTTGCCCCCAATTTCAATGACAATGCCTCCAATCAATCCAAATCCAACCAATCCACCTCCAAATCCTTTTACATTGCCCCCAATTCCAATGACAATGCCACCGATTCCGTCCACACCGATGTCAATTGCTCCGGTCTTGCCCACAGTGCCCACAGCAGGAAGTCCCACATTACCTGGGTTGGTTTCAACATCAAGTGCAATTAACCTTGTGATGTCTCAGACTTTTGGACGGGTTCCTGTGCAAACAGAAATTGATGGCCTCATGGTCCAGCTAAATCGATTTTACACAGTAGAGCTCATGAATGAATTTGGTGCTGATTTTCTGATGTTGATAGCAACAGAGATCTCTTCCAACAGTGACGTGGCAGGAACATTCACAGCTTGCAGCATCAGGCATGCAGATGTAACATACTTTGTGGAGGGAGCAGATATTCCCTCCACATCTGAAGTGGACGAGGCCATCCAAAATGCTGACTTAACCAGGTTCATTCAGAGTTACCTTCCAGATGTCTTTCCAGAAGGCAGTATTTTCAAGAACACTATCCAAGCAACTGCAACTTCCACCACAGGAAGCCCCACCTCCATGCTCCCATCTGTTACACCCATAACAACGATAACTATTGGAAAACAGCTGGGATATGGATTCTTTCCTGAGACAACTGTTCGACAACCAACACTCCAGGAATTCATGGGACTTTTTGAGGTCACCAAGGCATTTTATGAAAATATCCTCTTCTTGGCTTATCCAGGAATTTACACTAAGGGCAGTCTTGAATTATCAAACATTGCGGAGGAGTTCTACTCTACACCAGTCCCAACAGTTCTTGTGGACTTGGATCTCACAGCCAGCTTTTTCACAGACCATGCCCATGCTCCTTCCTCTGAAAGGATATCCAAAGTGATTGAAGCAGCAAACTACCAAAACTACATTCAGGATTATGTGTGGAATGCAGAGCCAATAGGGACCAGCCTTTTCTATACCACTAACCGTGCAAGTTTGAGCGTCAGAGTTGGTGGTGCCTTGGCACCGAGTGAAGCACCAAGCACTGCACCAAGCACGTCACCAAGCCAGAGACCGCTTCCTTACATTACTGCTGTGGTGACCAGGCGGCCCGTAGGTTGAGAAAGATTTGCATTGATAACCGATAGCCCTTCTAGATCGGACACAAACGAGCTGCTATGGATAGGAACTGTTGCCTTTGCTCCACCACCTGGCTGTCGTAGTGTCTCACCTTGCAAACATCCCATGATAATGGTTCCATTCCGTCCTGCAGAGTTGCTCCATTAAAGTGCAGGCCACAGTTGCAACCAAGGTTAGCTAGCAGCATAGCAGTGGCTCAAATCTATGTGTAGTATGGAATGATAGGATGTTGCCATGCAGAAGAGAAGAAGCAAGACAAAGTAAACTTGGGAACCAAAATGGCTGACACACAAACTGGACAATCATGAAACTAAAGTCAATGTAAACACTGCAACATGCCCCGGAGGCAGTGCAGAAGCAAGCAGCAGTTCCTACGCATTGTAACTTGGCTCTCCTGATTCAGCTGGACTAGTTGGGTGCTCATGCCAATGCCAATGGTCATCGGGGGGAGGGGCTTCACACACAGTGTGAGCGGTGAAGCCGTCAACACAGTTCACTCGACACTACCTGGTAGTAGGTCTAGAAGAATTAATAGCCTTGGGGACTACAGCATTAGTCTCTACTGAAAGCAGTGCTGCTTGAGATCCAAACTCAGGAAGGATCAAAGTGTGGGGGCTAAACTAGGCAGAGTAGGGCACCTGTGGTAGGAAATGTCAGGGAGAGGGAGCAGTAATTTTCAAGACTGCCTGGCAGTCTGGTCGCCACTGCCATGATGTATATAGAGCTAGACGGAGGCTAGGGGCTGAGCGCTGTACTTGGTTCTTGTTGGTCAACAGATCTTTCTCTCAGACTTGCACGGTTGGTGTTGTAGAAAATACTGGTCCCTCTTGGCTCTGCATTCCACACATAAAACATAATGAAGTCATTGTAATTTGCTTCCTCAATCACTCCGGTGATACTGTCGATGGAAGGAGCATGGGCATTGTCTGTAACAAAGCTGGCAGTGAGATCAAAGTCCACGACAACTGTTGGGACTGGATCAGAAGAGAAGTCCTCCACAATCTTTGACAATTCAACACTGCCTGTAGAATAAATTCCTGAATATGCCAAAGACAGGATGCTGTCAAAGAACTCCTTGGTGACCTCAAACAGACTGAGGAATTCCTCAATTGTTGGTCGCCGAGTTGTTGTTCCAGGAAAGAAACCAAGAGCCAGTTGTCGTCGTATAGTTCTTGTGCTAAAGGCCCCTGCAACAGTTTGCGCTTGCATGTCTGAGCCGAAGACTCGAGCGGCTGTTCCACTGGGTGCTGCAAATCTGACTGATTGTCCTCTCGGTCGGAAAACCACCATTTCTGTATCGAAGAAAAGGCTGGTCCCTGCTGGCTCAGCACTCCAGACATATTGTTCAATGTAGGTTCTGTAGGGGAAAAATCCCAATTCTACAAAGATCTGGTCTGCTGTTGGGGTGTTGGCATCACTGGTTGTGAATGTTGTTGCAAGGTCAAAATCCAAGATTACGGGATATGTTGCAGTCTGTACAGACGTCTCAAGAATGTTGGTCATTGAAGCACTGCCAGGAACATAGAAGTTTGGATATGACAATTGGAGTTGTGCATCATAGAAAGAATTGGTTTGCGTGACCAATCCATTCAGTTCGTCATCTGTTGGCTCCCTAATGGTTGTGCCAGCAAAGAATGAATACCCAAGTCGTGACTCTACAAATCTGGTGGTTCTGGCAGTGACAGTTGGTGCACTGGTCATTGCACTGGGTCTTGCACTGGGTTCTGGACTGGCAAGTGTGCTGGGTTGTGGGCTGGGTGCTATGCTGACTCCGCCTCTTTCAGAAAAACTTGTAGTTTGTGTGGCCGAAAAAATTGTCCCTGGTGGTTCGGCATTCCAAACATAATTCCGAATGTAGCCTTGGTAATCGGCTATTGCCATCAATTGAAAGATATCCTCAGCAGAAGGGGTGTTGTCATCACTGGCGCCAAATGAGACAAGCAGGTCAAAGTCCACAATAACAGGTAGGGGACATGAAGTATCAAATGTGGTCACAACATTTGTCATTTCACTGCCAGGAATGAAAATGCCTGGATATGCTGATCTACTAGAAAGAACTTGATCATAGAAGTCCTCTGTTACCTCAAACAGACCAGCATATTCTTCAGAGGACGGTTCTCGAATGGTTGTCCCTGAAAAGAATCCATACCCTAGTCTTGCTCCAACCATTCTTCTTGTGACCACAGGAGGAGCGGTTGGTGCAGCAGTGGCTCCAGTAGGCGCAGCAGTGGCTTGAGTAGGTGCATAGGTGGTTGGACTAGAGGATGGTGCTGGAATTGGTGATGTTGTTGGTGCGGGAGTTGTTGTGGTTACAAATGTCACACTATCTTCAGTCAGGTCTCGGTAGATGCTATCCTCTGGTTCTGCAACGGCTGCATACTGGGTTCGGAAGATGTCAAGGTCTGCTCGTTGAATGGCTGACCCAACAAAGAAAGTGGCAGGGGTCAGTGCAATGTTGCAATCCTGCAGCATAATTCGAAGGAAGAAAAGTTCGTACCAAGATCCACAACTTGCGTATCAACCATTTTCTCTCCACCAGTTGACTGAAGGGATCGCCGTTGCCGCCGTCTGAGATTAACAAGGAAGACAGATTGACCCAAAAAATTGCTCTGTGATACACAAGTAATGTCCTCTCCAGTCACCGTCTTCCGGACAGTAGTTGTCGTGCTAAAATTGGCATCCATAATCTGAAAGTCAATAAACTGTGTTGGAGTTGTTTCAAGTGTGTCAGCTCCTGATGCAAGTGATTGTGTGGCAACAGCACCAAAAGCTTCCGCTATGAATTGTTGGTAGAACCTGGCCATCTCCACAACGACTCCAGCTTCCTCTTCTTCAGTGGGAGCTCGTGCTAGATTCTCAAATATCATGGTGCCACTGGTATCCACTCTGACTTCTTGTGTCTCTGGACAGATGGCCCCAGTAATGCACAATATAGCCGCAAGACCACCGGCCCCAATCAACGTACCCGCAACCACCCCAGTAGCTCCTGTGGCAGCGGATGGGACGACTGCTACCTGGAGATTTTCTGAGAATCCTTTGTTCTTATTCTTCTTCCTTGCCAGTTCTGGATCAGAATCAATAAACTCAGCTACTTGCTCATCAGTCAAAAAGTATACCGAATTTGGCATCTCTGTAGCCTCCTCTGGTGTCACCATGTAGGCAACAGCAGAGTGGCTGTTGAGAAGTTCCACCAGAGCTGTTTGATCTTGGTCATTGGGCTCGGCCTTCTTCTTGTCCTTTCCCCTTTTGTCCTTGCTCCTGGCAATCAGGCTTGCCCCTTCTGAATCATTCTCTTCTCCATCCTCAATTTCCCTAGCAGGATCCATGTTGTTCAGCATTGGCTGTTGCCCTATCTTGTGTCTTGCCCGGCTTCTAAGTTCTCTTTGCTCCTCTTCCTTACTGGCTCTTCGCAGATGCTTTCGCCTCCTTTGTAGTGATACCGGCACTGCAACAGTGGACTTTGATTGTGACTTCTGCTGTCCACTGCTGTGACTTTTGATTGCACCTGGACGTTGATTCCTGGGTTTCGCTGTTGCTTCTTCCCGTCGTGGCCGCTGCCACCGTCGTTGGCTGGTGAACTTGGATATTCCAATAACATCGTCGGTTTTTGTTGTCTTTTGGTCCAAAGTGGAGCTCACCTCTACTAGAAATGTTGCAACCAAGAGGAGCACCACGCAAACGAGGTGACCAGCCGATGTCTTCTTAACTTGGATCCCCATGAAGTTGCCCTGCTCTGAACCAACCCACCCCTGTCTAGTTGTTACCGCTGTCTGCTAGAACTTGCTCACAGAGCTTCGTACCTGTTGCAAATCTGATCATCCAGGCGGTGGCCATTGTTCATGGCATTCACAGGAAATCAAAACTGCAGTTTTCTTGTGTCATTCTCGTCAGAGGTGCGCCTTGCAAGGTGCGCCATGCCCGTTGCGAAAGTTTCGTTTTCCACGCTGTGCTTTGGGCCGTGTGCTCGGGTGTCAGTTCGTTGGCTCCCTGTTGTCCTTGCCAACCATCTCGTCACTATCACTGCCACCTCCAAGGATGGCGCTCGCCAAGCACGCATTCCAAAATTAACAACGGGGGTTTAGAGTAGGTAGTTATCTACGGATTCCAAAATACGTTTTGCTGGTTTGTTTAGGTGATCCAAATCACGCCCAAGAATCGACTCGCGAATGATCAAAGACTTCCGAAAGCTTGGCAGTGCACGAGCAACGCACTTTTCATAGTCTCCTTGCAGTTCAACTACGAGCCCAATCGTGTGGTAGGATGCAGCTAGATGCGAATGGTGGCTGCGGCCGGAAGACCCCCGCAAGGCATAACGATCCACAGGGCAGACGACGCACACCACTTTCCTCCTTGCTCAAATCTTCAATAATATGATAAATGGTCGCTTCATTCTTGGTTCCATCTGTCCACAAGCATAGACTTCTTTCAAGAATCCATGTTGGAGCCAGTGGACGCTCACTCGAAGACGGTCCGCGGCAAACTTGTCAACGACGCATCAAAATTTCATGCAACATGCGTTTCGCGGAAGTAGTTGCCACCTTCGTTCCATCCTTGAGATAAAGGCGTGCATTGCATTGGACCTCTACCGGTACAGCTGCAGTTTATCTTGGAAAAATATACCTGGATGATGGCGCGTTGCCTCTGAGATACTCCAGGTCTTGAGCTCAGGAAAGGTTTGGGTACTGCCAGGTACCGTAATACAGTCGTAGCTAGCTAGTAGCATTTTAGCAGCCAAGTTGGAAGACACAACCACATATCACTTCTATCTTCTTTAGCCCCACTATGCATATTTGGAATAGAGAACTACTGTAAAAGTGCCAGCTAGCTGGTCCAGCAATTCAAAAAGGACTTATAGTAATCTCTTAATGTGCATTTTTGAGATTTATGAAAGTGTCTTCATGGGTTAGAAGCGGTCATTCACCTTCCAAGCAGTTGTTGCAAAACTTCGAGCTTCGAGCCTTTTGGTTTTTGGGCTATCGAACGCGGAGACAATGAACTCCGAAATGGCGTCCCACTCAGTTTCCGCGCACTTTGCTCTCCCCTGTTCTGGTACCGGTAGATCGGGGATTCAAGGAATCTCACAATTATTTGAACAGAGGGAAGCACGAAGTTGTAAGGGAAGAAAAGGCAACCAAGATGGCTTCGGAAAAAGAATCGCGAGAGCGCGAAAACCGCCCACTCTGAAAGAGATGTCGGGGCTCCCACAGACAGTGATGCCAATGCTCCAACAGACAGCGAGGCCGTTGATGTTCAAACTCAACAGACAGTAGTGGACTCAAAGTTCATTGAAAATGACGTTCGTTTGCTACATCGTGATGTTGCGACCAGCAGGACTGCTCCAGACAGCTCTGTTGTGGACTCCAAACATGCTAAAAATGTCCAAGCAGTAGACACAAAGTTCATTGAAAGAGAAGTAGCCCTGATAACAAATGCCAGGATGATGACCAGCAATTTCGGAAAGAGTGATCGTGCTGATCCTCATGAGCTTGAAGCCAACAGATACATTGGTACTGCAGGGCAGAACTTCCAAGATATTTTGGTGGATGTCAGAAGAGCCGCAATGTCGAATGGAGGGAATTTGTACAACAACGCAGAAACGACAGCTGGACGAGACAGTCAGCCTCTCTCACAACCAGGCATCGGCACAGTTGCAAACAGTGCGCTTGGACCTGGTGCCCATCCTGTTGGTGCACCAGGATCGGCAGCACCCATATCACGTCTGGAAGAAGACATCGTGAGGCAAGATGTGCAGGCACCTTGGGACATTGATGGATCAGTTCAGTTTACGACTGAGAATTTCTCGTCCCTGGAGTTCAATAATGGGCTTGTTCAAGCACGTCGCGTCTCAAGTGAATTTCTTACTGGAGAGAATGATTTGCCCCGAGCAGAGATGGTTGATACCCAAGTTGACCTTCAAGAAAGAGAGAGGAAAAAGCATTTTTTGTACATGGCTTTGCCATTCAGCCTCTGTGTTTTGCTTCTTGCGGTTGTTGCTATTGTTCTTCTGCTTTTAGAAAATGACTCATCTAGTGCTGTGCCAGGCTTCCAAGATGACAAGCATAGCAATTTTGAATCTGGAAACTTCTCTTCAGATGCTGCTTGGAGCTGGGACCTGCCATTCTCAATCCCAAATTCGACTTTGCATGCCTTGGTACAGGATCCCTTTGGAAATGTTACTCCACAATCCCAAGCTTACGAATGGATGATCAGAGACCCATATCTGAATAACTATCCTAAGCAACGGCTGCGCCAGCGCTTTGCAATGGCAGTACTCTACTATGCAACTATGGGAGAAGAATGGTCCCATCAGGGTGGAGGTGTCGTGACCATTCTGACCGATTCCCCTGACATTTTAGGTGGAAGCAATAGGAATAATGGACAAGGTGGAGGCAACAATGGTGGGCATGGTGAGAGCAACAGGAGAGGCCAAGGTGGACACCGTAGTCTTGGACCAGGTTGGAGCAGAATGTTACACGGAGGGACAGCTGTTCCATGCCAAGCAAACAGGGGGCTTCAGCAAGGCGCTAATGGCAGCAGAGGAGAGCAGACAGCCCAAGCTAAACCTGGCAGCATGGGAGAGCTAAACATTACGTCCGAGCCATGGTTGTCCTCCGTTTCAGAGTGCAACTGGTATTCTACAGCTGCCACGAGAAGATCTGGGGTGTGCAATCAAAATGGCACCCTGGTATTTCTGGGGATCATGCAGAACAACCTGCAGGGCACACTGCCTTTAGAGGTTGGGTTGCTTTCATCTTTGGAGGTTCTGGAGCTGGCGCGCAACTCCATTCGTGGTACAATCCCAACGGGGATCTTTGCTTTGTCAAATCTTCGGCAGCTGACTTTGCATCAAAATCAGGTAAGTGGGAGCAGCGTGTACCGGTACTACTTGAGCTATAGCCAATTGTGTCTAGCCATTTCTGGCCCGCTGCTCACAGGTAGCTTGCAACTCCTATTAATAGCTTACAGGAACGCTTCCACGAGAGGTTGGTCTCCTTTCAAACACACTCACTTGGGTTACCCTGCTCAGCAATGAACTCACAGGTCTGTTTAGTGTGCTTTATTGATTGCTACAACTTGGCTGTCTTGACTTACCCTCACTCTAATGTGGCTCGTGCCTTTGCAGGGACAGTACCCCAAGAACTCTACATGCTATCCAAGCTAACACAGCTCCAGCTTGGTGACACCCGTCTCATCGGGCCAATTCCAAGCAATATTGGTTTCCGCTTTCCCCAGCTCAAGGTTCTACAGCTCAACAGGAGTCCCTTCCGTGGATCATTGCCATCTACTATAGGCCTCATGACAGCACTGACTCAACTTGGCCTCCATGAAACTAGATTGTCTGCAACTTTGCCCACAGAGCTTGGTGGGTGCACAAGACTCAAACAGGTAAGAGAAGATGGCATGCTGTGTACTCGCTCCGTCTTCTGATATATCAGATCCAACCCTTCTGCAGCTGTTGGGAAAGAAGAACAACATTTCGGGTACTTTGCCCTCAGAGTTGGGGCTGTTGACGCGCATGCAGGTAGGAAACTCTGGTGGCTTTGCTTGGGTGTGTCATCATCTTCTGCTTGTCTCTCAATTCTTGTTGCTTGTCGTCCCCGCTCTGCAGACAATCAATCTGGAGGGAAACCCTGGTTTAAATGGATGCATCCCCAAAGCACTTGGAGCCATCAACAACACACTTCTGGCCTTTAAGATCAGTGGTAAGCTCGAAGCAAGTTGTTCCCGTTCGGCATGCCACAACATGATGCCGCAGCCTAACCCCGTTGCTGCAATCGGATAGGTACCGCAATGACAGGAACTGTTCCACACGAACTTGTGGCGTGAGACATCTAAGCTTCGATTGCTCTGAATTCTTGTGCGGCTGTGATTGCCCTTGCACGTGAAGGTAGCATTTCGAGCTTAAGGTATAAGTGTTGATCATCTCGTACCTGAGCCACAGTCGTCGCCTACTCTGCATGGAACATCTGCGAGCCGCCCCTGGAGCCTCGAGCGATCTCTTGTCTACTACCGGCACTGCAGTAAAATAGAGCTATCGCTGCCCCCATGGGTAATTTGTGCTTGCATTTTGCTTCTCATCAGTGACAGCCTTTGCAGCACGAACCATCCACCTTGTCGCAGTCAACCTTCAAAAACGGCGGGCTCAGCTCGCAGATTGCCAAAAGGCATCGAACCCGTCATTTCGTTTGAATCAAACTATCAAGTTCGTAAGCATCTTGGGATGACAATGTCTGAGAACGTTGCTACCGAGAGCCTCGACACTGTCAAGCTGTTAGTACTGATATCCCCAGCTCTGTCGGAATGGCGCCACTTTCTGAGATATCGTTTCCCATGCAGGTTGAGGACTTGCATGTTTGGATGCCTTGCAATCTGCGACATGGTCACGCCATGAAAATTGTATTCTCCAAGGTATATCCCGCGCAGGTTTGTCAATTGCATGATGAATTGTGGTATGGATCTGGTCAAGTGCGTCTTCTCTAGACTCAGATGCTCAAATTTCTTCTTCAAGTTGCTAAATCAAGGGATGAGGAATACTGTCATCGCCCAAGGAGTACTAAACGTTGCTGCCTTCTCCATTCCGGCATGGATGTCAACGCTGGAACATTTGGTATAGATCCATTCGTAGGACTGGGTTTGTGGCGATCTTGGATGCGACTTGTCGTTCATGGGCCGAACGTCGAACGGTAACGTCTGGAAGCTGCAAAAAATCCACCAAATTGGGTGTTCGGAAGCTGGCGTTGGGCTGAGCTCTTGTTGAGGGTCGACCTGAACTCGTTTGACGCGTGCTGGGCATTTGACTTTCGGCATTGCGTATTCGGTGCTTTGGCAGGCACTGGAATAGTGGTCGGGTCCTCCGTGTATGATACCGGTACCGCCACTGGGTGGAGGCTGGGAATAGCATGTTCTCTCTGCTGAGGACTGAGGAAGATGGTCCCCTCAATGACAAGAGGATCAGAGGAATGCTCACTGCTATCCACCAAGGAGACGGTGGCCATGACGGTGAGGGAGCAGAGAACCTCAATCCCAAAACAGACGATCGATCTCAAGGTTCGTTTTAATTTCGTGTCTACAACCAAGAGGCCAGTCTCGACCACTCGGAAGTCCATCTCGGATCCACCATAATAACGACAGGAACATCCTCTTCGTTAACCACCTTCACTTGAACAACAGCCGTCTCGTCTTCTTCTCTGCAATCCACGACCACACCGTATCAATTACGGCGAAGAGGTATTAACTGCACACCGCCCGAATGATTTCCGTCGTCCCGATCGTCCGCTGCAGTATTGTACAGGAACAGGAACACTGTTGTAGCTGCCTTGCTTGGATGACATGTTGAAATGATTCACGGGTAAGGAAGGAGAGCCTTTGTGCCCGACCGTCTTCAGCAGGATAATCATTCTGGAAATCAGGGAAGAAGAACCGAGCGCTGACAAGCGGCGCTCGCCTAGAGCAGCACAGCACGACTAGTTGAGTAGTGTAGGGTGGTGGAGAGACTCGGCCATTTACTGAGCCGACCGTCTCCGCGACCCAGGGGTGCCGCTCGTGATTGCTAGAATCGCGAGCGGGAACCAAGGCACGAATGAGCAGTCCCGCGGGATGTGATCCCGCGTGATGTGTCGACATTCGGCCAACCAGGGAGGGAGAGGGGGTTAATTGGTTTAATCTATTCTAGTTCTTGCTTGCAGCTCGGCTGAAGGAAGATTGTGAGCAGAGAAGGAGACAACTTCTTGCGATCGACTGTCAATGGCTGAAAGAGAGAGTTGGACCGTCTTGCATGTTGTGTTCATCAAGGTTGCTATCTGTGACGGTCTTCGAGGGTGCTATGCCTTCATCTGAACACTGCACCACTATTCCCGGATGATATATCTGATACACTAACGGTTTTACCTCTTTTTGAACAAACCCCTTTTAGATTTACAAGCCGGGGTTTTGGTCTTAAATCTTAATTCTTGAATCCCAAATCAACAGTACATCAAGAATTCTTCGGAACCATCAAGAATTAAATGGCACGATCAAGGGTTCTTTGGAACTAACAACAAATCAATGCTACCATCAACAATTCAATGGTACCATCAGAGAGACAGCGAGACCCATTACTAATTGATCTCTCTCTT